GTAGTTGGGGTCTCCGACCACAGGCCGGCTCATGGAGTGCCCTCTCTCTCTGCAGACCCCCCCTTTTTTCCAGCATGGCAGAGCAGCCGACCCACGAGCTGCTGGATTTCCTCCGCCCAGATACCCGTGTGGACCTGAAGGACCGGGCCACGCACTATGTGATGGGGCTGACAGGCGACCCGGAGGGCAGGCAGCTGCTGGCCTCGGAGCCGGAACTTGTGTCCGCCCTGCTGGCCCTGACCAGCGACCGCTCCCCCTGCATGGCCACGGACGCTTACCTCGCCCTCATCAACCTGGCTACGGAGCCCGCTGCCCACGGGGCCCTGAAGGAAGGGCTTCCCGTCCTGCTGAAGCGCTTGCTGGATCCCGCCTTCCCCATGGCCAACGAGGTCTGCACGCTGCTCTCCAACCTGTCTCGGGAGGAGGCCTCGTCCAGAGCGCTCTTGGCCGCCCTCCAGCAGGAGAGCCTGGGGGGGCTGCCAGCCCTGGTGGACGCCTTCTGCTCCGAAGACTTCAACCCCGAGGCCTCTCTGCACTACCTGGGGCCCTTGCTGTCGAACCTCAGCCAGCTGCCGGAAGCCCGAGACTTCCTCTTGGACAGATCCAGGCAGGTGTGGGCAGGGGGGAGGGCGCTGGGGTCGAGGGGGGGGGGTTTATGGGGTGCCTCTGCATGTGGAGGAATTGCTGAGGGGGGGTTGCCGTGAGGACTGCCGAGAAGAAAGCGGGAATAGCAAATATATAATAGTCCCAACAGAGGCATGTTCTGAAAAGCATGAAAGGAGATTCCAACTAAGCATCAGGAAGAACTGACAGTGGAATAATAATAACAATAATAATAATAATAATAATAATAATAATAATAATAATAATAAAAAATTTATACCCCATCCTCCCCAGCCAAGACTGGGTTCAGGGTGACTAACACCAGGTATAAAAACACAATTGATTGAAATACAACTTAAAAAACAACATTAAAATGCAGCCTCGTTTCAGCAGGAACTCAAAAACTTTTTAGGGGATGAAAACATCAAATCTTCAGCAAGGCCAACTATCCAGACTGGTCCTACATGGGCCAGAAAAAAGCCAGGGAAGTCCCCAAATAGGCGCTCCATCACAGAAGGAGAAAGGATAGAGGAGGAGGGGATCAAGTGGATTCCAAGCCAAAGGCCAGGCGGAACAACTCTGTCTTACAGGCCCTGCGGAAAGAAATCAGATCCTGCAGGGCCCTGGTCTCATGAGAAAGAGCGTTCCACCAGGCTGGGGCCAGTGTTGAAAAGGCCCTGGCTCTGGTTGAAGCTAATCTGACTTCCTTAGGGCCCGGGACCTCTAGGGTGTTGCTGTTTATGGACCTTAAGGTCCTCCGCGGGGCAGACCAGGAGAGGCAGTCCTGTAGGTACGAGGGTCCTAGGGAACAGATTCCCATGAGAGGTGGCAGACTTTAAGCAGAGGTTGGATGGTTATCTGCCATGTATGAGTTAATTGAGATTCCTGCATCGTAGGGGTTGGACTGGATGACCCCCAGGGTCCCTTCCAACATTACAATTCTCTGATTCTATGTTTCCTCTCTGAATTTGGTGAGCTGCCCCCCCCATCCACCAATTTGTTCTAAGGCAGCTGGGAGGGGGAGCTGCTTTCCCCCAGGTGATACAATTAGTAAAAAGGGACGCAGGTGGCGCTGTGGTCTAAACCACTGAGTCTCTTGGGCTTGCCCAAGGTTGGTGGTTCGAATTCCCGGGGTGAGCTCCCATTGCTCAGTCCCTGCTCCTGCCAACCTAGCAGTTCGAAAGCACACCAGTGCGAGTAGATAAATAGGTACCGCTCCTGCAGGAAGGTAAACAGTGTTTCCGTGCTTTCTAAAACCAGGAAAACTAAAGAGAAACAAACAGAAAGGATGGAGCTCTGACAGGAGGGATCTACCTGGGCAGAGAGAGGTCATTCTTTTTTGGAAGGGAGGCCTTTCATTCAGCGTTTGAGATGCCCCCTGCTTGAGTGACAGGTGCCTCTGATGGGCCTGCAGTGCATTATGGGAGAGAAGGAAGCCCCTGCTTTTCCTTAGGGCTCCTCCTTGACCCCAGATCCCTTCTTCCTGCCAGGTGTGTGGTGCAGAGGTTGCTGCCTTTCACACAGTACTCACGCTCATCCATCCGCCGAGGAGGGGTGGTGGGCACGCTCCGCAACTGCTGCTTTGAATATGGTGAGTGGGGGTGCTGGGGGGGTGCTCTCTTTCTCTCTCTCTTTCCTGGCCCAGATAAACCTGCTGCTTTTCTTTGGCTGTGGGTTGGTGGGGGCTGCTAAATTTGTCCCTGCATCGGGAGTCCGCAGGTCCTGCAGTTTCTGCGCTCCTTTTGCTGCCAGTGCCCCCAGTCTCTTGCAGGGGGGGCTTGGACCTCACCCCAGCAGGGTCTTCTTTTTCTTTTGTTAGAGCGTTTATCAGTTTTCCAATAAGAAACATCCAATTAACATATCAATTCATAATCCAATAAAAATAAAAAACTAAAATAAAATAAAAATCAAATTGTCTTCCGAATTGTAATTTTGATTTCACGGCTTCCCACAGTCTGAACCTTGAAGCATCTCCAAATCTCGGTTCTGCCTCTCATCTCTCATGGATATTTTCATATTTCCATATCTCGATTTTATCTCTCCAAGTGTCTCTGGCTCTGCAATCCTCAATCATGTCAGAATCCCACCCCAGCAGGGTCTTTGCGTGGCTTGTTTCCCCCAGGGCACCACGAGTGGCTGCTGAGCGAAGACGTGGACCTCCTCCCCTTCCTCCTCCTCCCGTTGGCTGGACCTGAGGAGTTTCCGGAGGACGAGATGGAAAGTGGGTCCCTTTGGGAAGGCTGAGGGAGGGGGGAGATCATGCTGGACCTTGGGGGGCAGAGTCTGCCCCAGGAAGCCCCAGCGGGGTGGGCGGGCTGGCAGGGATGTCTTCGCCCCCTCAGTCCTGCGGGGGCCTTGGGGCAGTGGGGCTCCTGGTGAGATGGGGCTGGGGGCGCTTGCTTCTCCCTCTCAGCCTGCGCTGTCTTGGCCCCAGGGCTGCCCCTGGACCTCCAGTACTTGCCAGCGGAGAAGAAGAGGGAGCCAGACCCCGACATCCGCAAGATGCTCCTGGAGGCCATTATGCTGGTGAGTCCCGGCCTGAGATGGCCTTCAAACCCCCCTGGGCAAGGAAGGACCTTTTACAAAACTCTGCCGTCCTCCTGTCCTCCCCTCCCCTCCCCCTTCTCAGTCTTTGGTTTTAAAAAAACAGACCCTTGGAAAGAAAGATTGCAGCTCTATGCAAACTTAAATCCATGTGGCTTGCAGAGTTGGAGAATGTGGATTTTGCCCTCCCTGCCTCCAGCTCTGAAGAACTGAAGGAGAGCATCTGCTGGATGAGGCCACCCCCACCCCACCCCCGTCCAGCATCCTGTTCTCCCAGGGCAGCCGCAGAGCAGCCGGAGTGTTTGAGGCACTGCTGGGACCTGCAGGCAGGTTTGCCCCAAAGAGGAGAAGGTCCTCAGTTTGGGTGTTGGGGAGACAATTTGTAGGCCCCACAAGTGCACACAGCTGACCGTCTTCCATCTCACCCTCCTGGCCTGTTGAGCCTCTTCCCTCCTTCAGGTTCCCCCCTCCCCTTACACTTCTAGGTCTGCTGCTGCTTCCAGCCGGCCTGATCCTAAACAGATCCATATTTGTTGGGACAGGAAAACCGCCTTTGCCCAGTTCCCCTGGAGGCAGTGCATGGGGACTCTTTGTCGTCCGCATGGAGGAGCCCCTCCCTCGTTCAGCTTCCTCCGGGGGTGCTCGATTCCCACCCTGCGCCTCCAGGCTGACCCTCTGCATGCCACCCCAGCGACAGGCAACCCTTTTCCGTTTCTCTCCACAGCTCACAGCCACCAAGCCGGGGCGCCGACTAGTGCGAGAGAAAGGCACCTACCTCATCCTGCGGGAGCTGCACAAGTGGGAAAAGGACCCAGGTGTCCTGGCCGCCTGCGAAAAGCTGATTCAGGTGGGCAGGAAGGAGGGGGGGGGCAAGGATTGGCGGCCTGGCTCCCTCTGGCCACTCAGGCCCAGGGATTGCAGGGAGAAGCTTGGGGTGGGGGAATCCCTGAATGGCCCCAGGATGCTCTGGACAGGGTCTGTTGGGGGGGGGGCTCCTTTGAGACAGGAGGGAGAGCGAGCAGTGTGACCCATCTGAGAGGGATTCGGGGGGGGAAGAGTCCAACGTATTCTGCTTTAAAGGAAAAGGCAGGTTGATCCCGATGTGTTTAGCTTGGAGGAAAGATGAAAGGAAGAACGTGATGCTCTTTTTAATCAGTAAGCAGGGAGCAGAAACGGCAAATAATCTCCAAGCATCCAGGCAGAGCCCATGAGGCGGGTGGGCAGCCATAGCCTTTGCTTGGTGGTGGTTGAGGTTTGTGGGGTCCAGTTGGGCTGCTGGACAACTCTCAGGCCACAAAAGGAAGCGGTGCAGAAGCTGCTGAGCACTCAGAATATTTTCCCCCTTTCCGCTTGTTCATTGGAATCCCTGCCCCCTGTTCTGTTTCTGCTTCTGCAACCCCCCTGGGGTGTGCTGTGGGGGGGGCTTTCCAACCCCCCAGGCCCTTCCGGTTTGACCTGATGCTCTTACGCAGCTGTTTGGGGTCGGGACGTATGCTGCTTGGGGCTCCGGCCTGATGGTCCCTTTCCGTCCTCCCTCTGCCCTGAGCAGGTCCTCATTGGGGACGAGCCGGAGGCCGGGATGGAGAACCTGCTGGAGGTGGAGATCCCTGCGGAGGTCGAGGAGCAGCTGCAGCGCCTGGATCTGGAGGAGGAAGAGCAGCAGCAGCAGTGCAGGAGCCAGGCGTCCGGCTCCGAAGGGCTGCAGAGATGAGGCGCAGATAACTGGGACAACAAAGTCCTTCTCTCCCTCCGCGCCTGGCCAGCCTTGAGGCCAAAGCCCCTGAGACTGCAAAGGAGAGTTGGCCAAGGACCTGGGCCAAGGAGCAGCCAGCAGTGGGGCGACAGAACGGAGCCCCTTCAGGAATGGAAAGGGCAGGAGCTGGAGCGTGGGCCCTCCCTGCCAGCTGTTTGTCCAGGCAGAGCTGGGTGCCCTTCAGTTTGATAATATTGTGGTTTTTATGTTGATCTTTTCTGTGAACAGCCCTGAGACATCCGAGTATAGGGTGTTATATCATTTCAATAAGTAAATAATAATAACAATTCTGCCACCACCTACAGAAAGAGGGCGGTGAGTTGGCAGCCCCAATGACTCTACTGCCCTCCAATAAAATGTTTGCCAGCACAGAAAGACCCAGTTTGTATATGGCATTTGATTCTCTGGGGTTCCTGCCCTCCTTCTGGAGTCTGAGCAAGAAGACAGCTCTGTGGGTCTGGCCAGTTCTGCCTGGCCATAGGTGCCCCCCCCCAACCCAGCCGCTTGCCCCCCAGCCTCCTTCTAAGCAGAGTGTCTGCTTCAATGGCGGATGTGCTCCCCACATGTCTTGTGATCCACACCAGCGATGTCTGGCCTGCCTTTCAGCACAAGGACCCCTTCCAGGATGTTCTCCTCCAGACTTCCCCAGCCTGTGGCTTTCTGCGTGTTTTGTACTACAACCCTGGGGTTGATGGGAGTTGTAGTCCAAACATCTGGAAGGCAGCAGGTTGGGGAAGGCTGCTCTGAGCCTGGAAAAGGACGGGGCCATTTCTGGGCTGCCTTCTTGGTCCGTCGGGAATGAGCTGCCTGTTTCCTGCCCAGCGAGCGGGAAGAGTCCTGTTCAAGGCTTCCCATTTGGATGGCCACTGAAAAAACAGGATGCGAGACTAGGTGGGCTTTGGGCCTGATCCGGCGGAAGGGCTCCTCTTAGGTGCAACCCGCCTTCCCTGCTCCTCGTCTGCTCCCCTTCACTCCTCCCCCCCCCCATTCCAGAGGTCCTCAGCCATTTCCAACATGAGAGACTCTGCTCTGAGCTGAAATTGCAGGGAGCTTGGAATACTAGGAAGAGATGGGTTCAGGCGGCTGCAGGGGCTTAAGGCTGGGCAAAGGGTGCGATCCCACCAAGGGAGAGCAATCTTATCGGCTGCTCTTAGTTGCCTGAGGCTCTTGGTAGCTCACAAAATAGCATATGCAGCCTTCAGATAGTAGCCATCAACCGTGGATTTGTCTTTTAAAGCCCTCCAGATGGGGGGCCGTCTCTGCCTCTGCCTGGGGGAGGGAGTTCCACAGTCTAACCCTGGGCTGTGCCCAGAAGGCCTTTCTTCCGTCTGCCCTGGACCTCCCAACACTCAGCTTCATGGGCTGCCCAGGAGCTCTGCCAATAGGAGAGAGTGAGAAGCCCAATTACTCTCCCAAAGGGCCCTTTCCCCGCCTGAGGGAGGGAGGGAAAGCAACTCTGGGCTGGCTGGGACTTGAGGGGTCTGATCCGACAGAGCTGCTCTCTTGTGGCTCAATGGGGAAGAATCTCCAGGCAGGTGAGGGGGGCTCAGGTAGAGTTGGAAGGGACCCTGAGGGTCATGTGGACCAACCCGGGCAAAGGGCTGTGGCAGCTGATGGGATCCAGGCAGAGGGCAGCTCTGGGAGCAGGTTGAGGGAGGGAGAAAGATTCTCTGTCTCTTGCTAAGCAGAAACTGCATGGCCTGGAGGGCCAAGCCAGGGGAGACATGTATTGCACGGGTGCAAATGAGGGCATCCCTTAAGTGGCTCCACAGGGGGGCAATTAACTCTTTCCTGACCAGCCTTGGTCCCGGCAACACTGGCCTCTGAAGCCGCTGGCTGCCTTTCTTTTCTCTCTGCCCCTTCCAGGGTCTGAAATACCGTATTTTTCACTCTATAAGACGCACATTTCCCCTCCTAATAAGTAAGGGGAAATGTGTGTGTGTCTTATGGAGCAAATGCAGGTGGGAGGCTCTGCTCAGCACTCCCTTTAAACAGCCGCATGGATTGTGTGTTGGGGCTTTTCCCTTGCCCGGGGAGAGGCTGTGTGTGGCTAAGCCAGAAGCCAGGACAGCCAATGGGATCGCAGCGCAGCGATCCCGCTAGCTGTCCTGGCTTCTGGGATTCAGGATTTTTTTTCTTGTTGTTTTCCTCTTCCAAAAACTAGGTGCGTCTTATGGTCTGGTGCGTCTTATAGAGTGAAAAATACGGTAGGTGGATTGGGACCAGGTGCTTGAACGGACTGCAGAGCTCAGTCTCCGCTGGGTCTGTGCTGCGTTTATTTGAAGATGTGGATTTAGAAGAGGCTGAATCAACTGAAAGAAGATCTGAGCCAGGCAAGCGAGTGGGAAGTTTTCTAAAAGCCCACGGGAATCCCTGGGAAGGAGGAGCGAGGGGCCTGGGACTAGGGACACGGGCTCTCCTTTCTCGGAAAACAAACCCCCATCCCTGCCCTGATCAGGACCCAGCCCCCCCCCCCGGGCTGTGTTGTGGGGCTGGTACAGCACCAGCTCCTGATGCAAAGGACACAGGAAGCGACACTGGCCTTTTCGAGGGCGGGTTGGGGGCAGGATTCGGAATGCGCGAGAGCTGCGCGGCCCCGCATGCAACCTTCACGTGGGAAAGGGTTGCCCTGGGGATACTGGGCAGCAACTTCTCCGTGAGCTGCCCCGGGCATTAATGCAGAGGCGTCTGCGAGCAACGGGTTTCGTCTGGGACCGTTTCCTCCCGCGAGGCGCCTTGGGGGGGGCGCGCCCCTGCCCCTCTGCGCGCGCACACACACGGCAAGAAGAGCCACGCCAAGCCAGGATACACTGATGTATATAGAGAAAACAGCAGGCAGCAGACGCGCAGTCGGTCGAGCAAGGAGCGCGCGGGCTCCATGGCAGCGGCGCCTCCTCAGTCCCAGGTCGGCCGCCAGTCGGTGCCACGCGGGCACACACGAGCAGGCAGCAGCGCGGAGGGACTCTGAATAATCTTTAATAGTGCTCACTGCATCCGGTCCTTGGGCGCTGTGTCCCCCGCCCAGGGCGCGGCCGAGGGGAGGCACCGGCTCCACCGGACGGGCGCACGGACGGGCGGGCGGCTGCAGCTTGCGCGGGACTTGCGCGGCGGCGGCTCACGGGCAGGGCGTCATGGTGTACAGGGAGTGCACTTGCTTGGAGAGGCTGGCCGAGCCGCCCGCGCCCCCGCTGCCGCCGCCCGCGCCCAGCGCCGCCGCCCGCGCCGGCACCTTGTCGGCCAGCCGCTTGCTGCTCACGTAGGCGCTGGTGGAGAAGCCCGAGCCGGGCTTTCGGAAGTTGGGCAGGTGGTGGAAGGGCTGCAGGCTGCTGAGCAGGCTGGGCCGGTAGAGCGAGAGGCGCGGCGGGCGCTCCGTCTTGCGCGGCGACGGCAGCTGGAGGATGCAGTTGGCCGCGCCGGCTGCCCCGTCGGGGCTGCTCTTCTTCTCGGCCGCCGCCTTGGCCGCCCGCGCCGGGAAGGCGCCCGTGGCCGAGGCGGCGCGCGGCGTGGGTCGCACCTGGCCCTCCTTGGCGCCCTCCGACACCTTGGCCGAGCTCTCCAGGTCCGGCAGCTGCGACGTGGCGCCCAGGGGCTCTGCTGCAAAAGGGGAGCCGGTTAGAGGAGGGACGGGGCTGCATCGCCCTTTCTGCCCGGACGAGGTGGGCGCTGTCCAGCCCACAACACATGGGGCTGGCCAGGGGCTCTGCAAGGACTCCTGGGAGGAGCCCAGCTGCAGGTGAAGGGGGGTAGGAGGGCCGTGGCCCCACGCACACATTTCTGAGGGCACATATCAGGCAGAACACTTGGACGCCCCGGGTGCCAGCAACCCACGCTACAACACTGGCTCAGAAGGAGCCTTCCCAAGTCACCCCATAACTCTGAGCCTTGTCACCTCCCCACTCCCCCCCCTTGCAGCCCCCGGGTATTTCTTTTCCCTGTCAGCCTCAGCCCAGTCTAAGGAGCAGCAGGAGAACCTCCGTTATGCCCCAGGGCTAGGAAGAACCTGCCACTGTTCCTTCACCTGCTGCTCTCTGGCCTGGCTGCCACCCAAGGGGTCTGGTCTTCCTGGAGTTGGCTGCCTGCAGGGGGCAGGGGGCAGAGCTTCTGGCCCAGAAACGGTGCCCAGGACAGGGTAGCTTTGTACACACACAGAGGCCTGGTCTGTTGTACCTTCTTGAACGGGGTTCCCTGTTACCCAAAGAGGCAGAGGCTGGGCTGTCCTTCCAGGATGGCTCCCTGCTTCCCTGGGTGATGGCGTGTGTGTCTGTCCTGCCTGTCCTTATCTGCTTCCCTCAGGGCAGGGGGTGGGTGTGTTGCTCTCAGGGGGGCAGCTGGGGGTCCTGTCCGCTTACCTTGTGCCGCTTGGGACTTCTCTGGGCTTAGGTTGCACTCCGGGTGGACCCCCATGGAGCTCATCACTCGGTGGAAGATGGCCGACGTGGCAGGCAGCATCCATCGGTGCGTGGCCACTTGCTGCAGGCCCAGGCGGGCAGCTGGCTTCAGCTGGAGCAAACCCTCAATCAGGTTCTGACATTCTGCAGCAGGGAGAAGAGCTGGTGAGAACCACAGCTGCCACCACCTGGGGGCTCTAATGAAAAGGGGGGTGTTTGTAGCAGTGGGCTCTTCATCCTAGGGTTGTGCCAGCTGCACGAAGCAACTGGTGGGGCTTCTGGGGGAGGAGGGCAGAGGGCTCAGGGAGCGAGCAGTGCCTGGGCCAGGAGATCTGCCTCCATTTCCCTTGCGGAGACTCAAGTGTCGCTGGCTGACTTGCAGCCCTGCGTCTTGTCCTTGCGCCCTTTGGCACAGGGTAAGGGGTTGTGGCCGCACCGCTTCACTGGCATCCTGCAGTGGGGTTCATTTTGCCACTGGGGCACCCTGCCAGGCTTTGGGGCTCGGCCTGCCGTGTATCTCTGGGCAGGGGGGCTGGCACAGGACACAGAACTAATCACATGCCCCCAGTGCAGGTAGCTGTAGAGCCTCGTGATCAGATGCCTCCATTGGAAACGCTATAAAGGAACCACTGGTGCCAGCAAGCCTGATGCGTGTGGTTGGGCTCCCAGCACTGGGATGCAGTGTGAATGACCATGTGACTTTTGCCAGAGTCTAGAGCAGGGCCAGGCCAGAAGCACTGGGTGAACTTGAGACACCAGAGCAGGGGTCAGCAAACTTTTTCAGCAGGGGGCCGGTCCACTGTCCCTCAGACCTTCTGGGGGGCCGGACTATATTTTGTGGGCGGAAATGAACGAATTCCTATGCCCCACAAATAACCCAGAGGTGCATCTTAAATAAAAGGACACATTCTACTCATGTAAAAACACGCTGATTCCCAGACCATCTGTAGGGTGGATTTAGAAGGCAATTGTGCCGGATCCGGCCCCCGGGCCTTAGTTTGCCTACCCCTGCACAAGAGGAAGGAGGAGCAAAGCCCTGGGGCCACAGCCTTGGGCACTGCCTGCTGTGACTTGACTCGAGCTCCAGCAAGAATTTGCTTTGAGGTGATGGTGCCAGTGGGAAGGGGCTGCTCCAGGCAAATGTGTCTGCGGTGGCTGCATCCTCTTCCCTGGCACTGGCTGAGGGTGGCTCCGGTGGTGCTGCTGTTCCTCCTGACCACCGACAGGGAATTCTGCAAGTGCGGTACAGGAGATTCTGCAAAGTACCTGGAGATTGCAGAATGGCTTCGGGGCTCTAGAGGTGTAAGGAAATGCAACTCTAATGGCATTTTAAAAATGTCCTAGTGGTTTTCAAGAAGGCGCGCCCGTCTCCCCTTCTTCTTGGGTGCTGGGGTGGCAGATGTGGGCCCAGCTGAGCCTCCCCCTCCCCCCCGGGCCCCTGCAGCAGAGCCGGTTGTTGCCACGCCGTTACCTGGTGAGATGGGCTGCCGGAAAGCCAGTCCCTGCTTGATCACGTGGATCATCTTGTGTGGCTGGCGCTCCTTGAAGGGGAGCTTCCCTGTCACCATGGCGTAGAGGATCACCCCACTGCGGGAAGGAGGAGTTCAGAGAGGGGTCACCACCAGCCCAAGCGCCGGCTGGCCCAGGGCAAGAGGCTTCCTCTCTGGGCCAGAGCATCCATTGTAGGTCTTGCCTGCCAGGCCAAAGTGTTCTATCTAGCCCAGTATGGCCTGCCCTGGCTGCCTCAAGGGCTCTCCAGGGTTCCTTACAGGATATTTCCAGACCTACCTTGAGATGCCTTCAACCTGCAGAGCAGATGCTCTCTAACCAATGAGACATGCAGCCCTTTAAGTCCTGGCTTGTTGCCTGTGCCTGCCCAGGCCCCATACCTGGCATGACCCTGGTGCCACGTCTCTCCCCCACATGCTCCAGCAGTTCTGCCCCCAAATTGTACTCACAGGCTCCATAGGTCAGCCAGCTCCCCATTGTACTTCTTGCTCATGAGGATTTCAGGGGCAGTGTAGGCCACGGAGCCACAAAAGGTGTTCATTAGGGAATTCTTCAGGGAATAGCGATTGGCAAACCCAAAATCTGCAACGGGGGCAGAGAAGAAGACCAGCTCTCCATCTGGCAGCTTAGAAGAGCCTTTGCCAGCCTCGGGCTCTCCGGGCATTTTGGGCGCCCAGCACCTGGAAGGCACCAGCTGGGTAGGGGCTCCCTCCTCTCTGTCCTTCCGCCAGAAGGCGAAAACTTCCTTGCTCCAACCGGCTTCGGGGAATGGACTGCTTTTAATCAAAGAACTGGTGTTGTGCTGTTTTCATTGTAGTTAGTGGCATGTTTTAAACCGGTTTTATATATGAATACAGTGGTACCTTGGGTTACAGACGCTTCAGGATGAGAACAGAAATCGCATGGCAGCGGGAGGCCCTATTAGCTAAAGTGGTGCTTCAGGTTAAGAACAGTTTCAGGTTAAGAACGGACCTCCGGAACGAATTAAGTTCTTAACCTGAGGTACTACTGTATAGTTTTAATTCTGTCAATGGCTTATTGTTTATTTATTATTGTTTTTTCCAGGTTTTCAGCAGGTTTTCTTGTTTTTATCTGTAAGCTGTCAAGGAAAAAGGCAGGAAACAGACAGACAGACAGACAGACAGACAGACAGACAAACCAATAAACAAATAAGAATAAGAAAGCAAATTAATGGCTGTTTTAGGGGCTATGTCCCTCAGCGGCTTCATCCATGCCCAAGTTTCCCAGCTGGTCATTATTGCCTTTGGGAATTGGGTGGGGCAGTGGGAGCAACGAAAGGGAGGCTCTGCCACAGCTGATAAAAGGCAGAGAAGCTCCCACTCAGAACATCCTACTTCTGGGACTGATGTTTCCGCAGCCTCTGCCAATAAGAACCAATAAATCCTTCCATTTTAATTCACTTGAGATGACTGGAGGATGCAGCTTTGCCGGGCAGATTTTATCCATCCAATTTCCCTTGAGAGAGATACAGAAATGCTTTGGGGTCATAAATTCTCTATAGACATCTCACAACAGAATTAGTGTGTCCCATCTGAATTTCTGAAAACATTAAAATTGGGGTGGGTTGGCAGGCAGCGAGACCTCATGTCACAGTGCTGAAAAGAGGGAAATGGCTGTTTTATGTAGAAGGTGAAGCCTAATTTGATGCCCTTAAAACATGCTCTTATTTTGCTAAGTGAATGCCATGAGGTCCTCTGGCCGTGGCTCCCTTATCTGGGTCATTGGCTGCTGAATTTTGAACTCTGGGCTCACTTGACATAAACAAATGGCGTTGGCTGATGGGAGGCCGCTCTCTCTGCCCCCATGGAAGGAAACTCACCAGTCAGCTTAATGAAGCCACGTTCATCCAGTAAAATGTTCTCACATTTCAAGTCTCTGAGGGAACAAAAAGCAGCAAAAGAAGCTTTAATGGTGCACCATGAGAGCATGCAGATGTACATATGGAGGAAGAACGAGAATGTGCACTGAAGTTTGCAGACTCATTAGTAATCATGAGGAGGAGCCTGGAAACAGACATGCTACAAAGAATCACACCAATCTGCATGTTTCCCTTATTTATTTTCAACTGCTGTTTGGGGCTTTTTGCAACAATCTGGGTCTGCTGTGGCAGAAGGCAAAGGAGCACATCAGCCAGAGGGGCCCAGAGATGCTTGAGGAAGCTCCCATGCCCAGTGCTCAGGCCTGCGCACAAGATCGCTCTGAAACATCCAGCAGATATTGCCTGCCTACCTTGCAATCTTTGGCCACAGGCAGAAAAGCTAAAAGAGAATAATATAAAATGATAGAGCCTGTCTCGGGCAACCAGCTGTGTTTGCGTGGCTGTCTGGGTCTGTTTTGCCCAGAGTCCTCCTGGCCCTTCAGTGCTGTGAGAATCAAAGCCAACTTGAAAACACTCGAATGAATGAGTCGTATCCTGGAAAGTGTGGAGAACTGCAGTGCCCCTATGGGTTATTAAACAATCTGTGTATCAGTCCAAAACTGGTGAGTATGAAGGTAGAACTAGGAAGTCGAATTCAAAGCGTTATTTGTGTGTTCTGGGCTCTTTTTGTGAAAGACGGCAAGTTAGGGGTGAGGCGCCTCAGGACTGAGGACCAAATGCAGCCAGCCTTTCATATATATATATATTTCCATTTCCAAAGCTATAAAACTTTATTAATGACTACTGCAGAAATGTCTCACAACACAATTAATTAGGATTTCACCCATAAATTTAATAAATGAAAGTTATAGGAAGCTGGGCAAACTATTATCTTTACCACTTCAGCTAGATAACTAGTGTTCCTTATGTTAAGTCTTTTGCTCATATTTTTGCTTAATGACTTCTTGGACTTTTGCCCTCTTATATGTCATCTGTTCTTGAAGGACAAGCAGCGTAGAGGATACAGTTATATGCATATATCACCATAGTTTTCCAAAACTTTTTTTAAAATGCAGCCAGACATTCAAGTAGCAAGACTCTTGGGACTCTGAGCCACGTTTTCTCCTCAGACTGCTCTGCTCACCCATCTATATTTGCCTGGCTGGAATTTGTCCTTCAGCTGAGACACTGCCTCTTGCCTGCCTGGACAACGGATAGAAAGACGTGGGAACTGGTGTAGAAACACCTGGTTTTCAAACGGTCAGAATGTCCCCTGGAGTCCGGAGTCCTGCCCGTGGCTCAGACCAATTTTGTCACTGCTCCTGCCCATTTTCTCTCCTAGCCCCACCTATCTCTTCAGTCTCTCCCCCTACCCCAATTGAGGGTTCCCCACTGGGAATGGGGCCTGTGGATGCTCTCCCCAGGGAGACCTTTCCGGTGCACTAAACTTGCCATAACTCTGGTGCCAGGCCAAACACTCTGTTTTCCTGGGAATTTGAGCAGCACCCAGAGCGTCTCCACCCCCATCGTCCAGCCCGGACACGGAGGTCCAGCTCCGAGGGCCTTCTGGCGGTTCCCTTGCTGTGAGAAGCCGTTACAGGGAACCAGGCAGAGGGCCTTCTCGGTGGTGGCACCCTCCCTGTGGAATGTCCTCCCAACCAGATGTCAAAGAAATAAACAACTATTTGACATTTAGAAGACATCTGAAGGCAGCCCTGTTTAGGGAAGCTTTTAATGTTTGATGCATTACTGCATTTTAATATTGTGTTGGAAGTCGCCCAGAGTGGCTGGGGAAACCGAGCCAGATGGGCGGGGTATAAATAATAAATTATTATTGTTATTGTTATTGTTATTGTTATTATTGTTATTGCTATTGTTATTATGCCTGTTCACTCAGGTCCTGCTTTCAGGCTTCCCTTTGGGGCATCTCACAGTCACCAGCCAGAATAATAATGATAATAATAATATTAATAATAATAATAATTTATTTATACCCTGCCCATCTGGGTATTTATCCCAGCCACTCTGGGCGTCTAACAGCAGAACAAGGGGAGGTGTGGAACAGGAAGATGCACCCCCCCACACACATTTGGTCTGATTCAGCTGCTGCTGCTACAGCAGAGCTTTTGGGATGTTGTGATGCGGTTTTATTGCTGTCCTTGGATTGTGAGTTGCTTTTTAGTGGGAAGTGATGCATATTTTAAGAAAAACTCTTATCCTAAAAAAAATTCCCACCGGGGCCCAGAAAGACAAGGCAGCTCTTTTCTCTGGGGCTGGACCCCTGGGAGCTGCCTTCCTCTTCCCGAGAGGGAATCTGGGCGTGGCCCTGGAGGTCTTCCAGGCCCCACAAGCGACTCTTCCCTGCCACCACCTCCCAGCTGTTCCCCTCCTTCCCCCCCCCCAGCCATTTCTGTCACCTGTGGACGATGCCGACATTGTGGCAGTGTGCCACGGCACTGACAATCTGCCGGAAAAGCCTTCGTGCCTCCTCTTCCTCCAGCCCAGGAAGCTCCCTCCTGTCCGACGTGGCGTTGATGTGCTCCAGGAGGTCTCCCCGGGAGGCCAGTTCCAGGACCAGGTAGGTGCGCTTACTGTTCCGGTACATCTCGTAGAGCTGGATCTGCAGGGGAGCGGCCCGCCCTTGTCACAAGGGGACCCAGATGGATTGCCCAAGAGGATGGGGGACCCAAAAGAGTTTGGCATCCACTGAGCTAAGCAGTTCCACAAGCGCAAGGACTTTTGCCTGTGCAAAGGAGCTTCGCCTTCCTTTCCTCTGCCCGCCTGTGCCCCAGAACTTTGGGGAAAGAACCCAGACCTGTGTCAGGTCAGGAGAGGAGCAAAAGTTCTGCTGAACAGACAAAAGTGCTTATGCCAGGAAGGAAGAAAGAAGTACCAACAAAAGAAGAACGGCAGATGAAACTGATGGACTATGCAGAGATGGTGAAACTGACGGGGAAGATCCAAAACCAGGAAGATCAAGTATTTTTAAAAGACGAGTACATTTTAAACTTACTTAGAAGATCACTGTAAACAGTTAAAATTGTTGGTAGGGATGTAATGAGACTTGTAATGTGATTTTTTAATGAAAATTATAGATACTTAATAAATAAAGGTAAAGGGACCCCTGACCATTAGGTCCAGTCGTGACTGACTCTGGGGTTGCAGCGCTCATCTTGCTTTATTGGCCAAGGGAGCTGGCATACAGCTTCCGGGTCATGTGGCCAGCAGGACTAAGCCGCTTCTGGTGAACCAGAGCAGCGCACGGAAACGCCGTTTACCATCCCGCCGGAGCGGTACCTATTTATCTACTTGCACTTTGACGTGCTTTCAAACTGCTAGGTTGGCAGGAATTTAATAGATGGATAAGGGTAAAAGATGCAGCAAAGCTGATCTTGAACATGTAACCCAGGGAGGGAGGGAGGTTTGAAGGTTCAAAAGAACATTGTATTTTAATATTTGAAACGGTTAAGCTAAAATGTATAAATTAGTGAAAAAACCAATACAAAATTATTATTTTTTTAAAGTGCCTATGCTAGTGGAACTGTTTGGATACTCCCATTATCCTTTGGAACTGCGGCACACTTGACTGCCTGAGTGCAAGGCATGCAATGCAAGATGTGCCACATGAATGACACACACACACAAATGGCTGCCGTCTGCCTGGACGCAAGGACCGTGGAAGGGTCAGCCCCTGTGGTCTTGGATTGTGGCAAAGAGCAGCCATGCAGGTGACAGCCGCTCTAATGCACATGCGCAGACTCTGGGATGCTCAAAGGGAGCCTGGCGTGAGTGACGGCTGCTCTGCGCCAACCAGTGTCCTCTGCGCATCATCCGGGTGGGGAGCAAAATCCAAAGCCTTGTGTTGAGTTTTGGGGGTCAAATTTGTGAGAATATCCTTCCAGTTTCTACTGCATAAGAAGTCAGCCACAGGGTGTTCGCTCACTAGTTAAGGCTGCAGTTCTATAAATGTCCCTGGGAAATAAAGGATTTCTGTCTTGGGGCTGGGCTTTGAAGGGCCAGCTTCTCTTTTCTCTGGGTCTGCAAAGCCTGTGTCTGAATTACAGGTTGTCCTTCACACCTGACATGACGTGTGTGTGTGAGGTCAGCAGGTGGAACTCATGAAACTTCCTGTCCAAAGCGCAAATGGCCCAGCGCAGGCCCCCCACTGACTCACCACATTAAGATGCTTGTAGGTAACATTGAGGGAGTAGATTTCTCTTGGGAGGAACTTTTTGGTATATTCTACAGGTGCTTCTGCCGTTGAGATGATCTTTATAGCAACCTGGGAGAAGAGAAAGCAGAGTTTGAAGGTGGAGCTCAAGGAAGCGTGTGTGAGTTGAGCCATTCTGCCTTTGCCTGCAAGGGCAACTTCCTGGTGGGAGCCACTTCCTGCGTCAGCCCAGCACAATGGAAGCCCACCGGTGTCTGTGGGCAGGTGAGGATCTGCTGTACAAGGCCATCTCTAGGGAGCAGGTTTGTCCCAAACTTCTTAATCCAGGAAGCAGATCTTCCTGGCTGGACTCCATTCACAACACTCCATTCTCCCTGTGGGGAAATCTCCCTACGGGTGAGTGATCCTCCCAGGCTGGCCTGGCATTCACTGCACCAAGATGCCCTGTCTTGGGGTGAAGGCAGGCAGGCAGCGAACCATCCAGACGCCCACCCTTGCACAGTTGCCTTCAGTCTGGCGTGTGGAGGTGTTTGTATGGGGGAAAGGGGAGAATGTTGCCACAAAGCATAGAGACGCAACCCATGATGAGAGATGCACACACAACAAGTTGGTCAAGTCAGGGCAAAGGAAGGAAGGAAGATAGGCTGGGGAAATGTGACAATTTCCAGGTGTCTTTTGAATTATTCGCTTGCTTGTGGGCTGCCCAAGGGCATGGACTTGACCCAGGGTCAGCGACCACAGCTAGCATCCTTGGGCAGAGGCGGGTGCCCAGAATCCTGCCAGAGCCCACTCATGGTGCCGCTCCTGGGCATCCCTTTCGGACCCAGCAGTCCAATTTGTTCTGGATGGGCCGGAGCTAGCATCCCACGGTATCTAGGTTCTACGTCCACTGCAGGAGGAAGTTATTGTGCCCCTGAATGCCAGTCGCTGGAGAGCACAAGCCAGGCGTGTGTTGCTGCTGTGCTCAGAAACGGCTTGTGGGCTTCCCATAATGGTCACCTTGGTTGGCCCCTGTGAGAAGAGGGTGGTGGGCTGGACGGTGGGCTTGGCCGGACCCAGCAGGCCAATGCTTGCTGTAGGAACTGTGGCAAGCAGAGTGGGCAGTTCCACAACAGAGCCTGAAAGAGGCTTCTTGGGGGGCACGGGAGCCAGCCAAGCCGTGGCGAGTCTTCTGCTGGGCAAGACTCTTTCCTGGTGCCCCCACCCGCTGGCACTCCCCACCTCCCTCCCTCCCAGCCCTGCTCTTGTGCCCACCATGGAGTGCCGCTTGCTCCTGAGGTCTGAGGCCAGCTTGTAGTTCTGCATCATTTTCTCTTGGGTGGCATAACCCAGGTAGACTTTGGAGAAGGCTCCCGAGCCTATCTTCTTGGAAGAGAGGAGGTAGCCATTTTCCTTGCTTTCCCGAACCTGTTCCAGGAACGTCCTCCTGTCCGCCTCGCGCTTAGAGAAGCTCTTCATGGCCCGTGGCTCTCTCTCTCGGGAGGGCGGCAAGGAGGACCCTCTCTTGCGACAGGCCAAGGGGCAGGGGCTGCACCCAGGCGCGCAGGAAACTCCAGAGGAACCAGAGTCCAGACAAACACATCAGCTCTACAAGGCAGGGAAAGCACCCCAGTGGCGGCCTCTCTCTCGCCCTTAGCACGGCCCCCTTCGCATCTTTTGAGTGGTTTGGCTGCCACTGGCCGAGCACAGGGAAGGGCAAGACCAGAGAGTCCTTGTTGCTATTCAGATGCAGAAGTTTCCACAGTGACGGGGGCGGAACAAGCATTCCAGAGGCAGAGTTCTAGAACCGAGGCGTAACAAGCAGTTTTAGAACCTACGGCCTCGGGGAGGGGGGCAGGCGCTGCCCTGCGTCACTCCCACCGGGGTCCCCATAGGCAGCAGCCACCAAGGGCACAGGCAGCGGCAAGCCCATCACTGCTTCACAACACGCAGGGCTGCTTCTCAGGTGGGCAATCGCAGAAGCCAGGTGAGTTGTGGGCATGCGGCTGGGGTTGTTTGGCTTGAGTTATTGTTATTGCCAAGAAAGGACGGTTGGCAATGAGTGGCCCAGTGAGCCTGGCCACTGAAAGAGGATTTGAACTCTCCTGATTCCTGTGGCCACGGTTCAGTGACGGAGGGCCTGCTTGGCATGCGGAAGGTCTCCGTCTTGGTTCCTGGCATTTCTAGGGAGGCCTGGTAAAGAATCCTGCCTGAAACCCGGAGAGCTGTTGCCAGTCAGTGTAGGCAATACTGGCGTCAATGAACCAAGGGCCTGAGGCAGCTCCCTATATTCTCAGTCCAGCTCTCGCACCACCCTGGAGGGCCTGGAGCAGCAAACAAAACTGACGCATTCACAGCAGGTGCCAAGCCTCCCCAGCTTCTGTGACTTTGGCAGCCAAAATCATGTCCCTATCCAGTCGCAGCCTTGTGCGACGACAGAATATAGATCATCCCTGAAGCGAGGAGCCGTGAGGATCAGTGGAATCATTTCCAAGCCGCTCCAGCAGGTGGCACAGAGGTCCTTCCCGGCCTCTTCTCTGGGAGCGCTCCTGGACAGAGGCTGGTCCACAGCAATCTTGCAGCACTGGATATATTTCTCCTCCTTCCTCTCTTGCTCCTGTAGCAGCAAGCAGGCAGGACAGCCAAACCCTCCCTGCAGGAACGAAAACGGGGGGTCAAGAAGGAAGGCAAGACTCCTCTTGCTGTGGGCGAGTTAGCAATAGATCTGAAGTCTAATAGCTCTGATCGGGTCCCACCTTCCCTTGGCAAGGTAAGCCCCCCACTCTCTTCTCTGGGGCTGGAAGATGCCTCTTGACAGAAACTTGGCTTATGGAGATAACAGACTCTGAACACGGCTCAAGGATGGCAACCGGCACTTACTAACTGGCAGATTCAGTGGGCATCCCAGTAGAACCTGTGTGCTGATGCCATCTCCTCCTGGAAGCAGGTGCCATCAGCTGAAGCTCCCTCTTGCTTAGAGGTTGGTGAAAAACAGTCGCACGCTTTTGCTTCAGGCAGAAATCCCAAGTAAGAACAAGTGTTTGATCTTTGTGTCAGATAGCAATCTCGGTCAGCACCGAGGATCCAGTGACAAGATGGATCAAATATATTGGAGAGATCCCTGCTGGGATCTGATCTACCAGCGCTTGTTGGCTGGGGGGTTGGGGGTTGGGGAAGGGCAGGCTCAGAATACGGACACCACAAGAAGAAAAGTGGTCCACGGATCACAGTAATTCACGTGGCCTGCAGCATGTCTGCTTTAAACCTTCAAATGGATTTCCAATTCTATTTTATTGCTTCTTTTTAAACTTATATAGTCTCTTACTGTATTACAAGCTGGATTTTGCCTGTGGGCTTTCTGGGGCACCTACTTGCCCACTGCAGGGAACAGGAGGCCGAACCAAGGGGTCTTGGGAACAGAGGAAGCTGCTCTGTAACCAGTCAGACCTTGCTGGGTCTGTGATCCAGCTCAGTAAGGTAAAGGGACCCCTGACCATTAGGTCCAGTTGCGGATGACTCTGGGGTTGCGGCGCTCATCTCGCTTTATTGGCCGAGGGAGCCGGCGTACAGCTTCCGGGTCATGTGGCCAGCAGGACTAAGCCGCTTCTGGCGAACCAGAGCAGCGCACGGAAACACCGTTTACCTTCCCGCCAGAGTGGTACCTATTTATCTACTTGCTCTTTGACGTGCTTTTGAACTGCTAGGTTGGCAGGAGCAGGGACCGAGGAATGGGAGCTCACCCCGTGGCGGGGATTTGAACTGCTGACCTTCTGATCGGCAAGTCCTAGGCTCTGTGGTTTAACCCACAGCCCCACCCGCGTCCGATCCAGCTCAGTATTATATTCTATACTGACTTGCAGCAATGGCTCTCCAGCATTTCTGGTCCAGGGAAGATGCCATTGAGGGCCAAACATGGGGCTGCCTGCACTCCCTGAACTGCAACTGTCTTCTTAGCTTTTATTTATTGAAAGTGTGGATGCCAGGGAGTGAATGTGGGACCTTCTGCATCCAAGACAAATCCTCTGCCACCGAGCGCCAACCCTATTCTTCTTAGACCATGTTCTTATTTGTTAAACAGCGCAGGGGAAGTTCACCTCTTTGCCACTCTTTAGCCACCTTCGAGTGTAACGGCAGTTGAACGTGATTTTAAGCATGCTTCCTAAGTAACTTCTCTGGCGTGTGGGGATGAGGAAGGGAGCCTTTCTGAAGTGGCTATGTGGAGGAATCAAAGCATCCATTCGTTCGTTAAGTTTCCTTTGCAAAAAAGGAAAAAGCCGGAGGATTTGTGGGGGGAGGCTGAAATGTATTTCCTAGCGATGTGTGCAATGTGGTTCTTCCAGAAAGGCAGAATGACTTTATTTTATGGTCGGACTGAATGGTAGGATGACGGTGTATAGTTTTAACTTATTCCAGAGATGCTGAACGTACTCTTCTGGGTTCTGAACTGTACCCAAGACTGGAGCTCACTGGATTTTGCAAGCATGTGCTGAATCATGAGTAAAATGTTCAAAAATATGGCCAGAGGAGCTGTTACTCCCTACTGTGGCACTAAGGCAAGGGTTTTAGTTTCATGGCGCCTTTGCCAGGCAAAAAGTTTGTGCATCAGCCCAGGGATGTTGTCCTTTTTGTGAGAATTCCCATCTTTACGAGGGCTGCCCAGTGCCAACCCCTGTGCTGCCGGCTCCATCTCTGCTGAGTGGGGACATCACTGAGCAGCCAGGCTGGTCCGTCTGGGGCCTAGAAGTGGCCCCTGGACTAAAGGGGACCCTGTCCATGGCCTCTGTCTTTCTGGGGAGACCATGGAGGAGGAGGGGGCCTTTGGAGTGTAGGGGGGAACCTACCACATCTTTGAAGCATCAGCAAAAGAGTGTCGTGACCCTCTTTTCTTTTTAAGAGCTTAACACGTGTCCTTGACTTTGTTGCGTTCTCTCGGGGTGCGATGTACGTGGGGAGTGGAAGGCCACCGCCAAGGAAGGCTCTGCCCCCTGGAGGGGCTTCCCTCTGGGAAATGGGGACAGGGCAGCCCAGCCACCACTGCTTTCCCTGCCCCTTCTGGGGGAGGGGAGGAGGAAGGAGACTCCGGCCAGGCCTCCCCTCCCCTGGCACTGGCTTGCCTGAGGAGACCAGCGCCAAAGTCGCTCTGGAGTCCAAGTGGGAACCAGAAGCGCCTTGATGGGGCTTGAACCTGATTCAGGGCTTGAGGAATTTTTTGTGACTGTCACCTTTTAAGCTTTTTTGCGTGCCGCCTCAAGCCCCAGCCTGGCTAATAATAATAATAAGGGACCCCTGACCATGAGGTCCAGTCGTGGCCGACTCTGGGGTTGCGGCACACATCTCGCTTTATTGGCCAAGGGAGGCGGCGCACGGAAACGCCGTTTTCCTTCCCACTGGAGCGGTACCTATTTATCTACTTGACTTTGACGTGCTTTCGAACTGCTAGGTTGGCAGGAGCAGGGACCTGGCAATGGGAGCTCACCATATATATAAAAATTATATATATATATATATATATAATATAAATAATATATATATAAAAATATTAAGAAATATATATATTAGCCAGGCTGGGGCTCCAGACGGCTCACGCAAAAAAATTAAAAAATATATATGCATGCTTATTTGCATGCCTCTGGGCGGCCTCCATCCCAGCCAAGGGTTTCCTCCGAGCTCCCCTTCCTCCGGACTGGCCTTGTCCTTACAGGCGTGGCCAAGCTTGGCCCTCCAGCTGCTTTGGGACTACAACTCCCATCATCCCTGGCTAACAGGACCAGCGGTCAGGGTTGATGGGAATTGTAGTTTGGCCCCGCCAGGGGGCGGTGTCTCCTCAGTGACGGGCGTCCTTCTCCGCCAATGGCTTTAGGAGACCGAGGCGTTTCCTCGCAAACCGCCGCGCGGGCACCTTCGGGCTACGTTATGCGGGGCGGACCAATAGAGAGCGCGACGGGGGTCTGCTATCCAATGGCGAAAGGGAAGGGGCGGCGCCTCCCTCCGCATCGCTCGTCACGAGACAAGGCGGCGGCGGGGCGGGGCAGCTACTCCTCACTGCGCACGCGCCCATTTCTCTGCCTTACGAGGAAAGGGGCGGAGTCGTGAGAGCGCGCCATAGAGGTAGAAAGCGAAATGAGCGAGCCCTCACTTCCGGTGGGATTGCGGCTGGAGCGGGGCAAGCGGGGCGGAGACGGGGCGCTCGCTTCCCGCTGAGCTCTCCCTTTGTCGTTTCCCCGGGGAGAAAGCGGCTTTTCCCCCGAGAGCGAAGATGCGCCAGCTCGGGCTCAGGTGAGGCTTGGGAAGCCAAAGGCCCGGGACCCGGGTCTCGCGGGGGTTGGGATGGATGACCCTCGGACCCCTTTCCAAGGACTGCCCCGTTTTCCGACCAGGGGCGCCTCTGCTGCCCGCTTCCCTTTCGCTAGCGGCCCTGGCACGTTCCCTGGGGGGCTCCGGACGCAGGAGGTCTGGCTGACCGCGCCGAGACCCGCGGGCCGAGGGATGCCCGGGGGGGCAGGAGGGCTTTCTGCCGCGCTGGGCTCCGAAAGAGCCGCGGGACTCGGGCGCCCCCTCCCGCCCCGACCCCCCCGGGGCCGCTCTTCCTTTCCGGCGTCCTGGAGAAGAGGACCCTCGGCTCGGCTGGCCCGTCCCCGAGCTGCACGGGGGGCATCAAGCGCCCGTCGGGGGCATCCCGGGCCGCCCCTCCTGGCTGTCATTGAAAGAGCCCCCTTGCACCTGTGCCCTTCTCCACCGATTCGACCGGAGCCGCCTCTTTCCTGGGGTGCAATGCGGGGGGGGGGCGCCTCTCGCTCCCACCTGAGCCCGCCCCCGCCCCGGGGTCGAAGGGAACCTCCAGCGCCTGCCTCTCCCCGCTCCTCTAGGGGAAGATCGCCAGGGGCGGGGCCTCTCCCCACGCCACGCCCCCTCCCGCAGGTGAGGGGCGGGGCCTTAAATACCCGGAAGCGCAGGCGGGCAGGTGAGACGCGCAGGGGCGCCGCGGAGGAAGGCGGAGCAGGTAAGGCGGGGGGGGGGCTGCGGCTGCTGCTTCTCCCCCCCCCCCCGCTGCAGCTCCCTCGGCTTCTCCCTCCCTCCTTTCCTGGGCAGCCGGCGGAGGGACCCAGGTGTCCGGGGGGGGGGGGGGGCTCAGCGGCCTCCTCCTCCCCCCGAGCTTTTCGGGGCTCCCGTCCGCTCGGGGTCTCCGGAGACCCGCCTGCCCCTTTCTCCCCCTCCGCCCGGGCCGGGGCTCTTCCAGGGCGCGGCTGGTGCCTGGAGTGGGAGGGGGCGCGGGAAGGGAGAAGCCTCTGCCCCCCCTTCCGTCGCCCCGATCCGCCTCCTCCGCCGCCTGCTCGCTCGCTCGGCGCCCCGAGCCTGGACGGCGCGTCTCCGGGCTTCCCCTTCCCGGGTTCTGCTTTGCAGCTGCAAATTCTCTTCTGCGCCCTCCTCTCCTCTTGCATCCCTTGCATCCCCCGACTGCTCCGTGCATTGAAAGAGCCCTCCAGAAAGGGGCATTTTCTCCTTCCGTCCTCAAGGTTGCCATGTCTGCGGCGTCCTGCCTTCCCGAGCCCTGGTTTTGGAGTCTGCTGCTGCTGCTGCAGCAGCAAAGGCAAGAGGAGGCCGTGGTGCCCCTGGCAGGCTGGCCGGCTTAGGGCAGCTTTGGGGGACTGGGGTCCAGCTCCTCAGATGCAGGAAGAGTTTATCCTCCACCACAAGCAGCTGTAGTGTTTGAGCTGCCGCTTTTAGAGGTCTCCGCCTCTAAAGTCCTTGGAAATTGCTTGAGACTTGAAGCCTTGGTGTCGGCGGCTTTTGCAAGGGTTTTTCTCTGGGGTTTTCCTCACCTGCTGGGCTCCCGCTACATTCAGAATGCAGCCTGGGATTTGTTTGGGGGGCTGTGATAAATCTCGGGTTCTCCTAAAATTCTTTCTGGAGGACTGTTGGGTCTTGCCATTCCTTGAGCCAGAGGCCAGTTAAATGGTGCTCTGCTTTGAAACAGGTTTCAGTGCTCACACCCCTCTCTAATCCCAGATGCAGGGGCCGATTGCTGAGTGTGGCGGAGAAGCTCTCCTGCCTTCCGGATAAGCTCTTGCGCCATTTCTGGGCTTGGCTGTGCAGGGGCGGAGAGGGTGAAGCGGCTGCTGAGTGAAGCCACCGATTTTACAACTTCTAAAGTTGTTATCTATGTTCTATCACCTATGCTCTATCAGCCAGGGAGGTTAGGGCAAATAATTTAAACCAACTAGCTATTAATTGTCAAGAGGATTCTTGACAATTACACAATCTGTATGCAACTCCTATCTGTCGTGGCTTCATTGTACGTCTAGTGTCTGTCTGTGTCATGCATGATGACAGGACCTTGGGCTAGTTTGATGGATGGACTGCAGGCGCTGAATGGGCTTTGGCTTTGTCTGTTTGACGGAGAAGGCAGTGGACTAGTGGGAGAGTTTGCTTCCTTGCCATTTGGGTCCCGTATGTTTAGTTTCTGCTGAAAGCATCTCTTGTGTCTTTTTTCATAGCGGGGTTGAACCTGGATAAGGGAGAAGGGGGCATCTCCTCATTACTCTGTTTACTTACCTGTTTAGGGAAGCTCTTAATGTTTGATGCATTACTGTATTTTAATATTTTGTTGGAAGCCTCCCAGAGTGGCTGGGAAAGCCCAGCCAGATGGGCGGGGTATAAATAATAAATTATTATTATTATTATTACTCGTGGAGCTCCTCTTGTAGGGGTGACGTACGAATTCAAAGTGTCTGAGGAAGGGAAATCTTTGGAGACTTCAGGTTCCAAATATTGCTAATTGTGTGGCTTGTTTGGTTGCCTCTCTGATGTGCGCCAGGATTGTGTTTTGACTTCTGGTTTTAGCTGTGCATGCTGCCTTCAGTGGACACCCTGGTCCAGAAAGGCACCGCCTCTGTGTCTCTCGTTTTTCAAACCCCTCTCTTTCCCAGCAATATTGATGCAGCTGAATCCCTGTGAGCTTGCTTGGCCCATAAGTTACTTCTGCTTCTCCTGCCTCAATGAAACCCTTTGAGATTCCAGCATGAATAGATGTGAGCATGAAGAGCATGCGTTAAGACCTGTCTTAAGAGCTTTTGTCGTTTTCACAGGCCAGGCAAGAAAGAAGGAAGCGGCTTCAGAACCCAGTGCCCTCCTGCGTGTTCTTCTCGGACATTCACTTTGAAAGGATGAGGGAGCTGGAGGCAACCATTGTTACCTGCCATCTGGAAATGGCCAGAGATCTGGAGACATAGAGAGAGCTCCTCTGCTGCTTGTTTGTTGTCTCTCTGGAACTGGGAATTGGCTCACTGGGGGCTTCCCAACCCCGACCCTTCCTTGAGCCTCAGAAGATGAACTCTGGCCCTTCCAGCTCTGGAGCTGAGCAGTGACTCTTAGCCTTTGCTCCCAGACTACGAGAGGCATTTGCCCGGGAGCGTGTCCTCCTCCGGCATCAAAATAGGGTCTTCTGGAACCTCACACTTTGGGCAGCAGGACTCGGTTCACTGGGCTGGAAACCCAAAGACAAGGAAGATGTCTGAGTCACGGGTGAAACGTAAGTACGGCAGGACCATGGAAGGCAGGACTGGTGTGTCTCTCTGTGTGTGTATTTGTGTGTAAGTAAAAGGCTCTGGCTGGAAGGAGGGGTTGAGGGCAATTTTTCCAAAGCCAATACCGCTTTTAGGTGCTTCAGAGGTTACTGAAGCCTTCAGCTTGCAGCCATTGGTCTTGGTCTTAGTGGAATTGCATGGGGCAGTCATCTGCCTTCCCCACAAACTCCAGTTTAAGGTTTTCTTGCCTAACTAGACTTGGTCAGGGCAAAAGTAACTGCTTCCAGTTTTAGATTCCTAGCCCCCCCCCATGCATTTACAACAGAGTCAGGTTTCTCTCGTGCCCCAAGTGGAAACTGTGAATGGTTTCTGGTTGCACTTTGACTAGTGATTCGCCAGCGCTGTTAACAGCCGGGAACATCCCCAGTCCCCACCTGCTTGCTGGGCCCAGTGGTCTTGGAGTGTGGATAAGGAGACCGTTTTCTGGTGGCTTCCTGGGGCTCCTGCTGAGCCAGAAGGAGAAGCCTGAGCCCAATGCCAGGCTAAGGGCCAGGGCTCAGTGGCACAGCATCAGCCTGGCAGAAAGGTGGCCCCATGTTCAGTCTGAAAGACTGCATTCCTTCCTACGAACCTGCCCAGATTCCTGGGGGAGGGCCCTTCTCCCTCACAGGCCACTCTGGATCAGGCCTTGGGAGACGGCCTTCTTTGTGGCTGCCCCCAGAGAACTATGGAACTCCCTTCTGAGGGAAGCCAGGCTGGCTCCCTCCTTGCTGTCCTTCCCTCGGCAGGTGAAGACTTTTTAAAAAAAATTCCCCCAGGCCTTCAGGAACTGATTGTTTTTGAGGAAAGGACTGGTGCCGTGGTATTTTTATTGTTGTGTTTTTAATTGATCCTTTTAGCTTTTTTTAATCTATTAATGTTTAATCACATTTTAATGATGGTCTTCTCTGTGATTCTACCTTTTTCTGTTTTATCTGTGTAAGCCACCTGGACTGGGGAGAAGGCAGCACATCACTATTAACCATCCTCCTTGCACCCATCGCCAAGTAGGGCAGGGGGAGAACGCTGCCCAAAACCTGCAGAGCCACTGCTGCCAGTCTGTGTGGACAATATGGAGCCAGATGGGCCTCACTCTGTATAAGGCAGCTTCCTAGGCAGCCAGAGCAACGGTTGAAGGAGGGAGGAGAAAGCAGGTTGTAGCTCTGTTTGCAGGAAGAATCTGATATGCCAAGGTGACTCTCGCCTATCAGTTTCCAGGCCAAGAGGCCTGGAAGTTTGATAGGTGAGGATCTCTAAAGGGGCAGTTCAGGTGGGTTTGGACTGAGTTTATGTTGACCAGGGCTGCACCTCCTGACACAAACCACTTCTTCTGGCTGAAATTTCTCCCTAACCCATAGATTGGAAATTGCCTTGACCTGCTACATATTATTCTTGGCTTCCTTCCTGCACCCGCAACTCTTCTGAGATTGCAAAGGGAAGCTTTTTAATGTAGCCTCACTGAAGTTAATGGCTTCAATAAGTCGGCTAATTAACTTTGGGACTCCTGCAAGGATGGCGTCTCAGGGGTGCGAGATTCCTGACTTGCTTCCCCTTTATACACACAGGCAAATTTTACAGCTGCATGAGATTTCTCTTGCTTATGCATTGCAGAATGCTGTCCATCTGGGCAGAATCCACCCCCCCCAAAAAAAGCATTCTGCCCCTTTAGTACTTTTTAGCAGTAGAGGAGAGGGATCCAGCAGCTGAGAGAGTGAATAAAATATGATAGAAAATAAATTGACCAGGCTAGCAGAACGATTCGCGTTTCATAATGCAGTCTGGCCAGCCTGCCTGTGCACTTGTCTTCCCCGTTAATGCAGAGCAAATATGCTTTGAGATCGCTGTAGAGCCGGCAGCACGTCAGGGAACCCTTATTCCGTATGCAGAAGGCGTCGGCCTTTGCATTTTCTACTTAGGAATAGACTAGAACGTGGCAGATTCATGCAGAAGAGCTTTTGCTGCGCAGCAATATTCCTGTTGCGAAGCTGGTGGGAAAGCAGGATTCGGCCTCCTGGTCATTGTGGAAGGTGGCTGGAGGCTTGAAAGCAGCTGCCGAACGTGCCCGGGTTAGGCGGTCCCTCGGGGCACCACCTCTGGGTCATCTTGAGAGTCAAAATGCCCTTTGAAAGGGACCCGTGTCTCCCGCAGGGGGTGGAGGCAGACAGATCATTCTTGCCTGTGGATTTGACTTTTGGTAGAATGATCAGACGGACGGAAGTACCACATTTTTGCATGTTTTTGCTGCATTCTTTCTTAAGCCAATTTAGGCCAAAGGTGGCCAAAATTTGTGTGAGAAGATGGAAGGTACCCTCATGGTCACGGAAAGCCTTTTAATGAAGTTTGGTTCCTGAGATGCCACATTCTGTGACAGACTTCCAGTGGCGTTCCATGGCGGACCCCTCCGTGTCTGCCATGGCTCATGTGCTAAGTGGCCGTGGATGTTTGCCACGTAGCTCCGAAAGGGGTTTGCTTTGTTCAGCCTTTCCTGCGCTGCAGCCAAGATGTGCAGCCTCTGCAGAGCACACAAGAGGCTTCCTGCTCCTGGCTGAGCTTCTTAGCACCTCCAACCTTTAGCAATGATAATCATGCAGCTAATTTCATCTTCTGTGCAGCACACAATCTCCCTCCGGGAGCAACGGGAGCCCCCTGGGTCAGACAAAAGGTCTCTCTAGGCCAGCCTTCTGGGTCTCGCAGTGGCCCGCTAGATGCTTCCAAGGGGGCAGCCCACAAGTGCGGCCCCATTCCACTTGCTTTGATTCCTGTTCAGAGGCCTGCGACAGAGCCACAACAAGATCACAACTCCCATCATCCCTGACTCTTGCTGTGGCTGCTGGGGTTGGAGCCCAGGGCTCCCCAGAGAGCCACCGAAGGTTCCCTGCCCCTGTGCTGTAAGGGCCAGTGGGCTTCAAGGGGCGCTTTGCCCCATCGTCCCCATGCAGGATTTGGCCACGCTCTGCCAGTGCAGACACCAGCACCATCTCAGCCCCTGTTTAGTCTGGATTGTTTTATTTGATGTTTTAATATCTGGTAAACCGCTCTGAGATCTTTTTTCTTTAAAATCTGTACGGTATAGAAATGAGAAGAAAATTACTGTATTTTTCACTCTATAACACGCACCCGACCATAACATGCACATAGCTTTTAGAGGAGGAAAATCCGTAGGCATGCCACCCGTAGGCATTCCCTCCATAACACGCACAGACATTTCCCCTTACTTTCTAGGAGGAAAAAAGTGAGTGTTATGGTGCAAAAAATACAGTAATCATCACCGTCCTCTCCAGTACCCGGTGCCTTTCATCCTTCTCCCAGGGAGCAGGAATGCTCCTCTTACCAGCATCCCATCGTGTTCCTCGTGTGCTGATTAGGAGGCAGCGCAGAGAATACTAAGCGGCTTGGCAGTCGCCTCACTGCCCAGGGACTGTCCTGGAGGGCTGCTGTCGTCATGGTCCTCTTGTGAGGCCAAGGAGGCTTGTGGAGAGCTCTCTGCGCCCTCTTGAGTGCCACAGTGGCCCCCGGAGTGGTCTGTGCCTGGAGCCAAAGGGCTCCTTGACATTGGCCGGGCCCTGGCAGGCTCTTCAAAGAGCAAAGGAGTCCAGCCGTGCATGCTCTGGGCTTCCCTTCGCGTACTTTCTTTCGTGGACGCACAGGCAGCAGAAGAGCTGGGTGGGAGCTGGTGAGGCTGACGGTGAGAGGACCCCAAGGGCTGATGAGAGGAGGTGGTGGCGAATTCTGGGTGCTCAGAGTGCCTGGTGGAAGAATGGAATATTTTCTAGGGCGCTCTTAAGTCTTTGTACAGAGCACCTAGCTAGGACGGTGGCGTCTCAAGCAGGGTGGGCCCAGGTGCGTAGCCGGGTCTCTGGGAAGATGGAGTGAAGCCTCCAGGCCAAAGCCGTTCCCCTTTGCTCCTCGCCTCGTTCTGCAGCTTGGGGCTCCAAGACTCGGGCAGCTCGGCAGTTTGTCTGCTGCAGCCTGTCCTGCTCCCAGTTGACCTTGACCACTTTCTGTATTCATTAAAAAAACACACAATTCTGGATCTTTCCATGGAGCCTCAATGCATTTATTTTTTACTCCTATGTCCTTCTTTTCTGTGGTAGGATCAAACTTAAAGAGGCTTAACAATAAAAAAGACACATCAATGAAGATAAGTATGGCCCCCGCAGTATAAAGCATAAACAGGAAAACATTGCCCACAGCAAGAGAGGAGGGTGTCTTGCACACATAATAATAATAATAATAATAATAATAATAATAATAATAATTTTATTATTTATACCCCGCCCATCTGACTGGGTTTCCCCAGCCACTCTGGGCGGCTCCCAATCGAATGTTAAAAACAATACATGGTGTTAGGAGATCTCTTGAATCCAAAGATGCCTTTTAGACCGCAAGGCCAGGCGATAAAGGCAGAAACCTGTTTTCTTTCCAATAACCCACAACTTTAACCCTTCTCCTCTCTCTTTAATCAGCTGCATCTCTCTCCAGCAGGAATCTTCTGCCAGCAAGGCAGGAATCCTAGGGGGCAGGTGTTGCCTTCCCAAACCTGAGAGCTGTGTGCCAGAGACGAGGGTCGGGTTTGGGGGTGCTGTGCTAACCAAGAGGCCACATTTGCACAAATCCAGGTGGAAGCCCAGGGTTGGGGAGCTCCGTCAGTGGGGCAGAGGCCTCTGGCTCCCTGAGAGGAAAGAAGGAAGGAAGGAAGGAGCCAAGATGGTCGCTCCTGGCTCTGTCAACACAACAGCAGCACCAACAGGACTCCTTGAGGGGTGGGCACAGGCAGGGCCCATGGAATGAGCCTGGCAGAAGCACATAGGATAGGATATCTTTATTTTATTTTTTAAAAAACTTTTATTAGGTAATTCAACAAAACATACTATCTTAAAACATGTCATCCTTAATTTCCCCCCTCATTTCCCCCCCTCCCCCCCATAAACAACCCGCTCCCCCCCCCCCCGGACTTCCCTCAGTTCCAATCTCTGGTCTCTATTAATGCTATTCTCTGCACGTTACAGAATTGTATAAGTCCTTAATTTACCTAACTAATTCTTATCAATAAAAATTTTGTGAGTGTTTATTCAAAGCCTGCCAAGGAGTCCAGTTCACTTTGTTGCGTCTTTAGGTACTATGTAAAAGATTCCCATTCCTCTTTAAAGTCACAGTTATCCTTGTCCCATAGTGTATGTGTCAATTTTGCCAGTTCTGCATAGTCCATCAGTTTTTCTTGCCATAATTCTTTAGTCGGGGTTTCCTCAGTCTTCCGTCCTTGTGCTATTAAGACTCTTGCCGCTGCTGTTGCAGACATGAAGATGTTTTTCACGATACGATATCTTTATTGTCATTGTCCCATACAGAACAATGAAATTGAAAAATCTACATAAAACATTCAGAAACCCCTAAAACCTCTGAAACCCCATTTTAAAATACAATATACTCCAATAGAGACTCCTTATACTGTGTTTAAAACCAGAGGAGGGTGCCTGTCTCAACCCCTGGATGGCTGCGAGGTGGTGGGAAATGCTGTAATGGAAATGCTTGTGGACCTCCCTCTCCAGCCTTCGCTTCCTTCTGTCTCTTCTTCAGGGCTGGCCATGACCCTGATGGATGCCACAACAGATAAAGACCCTCTGGTCCACGAGCAAATATTTAGCGCTCTGTGCTACCTGGGAGGAGCCGAGCCGGAGGAGATCTTGAACGCCTGCGAGGAGTACCTGCGGCAGCACGACAAGGTGAGGCAGGGCAGTCCTGGCTGCTTGGTTGGCTCTGGCCGAATGGCACAGAATCGTGAAGTTGGATGGGGCCCCTGCGATGCCTGTGGCGCATGGAGAGAGCCTCTTGGCGCATGGAAGCAGGAGAGGGAGGCTGACTGCGCTTTGGGCTGAGGGGGAGAGAGAGCAGGAGGGATTGAGGTCAAAATGATCCCTGCTCATTGCCAAAAGCTTCTCCTCCTTCCCCACCCAATATTGAAGACATCTGGGTTTTTTATTTTTATTTTTGCTGCTGCTTTAAGTGCTAGAAAACTCACCTTTAGAATCGGGATTCTGGTGCCAGGGAACCTCTGTTGGTTATTTGCAGATTAGTTGCACTGTAGAAGGTGTGCTGGGGAGACCACACATTCAAGAAACGCAAAATAACATTTGCTAGGTTTTAATAACAAAAACTCCTTTTACACTAAATTACATTATATCAATAAGTGTGACCCATCTGTGCTGCTCCTTTTATACTATACCCAACAGCTTAATTACCACAACTTAACAGCACCTGCTATACTGCTTCACAGCTGTAAAACTAGGTCATGTTGCTGTGGCCTTTAAAGAAATACACATCTTGCGAAACAATAATGAACCTTAATAGTTAAAGAAACCATTCAACAACCTCGTGGTGGATTGTGCCCCATATTGGGGGGGGGGGGAAGGCACAAGTGACCCTGGATTTTTGGCCTGGAGTGCAGGGCTGTTCCGGGCAGCCCCTGACCCCCGTCTCCTCCTACCCCCTTTCCAGCTGGCTTACCCGCATCGCATCATCATCCTGAGGGCCATGGAGGCGGTGGTGAGGAGCAACCTGGCTCAGCTGGACAAGAGCACAGCCAAGATCGTCATCTTCTTGGCCTCCAACGAGATGACCAAGTCGAAGGTACAGGGAGCGCTGCTTCTTCGCTCGGGGGCCTGGCTGGAGGGGGCTTTCCCAGGTTGCGGAGATGCCTGCAAGCTGCTCTGGGCACGCAGACCAACCACCTTCTGCGGACCTGGGATTTCTCCTCTGGCTCTTGGCATGCCCTGGTATGTCCCGTGGAGGACCTTAAGGTCCACAAATGACAATATTCTGGAGGTCCCAGGTCGCAAGGTGGTTAGGTTGGTCTCAACCAGAGGCAGGGCCTTTTCAGTACTGGCCCCGACTTGGTGGAACACTCTGTCCCAAAAGACCAGGGCCCTGTGGGACTTGACATCTTTCCGCAGGGCCTGCAAGACAGAGCTGTTCCGCCTGGCCTTTGGTTTGGATTCACTCTGACCCTTATGTTTCCCTCCCCTTAGGCTCTGGCTGGGGAGTGCGGGGTATAAATAAAATTTATTATTATTATTATTAATAATAATAATAATAAATGACCTCTGGCTGCCTTTGAGCCACGACAGACCCGCCTGTGGGTGCTCCCTGGTCCTCCTGCCTGCCCCATGGGGCGCCCGGGCACGAGGGGGGCAGGCCCATGTTGCAGCTGAGGCCTCTTCTTCCCCTTTGCTCCAGGAGATCATCTTTGAGTGGCAGCAGGCGGCCAGCAATGTCCTGGTGGCAGTTGGCAGGCGCTTCATCAACAAGGTGATGGAGGAGGTGCTGACCAAGTTCCAGCCTGGAATCCTGCCCCATTACTTCATTGTGCAGACGTTCGCCAACCTCTCCATGACCAACGGTCAGTGGTTCTCTCCTCTGCCCCCCCCCCCAAATCCCTAGCAGTTCTGTCCCCCTGGAGAGGAGAGGAGCCAGGACACGAATGGGTGGTCTGGAACCACGGTGTGGCTAGGAGACCACAGGTGTCCTATGGGGCCAAAGACCAGGTGTGTGGGAGCCCCCTCTGCCCCACCACCAGTTCCCCATAGATTATCCAGGCTGACGCTCTGAGTTCGAGTTCCCCAAAGGACTTGGTTTCATCCAGCTTCCCTCCCTCTCCTCCTCCCTGCCAGTGTTTGGGATGGTGCCGTTCCTGAACTCCATTCTGGGGACCATGCTGCCCATGCTGGGGATGGCCAAGCAGGACAACATGAGGACCGTCTTCTGCTATGGTAAGGTGGCCAGGGCTCTCCCCCTGCTCTCTGGTGGCTCAGGCAGGAGCTGTGGCTCATAGGTGCCCTTGTGCAGGGCTGCATGTGCTCAGCGCTTGGGCAGAAAGGGATCTCAGGCCAAACATCGGAATATGCTCAAGTTGTGTGTGTTCTCCTTCTCTCCATGAAGAGCATTTATCCTTAAGAATAATGGCATCTTCTAAATGCCCCACATTAGCTGTGGCGTTAGATGGCACTCAGTCCCCAGCCATTCCAGAGTTAATCAGTGAGGCTTCTTGCTAACGATGAATATAGGGGCACTCTGGCCATCCATGCCTGAGGGAGTTGGCACCAAACCCAGAAAGCTCCTTGCCTCTGTCTCCTGCAAACCGGACTCTGCTCCTGGCTGTTCTCTTGCAGATTTCTTGCCTGTGTCCATATTAACAGGGCACGGCTAACATTTGTCCCTGGAGGGCTGTGGGTCAAGTCACTGAATGCCCAGGAGCCAATTTTTATTTTATTTAGGATTCTTGGACAGGAAGTGGGATAAATAGGCCTCGCGTTCCATCAGGTAGGAAAGGCACTGTGGCTCCGATTTCTCCGGCTGATTTAGTGGCGTTCTTCGTGTTCTGGACTGCGATGGCCACATTGGGCTCATCCCAAAGCCATGGCTGTTGCCCAAGAACACGCTTGCCTGTGCGTCTCTGTCTTCTGATTAGTGCAAAACTGTCAGAGAATGTGGTGGTGGGACCACATTTACTACTAAACACTGTTGGACTCTCTCTTCTTTAAAATCACTAATTGAAATTGGGGAAAATGTTTGTCCTCTCCCCCTCTTAATGTTTTGACCTTTGAATGCAGGGGTCGGCAAGGCTTAGCATGGGCCTGATCACTCCCGCAGAGATCCTCTGTGGGCCGGGCCGGCGCAGCGCGACGTCGGAAATTGCTTCTGCACTTGCCCAGATGCCAGAAATTGCTCCGACGCAGAAGCAATTTTCGGTGTCTGGGCATGCACTGAAGTGATTTCCGGAGTCGCGGAAGATAGTCCCCGCATCACACTGCGCCGGTTTCGTGCAGCCTGTGGGGACTCGCAGCTCAGTTCGGGGGCGGCTCTTGGGCCAGTTAAACAGCTCTGTGGGCTGCTTCCGGCCCCTGGGCCTTAGGTTGCTGACTTCTGCTTGAATGAATCATGACAAGAACATTTGCACCCATTAACCATACCCATGACTGGCTTCTTAAAAATCAGATTTCCAGCTTTGAGTGTTTAGCCTGTTTATTGTGGTATTAATTTTCACTGACCTCCTTTACATGTACATCTTGTATGTTTGATTTTGTATTAAAACTTTTTTTAAAAGCCAATCTTGGAACTTACCCACACTAACCTTTTGCCCTGCTCTTTCCAGGCATGGGTCCACATTCTAAAGCGCTGTGTCTGAGCGTAGATATTTTTTTGCCCCAGAGCTTTCCGCGTGAAAACCTGCTCTGTAGTGCTCAATCAGAGCAAACATCAGGTTTTTCCCAGATTTCTGTTTGTTCCGATGGAGCTTTAAAGAGCAGGCTTCCGTGGGAAAATCTCCAGAGCCCCCAAAAAGGTGCCCGGACTCGGAGCCTTGAAGCGCAGGGTGTGCCTGGAAAGAGTTGAGGAAAGGGGAGGTGCAGAGAAGCCCCAAACCTCTGTAGAATACGTTGCATGGGGAGGCTGTGCTCAGGACAATTTCTGGAGAAGCTTTTCTTCCTGCTGAGGTCCAGGAATCCTGAGCCCGGCCTTCACATCAAACAGATCCTACACAAGGTGACTAGTCGCAAGGTCTGAGTGATCAGAGGAGGGCGAAGGGTCTCCTGCCCACCCCTCGGACAAAGAGTCTTGAGGGTGGGGCCTGCAGGGGGCAGGCACTGTGCATGTTGAACTTGCAGGCAAGGGGCCTAGATCTTGATAAGGCTGCTGTGCTCTGTCCCTCAGGGAAACTAAAGGGCAGCTGGTAGTTTTGAGCATCATAAGAGCCTGCTTGCTGGATCAGGCCAAAGGGGGTGGGCTGTGCACCCCAGGGCCCAGCCAAGGGGCCATTATGGGAACCCCGCAAGCAGAACAGGAGCTCCACAACCCCCTTCCCTCACTTGGTTGCCCCAGGGACTGCTGGGAGACAAATTTGTGGAGGATAAAAGCGAATTCCTATTTTAAAGCCGTCCAGATGTGCTGAGGGATGACTTGGGGGGCAGTGTGGAGCCACAGCTCGCATGAAATCTGTTCCGTAGCTTTGCAGAACTTCAGCGAGAGCATCCAGGAGTACATGGCGAATCTGGACCAGGCGCCGGACCCGACGGTGAGGCGAGACACCTTCTCCAACGACATCTTCAGCGCTTATGAATTCCTTTTCAACAGCTGGCTGCAGACCCGGGAAACAAAGGTGGGCGAGAGGTTGAGCTAGGGGTCGGGGGTCCCTGGGGAGAGGAGAGCCTTTCCCTCCCCCCGTCTACTGCTCTGGACAAATCTCTGCCGCTGGGCTCTCCTTTTTGGCCCTGTGACTCCTCCACTCACGAGGGCCGGTGTGTCGCGGTCGCCTTCGTTTATAGACTTGCTTTTCCATAGATGACGCTGGAGGCTGGCTCCCAGTCTCTCCCTTGCGCACGCGCCTTGCTCTGTATGTCCTGCAGAGTAAATCGCCCTTCCAGGGTGAGATGCAGCCCCTTTAGAGTACTGGATAAGGAGCAAGCAAGATGGCAGCCATGGCAGGAGGTGGAGCCATTTGGGCAGAAGGATGAAGGATGGGGCCCGGAAGAGCCAGGGACTGTGGACTGGGAGGAATAGGGCATGGGAAGAGAGAGCTTTTGAAATTATCAGGATATATTTTTTCTTTTTTATTGGTTTTCACATATTACTTTACAATACAGATGTGCCAAAGCCAACACCATTTCCTCCCCATCCCCCCATACATTTACATTTCTATTTCCTCAATCCACCATATTATTCTTTTCTCCTTCCTCCCACTTCCCTCCACCCCCACTCGATTTCCTCCACGTTATAAAATTTACAATAATCTTTGCATTCTACAATCTTGTCAAATCATCTATATATTCCTATTATCTTTCCTTACTAATTTTTCTTCCATCCAGTACTTCGCCTTTTAATCTAGGCATATTAGCATATCTTTTATTGAGCAATATTTTGCTATATATTCATCAAAACATTTCCACTCCTTTTTTAATTTTTGATTTGACTGATTTCTTATTATAGCAGTTAATTTTGCCAAAATTCATTCCTCCTTTGTGGGTATAGTTTGTGACTTCCACCTAGCAGCAATGACTATTCTAGTAGCTGTACTTGCATATAGAAAAATTCTCTCCCCCCCGCCCGGTATCTCTTCATCTACCAGTCCAAGGAGATATGTCTCTGGTTTCTTTGTTATTGATATTTTCAACATCTTCTTTAGTTCTTCGTGTACTACTATCCAAAATTTCTTCATTTCCTCACACCTCCACCACATATGTATTGTTGTTCCTATTTCTGCACCACATCTCCAACAGAGGTTGGATTTCAGTTTATATATCTTTGCCAGCTTAGCTGGCGTTAAGTACCCCCTATAGAACATCTTTACAAAATTTTCTTTAATTGTATATGAGGCAGTAAAAAGAAAGAAATTATCAGGATCTCAATTCAACCGGTTCTCTTTGCTGGGGTGGCTTGTTTGGGAGCAACGCTATGACTCCTGTGAGGGCCCAGTAGCTGGCTTTGAAGGCACCATTTAAAAAGGGAGTCGAGTCCGTGTTCTCAGGGTGGTTCCAGGCCCCATCTCACGCGATGCCCATTTCCAGTATGGAGGCCGCTCCCTTCTGCCCTGTGTTGAGGGCAGAGGCCCATTGAGGTCTGCATCCCCAGCCTTCCTTGCTGCAGCAGCAGCAGCAGGGCCGGGTTCAAGGGGCTCTCCCTGGCCAGGATGGGTGGCTCTTGGGGGGGTCTTAGAAGGCCAGTGGCCCTTGTATTATATATGAAAGAACATTGTGAACACCTGGAAACATTTGTGGCTTTGAACTGAAGTGTTTTGTAATGGGAATATAAGAAACTGATTTACATTTAATGAGGGGAAATGTAAAAATAAGAGAGAAGGTAAAAAGGTGGTTATGGAAATGCTAAGAACAAAGCAAAAATATGTACGGAAGTCAGAGAGAGGGGCGGGAGGAGGTCCGTGCTCAGATAGAGTGATGTTTGAGTTTATTGAATTACGTATGGAAACTGTGATTATGATAAAATTGAAAATGCAATAAAAAATTAAATAATAAAAAAATTAGAAGGCCCGTGACACCCCTGCCCCTCTTTGCAGCTTCGACTGGCTGTTGTGGAGGCGCTTGGCCCCATGAGTCACCTGCTGCCTAGTGAGAAGCTGGAGGAGCAGCTCCCTCGCCTCATCCCGGGGATCCTGACCCTCTACAGGAAGCCAGCAGAGGCCTACTATGTGTCCAAGGTAGGCATGGAGAAGGGTCCTGGGGAGAGAGGACAGGGCTTTGCGGGCCTCTGTCCTTGGGCTTTGCTGCCAAAGCTCACCGGTCCTTTAGGCTTCAGCCCTTGCCTTCCCAAGACTTGAGAGGCCAAGCTGCCAAGCGCCCCACTTTCCCAGAGCCCGTCTGGTTTGCGGTCTGGGCGGTCCTGCCAAGACAGGATGCCGAGGAGCCACTCTCCCCTTGGTCTGCCGGTGTGGGGGCCTCACCTGGGTGTGGGGTTGGGGAAGGGCCCTTCTCCCCTGCTGCTTCCCCAGAGGGTGGGGCTGCTAACCTGGGGCTGCGCTGTGTCTCTCCTGCCCTGTGTCCTCCGAGCAGAGCTTGTGCCAGATCCTCGAGGCAGCAGTCAACATCGGCAGCCGCACGCTGGACACGCAGCTGGAAGCCCTGCTCAACGCCCTGCAGCTCCAGGTGGGGAAAGGGGGCCGGGGGACGACGACGACAACCCTTTAAACTCTGCCTCTCCAGCCTAGGCAGGGGCCCTCCAAGTGCTTTGGACCACCCTTCCCATCAGCCCCAGATGGTGCACTGGCTTGCTGCTGCTGGAGAGCAATAGTAATAATAATAATAATAATAATAATAATAATAATAATAATAATAATAAAAAATAATAAAATAATTGAGGCGTTCCCAAAGCAAAGGAAGGATTAGACTCTGATTAATAGAATACACAGGAGGCTTGACCAGCAAGACTCTGGGAGGAGGTGCCAATAATAATAATCCTCTCCACCCCTCGGCCCAGGTTGTTTTATTCACAAAAGAACTTTTTACACAGTGTTCGTAAGACCCAATCAGATTTCCTCTGAGCATTTCAAAAAACCCCACGTGGGACAAAGTCAGATCAGAATAAATTCTTTTAACTACAAAGACTACTCTGAGCATGCATAGTAGTCCAGAGTAAATAAAAGAGGAAGCAATGCTTTTAGGAAACCCTGAGGTCATAAACAGGAGTAAACAGGGGAGGCTGGATGGCAGTATTTGCCATCTCCTTCCTGGCCCTTAAGATCTATCTAAAGATTAAACTAAATTTAAGCTGACTATCACCCAGGATGCCTGATGAAGCAACTGGCCTGTGTTTCAGAATGCTTATATGTGCCTGTCAGGCAGAGAAAATGGCCAGAAATGCAGAGGCTTGTGGGATTTGATCAGAAATTATTGTCAATGAATTAAACCCAGTCAACGCAATGCTTTCATAGCGGACACAATGGCTTGATGCATATTTTATAATTCCTCATAGTAATCCCACCTGACCCCCACACTCTGGATATCTGCACCCCTACAGTAAATGTAGTAAAATGGCTGGCCCCCTGTTCCTGCCTCACTGGCCTTTTCTCCTCCTCCCTCGAGCAGATCTGCTCCCCTCTGGACTCCTCCACGCCAGTCCAACTGAAGAATCACAATGAGGTCCTTCGCTGCTTCACGGTGCTTGGTAAGAACCCAGGGAGATCTCTCATCTCTCTCTCTCTCTGTCTCTCTGTCTCTCTTTATCTCTTTCGCTGGATAACCACTGTGAGTTGGCTGTGGCTGCTGCCGATTGTGGAGCTGAGTTTCCTGATTATCTTTTTTTAAATTTAAAAAGAAGCAACCAGCTTACTAGTCCTCAAGGCTGCAAAGCTGACTTGGGCAGAGTGTGGTGAAATGCTTGGAGGGAGAGCAGGGTGGGCAGGGCTTTCAGTGGGACTTCAGGACCTTGCATTGCTTTCTGCAAGCACTCCATCCAGTGTAAGTCAAAGTCCCGCTTTTAATTTTGCTAATCTTGGAGAGGAGCAGACTTCTGCTCTTCCAGTTACAGAGGAGCTTTTTCCTTCCTGTTCTGCAACGTGCAGAGCTTGCACAGCCGCTGCCTGCTTGGAGGCTTGTGGCCCTGGGAGAATGGTCTGCCCTGGGAGGAGGAATGCCCCTTCCAGCTCTGCCTTACGGGCCCCTGCTGTGTGCTGCACCTGATGTGTCCGTCCTCCGGGTCAAAAATGTAGGGCTGGGTGTCCTGCGTCACGAGTCCTTGAGCAGGAGGGCATTGCCCGCTGCAGGTGCCGCAGTTCCTGGCGACAGTGCAGAGTTGAAAATTCTGGGTGTGACATGTTGAGCAATAGGAGCCCATGTGCGTGTGACTTGGAACGAAATTCAGAACTTCCTTTTTGGCACTCGGGGTTGCAAAGGTTGGCTGCCTTGCTGCTGTGCCGCCTCTGGCCCTGCTGTGTTTTGCCCCCTTCCCACTTTGGGGTTCCTGCAGTGCCATAAATCACAGGGCTCTCCAGCCATCACTCTTCAAGGAGCTGTTTCTGGCAGGGACACGGACATCTGGCAACGTTTGTCCACTGTCGAAGTGCGACTTCTTTTCTTTTCGCCCTCCAGTTCACACTTCCGTTGTGCAAGAGCTCTTCCTCTTTCTCTCTCCACCTCCCCACATCTCTTGAGTAATCTTTTGGCAAGCCTGTATTTCCTTAGAGCCCTGCCGTTATCTCTTTTGACTAAGCACAGAGGGCCTTGCTGCGGTCCCAGCACATCAGTACAGTTGAAGGAGGCGGTCGTGAGACCATTTTGTCTGAAAAAAATCCTGACTGGACCCAAAAGATTAGAACAACCACCTCCCATTTTCCAATCCCCCCTTTTGGGACGAGGTGCATGAAGTGTCTGGGGGCAGCCTGTCTCCAGGCACTGTGGGATGGAACGGGGTCTCGTTTCAGTTAAGCTTTTGAGCCAGGGTTTGGCACAGGAGCAGCTTTGATGGGAGCCGGGCTTCGGCTGGGGAGGGCGGGATATAAATAAAATTTATTATTATTATTATTATTATTATTATTATTATTATTATTATTATTATTACCTGTGTCCGGACAGGGGAGGAGGGGGCCCATGTGGATTCTCTTGGCTCTCACATTGGCTTTTGGTCGTGGTGTTTTGTGGGATCAGCTCTGGAGCAAAACTCTGGCTCCTCTCCTTTCAGAAGGGGGTGCTGGGGGATTTCAGCTTCAGTGTTTTGAGCTGAGGGGTCTTCAAGTTCCCAGCTGGAAAAGGTTCAGAAAAGAGCCACAACATGTTGAAGGCGATGGAGCACATTTCTCAGTGCTGCAGGGAAGGGCCTTTTCTGTGGTGGCTCCTTGAGTGAGTGGAACGCCCTCACAAGCGAGAGCCTCTGGCACTGACACCGCAGACTTTTCAGTGTCAACTTAAGACCTCATTTGCCCAGGCTTTTTGAATTATGGTATCTTTAGTTGGTGGAATGCTTTTATTCCTCTTAGTTGTATTGACTATGTTACAACATACAGTCATACCTCGGGTTACAGCCACTTCAGGTTTTGTTTTTTCAGGTTACGGACTGCCGAAACCTGGAAGTGTCAGAACGGGTTACTTCCAGGTTTCGGCAGTCACGCATGCGCAGAAGCGCCGAATTGCAACCTGGGCGTGCGCAGACGTGGGTTGTGAACGCTGCGGGTTGCGAATGTGCATCCCGCACGGATCACGTTCGCAACCCGAGCGTCCACTGTAGTTGTAACTTTGCATTTCTTTATATATACTGCCTTGGAATCTTCTTTCATTTTGACTTGAACGGCAGCTTATAACATTCAACCGACAAATCCTTAAGTCCTTCTCTCCCGCTGCCTGACCCGGTCATCAAATGGTTTTGTGACACGTGTCCATTTTGGCTCCTTTGTTGCTGCACAGGATCCCCCTGGTTCCTGGATTGGTGCAGGGATTGGCCTGGCCTAAGGCTGAGGAGGCTGCCCTGTGACTCCAGATCCTGGGTTGGACCCCTTTGTGTGTCCACCTGGAAGGCTGTCCTGGTTGTCCGGCCACAGCTGGCAGTGGATGAGTGAGCACAGTATTATGTTTGGTGTTAAGGTTTTAGACTTATGAAAAGTTATTGTAAGTTTAAGTGAAGTCTGCTGCAACCGGATTTCTTACGGACTGTGCCAATCCTGAATGTATTGGATTTGTGACCATTATGCTCATATTTGCCTTCAGTAACAGCAAAGCTCTGCTGGATGAAATGCAATTGCCTGATTTTACAACAAATTAGAAACACTTTATATTTTACATTTTACAGTTTAAACTCCAAATCAAAACTATACCCCAAAAGAGTTTGCAATGTGGGACACTCACCCAAAGGAAACACGGCTCAGCAAGAGACCTGCTATAAAACCATTAAAGACACCTTCTGGCCTCATCAACCACCTGCTCCTTTAAGATAGGACTACAGCTCATTTTACCACTGTTAGTAGGGAAATATAAACGCCCCCCTTCAGCACAAAGAGATGCATTTAAACAACAAACTAGCATACAATTAAACAGCAAAATAACTCGGCAAGAAAACCCAAGCCTCCCCCTTCCTCATAGTTTATCCATCCTGTAGCCCAGCTTAAGAAATAAGTACCAATCCAGTACTGAGGACACTCCTCTTCCTCGCACGGCGGTGACGATCCTGGTCTCGACTTTTCCCTCTTGCAGCCTCTTCCTTCCCGGACCGTTTGCTGGGATTTCTGCTTCCAAAGCTGGAGTCGGGAAATGAGCGGACGCGAGTGGGAACCCTCACCATCCTGCGCCAGATCATCAACAGTGCCTGTGAGTGGCGGAGGGGAGGGGAGGGGAGGGGAGGGGGCTGCCTTTCCCAGGCTCCCCAGAGAAGGAGCAGCTGTGGCCAGATGCCCCCCTGCACTTCCTCAGGGGCAGGCTCTGTTTACACTGTTGCACTTGGGTCCCCATGGCTGCAGTTTGGCTCATCCCACGCCCAGTTTTGGCAAGGGTGGGTGAGCTTTGAGTTGGCTGCCTCTCGCCTTCTTTGAGTCTTTTTTTTGGCCATGCCCCATCTAAGCATCTCTAAAACCCTGATCCCCCCTTCCCCTGTGACATATAATTCTTATTATTCAAAAAGTGAACTCCTGATCATATGAAGGAAGCCTAAAGGGCCATTTACTGTTCATAACTCATTCTCGAACTGCCCCCCTTAAGCATCAAATTGCCCCCCTGTGGGGAACCCCAGGTCTAGACCCTGTTTGTCCTCCTTGCTGTGACTCTTCGGGGTCGTTCTGCTGGCTTGTCTGAAAAGGTCTGTGCCAGGAAGTGCAACTCTGGAGCAGTCTTTCCTGGTCCCTTTTTGAAAGAGAAAGGTGTGAGGTCCCGCCAGAGGCAGGCTTGGGGGCCGCACAGCAGGCTGTGCCAGGGTTGGGCCAATTCAGAATGAGCGAGCCAGGACTGCAAAGGGAGGGTGTTGTGGGTGCCTCCCCAGCAGGAGCAGATTATCCCCCTCCTCGGTTCAGCCAGGCTCACGGCCGTGGGCTCTGGCTCCTCCTGGGCTCTTGCTAGGACAGCCCGCTCTGAGGCCGGGACAGAGAAGCAGCTGGGTGTCTCCGCATGAGAAGCTCTGCGTTGCCTGGCTGCCGGCCAGCACTGCCCAAATAGCCTCCGTGGCCTCGGCCACGCTCCTTTCCTCCATGGGTGGCAGTCTTCAGAGCTCTGGGTTGGGGGCAGTTGTGGGTCCCATGCTGTGCTCCCTGGTCGAAGGAGCATGGAGGGCTGGAGGTGTGGCGGCGGTGGCGTGGGGCTGCCTTGTGCCTGCGTGGAGCTTTGGCCGGCTAAACGGCCCTTTCTGCTTGTCCCTCTTCTGCCCAGCCTCTCAGATGGAGATTAAGAAGCCCTTCATCCTTTCTTCCATGAAGCTGCCCTTGCAGGACAACAGCAATAAGGTGAGTGGGGGGGGGGGACAGAAAGAGGCAGCTCTCCTCCCCTCCAGGCCTGCTCTGCTAACTTCCAGCCGGGCTCAGTGCACACCAGAAGCTTCTTGCAAGCATTTATATGCATCCCTCAAGCCCTCTCTGCTCTGTAAGGTTCCACTGAGTTGCCCTTTATGCCGGAGGGCCAGAGGGGACAGTGGCGTCCCCTGTGCCCACCTTGTGGTTTCCACTTAGAGATGGGGTTGGGGGAGTTGCTCCTCCTGCCTAAGGCGCCCTGTGGGGCAGGAGTTTGCCCAGCCCAGTGCAGCTGCTTCCCCTGGCAACAGTCTGGATCTTGCAGAGGACATGGCCAGGCCAAGCCCCTCATCCATACCAGGGCTGAACGTGGCTCCCTTTCTGGGCAGCGGGCCTGGAGCTGCTGCCTAGACCTGTTTTTCATGTAGGAAATTCATCATCCCACTCAGGGCAGCTGCCCTGAAAGGTTGCAGTTAAAGTCAGGCCAGGGAGGCCGGAATTGTGCAACCTGATGTTTTGAAAGGCCTTTCCGTGGTGCTGGGGGAGCGCTCCCAGGGCAGCAAGAGCCCCCCTCCCTGCTCTCTGTAGCATTCCCAAAGCAAGGAAGGATTGGACTCTGATTAATAAAATACACACAGAGGCCTGACCAGCAAGACTCTGGGAGGAGTGCGCATAATAGTTCCTCTCCACCCCTTGGCCCAGGTCGTTTTATTCACAAAAGAACTTTTTACACGGTGTTCGTTAGAACCAATCAGATTTCCTCTGAGCATTTCAAAAAAACCCACGTGGGGACGAAGTTAAAAGTTAGAACTACAAAGAGCTAATTTGAGCATGCATAGTAGTCCAGAGTAAATAAAATAGGGAGCAAGGAGGAATGCTTTTAGGAAACTCCAGAGGTCATAAACAAGCAGTAGACATGAGAGGAAGGATGGGTAATATTCCTGGCCCTTAAGATCTATCTAAGGATTAACAAACTACATCAAAGTAACCTACTATCTTTATGTACTGAGGATGCCTGGTGAAGCAACTGGCCTGTGTTTCAGAATGCTTATACGTGCCTGTCAGGCATAGAGAAATGGGCAGCAGAGGAAAAATAGCATAGATGGAAAGGCTTGTGGGATTTGATCAGAAATTATTGTCAATGAATCAAACCCAGTCAATGCAATGCTTTCATTGCCAACGCGATGGCTTGATGCATATTTCATAATTCTTCATAGTGATCCCATCTGATCACTACACTCTCCTCTGGAGACCTGTGTGCAGGGCAGTCCTGTGCAGCCCCCTCCCTTGACGTCTTGGGGGGGGCAAGAGGAGGGGGGAGGGTCCCAAGGGCAGCCCACCCAGCTGGCAACTCCCTGGATGTTTTCCCGCAGGTGAAGCGGGCCGTGGTGCAACTGATCAGCGCCATGGCCCACCACGGGTACCTGGAGCAGCCAGGCGGAGAAGCCCTGATCGAGTTCCTTGTCCGGCAGTGTGCCCTCCCCGGGGACCAGGTGAGGCTCTTGCAGAGGAGCAGCAGGGCCCAGGCAGGCAGCCTCAAGGCCAGGCCTCTCCTCAACTCAAGATCTGTGGAACAAGCAGGGGGCTGACCCTTGGGAGCCATTTGTGGGTATCTCCTCCAGGTCCAAGGCAGTTTCTCCGGTTCAGTTCCCTTGACCTGGCCCTGGGAATTCCAGGCCCCCACAGGCCTCGGTGGGTCCCCAATCTTCCCACGTGGGCTGATGGGGTGCCGAGGGTCTCAGTGAGGGTTTGTGGGACCCACCTGCCATTCCCGTGTCCACGGTGGCTTCACTTTGCAAAGGCCTTGTGAGAAGCGAAGTGGGGGTTTTTTTGGGGGGGGGGTTGGGCTCTCTACCTATGTAACGTTGATTCTGCCCAGCCCCCCCAGCTCCCGCGGAGACATTCCCTGGAAACGGAGGACTTGACGGACGGCCACGTCCGAGACATCAGTGTGAACACGCTTTTCCTCATCAGCACCACAGTCGACAGGATGGCCGACGTGAGTCTCCCTAAGGAAAGGGCCTGACGTGGCTGCTTCCCGGGTTGCAGATCAAGGATTTCTGCCGGGCTCCACCAAGTGGAGTCAAACATCTAGCAAAGGCTGATCATGCAGAGTCCTCTTTAAAACCAGCTGCAGAGCGGCCGTCCCATCCTGTGCTCTTGCACGGGGCAGCCGTGACCAACCTGCGCTCCCTACGGCGTGTGTGGTACAGTCCATTGCCTGACCTGGAAAGTGTCCCAGGGATTTGGGGGCCTCCCCTTGGCTCCTGGTGGGCTGCTCCAAAGGGAGCGCAGAAAGCTTCCAAAGCAGTTTGGAGCCTGGGAAGATCAGCAGGCGCTGAGCTGCGTGTGGGTCTTGCTCTGGGCCCCTGGACGCTGCACCAGCGGCTTCAGGAGCCACCCACAGGCTTCTGCCTTGCTTGGAATGCTCTGGCTAGGGCCAGATTTTGAGGCATGGCTGCGCTGGGGAGGTGGGGAGCCTCCTGCACCATCTGGCTTTGCCTGCCTGCTCCAGGGAGCACCTGCTCTTCTGCCTCGCCAAGGCCTGCTCCTCCCTTTGCCCTTGCAGGTCCTCTGGCCGTACCTCCTGGAGTTTGTGATCCCCATCCACTTGAGCAACGCCCTGACCCCACTCTGCAAGAGCCTCATCTTCCTGGCTGCACAGAGGCAAGAGAAGGATGAGCCCGACTTCCAGCTCCTCTACGAAGCCGGGGGTTCGTATCCCGCTGCTCCGAGGCCGGCTGGGTGCGCCCTTGCCAGGAGAGCTGGCTCTTTGCTGAAATCTCCGCATTCATGGAGTCAGCTTGCGCAAGCGGAAGGCAGATGTTGCCTGATGTTGTAAATGCAGATGTTGTAAATGCTGTTCTTCTGCAAACTACCTTTCTGAGGGTGGGGGGGCTGCTGAGGGCCTAATGGGGGTGGGGGCTGCAGCTTGAGTTCTGCACAGACCGGCTCTGATTTCTGAAGCTTCTGCGCAGGCCAGGACCCGGGACCCGAACTCTTCCCTGCAAGGAGCCTGGCGGAGACCTTGGGGTTTTGCTCAAGGCTCTTCTGCCCCTTGCAGGGCTGTTGTGCTCCAAATGCAGATGACGTTGCTGCCCCCCATGCCTGCTTTCTCCCACAGTGCCTGGGCAGGAGGTCTTGCCTTACCGTTTATTCCCCTCTGTTTTATTTGCAGCGACGCTTCCGACCCCTCATGCTCTCCTGGCAAGGCTTCTGGTAAGTGTGAGGAGCTGGTCTGATCCACGGGTGAAAACGCCTGTGGAGCCACATCGGGTAGTGCATTGGCAACCCCGGCAGAGACGCCCCCGTGCCCTGGAGAACGGCTCTCCCCTCCCCAGTCCAGGCGCTCTCTCCCTGGGCCTAGCCACCCCTCCAGTTAGGCACATGGCGCAAGTCTTCTCTGCAGGCAGTTTCTCCTCCCAGAGGGCTCCTGAGCTGCCTGGGGGCTCCTGCCCAACACGATTGGCCTAGGGAAGGCTGGTGGCACCCTGCTTCCTGCAGCAAGCCTAAGAGCAACCCTGCGGGATCAGGCCCAGGGGGGCCCATTCCTCTCACCATCCTGCTCTCTCAGTGGCCAGCCAGACACCCACAGGGACACCCACAAATCATTACGTTGTGCAGTCCTCAGTCCAGAAGCTGTTCTTTCCACAGGCCGGGTCCTCTGCTGTTGCAGCTGCCCGGATCTCTAGTGAAGACAGGATTTAGACCAGGGGTTGGCAAGGGTTACCTTGCCTGGGCCGGTTCACTCCAGCAGAGATTCCTCTGTGGGCCGGATTGTGTGTGTGTGTGTGTGTGTGTGTGTGTGTGCGCGCGCACACACAGCAGTAATTTTTGGCATCTGCAACTGTGCAGACGCAATTTTTGGTGCCGCGTTGTGCCAGTTTAGTGCGGCGCACGGGGACTTGCTGAGCAGGCGCTTGTGGGCCGCTTGTGGCCCATGGGCCTTAGGCTGCCCACCCCGATTTAGACTCATCAGGTTGGAATGGACCCCAAGGCCGTCAAGTCCAAACTCTAGCCGTGCTGGAGTCACAGCTGAAGCCCCCCTGAGAAGTGGCCTCTGTGGCCGTCCTTTGCTGTCTCCCGCTGACCAGCCCCCTCTTGCCCCAGGGAGAGCCAGGGTGCTGCTCTCAGCCAAAGGCTGAGCTTGGAAGCTCCCCAACTTGGAAGGGCTTTCTGTCTGTGGCTCCAGGAAGGCCCCCTTGCAACCCCCCCTGCTCTTCTCCCTCCCAGGTCGTGTCTTCCCAGCCTTACGTGGGGGAGGGCCGTGCTGCCGCCGTCCTTCGCCTCCTGAACGTGCTCCACCTCAGCGTCCACAAGGCTCTGGGGCCGCTGTGGGGCAAGCAGATCCCCGCGCTGGTGGAACACCTGGAAGGTAAAGGTGTGGAGGCAGCTGCAGAGCACCTCTCTCGGGAAGGGACCCCAGCCCTTGACTCTTCTCCCGCCCCCTTTTTGACCGGGGGGGGCACCTCCACACATAGTGGGAGCTACGAGCCTGGCCCCGAACGCAGAGCAGCCCCCTGAGGCTCTGGTGTCCACAGGATCCTTCCAGGGAATCTGTGGCAGTAGAAGCAGAAGCAGCCACTGGGGGTGCGCCAGTTGTTGAAATATGGCAGGTGTTGGGTCTGCCTCCCAAGCCCAGTCCTGCCATTTCTGTGTCAGGAGCCTGAACTGCATAGCTTTTTTGGGGGGGGGGCATGGAGGAAGACTCCCCCTTGGATGTGAAGAGAAGCCAGTCCCAGCCAGGAGGGGACAGAGTACTGAGCTTGGTGGGTCCTCAGGTATCGTGATGCAAAGCAGGAATCCTTGTGCGAATCCCCTCTCCTCTGTCTTCCAGCAAATACGAAGGCTTCTCTGTCCCAGAAGGAATGGGAAGACCGGCTGCTCAAGGTAAGCGAGTCTCCTCCTCCTTCCTCTGAGCGAGGGGCCCCTCGGAGCGGAGCATCAATCCTTTAGAGATATACACTTTTCAAATTTATACATTTCATTAGTTTTACAATCCATTTAATATTCCAAAATTTGACTCTGTTCCCCCTCTTTCTGCTGTTCCTTAAATTTATTTAATATCTTCTGCAGATCCAAATTCATTTAACTTGCTCGTTTAATTATCTTCCGTAAATATATACCGTTATAAAACTTGCAGGTTATTGCAGTAATCCGTCTAATGTTTTTATCTGTTTACTGAATATTGAATATTTACAGATAAATTGTAAACAGATAAAAACAGAGCTGAGCATCACTCTTGATGGCCCACCGGGAGGTTTGCTGATGGCCCTGTCCAGATGCCTCGCTCCCTCCCTCCCTTGCTCCCCCAACTCCAGCCTCTTAACCTTGGCTCTGTGACAGTGACGGGGTCCTTGGCTTCCTGGAGAGCGACATGCCCACCTTGCTGCTACCTGTGCACCTGAGCAGCGCAATCTGATGCTTCCTCAGCTGTGGTGTAGTGGTTAAGAGCGGTAGTCTCATAATCTGGGGAACCGGGTTCGAGTCTCCGCTCCTCCACCTGCAGCTGCTGGGTGACCTTGGGCCAGTCACACTTTTCTGAAGTCTCTCAGCCCCACTCACCTCACAGGATGTCTGTTGTGGGGGAGGAAGGGAAGGGAGATTGTTAGCCGCTTTGAGACTCCTGAAGGGGAGTGGAAGGCGGGATATCAAATCCAAACTCTTCTTCTTTCTGGGTGCCTCCCTCCCCCCCCCAGTCTAGGGGGCTCAGGTGAGACCCGCCTGTGGTTCTGAGGCTGTAGCCCTGGGCTTCATGCGCAGCTTCTCCCGGCGCACTTGGCTTCCCTCCAGGGCTCTGTGGTGCTTCTGGTTTCTGCGGAGCCTGAGGGGAGGGCAAGGGAGCTTCTGAACGGCTAGATCAGGCCAAAGGGGGCCCATCTGGTCCAGCCTCTTGTTCTCACAGGGGCCAAGCAGGGACCCCGAAGGGAAACTCGCAAGGGGGATTCGGGCACAAGAGCAGCTCTCTCTCCTCTTGCCGTTTCCAGCAACTGCAGTCAAAATACCTGATTTTTTTAAAAAAATTGTTTCTATTGATATACCAAAAAAGGAAAAAAACAAAACAAAAATACAAACAGTGATAAAGACAATATTAATTACAAATCAATAAAGCAAAAAATGGTCCTTGAACTATAGACCCTATTCCTTATTCCAGTTATATATTATTTGTTGCCAGTACCCACTTTTATCATAGATTAACTAGTGATTGGTTTATCTTAGGCCTCATATCTTTCTTAAAGCTACTACTGAAATTATTCAAATGCTGCGACAGAGTTTAAGCTGCTATAGTTGTTTTTCAAATAAACTTTGAAAACTTCCCATTTTGAGACAAAATCCTGTTTGATCTCCTGGACTTCTTCCCTCCTGCCCTTTGTGGGTCCTCTTGTTAATCATTTCCTCCTGCATCTTTTATGTTAATCCAAATCTTTTACCCCTCCCTTGTGTCCAAAATTCACCATTAAACTACAAGTGTTATTCCAACCCTACTAACAATTTTAACTGTTTACAATGGTTTTTAAGATAAATTATAAAATTTCCCCATTCCTTATTAAAATTTTGACCTTCCCGATTTCTGATTCTTCTGGCGATTTTCGCCATTTCGGCATAATCCACCCACTCGATCTGCCCTTCTTCCCTGCTGGGGACTTTATCGAGATCCTTGGCCGTGCCCTTGGGCTAACGCTCTCCCTCAATGCCAATGCCTCTGCCCGCAGTTCCTTCGGCAGACCCTGGAGGCCATTTCGGACACACCTTGGACCAGTCAGCTGCTCCTGGAGATGGGCAGACAGCTAAGCAGTTACAACGGGTCTCCTCTGGAGAAGGTCTGTGGCCTGGTCTGCTTGGGGAGGGGACGAGGAGAGAGCAGGGCCAGGATCCAACCTCCTGGCTCTTGACCTGGGCTGAGTGATTCCTGCCAGGGGGCTGTGGGGTTGCCGCTCTCTTTAGGCCAGGGGCTGCCCAGCTCCCCCTCTCTCCTCGGGGTCTGCTGTGTCCTGGGGGGCAAATTCTGGACAGCTCCCGGTGGGCAGTCGTTACAGCCGAGCTCATATTCCGGCTCTTGTTCCCCTTTTTTTCTTGTGCGCCAGAACTTCCTCTACAAATGCATCGGGACGGCCTTGTCTGCTTGTCCCAACAAGGACCTGGTGCGGAAGCAACTCCAGGAGCTCCTGGAAACGGCCAGATATCAGGAGGAGGCCGAGCGAGAGGTGAGGGGGCCGGAATGGCTGCCCAAACAGCCCCCCCTGCCCCAAGAGGTGGGCAGAAGGAGGGCAGCTCTCTGGGCGAGGAAGGGGGGCCCTGCCTGGTCTCCATTGCCTTCCAGCTGGACCTGCTTCTGCTCCCTGACGCCTGGGTCTCCTCCCTTCCCTACAGGGCCTTGCCTCCTGTCTGGGGCTGTGCGCCATCAGCCACCTGGATGAGACCCTTGCCAAGCTGGAGGAGTTCGTGAAGTCGGACGTCTTCAAAAAATCTGCAGGGCTGTTCAGTATCTTCAAGGTATGAGGGTCACTAAGGCACACGTTTTCCTCGTGGGCAGCAGGCGAAAAGTTATTCTCCGAGGTGTTTGAAGACTGTTTGGTTCCGTTACCTTAACTGGAGATTCAGGCCCTGTCCTGTTTATCTTTTTTAAAGGAACTGTGTGTGTACAGTACCCAGATGGATCTATGCGAGAGCTTATGTATTCTGAGCATAATTAACTTGTAACAACTAAGTATCTAGAGAGAACATGTATGTCTATGTATGTATGTAAATACAGTGGTGCCTCGCAAGACGAATGCCTCGCAAGACAAAAAACTCACTAGACGAAAGGGTTTTCCGTTTTTTGAGCTGCTTCGCAAGACGATTTTCCCTATGGGCTTGCTTCGCAAGACGGAAACGTCTTGCAAGTTTGTTTCCTTTTAACACCGTTAAGAAGCAACTCATAGAACACGGTGTGGTAGCCTTTTTTGAGGTTTTTAAAGACTTTGGTGATTTTTGAAGCTTTTCCAAAACTTTCCCGACACCGTGCTTCGCAAGACGAAAAAAATCGCAAGACGACAAAACTCGCGGAACAAATTAATTTCATCTTGTGAGGCACCACTGTATGTATGTAAGTAAATTGGACAAGATTAGCATCAATTATAAAATATGATGATGATGATGATGATGATGATAATTTTATTTATACCCCACCCTCCCCAGCCAAGACTGGGCTCAGGGCGGCTAACAACCAATAATAAAAACAAGTTGATTAAAATACAACTTAAAAAAAAGATTAAAATACAACATTAAAACATTAAAATGCAGCCTCTTCACAGAATAAATTGCTGCTTGAAATCAGTGATCCAGAGCTGACTCGACCCGTAACTCTCCCCCCTCCCCCTCCTCCAGGATCGCAGTGACAACGAGGTGGAGAAGGTGAAGAGCACCCTCATTCTGTGCTACGGCTTTGTGGCCAAGCACGCCCCCAAGGAGCTGGTTCTGGCGCGGATCGATGCCGACATCCTCCGCAACATCTTCCTCTACTTCAACACCAAGGTGAGCCTGGGGTCTTGGGGTCAGGCGTGACCAGGGGGGCGGCAGGGGGGCAGCTCCAGTGGCCTCTCAGTCCTGGCCCCCTGGAGGGTTAATGCGTGTCTCCTTTATTTTGTCCAGGTTCTGGGAATAAAAGTAGAAACCAAGGTACAGTGTCAGGCCCTTGGCTCGCACTCGCTCTGTCCTCTCGGTCTGCCTCTCTCTCTTCTCTAGTCAGCTCTTAGGAGGAAGGCTGGGGGGCAAGGCTGGGGGGCAAGGCTCCCTGCCCCGTGGCTCCCATTGGTTTAACTGGCACAACTGGTGCCTGTCTGTCCTGTCAAGGCCAGGATGAGCAAGCTGATGGCAGTCTCCTGCCGCACAGAAGAGGGTCCCTGAATCCCACCCCTTCCCAAGCCCCCATCTGGTCAGAAAGGAACTGGTCCCTGGTTTGCCAGCTGATCCTGGAAGCACAGGCCTGGTCTGCCTAAGGCAAGCTCTGGGCAAGCTCTTGCCTGCCTCTGCTGCTGCTGCCCCCTTGCAGGGCTTTGGGCAGCTGGTCCACAGAAAGGGGAAGGGCTGTGTAGCTCAGTGAGGAGAGCATCTGCCTCACAAGCAGAGGGTTCAATCCCCCCGGAATCTCCTGGTATGGTTGGGAGAGACGCTTGCTTGAAACCCCGCAGAGCCACGGCTGCCGACCAGGCAATACTGAGCGGGATAGACCGGTATAAGGCAGCTCCCCACGTCAAGGGCATCATAAAGGGGCTGAGGCAGTTGCCCACTTTCTAACTCTGCCCTCACCCCCAAGGTGAGGCTGAGGCCCCCAGTGCCCCTGGAAAGGGGTGTGTGTTTGGGTGTGTCCGCCCATTGCAAGGAGTCTCGCACTAACATTTTTCTTCTGGTCTGTCCTTTGCACTAATCTCTCTGGTGGGGTCACGCTGGGTGGTTCTGAGATGCTGGCCTAGAAGCCCAGTTGGCGCTACGTCCTCCTCCCCTCACTGGGGGGGGGTTTGACCTTGAGGCCCCCGGCAGTGAGGTCTCTGCCGGGGCGTGGGATGGGGGCAGAGGGCACTCCTGAGCAGAAGAGCCCAGGGCAGCAGAACCAGACTTGCTTCCGAGCAGCTGGAGGTTTGGCCATGGCTCCCTTTGACCCCGGGTCCCCTGGAGTTTTCTTTCCTGGGGTGCGTCTTTGCTTTCCTCTGCCACGCAGAGAAGGGCCTTGGGATGGAGCACCCCCTATTCTGGCCACGTTCCAGGGGGAGGCGGGTGCTCAGCCCCTTCCATATTCCTCCTGCACCTGGCCTTCCTCTCCTGACCAGGCCTGCCCCTCTGGGCCTGCCCTGGGCTGGGCAGTTCTCACCCATGTGGGTTCCCGCCTCCGAGCGAGAGAGGGGCTGTGAGGCTGGCTCTGGTGCCCTCAGTGCCACCCTGCGTCTTTGCCCTCAGGACCTGATGCTGAAGCTGTGCCTCATCCGGAGCATCTGCCTCATCTGCCAGGCCATCTGCAACAGCACCCAGTCGGGCGACTTCACCTTCTCCCGCAAGGCGGAGCTGGTTTCACAGATGATGGTGAGGAGAGGATGTTGCCATGGATGGGAAGCCGTTTTGGCCTGTGTCCTCCTCACCTGCTCCTCCCGTTTGGCTCTCAGTTTAGCCTTGTCTCCCAACCCTGAGCATGCCCATGGCAGGAGAGGGATTCGCCCCGGGGATGGTCCGTAGGGCCAGCACTTGCAGAATGGGACATGCTGCAGAGGGCTCTGAGCCTGTGCAGAGTGCCTTCCCCTCCCTGTCTGGGACCCAGTTTCTCTGGGCCGCCTGCTCCATCTGCAGAGGGGTCCTAGATGCAACGGGATGTACTCTTGCTGGGTTGTGAACCTTGGCCACCCCTCTTCCTCCGACGGCTGCCTTGCCTGCCCTTCTAATCTGCCTCCGCATCTCCCACAAGGCTTGCAGCGTGGGGAGGGGGCGTCATCCCGGGAGGGGCAAGGGGCTGTGGCGGCCGGCCTCCCTCCTCACGCTTTCTCTTCCACAGGATTTTATCAAGGCGGAGCCTCCGGACTCCCTGCGAACTCCCATCCGCCAGAAGGCGATGACGGCCTGCATGTTCCTGGTGTATCCTTTCCCCCCCCCCGCCTGTATCTGAGGCACAACTGGAAACACCAGCTGGGAATGCCACAGGGTGCCCAGCTGAGGTTTTTTTGGGGGGGATTCAGACTTAGGGGTTTGCTGAGAGGTTGCCAGGAAGCCAAGAGCTGTCTGGCGTCCAGCTGGTCTCTTTGGCCACTGATGCTCCTCCAAACCTGTCTAGCGCCACTTCCATTAAATGAACTAAGCCCACCAGATCTGAGAGCCACACCTGAATGATGCTTTGGGTGGAGCTCTTCCCTTTCCTGCCCCTAGGGGTGCCCCTGCTCAGGAGTTTTTCCCAGGCCCCCTTAACTTGCCCTGCAGGGTCCTGGAGCCGCCTCTGAGCGAGGCTGAGAAGGCTGAGCTGGTGGAGACCTGTCTGGGCAGCGTCCTTCCCCTGCCCCTGCCGGACGCCCCCAGGGAGAAGGACGGGGGGCTGGAGGCTGAGCACAAAGAGGTACGGCCGGACGGAGCTCCCTCTGCCTCCCCCCCTTCCCTGCCTGCCTGAGCAGCCCCTTCCATCCACAGCTGGCCGCTTTGTTGGGCATGCAGGGACGGGCTCTGGCAAGCACCCGGTTGCCCTTGTCCAGGTGGCACTGGAGGAACTCCTTGCCACAGGTCGACATGGTTCCTCCTCTGGCGTTTGTCAACCGGCCCCCCTCCCGTGGGGAGTTCCAGGTGGCTTTGAGTGGGGGAGCTGCATCCCTGGGTCCCCTCCGCTTGGGCCTGTGCAGACGGGCCTTTGGCGCCCGGGATGGGCAGAGGCAGAGACCCTCCCAGGCGTGTCTCTGGGCTCCACAGGACGTGGGACTGGGCTTCTGGGGTGGGGTGGGGGGTGAGAGAAGCTGTGTGGAGCTTTCGCACCCAGGTGGGAGGCATCACCTTCCCTTCCTTTTCCACACTCAGCCTCTGTGGTGCGACACCCTTTGTGCCCTCAAGGACCTGTTGAAGAGCATCCTGCACAGACACATGACGCCCCACGGCCTGCAGACCATGTTTGAGGTAGGGGGAGCAAGGAGAGAGGCCCAGGGGGCTCCCACAGCCCTCCTATGGTGGGTGGGCCTTGCGCATTGAGCAGCCGCCCTGGCCCACCGGTGGCCGTCCCTGGAGAGAGCTGGAGGCATCCTGTCTGCCCCCTTCTCCCCCACCCTCTTGCTCCAAGGCACCAGCTCCCTCCTTCTCTTCCCTCCTTCTGGGCAAAGGGCTGAGAGATCTTTCCTCCCAGGGCCACCCTTTGCCCGGCCTCTGCTGCTGCCTTTGCTGCTGCCTTCCGGGGGCTCCTGCAAGGGGACCCTCTGCGGGATCTCTCAGGCCGAGCTGCCATTTCCGCCCTCTCCCTCCTCAGCACCTGAGCCCCTGGATCAAGTCCGCCAAGGAGCACGAGAGGGAGCGAGGCGTGGAAGTGAGCGCGGCCGTCTTGGAGTTCTATCGGGAGAAGCTGAACGTCAACGTGAGTTCCCCTCCCTTCCGCAGCCACAGGGCTGCCTTTGCTTTGCTTTGCCTGATATTTGGGCTGCTCAGGACCACAGGGGTGTCTGGAGCATTCTTGTTTGTGGTCCCTCACGTTGGCACCAGACACAGAGCCACTGGGGAGCGGGGCCTGGTGCCCACCTGGTGCTGCCAACAGCCCTCCCAATATGGCACACTGGCTGTGTCTCCCCGGCTCCCCCCCTGGCTGCGTGGTGCCTGGTGGAGAGTGCGAAACCTGGCACCTGACTGGACTATGCATGGGGGAACTGCCGTTCACAGTGCTCAGTTTATTCAGTCATTATAATAATTGTAACTCACCCATCGGACTGGGTTTCCCCAACCACTCTAGGCGGCTTCCAACAGAATATAAAAAGGAAGACCTCGTATATTAAAAGCTTCCCTGCCCAGGGCTGCCTTCAGAGGTCTTCTGAATGCCATAGAGCTGTTTATCTCCTTGCGAGAAAAATTCTCAGGGATGACTCACACCCCAGCCAGCACCTCTTTAAACTTCTGCCCTCGTGCAGGAGATATAAAAGTATAATCAGCTGTACCAACAGGCTAAAAAACAGCTTCTATCCGTGGGCTGTTAGGCTGCTGAATGGAAAATAACATAGCGAAATTGATTTACGAGGTGGTGTATTGTTCAAGAAGAGATTGTTTGGCGGGGGGAGGGAGACTCGTTTAATTTCATTGGGTTTTTTGTGTGTGTCCCCCCCCCCAATAAAAAAAATTATTCATTTTATAACACAAATAAAAAGCACAAGCAGAAAAGACAAACAATACGGACAAGTTCTTGTCATAGCCTTATTTTTCTAAACATTGTTAAGTGGGCTTCCGCAAGTCCCACCTATCTGATTTTCATTTTACTCATTTAATTTCATTGTACACAGGTTGTACAATGACAATAAAGCTTTATTATTATTATTTATTTTTATTTATTATTATTATCATCATCATCCATCATCATCATCATTTGACGGGAGGGCGTTCTGCAGGGCAGGCCCCTTCTGTGCCAAAAGAGCTCCCGATGCGAGCCAAGCTCTTGCAAGAGTGGTGGGCCACCTGCCGCCTTGCACAGAGTTTGGGGCTCTCTCTGGGGGGCTCCTGGGGGGCTCCTGTGAGCCCTTGGCCCTGCTGGCTTGCGTGAGTTTGACCGACAGCGGCTCAGGTTGTTGTGGCCCAGTGCTGCCCCCTTGCGGGGACTGTCACTGGGGCATGACACGGCAGCCCCCTTGCCGCGAGCTCTCAATGGGCCTCCTGGTGCCTTGTCTTCCCTGTGCCCAGACGGTGGTCCCTTTCTACAACGTGGGGCTGCTGATCGCGCTCTTCGCCCCCCGCTGCACCGACTCCCTGGCCGGCACCCGCCAGCACGCGGTCAACTGCGTCCACAGCCTTTTGTACATCCAGCTGTACTATGAGGGTAAGAGCCAGGGCCAGCGCTTGTTTCTTGGGGGGGGGCGGGTGGCAAAAGCGCGAACCTTCCTGGTGGGATCTCTCTGTCCCTCCCTCTCCTCCTGTGTAGGGCCAGCCTGGCCTCTGCAATACTTGGCTCTGCCAAGGCTGAGTCCCAGGTGTAGGAAGCCTTGTGCATCTTGGCACCAGGATCCCCCTTCCATACCCCAATCTCAGGGGCCCCTGCAGATCCCATCTCCCCAGGAGGGTCCCTTGCATACGATGCACAAACAGGGCCCCCCCTGCCTCCTGTGACATCCCATGCAGGGGCCTTTCTGGGGCCCAATGAGGACTTTGCTTTGTCAACCAGCCTTTTAAGTGATTTGCTCGTCTCTGGACTTGACATTGCATTCATGTGTTTCTATTGTCAAACTATACGGAAAGCACTTCATTAAAATCCCAAATTCAACGAAAGAGTTCTTTAACCAGAGCTTGCTCCCACCTCCTGGCTCCCATCGGCCTTGTTTTTCCTGGTGGGGGAAAGCAAAATGAGTGGGAACTGGAGAACTTGATCTTGCCCTTTCCCTTGAACTCGCTGACACTCAGTCCAGTACCCCCCCGCAAAAAGATGAAGATCAGCGGTTGTTTGGGATGCTGGTTCCTTCTCTGGACAGCAGAGGGGGTTATATCGCTTGCGCAGGCAGGAGCTGCTGGGATTGCCAAGGGGGCTTGCCGGGGAGGGGGGTGATGGTCCTGGAAGGGCAGCTGGGTGGCCCAGATGGGCAAAGCCCCCCCCCGATGCCCCCAAAGACCTGGCTGCCCTTCTCCGTCTGCGCAGGGTTTGCTCGAGATCACAAGGACGAGTCTCTGGAGAAGCTGAAAGCCCTGAAGACCGGCCTGAGAGACCCTGACGTCAACACCCTCTTCCAGGCCTGCTGCAACATAGCCCAGGTGGGACCATGAGATACTCAGCCTGGGCGGGGGGGGGGCGCTTGTTGCCCGAGGGGGTCGGGGGCTTCCCTTTGGTCTCTTGGGGCAGCTGGGCCGGTTCCTTGCCTGATGAGTTCCTGTCCTCCTCCTTTTAATGTATTTTAAATATTTCTTAGAAGCTGCCCAGAGTGGCTGGGGAAGCCCAGCCGGATGGGCAGGGTACAAATAATAAATTATTATTATTATTGCTTGGCCCAACAGGTAATAGCCAAGCGCCTCCCCCCCGACCAGCTGCTCAGCCTCCTCCTCTCCATGCTGGAGGGCTTGGCGGATCCGGACAAGAACTGTTCCCGCGCAGCCACCGTGGTGGTCAACTCCCTCCTGAAGGAGCGCGGGGCTGTCCTGCTGGAGAAGGTGAGGCGGAGGTGGGGGGGCTCCCCTCCCTCCCTCCCACCTTGGGCTTTTGAATGCCCATGGGTGCTAGGAGGAAGGCTGGGGGGGGGGCTCTCCCTGGATTGGGATCCTGGGTCTTTGGGGCAGAGGCTCAGCGGACTTCTCTGTGCTGCCCCTTCGTAATGAAAAAATTGTAGAATGGGAAGAGACCCCCCCACCCAGGGTTGTCTAGTCCAACCATAGCTGTCAACCTTTCCCTTTTCTTGCAAGGAATCCTATTCGGAATAAGGGAATTCCCCGTAAAAAAAGGGAAACGTTGACAGCTCTAAGTCCAACCCCCACTAAATCATCCCTAACGGGTTTCCCCTGTCGCAGGTGTTTCAGTTGTGATGTGATTCCTGCATTCTTGTAGAGGAGTTGGCAACAAGTGCCAGGTGGGGGGGGGGCGCCTCTGCAGCGGCATTGAGGCAACGGGGACTCCAGAAGCCCTTACGTGCTCCCCCCTAGGGCAGTGGTTCTCCACCTGTGGGTCCCCAGATGCTGTTGGATTACAACTCCTATCATCCCTGAGTTCTGGCCTTGCTATCTAGGGACGATGGGAGTTGTAGTCCAACAACTCTGGGGACCCACAGGTGGAGAGAGGATGGAGCTGAGGGGTCCCTCCTTCCTCCTGCTCTGCCTGAGGGGTGCCTGTCACAGCAGCCTCTGACCCCCCTGTCCCCCCGCAGGTGCCGGAGATCCTGGCGATGGTGCACTCCAAGCTGCAGGAGGTGGAGGAGGAGGCTGTCCGGAAGGCGGCCCAGCAGACGGTCCACATCCTGGCCGCGCAGCACAAGGCCGCCGTGGTCTCCAGCCTCCTGGGCAACCCTCTGCCCCTGGACAGGTAGGCGGCTCCGCACCTGCCTCTGCTGGAGCCCTTGGGCCAAAGCCTTTGCCGCTGCAGCTGCTCCTGGTGGCCTTTTCTCCCCGCCTCCCTTCTCTCCCCCCAGGGTAAGGAGGTGGCGCACAACCCTCAGGAAGGCTCCGGCTGAGGTCAGCCAGGCCAGGAGGAAGCCCTGATGTGCCCAAGGGGTCTCTCTCTCTCTTGATCCTTTACACTTCTGCTTCCTGCAGCCCAGAGGGTCTCTCCTGCCAGGGGTCCGGCTGTGGCTCTTGGGAGCCCCTCTTGAGTTCAGCCCCAGGGACTACGAGGCCAAGCGGGGAGGGAGCTCTGCTGGGTCAGGAGCTGGAGCCCGAAGACCCTGTGACTGTGCATCCTGGGCTGGGAGAGCCCCTGTATCTGGCCGATGCCTGAAAGCATGGGGCTCCCTGTCTCCCAGAGCAAGCTTGTCCCCCTGCAGCCATATAATAATAATAATAATAATAATAATAATATTTATACTCTACCCATCCAGCTGGGCTTCCCCAGCCACTCTGGGCGGCTTCCAACAAAAGATTAAAAATACATTAAAACATCAATCATTAAAAGCTTCCCTAAACAGGGCTGCCTTCAGATGTCTTCTAAACATCAGGTAGTTGTTTTTCTCTTTGACATCTGCTGGGCGGGCGTTCCACAGGGCGGGTGCCACCACCGAGAAGGCCCTCTGCCTGGTTCCCTGTAGATTCACTTCTCGCAGGGAGGGAACCGCCAGAAGGCCCTCAGTGCTGGACCTCAGTGTCTGGGCTGGACGATGGGGGTGGAGACGCTCCTTGGCCTGGGGAGCCTCTGACGCTGGCCTCCTCCTCCTTCCCCTTCCCCATTTCAGCTGCAGCTGCCTGATGTGGCGGGCCCTGGCCTCGGAGCCCCCCCTCGCCACCCAGGTCTTGGAGCTGCTGCTGGAGAAAGTGAACCGGGACGTCCCCTACAAAGAGAACAAGTCCTTCTTGCGGGGCAGCTGCTCCGAGCGCGTGGCCACTTTCTTCCCCCTCGCGGTGAGTGTCCGGCCTGCTTGCTAAGAAGCCCTCCTCCTCCTCCTCCTCCTGCTGCCTCTTCCTTGCCCCCCCCGCCCCCCACACCTGGGCTGCTGCCGCGCCCCCTCCGCTGCCCTCATTTCCTCCCCTCGGGTGTCTGTACCAGGCCTGGTCCCTGGAAAAGAGGCCTTGCCATATAATGCCTATTAGCGCTAATCCGCTGGCTCATAAAGGCCCTCTCAGGTGTTCGTCCTCCAGGGAGATCGCTTTGCGTTTTATCCCCCCAAGAAAATAAACGCCGCCGCTTGGCAGCTCTGTGAGCAGGAAAGCAGCTGTGAAAATTTCCTCCTCCTCCTCCGAACCAGACGCAGATGCCAGCGGATCCGTCATGCTTGAAAGCCGACCCCGGCCCCTGCAACCCCCCCTGGCCCACCCCAGGGCCATTGTCCAGGAGCAGCCCAGCCTCTCTGCTTTCAAGTGGCCACGGCAGCGAGATGCGACACACAAACACACACATTGGAGTGTGTCTGCTGTGGTTGCTTGACCCCGCGGAGTTCTGCTTCAGCCTTCAGACCTGCGACTTGCTCTTCAGCCCCACCTGCCTCCCAGCAGCCAACACTTGGGGGGCCCCCAGGAGCAGAGCAGGCCCATCTCTCCACACTGGCCGGCAGCAAAGGCTCCCGGGGTTTCCTGGTGGGGCTCAAGCTGTGGAAAGGGGTTACCTCCTGCCCCCCAGAAAGCCCCAGGGACGCCTCCATCCTCCCAGGGACGTTTGAGCCCTCTGCCTTGGGGGCAGCCTGCTTGAGCGCCCCAGGGTGCCTCTCCTGCCCGGCTCTTGGTGCCCCCTCCTGACCTCCCCTCTCCCCCCTCCAGGCCACCTGCGCTCTGCATGAGATCATGTCTGTCCCAGAGTGTGGCCCGGCCATCGTGGGCCTCTACGCTGAGCTCTTCGTCTCCCTCCTGCTCCGGGTCAGCTGCACGGTGGGCGTCCATCTCCCCAAGAACATGCAGTCCAAGGAGAGGAAGAGCGCCGGCCGCGGGCAGCCCCTCCGGCCGCTGGACCCCTGCAGGTACCGCTGGGCCAGCCCCCTCAGCTGCCTCCCTCTGCCTGCCATGTGGAACTGATTTTGCTGGGGGTTTGTTTTTTTCACCAACACGGCGGCAGTGGCAGCAGCAGCAGCGAGGTCTCCGCACATAATCTGATGGTTGGGTAATGCGCCACGGCCCATAACGTATTAGGTATGAAGGCAGGCCTGACCTCGGCGGGGGATTAGCTCCCCCCTCGCTTTCCACACACTCGCCTCCCCCTAAATCAGGAAATATTAAATCGCTCTTCCTGTTGCAGCCTGGCTTGTGGTTTTTGCCTTCGCATTCTTTGCATGGTGCGTGCAGAGGTGCCCTCGCGCTCTCTCTCTCTCTCTCTCGCGCACGGCTGCCGGGTTGGGTTACGTCTGCCTCTCCAGCAAGGCAGGGAGGAGCTGCTCAGTGCTGCACAGGCCAGGGAAGCGTTTTCCTGAATAAAAATTGAATTTTGGGGGGTGGGGTGCACATTCAGAGCAGCCTTGCTGTGAATCGCTGGGAGCCTGGCTCTCCCCCCTGCGACACGCAGAGCAGCAGTGCTGTGGATGCCTTGTCCCGGGGGGGGGGGGCATTGGGCACCTCTGGCCATCGCCTGCACTTCCTTCATCCACTCCCTGCCCCTCCTCAGGGAGGTGGGGCTTGCTTTTTGGTTTCTGTGGGGCAGTGTCAGACGCAGCAGGTGTTTCCCCTGCGTGCAGAGTGTGGTGCTCCTGCGCCACTTGCATCGGCTGGGGGACGACCCTGTGTCCCCTGGCTCCCCCTGGCACCTTGGCCTGGCAGAAGCGGCTGCACTGGGTGCTTCAATGTGATTGTGTTTCTTAATGGTGTCAACGCCCGTCCAGGGGCCACAGTGGCATTCGCCTGCCAAGGGTCCTTTGGCGTGGGAGGGAAGGGTCTGTTTGGCCAGGGGGTCCCTTGGCCCGTGTGCCTGTGGGTGCTCACTGCTTCTACGCCATTTCAAGTTGGCTGCTCCACTTAGAAGCCCGCAGGGTCAGCCTCCCAGGGGTGGTGGATGCCCCTCGCTGGCCTACCAGCAGGCAAGGCACAACTTTGGCTTCGCTGCCCCAACTCCTGGCTTCCTTTCCCTGCGCCAGAGAGGGGGAGCCTGCCGTCCTCCAGAGGTTATTGGACTCCCAGCAGGGCCAGTGGAAAGGGATGCTGGGAGTCCAGCAACATCCCTGGGGGGCCACAGAATCACCCCCCTTCCCAGTCGGAGTCGGCAAACTCCCTTGGTGTGTTCCACCAGAGCTGTGTGCGGACAGCAGTCAGATTCCCAACTGGTTGGTGAGCCGGATCCTGGCAATGACTGGAGGTGCAGGGCAAGACGGGAGTCTCCATGCCAGGTCCCCCCCCCCCACGTGGCCAGGCTGGGTCCAGAGAAGGGCACCTGTGTCTCCTCTCGGACGCTGGTGGAGAAGAGCAGGCTGCCCTCCTGGTCTGTGTGCGAATGCTGGTTTCCTGTTTTGGGGGACCCCAAATCATCATATCCTCCCCTCGTATTTTGGGCTTAGTGTGACAGGACAATGGAGGTTTTCCAGATGTCACGCTCCGCTCACGGCGCAATAATCCCACCCCCATAAAACACTAATGCAGGCAAAACCTCCTCTGAGCAGCCGCGCCAGCCGCCCGGGGCTTCTTAGCGTTGCGGCCGACAGCCTTGAGCACCTCCAAGAGGCGCCTGGGGTGGCAGGAGCCACGGATCCGGCCCCTCTCCCCCACCCTCCCCTCTCTCAGAGGCAGAATCGAGTGGACCTTTTCTCTCTCTCCCCCCCCCTCCCAAGCTCTGCCGTGGAGACCCTCAAGGCCATGCTGACGCAGGGGGGCAGCGAAGAGGTGGCCAGGGCAGTGTCGGCCTCGGGCGGCTGGGAGTCCCTGAGAAGCGTGGAGAGGCACCATGATGGCGTTGCCGTCCTGGCCAGGTGAGTGGCTGGGTGGCAGGCAGAGGTGGCTCTGCCCGCTTGAGCCCATCTCCTGGGGCTGCCCTGGGCAGGGGGACGTGGCTCAGCTGGAAGAGCCTGGGACCAGTTCCTTGCCTCTCGCCAAGGTATAGGTCAAGGGACCCCTGACCATTAGGTCCAGTCGTGGCCGACTCTGGGGTTGCAGCACTCACCTCGCTTTACTGGCCGAAGGAGCCGGGTGCAGCTTCCGGGTCATGTGGCCAGCAGGACTAAGCCGCTTCTGGCGAACCAGAGCAGCGCACGGAAACGGCGTTTACCTTCCCGCTGGAGCAGTACCTATTTATCTACTTGCACTTTGACGTGCTTTCGAACTGCTAGATTGGCAGGAACAGGGACCGAGCAACGGGAGCTCACCCCGTCATGTGGATTCGAACCGCTGACCTTCTGATCGGCAAGCCCTAGGCTCTATGGTTTGACCCACAGCGCCACCCGTGTCCCGGACTCTCGCCAAGGCAGGCACAATTAGGCCAGGAGCGGAAGGGGCTCTTGTGTTGAGATGCTTGCTGCAATCCCAAGAAACCTGTTTGCCAATCCCAGAGACATACATCCTGTCCTGTTGCCCTGGGGGCGGGCAGCATTCAGTCAGTTCTGGTTATCTCTCTTTGCACCCCAGGCTCTTGGCTACTGAGCCTCCCAATTTGGCCCTGGGACTGAGCGGGGCTGAATCACCTGGCAGGGCTGTGGAGTCATTGGGAGGGGGAAGCAGTGGTGGACATGGGAGCCCCTTCCTCTCCCGCTTCCCAAGGAGCAGAGCTGGCATGGGGGGGGCTGCCCCCTACGTGGCGAGAGGCCTTCTCAATTGGGGTGGGTGCCCTCTCCTTCTGCAGCGCCATGGCGAAGCACGCTGGGCCCAAGCTGCCCCTGATTGTGAAGACCCTCTCCCCCATGCTGAACAGCATTTACGACAGCCAGCGCTTGACCACCACGGCCTTCTTTGCGGAGGTGGGTCCACGAAGGGGCCGGGGGATGGGCGTCCTGCTGTTGGCCTTAGCCAGGGGGGGCAAGGCAGTAATGAGAGGGGAAACTGCAAAGGGGGAGACTGCCAAGTGCTTCTAGTCTGGCAGTGTCTGTGTGTGTTGTGGCCATGGACCCCTCCCTGGAGACTCTCCGAATATTTGTCCTCTCCTCCCACCCCTGACTAGTAGACTGGTAGGAAGGTGGCCAAGGGGGGCCCCTCCCTAGCCAAGACTGCTGTTTAAGCGGAACCGGGGAAGCTGCCTTTCCCTGTCTTGCTCCCTATTGCCTGCACTGACTGGCAGCAGCAGGAACGGCCGCCAGTGGGGACTGAACCTGGGACCCACTGCATGCAAGGCAGGGGGCTCTACCTCTTAGCTCCCTTTTTCCCGCCAGAGGGAAGCTGCCCCTCAGCCCCAGCAGCCAGCAACGCATCGCTTCACTGCTCCTGCCATGCCACTCTGAGGAATGGAGTCCAGCTGCTGTGTTAGGCCCCCCTCCCTCCCTGCTGCTGCTGCTGTAACCCCTATACCTCCTTGCCCGACTCCCCACCTCCAGCTGGGGCTTTCCAAGTGGCCTTGTCGCTGCCCGGCTTGATCCTGGCTCATAAACCACCTCTTTGCGTCTCCGCTGATGGAGTGGCCTGGGATTGAGCGGTGGGGAGTCCTGTGGCTGGATGTGGGCCCAGAGCCGAAGGGCTGGCTGCCTGCCTGGGCCTGCCGTCCGGCTGAAGCTTTAAAATAGCAGCTCTGAGGAGCAGGCGCCTGCGCCCCCCCCAGCCCCCTCAGGAAGGTGATGAGGTGTGAGCTGCCCTCCACTCTCCCCCGATGTGCCAGGGACAGAGGGAGGCGTCTGGCCAGGAAAGGCTCCGAGGCAAGAGAGCAGGGCTGGGGGGGCCTTGGTCCTTCTCCCTTCTGGCCTGACCCTGAGCCCTGGGGAGCCTCCTCTGGAAGGTGGGGGGGTCCCGGGGCGCCTCAAGGGGAGCTGCAGACTCAGACTCTGGGGAGGGTGGCCGGTGTGTCTCTGGCTGTGTCTCTGTTCACTGCTTGTGCCTTTCAGCTCCTCAGCAGCAACGTGGTGAACGACCTGGTCCTGCTGGCGTCCGTGATGGACAGCATGACGGCCCGGCAGAGGGACCCCTGCACCTCCGTGCGGATGCTGGCCCTGCGCGGCTTGGGCAACATGGCTTCGGGCTCGCCGGAGAAGGTGAGGGCGGATGCCAGTGGATGCCCGCTCCCAGGAGGGCCCCCTCTGCTTCCCCTGCTCAGGGGGGCACCTTCCCTTTCCCCCTCCCCAATATCTGCCAGGACGAGGCTGCTCTCGCTTGGGCAGAGCAGGCACAGGAGGGGTGCCAGGGTGGGCTTTGGCCCTGGCCCCCTCTGGATCAGTGCTGCCACCCTGGTCTGAGGGGCAGCAACTGCAGCAGAGGCGCTGGGGCGCACCCACCCCTGGCACTGCCACTGACGGTGCCTGGTGTGTGCCCCCCCCGGCAGGTGAGGCGTCACGGGGCTCAGCTCCTGGCTTCCATGATGAACGGCATGGACGACAAGGACGACCCCCACAGCCTGGTGGCCCTGGAAGCCATGGGGGGCCTCGCCAAGATCCTGGGCTTTCTGGAGGAGAGGGACGTCCGCTCCATGCTGCTCCACATCGCCATCCGCATCCGGCCCTTCTTCGATAGCGTAAGCGCTTCCAGGAGGGGAAGCTGGCCTGGATGATGCCCTGGCCAAGGGGCTGCTGGGGCAGAAGGGGGGGGAGGAACAGCATGCCAGAGCTCTTCCTAAGGCAGGTTTGGGTCCTTCCCTGCTGGTAGGGATCCTGGTCTGTGGCTGGGGGGAGGAGCTTGTGTTTAATAATAAAAATAATATTAATAATAAAAATACATTTTATTTATACCCCGCCCTCCCCTGCCAGAGCCAGGCTCAGGGCAGGTAACTACAGTAAAAACATAATAGGGAAAAGAAAAGGAAAAAAAAGAAAAAATAAACAATTTAAAATACAGGTTAAAATGCAGCCTCATCAAAACCATCAGGGGAGGGAAACATAAGGGTCAGACTGAGTCCAAACCAAAGGCCAGGTGGAACAGCTCTGTCTTGCAGGCCCTGCGGAAAGATGTCAAGTCCCGCAGGGCCCTAGTCTCTTGGGACACCACCCTGAGGAGGCTGGATGGCAGAGGACAGGCAGGGCCCTCCCTGGGACGCTTTTGCCACAGCCCAACAGCTGGCGCTGCTTCGCTTGCAGGAGAAGCATGAGCTCCGCCGGTCGTCCATCCTCCTCTTTGGCCACCTGACCAGGTTCAGTGCTGGCAGCTGCGAAGAGGCTTTCTTTGAGCAGATCCTGAATGGGCTGGTCACTCTGCTGCTTCACCTGCAGGACCCAAAGCCGGAGGTCGTCAAGGTGCGTGTCTCTTCGGTTGGAGGGGCTGTGGCTGGCACGGGGGGTGGGGGGCAGGACTTGCTCTTGGGGCAGCTGACTGGCCGCCCCCATGTTCTCCTTGCAGGCTTGCAAGTTTGCCCTGCGCCAGTGTGGCCCCAGCATGGGCTGCCCCGTCCTTTGCGACATGTTCCAAAACCACCTTCATGAGGACCGGAGCCTCCACTATGGCGAGTTCATGAATGACGTCTGCAAACACCTGGTGAGTATGAAGTGGGGGGGGGTAGCGGAGACCCTGCCTGAGCAGAGCGCGTGGCCCCCAGCCCTCCCTCCGAAGTGGCACAGCAAGGAGCCCCCCTCTCGGCCTCAGAAATGTTTTTACTTTCCTTCTTTGTCCAGAGACCCCCTTTCCCTCCCCGGGCAACTGGCAGCCACCTTTTTAAATTTTACCCAGTCTGTCTCTGGACCACTGCAATGCTTTTACAGTGGTACCTTGGGTAACAGACGCTTCAGGTTACAGACTCCGCTAACCCAGAAATAGTGCTTCAGGTTAAGAACTTTGCTTCAGGATGAGAACAGAAATTGTGCTCCGGCGGCGCGGCGTCAGCGGGAGGCCCCGTTAGCTAAAGTGGTGCTTCAGGTTAAGAACGGTTTCAGGTTAAGAACGGACCTCCGGAACGAATTAAGTACTTAACCTGAGGTACCACTGTATTATCATCTACCCCCGTGTTTTTTGGTTTTAATGTTTGGAAAGTCACTGGGATATTTTTCTAGTGAGTGCCTAGCAGCAATAATAATAATAATAATAATAATAATAATAATATATTATTTATACCCCACCCCACCCATTGGGCTGCGTTTCCCCAGCCACTCTGGGCGACTTCCAATCAAATGTTAAAAACAATACAGCATCAAGTATTAAAAACTTCCCTCAACAGGGCTGCCTTCAGATGTCTTTTAAAGATAAGATAGCTGCTTATTTCCTTCACATCTGAAGGGAGGGCCTTCCACAGGGCGGGCGCCACCACCGAGAAGGCCCTCTATCTGGTTCCCGGTAACCTCACTTCTCGCAATGAGGGAACCAGAAGGCCCTCGGTGCTGGACCTCTGTGTCCGGGCTGAACAATGGGGGTGGAGATGCTCTTTCAGGTATACAGGAAGTCTAATAAATGATATTTTAAACAAGCAGTGAAAAGGCAAGATAAACTACCTTGGTTTATGCCAGGCCAGATCCCCAATGAAGCAGGTAGCCTCACGCAGCCCGAGGGTTGTGACAACCGAGATGGCAAAGAGCAGCCTTGGTGCCCTGGCAGAGAAGGCTCCGTTGCTCGTGCCCGTCTTCCAAATCAGACGCTGAGCAGAGCCTCGGACTCGGACTTGCCCTGAGAGCTCAGCCGGGCCCACGGGGGTGGAAGCCGTTCTTCAGAGGTCCTGTTTAGGGCTCTAAAGGACTCCAAAGTGGGCTGGGGAACAAATGGGGCGGCCAATGGAAGGAGAACATCCCTTAGCCTTGGTGATGTTGGGAGGGGGATGGTGGAGAAGAGAGATGTCTCTGCTGCTCCCTTCCTCCAGCTCTGGTGGGGCCGGGGCGGGGGCAGGTGGACGGACTCTCCTGGGGGGGGGGTCTCCCCTCCAGTGCCGACTGCTCACCTCCGCTGGGTCTCCCTTCCTCTTGGCAGATGCAGTCTTACCCCGACACGCTGAGTCGTCTGGTGGCCACAAACCTCTTCTACTTCAAGAGCAACTGGCCGGACATCCGGGCGGCTGCCCCCATGTTCGTAGGTGAGGCGGGCAAGGGGCACCCTGGGCAGAGCAGTTCCTGGCCACCCCTTTGTCCCCAAGCTGGGTGGGCATCAGGGGATTTGCCCCTTGCATTGCCCTGAGCGTCACCCTTTGGCCCTTCCCTTCCAGGCTTCCTTGTTCTCCACGTGGACAGAGAACACAGCCAACAGCTGGACCTGGATGAGCTCATTGCCGGTGAGTCTCAGGGCTGGCGCAGGACGCTTTGCCGCCCGAGGTCTCCCCCTCCACCCAGGTGGTTCCTGGTGCCCAAGGCCAGCTCCTGTCCCTTTGGCAGCTGAGGCTGGTCCTTCCTGCTGTGGTGCCCTTCCGGGGTGCTCAAAATTTGGTGCCCCCTGGCAGGGGTGAGGGCGGCAGCTCCGGGGGGGGGGGCTTTTGCTAGGCTTGCCTTGCCCTGGCAGCTGGGCACTGGGGTTCTGGGGCAGAGGCAGCCTGCAGAGGGGCAGGTGGCAGAGGCTGGCAGGGAAGTGTCTCCACCTGAGGTTCAGTGGAGGCAGAGTCGGCCTTGACACCCATCTCGGAAGGAGGTCTGCCATCTGCCAATGCAGGTCACGGACCAAGCATGTGGCCCAAATGTTCTCCTTCTCTTCCTTGGGGACCATTGCCCCCTTTATTGGTCTTCCTATACAAGGAGGTTGTTAATGAGGGTTGTGTCTATGGGGAGGTGGGAGCTGAAGAGAGCTGGAATCCTTCCTGCAAAGTGCAGGCAGCCCACGGCCAGGGACCACCCGGGCACTGCAGGCGAGGGCTGCCTGTCCTTTGGGTGGGACCTGGGGAGATGGGGGTCACCTGCACCTCTGGCTGCCCTCAGGCGTGCTGGGGCTGGAGGCCCAGCGATGTGAAGTGGGGCGATCAGACATGCCCAGCGCATGTCCCTCCCTGAGCAGGGACCTGCCATTCAAAGCGCAGCGGAGGAAGCCAGTTTGAGTAACGAACTTTCCTGGATTTCGGGGCTGTTTTTCCTTGTCAGCAGTGACCTCATCGCTTCGAGTAAGACTCGGAAAATCTCTGAGCTTTCCAGCAGAGCTTAAAAACCACTAAAAAAGGGAAAACTATCTTTCCGTTGGCTGTTGGAGTGGTCCTGAAGAGAGGCCCGTCTGTTTGCCGGAGTGGGGGATGCAATTGGGGAGCGGGGAGGCCAGGCTCCGGATGGGGTCACCGCAGCTTCCCGTATTGAGCGGGAGGCGCTCTGCCTGCCAGCGCCCCCCGGGGGGGGAGCTCCTGCAGCTGGCCAGTGCTGAGCCACGGGAAGCGGCTCTGCACATAAATCAGGCCGCCTCGTTCGCTCTGCAGGGACGCCAGAGTCTCGGATTTGCAGTGTAAACATGCTACTGGAAAAATATTATTGTATCTCTGCTGCTCGAGAGGAACTCTTGGCGTGTGCTCCCCTTCGCAGTTGGGTCTGTGCCAGCGGGCGGAGCGGCCCAGCGCCCCTCAGAGGCTCTGGCGGGGTTTGCCAGGCTGTGTGCTGTCTGGCCCTCCAGGTCGCAGAGTGGGGCTCTGGCTCCCAAGCAGGATAGGGCCCAGTAGGGGGGCCCACGGGAGGCCGAGGATAATAAGGCCACTTGGGCCCAAGCTTGCGTCTTGCGCAGCGAAGGGAGTTGTTGGGCTTCTTGCTGACGGGCTCTGCTTCCCCCCCAGCTCTGACTGTGCTGCTGAAGGACCCCGTGACGGCCGTGCGGGTGAAGGTGGCCGAGACCCTGGGCCGCCTCGTCAGGATTGCCTGAGGGCCTCCAAGCAGCCCGTGTGGGACCCTGGCAGGACGTCTTCACCGGACGATCTTCCTCCCTGCTGCACCTCAAACCCGCCTTGGCCTGCGGAGGCCTCTTCCAGGCACCTCACGTCTTCCACAGCACTCACTGAACGCCGTCCGCCTGGGGCAGGGGAGGCCCACGACCCCAGGACTCTTCCGGCGGTGCCACGACCCCCACTTGTACAGTCTGCAGTCACGTGTCCCAAGCGCACCCCCCCCCCCCGAGGGACAGGCCAGAGCTGCTCTGCACGAGCCGGCTGGTCCAGGCACCAGAGCACAGAAAAACCCTTTCCAGTGCTGCCTCTTCCACCTCCACGGGCTTCTCCCTCTCTCCCCCCTTCAGGCGTGGACTATCTTCTGAACACGGATCTGGGACTTTGGGGAGAAGCGGGGGCACTTCTCCCACTGTGCACAGAGGAGCTGGCAAGACCCCTCCCCTCCTGCACTCTCCTGCCCCGTCCAAGAGCTTCCACAGGTTCATCCATTGTTCCTCAGTAGAATTTGTACATAAAACCAGACAACCTATTTTTAATAAAGTATTTGCTTCTCAGAAACGCCGTGTCAAGGCTTCCTTGGCTATTGGGGGCCAGTACTTTGCATAGGATTTTGTAGACCTGCTCTGGAAGGTAGGACTCGAACCCATGGCTTCAAGTTACCAGAAAGGAGATGCCAACTTTCTGAGGGTAAGAGCTGTTTGACAAGTAGGTCAGGCTCCCTTGGAAGGTGGGGGGGCCTCCTGACAGGGATGCTTAACAGATTCCTGCATTGCAGCGGGTTGGACTAGATGACCCTCAGGGCCATGCACAGCTGTATTCCAATATAAAGGTGTAAATACGTATAGACATTTAATTACTAATAAAAAGAGTGCAGGAAGACCTTCCTTGAGGCCACCGTCAGCTCTGCCCTCTATTTTTTAGGGATCCTTCCTTTCCTGGGACAAAGGAGCCCATCCACGATCATGTATCTAAACCATTTAATCATAAAACAAGTATTTCAGGCTTCAGTCTCTGCCCAGGGCACTTCCGCTGCCCTGGGAAAGCGAGTCAGGATGCGCAGTCCCACCCGGGGAGGGAGGTTACGTGAAGAGCCGGACGGTGGCATCTGCGCCTGCAGAGAAGACCCAGGGCTGGCTGGGGTGGAAGACGACGTCCAGGACCCCCAGGTCGTGGGTGAGCGCGTGGCCCTTCAGCACTTTCACCGGAACGATGAGCGGATTCTGAAGCAGGTCACTGCATAGGGGAGGGGGGGGAGGAGTTTGATTCCCTCTCACACACTGGCTCTTATGCAGGAGGGTTTACCCCACAATCCTTCCACCCCCCACCCTCCCCCTCCTACTCACTTGTAAACCATGCCATGGCAAACGATGACGCTGCCGTCGTCTGAGCCAGAGGCAAAGAGCGGGTAGTGGGGGTGGAAAGCCACGGCCCTCAGCGCTGCCTTGTGGTGCCTGCCGGGAGAGAGAAGGTCAGCCTCATCCAGCCACGGCGGTGCTCCTCTGTTGCTTCGCAAGCCCCAGTGGGAGAACCTCCGTGCAAGGACAGGGATGGGGGGTTTCTTTGCCTCTCACCCCTCCTTCTGCCAGCAAGCGCGTGTGAGAGGGAGACGCAGTAAATCTGCACAAGAGTGAGTCTACAGTGGGATAGAGGCAGGGAGTCTGGCCAAGGGAGGTCAGCCTCGCCCTCCAGCAACTATCCCAAGGGGTGCTCTAGAAATGGGCGGCCATTGTAAGATTCCTTTCAGGGCCATTCCCAAGACAGCAGGGCACCACCGCCTTGCGGGCAACCTGCTTTACTTCTCTGCATGGGGAGGGGTTATGCTGGCGAATGGGGGTGTGAATTGAGATCCATCCAACGTCCACTGGGAGGCAACAGCTGGAGTGGATACAGGAGGGGGCTGGACCTGCCTGCCCACCTCTGCAGCCACACAGCCAGTCAAGGGCAGCAGCAGCAGGTCTTTGGGCGGTGGGTGGGAAAGGGGAGCCTAGAGGCCCTCCACCCAGACCCGCCTTGGCCCTGCGCCCATCCCTGGCTTCTCTGCTGACTGACCTCAGCACCCGGTAGGGCTTGGTGGACAGGTCCAGATCAAACCAGGTGAGTTTGCTGTCGTAGCTGCCGCAGATCAGGTTGTCACCTGAGGGGGGAAGGAAGCAGGGAGCCTTCAGCAGGAGCCTCCCCCTAAGGACGCCTGAGCGCTGCGGCTCCAGTCTGGTCCCGGTGGGCGAGGGCAGCACCCAGGGGAGGCTTAACTCATCAAGTCCTCTGGGGCAGCGGGCAGGCATCTCCCCCCCGGAGGGCCCACCATGCCCACCCCTGTCCAGCTGCCCCCTGTGTGCCAAGTGGGTGTTCCTGTGGACGCTGCTACCGCTGCCCAGGCTCCGCTCACCTGCCGGATGGAGGGCCACACTGGAGACCCACTGGCAGTTGGCGTGCAGCTTCTTGGTGAGCTCCTGCTTGAGGAGGTTGTAGACGCGGATGAAGCGCTGCGTGGCCACGAAGAAGAAGGGCCTCAGCGGGTGGAAGAGGACGCGCTGCACTTGGCCCTTGCTGCGCCGGAAGGGCGCCTGGCTCCAGCGCTTGCTGGCCTGGTGGATCAGCACCTGCAGGTGGCTGTTGTCCTGCACCACCGTGGCAAAGTAGTCGCCTTTCGCGTGCCACGTCACCTGCTTCAGGGACTGCAGGAGGGAGGGAGGGAGGCAAGACAAGGCTCTGGGTGTGTGCAGGCAAACATCACCACACACACACCGTTTCTTAGATGTGACATAAATAAGGTTCATCAGCAGAGAGGTGGCTCCCCTCCTTGCTTTGGGCTTAGCAGAGCAGGGAGAGTCCAGCCCCCATAGCAAAAGCCTCCTCCCACCCTGGGCTTCAACGCCCCCCTTCCTCTCCTTGGGTACCTTCCCATGCCGGACAATGAGGCGCACGCCCCGGCTCCTCTCCTCTCCGGTTGCCTCCTCCCAGGTGACAGGCTGTGGCCGCTCCTCCTCGGGGGGCACGTAGGCATCCAGGAGCTGGTCAGTGGCCCCATACAGCAGCTTGTCCCCAAGGCTGGGGTTCACCAGGAGCACCGACTGCTCCCTGCAAGGAGAGGAATGGAAAAGGTGAGGAGGAGGAGGACATTGTGCTTGCTGGGTCCCAGGGGCGCAGAGAAGCAACGGTCCCAGCCAATGCGGCCTGGAGCCCCCAGAAGAAACCTGGCGTGTGGCACAAGGACTGTGTGTGGCTGGGCGGGATCAGAAGGGGCTCCTCAAGTCCCACGTTCTGGGCCCAGTTTTACTGGCTGTACTGAAAGCTGCCAAAAGGGGGCATGCAAACATTTTAACAGAAGGAACCAGAGGCCGGCCAGATGTGCCACAGGTTCCCCACAAGCAGGACACGATGGGAGTAGCCCTCTTCTGCTGTCCACCCGTCCAAGCCTTTTGGTGGCACAGGCTGCCTCTGCCCCTGGAGCTCCCGTCCAGCCACCCTGCGCAAGACAGTCCTTCCTCTGTGCACGAACCCTCACAGCCCTCTTTTGGAGCTGCCTAAGTGGGTGCTCAGCGCATCTTGCAGCAGCAACAGACCCCAGGCGGGGGGGACATGCTGTGTGAAGAAGGGGCTCCTCTGTCTCCTGACAGGCAGCTTCATGGGACGACCTCCCTCTCCCCCTGCCCAGAGTTTGAGGATCCTGGGGGTGTCTGTGCATTTGTCCTCTCTCAAGAGTTCACAAACTACGCTGTCACCTCCCCCACTGCTTAAGAGTGGCCCCATGCAGAAGGGTCCCAGCGTCTTCCCCATGGCAGGCCCCCTTCCCAGCTGCACCATCTCCTCCTTTTGAGGAGGTGGCAGAACCGTGCTCAGCATCTCTAGCTGAACTGCCACAAGGTTTGCGTAAAGGCCCTGCCAGGGTGACATGGGCAGTTTTGTTTGTGACCGCTTCCCGAAGGACACCAAGCAGGAGCTGGCCTTTCCCTTAGGATCCCTTTTGTGCCATTCACCCAGCCAAAAGAGCCCTGTCTGCAGATCCTTCAGAGACCCTGCTGCCTTCCCTCCTCCGCCCTGAAGGATTCTCCGCCTTGGCTGCTCCCAGAAGGGAGAGGGTACTCACACGGCAATGCCCACCAGGCAGACAGTGGGGTTGGGGTTCCAAGCCAAGCTCTTCACTGCGCCTTCCACTGGGAGGGTCTTCACACACCGGGCCGTGCAGACCTCCCAGAACTTCACCGTCCCGTCATCGGAACCTGCGCAACCCCAGGCACAACCAGGGTGAGGGTGGGCAGGGGTAAGTGGCCCCTGCTCCCCTCCCCACCGAGAAGCGGCTTGTGCTCCCGGTGCCCGTCCAGAGCTGCTGCTTACCTGAGGCCAGCCACTGTCCACTGGGGGAGACGCTGAGGCAGCGCACCAGGCTGGTGTGGCCACGATAGACCTGGCGAGAGAAGGAGGGGAGTGAAGCAGGCAAGGCTGGAAGGATGGGCCAGAGACTCCTCACACGGCGCTCTCACTGCCCACTCCATTGACCAGGGCAGTACTGGACCCCTGGCTGTCTCTTCCCTCATTTACAGACTTGACTTCTATACCCTGCTCCCACCCACAGCATAAAAGCCAGAGGGGGGCCCTGCCTCCCCTTGGTGGGGTCCCTCCGAAGCCTTACCAAGGCCTGCACGGTGGGGAACGGCTGCAGATCCCGCGGCTTGGGCAGTTTGGGGATCAAATCCTCAGGATCCACGTTGACCTAGAAGAGAAGGAAGCTGTGAGCAAACGGCATGCCAAGGGCTCCCGCCTTCCACGGGGCCCTCTGCTCCAGGAAGGCAGCTTGCCTTAAGCGGAGAGGCCAGACTCCTTTGCGCAGGCTCCCAGGAGGGCATATCTCTGCCACCTCCTCCTTCCAGAGGAGATGTCTGCCTCTGGAAGCCGGAACGACCTTTGCAGTCTCAGCTTTGTGACTGCCGAGACCCCTGCCACTCTCCTGCACACCAGCATCTCAGGTGGCGACTCTGTTCCAGTCCTGCCCCTTAACTGCCTTGTGTTAGTGTACATTTTATGGATGTGTTTAATGTTTTGGTGGAACTGTTCCACTGTGGATTTTAATTTGGTGTGGATTTTGTACTTGCAAGCCGCTTAGAAGCCATCTGGGAAGGTGAGTGGCATATTCCTTCATTTGTTCATCATCCCGTCCCACCCGGGGGAGGCAGGCAGACCTTGGTCCCAGCCGACCTGCCTTCCCGGCCACCCCCACCCTGGGAGAGACCCGCGGCTTCTACATACCCGCATCTTCCTCTGGCGTGGGCAGAGGTAGAGGTCCAGGCAGCGCTCAAAGCGCTCGTGGATGAAGCGGGGGTAGGCAGGCACCCGGCGAAGACAGTCATGCCGGCGGGGCACAAAGTTCAGCTTGCGCTCCGAAGGCTCCTGCTGCTCCCAGGCCAGCTTCTGCAGGAAGAGGGAGAGAAAGAGACCGAGGTCACCTGGAAGTAGAAAAGCAGCTGGAGATGGGACCCCAGGAGACCCTCTGTGTGTTCTGCCTCCCCACCTGAGTGGGGCCCACAGACTCTCTTTCCCTGATCCAAACACACCCCAGCCTGCTCCGCCTCCTTCCGGCTCACCTCTTCCTCCGTAGGGAGGTACTCTGGCGGAGGGTTGTACGATTCCTCATGGCCGGGCAGAGGGAGCTTGGGGGCAGGAACATGCATCTTGTGCCGGCCCAGGATGGAATTGGGATCTTCCTGAGCCCAAAGGTCATAGAAAGCCGGCGTGTCCTCCTTGGGCTTCCGGGGCTTGATCCAGCCCATCTTGATGGCGTGGACCAACTTGGAGACCTGCAAATGGGGACCTGCTCAGTAAGGAAGCAGCTCCTGGCAAAGGCCTTTGGAGCCAGGAGAGACAGCTGCCTGTTCCTCCCTGTGGGTGTAAGGAGAACCTGGGAAGAGGCTGCCTTCATGGTGCTCAAGGCTCCCCTTGGCCAGAGACTTTTCCTCAAGTGGGGCCACAGAATTGCTTCCTTCCTAGGAACCTGCTTTTTAACACTAACAATTTCCTTGTTTTCCTGTGTTCCAGGCAATAAACTTTCTTCTTGCTCAGGTACATTTAAGCTTTCCTGACTGCCTAAATCAGGGGTTGGCAAACTACGGCCACGGGCTGCATCCGGCCCAATTGCCCTCAGGATCCGGTCCATGGATTGTGTGGATTCCTTCCTTAATTTTTTTCGTTAATCACACACCGTGGCGCCTCCTCCTGACTTCTCCCCGCCCTGTGTAGAGGAGGAAGGGGGATGGGCTGAGTGCCATTTTGGGCAGCACCTCTCCGGAGCCAGACAGCCCATTCGGGCCAATCGTCCCTCTGCCGCTCGCGAGGGCAGGCACAGGAGCTGCAGTCTACTGAGCCTCTCTGGAGCCAGCCCACCCTTGCACCGGCAGCACCATAGGTAGACAGGGGGAGGGGAGGGGCTGGGGGAGAGAGAAAAGCCCTCTCTGCCGCGCGTGCAGTCTGGCCCGCCACAAGGTCTGGGGGACGGTGAACCGGCCCCCTCCAAAAAAAGTTTGCTGACCCCTGGCCCAGATGTTGCTTTCTGCACGCTAGTGAGTGTTTTCAGGGGCAGAGAGTGCTGGCAAGCCCCCCAGGGCCCCTTGCTGGACCCAGAATTGCCGCAGGCGAACGTTTAGGACCAGGTGCCTCCACCTGCCTGGGGAGCAGCTGGCTGATGCAGAGGTCATGTTTTGCACTGAGTGGATGTCTCTTCTGACCAGGCTTGACCAGCAACATCTTGGTGTGCAGTAACTGCTGTAGCCAGTTCAGTGCCCTGGCTTCTGTGCCCAGAGCCAAATGCTCGCTGTGGCTCAAGGCATTTCCAGCATGGGGCTCCTCAGGGGCAGGGCTGCCTCCAGGGTATACTGATGGAGGGGCCCTCTAGTTGGGGAGGAGCATATGGGGATTAATAAGAGCACCTCATGAGATCTGGGTAGGACTCCAGCCTGGCCTGGAGAGCCAGGCCTCATAATGCCTGAATCTTCTGTCCCCCCGCACAACCTGTGCTTGATGGGAGACGCCTGGCCCAGACCCCTCCCTTCCCTCCCTCTCCTGCTCACCTTCTCCTTCTCAATGAGGGAGGGGATGAAGCTCCGCTTGTCGGCTGGGCGGTTCGTCACAGGATGGATCATCACCTGGCTGCTGAAGAAGTCGATGGCGGGCTGCAAGAGAGGCGGGGCTTAGGAGGGCAGAGCTGAAGAGTGGCGGGGCAAGAGGAGGAGCCTCATTGCCATTGGGCGGCAGGCCTTTCCTTACCTCGTATGGGTTGAAATTTACGTCCCCAAACTGGCCCCTCTGGAGACGGTGCACCAGATCCACCTGCTCGTCAGATAGCTTGATGTCCACTCCGGTCATCTTGTCCTGGACCGTCCGCCTGGGGTGGGGTGAAAGGGGAGGGTGAAGGGGGGGAGAGACAGGCTGCCCACCCTGCCGACCAGCCCTTGTTGGCACAGGTGGCAGAACTATAAGGGCCTGAGTTGCTGGCAGGACCCGAGTCTCAGGCTAGCCCTGTGCTGGGCACACTTTCTCGGTCTCAGCCCTGTCTGACCCCCTCCCCTTGCCATCCTCTGCCAGCTCAGAGCCCCTCACCAGTAGTCAGGGCTCTCCATCTTCTCCAAAAACTTGTCCAGCTCATCCTTGGTGCGGATGGGCCTGTAGATCTTCTTCCCATCCAAGTCATAGCCAATGTGGGGGAAGTCCTGGTACCACTCCATGGGGATGTTGCCCACTGTGTTGCGGATGTCCTGGAGGAGGAAGAGGGCGAGGGATAAGACAAAAGCCAGCTCTGGAGGCCTGAAGGCAGCTGCTCAGGTTCAGGGGAAGGTCTGGAGGGCATCTCTCTCGCACACACATCCCACAATGGCAGGTCCAAACCTGCTCCCCTCCCTCACCCATGAATGGGCTCTTGCAGGATGTCCAAGGGAAACCAAGACTGCTCAGCGCCACCCCTGGCTTGGCCTCAAATCCTGACTGCACCCCCAAACCAGGCAGGGTGGATGCAGAGGCAGAGAGAGAGAACCACAATGCCTGCTGACAGCCTCTCCCTACCCACCCAATGAAGGCAACCTCACCCAGCCTGCTGGCTTGCAGCTGGCACCATCTGGTAGGGACGGCTTCATAAGGGAGCCAGGTGTGTCAGAGTAATGAGGAGCTTCAGCCACCACAGGTGAAGGTGGGGCAGAGCAATGGGTTGGCCTGGCCTGTACCACGGACTCGGAGGGATGCTTCTGAAGACGTTCCGAGGGGACCATGAAAATAACACCAGATGCAACCAGCTTCCCTCCTCCCTCCTGACGGCATGCAGGGAGGAGGCCCTGCTTTGTACGCAGAAGGTCCCAGATGCAATCCCTGGATAGCCCCTCTCTCTCCAGCGAACAGGACCAAGGAGCAGGGCTGGGAAAGACCTCTTTGCAGCTGAAGAGGCTGCCTGTTTGAAAAGACAGCATGCGCCTAAGTGGGCTGCCCTGGCACAAGGCAGCCTCCAAGCCAGCCGGGGCAAGTGGAACAAGGCCAGCAGGAAGGGCAGCCTATGGCTTCAGGGCTCCCGCCAGGGGGCAAAGCCTCCTCTTCTTCCTCCTCCTCCTCCTGTGCCTCTCTTACCAGCATGGCCACCCCTCGGTTCCTCTGCCGGGGTGTGTGTGGGGAGGCGGGAGGCCCATCAAGGCCGGCATCTGGCAAATCCCGAAAAAGGGCTGGGTGGGTTACACTCAGCTGCTGCCTCTAATGGCTCCATGATTGGAACCACGGCCGGGCGCCACCACCGAGTGCGGCAAGCGGCTCATTAAAGGCAGAGCTGGGGATTTATGGGCGCCCTTCAGAAACTTGTTAAAGTAAAGAGGGGGTGGGGGTGGTCAGCAGCCGTGCGCAGAGGAGGGAGCCTCACACTTTCCAGCACTCGCAGGGCTGGCAGCCCCCAGCTCTGGGCTCGGCCAGCTCCGCATCTGCTGCGATTCCATCTTCGCTGGATTGGCCCCCGGCTGGGAAAGCGGAACTCAGTCTACATTCCCCCCCCCCACATGCTGATTAGATTGCCACCTTTAGGTGGCAAAACCACCATCACCACTGTGAGTGTGTAGCATCTTGACTTGCCAAAGGACACCGCTGGAAACACATCTGGAGAAGCACGTCAAGGCAGACCATGTGTCCCAGAATGCAATGTGCCCAAGGTTTGGTTTAAGGCACAGACGCTTGCGGATATCTAAAGCTCTTTCCCCCCAGAGGTGGGAGATGTCAAGCCCTTCATTCATGGGCTCCTCAGCTCCATCAAACTGGAACCCAAAAGGCCACTGCAGACACAACTGAATTTACCACTTTTGGCATGCTCTGGAAAGAGGGAGCAGAGGAGGCAGGAGAAGCAGCTCCTTTGCCTTTGGGTGTGAGACTGGAGGGCACCCCAGGGAGCACCCCCCAACCCATCCTCTTCTGCGGGAAACGGGGGTGGCACATGTGGTGATGGGGGAGAGTGAAGAAAACCAGACAGAAACCCCTTCCCGGGGGGCGGGGGGTGGAGATATACAGATAGATAGATCTCCTTGTTTGACTTCTTACAGCCATTGCGCGCTCTCTCTCTCTCTCTCTCTCACACACACACACCACCCCCTCTCCCTCTTGCTCAAGGGCAAAGTGCACGAGAGAAGGGGGACCCCTCCTCCCAATTAAAGGCTGTCTGGGAGGGAGGTGTGAATGTGACCTCTGCCCTTGCATACTCAGAGGCTGCACCATCTGGTTCCCATAAGCGCACACACAGGAAGCAACAAGTGGCTGGGGTGACGGTGGTGGAAATGGGTGGTTAAGGTCCCCGGAAGAGAGAGAGAGAGGCGCTCCCCTGGTCTATCCACTCAGCACCCCTGGTCTCCCTTTCTAGGGTCCTGCCAGGAATTTTCCAGCCGGGAAGGTTTGGCTAGGCCTGGGGAGGAGGAGGAGGAGGAGGAGGAGGAGGATGCCAGCTCCAAGGACGTCCAACTGACTCCCTTCCAAGGCATTCCCCCGGCATGACCAGGCTGCGCGTGCAAAGAGCACTGCAGAGCCCCTCTGCGCACTGCGCCAGGGAGAAGTGTCTGGGGTGCTGCTGCCTTAGCCACAACACTGGCTGGTGATCCCAGCTGCACTCCTGGATTACAGCAGGCCTTGCAAGGAACAAACAGTTCATCCGTCCTGATGCCACCCCCTGCATTCCTTCTTGGCTAGCAGGCTGCCAGGTACATATTTTCTGCCTACCAGTTGCCTTTGGCATGGAATCACTGGAAAGCCCCCCCCCCCCAAGGTTCCAAGCACCCACACCAAGAGGGAAATAACTGGCCAGAGCAGCATCCTGCTCTGGTGTCAACCTCAGGTCTCAGCTCCCACTTGCTTCGGTCCCCCGCGGCTTTGCCAAGTGCCGTGTGTCTGGTGGGCTTCAAGCTTCTCTTGCAAAGTCCTCAGAAACACAATGGCGGGTTGGGCAGAATCCTCTTGGAGCAGAATTTCGAGCCTTTTCTTTTGAACTGGGGAAGAGGTCAAGCTGGCCTGCCAGGAGAGGGCTGAGAAGGGCTGGGGGTGCCTGGTGAATCTGCTGCTGCTGCCACCACAAAGGTCAGGGCAAGACAATCAACACCCCCTTCCTTGCTTGGATTTCAAGCGCCTGCCAAGGCAGAGGGCAGCAGCCAAGAGCTGCTCCAGGGGAGTTTTTTCCCTCCTCTGTGGAAGCAGCCAGTAGCCATCCATCCATCCCCTCCCTCCGCCTCCCGTGTAGTTAACACATCAGCCTGAGCGCTTACTCACAAAGGAGGCTGCAGCCCTCTACTCCCCCCCCCCGCCATAGTCCTCTCCCCACTCCACAAGGAGCTGCCGTCACTCAGCCACACGTCTGGAAGTTGCTCTTGGAACAGCCCAGGCATTCCTCGGTGTGCATTCCTGGCAAGGGAAAGGATTCTTTTCCCAGTAGCACTTTCTTGAAAATAGCTGGTCCACGTGGAGGAAGGGGGAAGGGGGGAGAAGAGAGGGGCAGGGGGAAAGGCAGGAGAGTGGAGGGATGCGGAGCAGGGGGGTGGAGAGGGAAGAGGAAGGGGTGCCCCCCTCCACACACCGGGCTGCCCAGATCTCTCCCCTCCTTTATGGAGACCTAGCGTTTCCTCACCTTCTTAGGAAGGAAGTGGGAAGTGAATGGATGGCAAGGAGGGCAACCTGGTCACTAGGCTCCACCCCCCAAAAAAACCCCACCCGAGGCAGCTGCCCTGCGCTCTGCATTCCCATGAAAGGGCTGATCTGGGAGAAGGAGGGTTGGGAAGAGTCTTGCTGCTCTCAGGCGGAAGAGGAGGAATATCAAACCTGGTTATTCCAGACTACTCCTGCTGGCCACCCGCTAATGAAAAAGGCTATTTTTTATGTGCTAAGTTGGTTATCCTCTTGGCTGTGGGAGGGAGGCCAAATCCTGGGGGTGTCTAGCCGGCTAGGCAAGGGAGAAAAGTCAGCCTGGCATCCTGGTCTCTTCTTGCGCATTTATCCCCCTTCCCCAAATCTCCTGGCTTCTGAGCTTCTGCAGAGAAACAGCCAGGAGGCGCCCAATTGTTCTGCACCTCAGTGAAGGCTTTACTCTGCCTCCACCCGTTTGGGAGAAAAGCTACTGGGTATGTAGCTGAGTGGCAGAAAGTCCCAGGCTCAAAAGCCCTGGTATCTCCAGAGGGCAGGTGCTGGCAAAGGCCACATGCTGCCAGTGAGAGCCAGGCAATATTGGGCTATATATGGACCAAATAGTCCGGCTCATTCCAAGGCACCATCCGTATGCGTAAGCGCCACAGGAGAGAAAGCTCAGGGTGGGGCCACAAAGGCAAAAGGAAGGAGCGGTGTGCTCCTTGCCTTAGCTTAGGGCAGGCTTTCCCAAACTTGGGTCTCCGGCTGTTTTTGGACTACAACTCCCATCATCCTTAGCTGGCAGGACCAGTGGTCAGGGACGACGGGAGTTGTAGCCCAAAAACAGCCGGAGACCCAAGTTTGGGAAAGCCTGGCTTAGGGTATCAGGCATTAGGAGTGTGGCTGGAGGAGATAAATGAATGAATGTCCTCATAAGGTGGAAAGGCAAGTGCTGCTCCGTGGGTCCTGGGGGGCTCTGAAAAGGCAGGCATCCGGGCGAGAAAGAGGAGAGGGAGCTGCCTCTGCTGCTTCTCCAGAGCAGACCTAGTGGAAGCAGGAGGGCTTCTCCTTCCTGCTGTGCTCCATTAGCAGCAGGATCGATTTGGTTCTGCTTGGTGGGAAGTGACTAGGGAAGAGAGACTGGAGTGCTCTTTGTTCTTCACTTCTCTCCAGGAATGACTAATTTCCAAACTGGCTCAGCTTCGTCCCCAAGTGGGCTTTCTTCCGAGGGGGAGGGAAAGCCCCTTGCCAGGGGGTCTAGTGTGGCTCCCCTTCATCTTCCACCTCTGCTCCAGCATTTGCTCTCTTAGGCATGTGGCGGCTTCTGAGCAACCAAATGGAGACATTTGCACACTCCCCCCAATCCAAAACCCCATCCTTTCAAGACAAGGGAGCAGTCACCGTGCACTTCACACCCCATCCTTTCAAATAATACGCTGTGCAGGGCTAGACATCTCCAAGCTACTCTAGTCTGAGCGCACGATAGCAGCGGAAGAATTTTTATGGACAAAGACCTCTGTGGTCTCCACCCCACAAGCACATCTGCCAGGCTGGGAGTCTGGGGTCCTGGAGGCAGCAACAGGTGAAGCCCACACAGGGCTCCCCCTTCTCCCCACAGCCTCCGGCCACGGCTGACAACCCCTCCTCCATCCCAAAAGGAAAAAGAAGGAATGCTCAGGTAGGCGTGAAACTGCTGCAAGCAGAGCAAGAGGAGGAGAGGGGAAGGAGGGGCTTGTCTGACAGACCACTCACTGGTGCTATAAAATGCTCTCTGGCTCCTGCCACACTCCAAAAGCAGCTTTAAGCGCATGCAAGCACGCACACACACGTGTGCAAAGAAGAGACACCAGCTGCGCAGTGTGTGACCACAGAGCTTAACTCCTTCTCAGCTAGGCGAGCAGCCAGAGAAAGTGGATGAGAACCACCGGCAAGGCGTCAGGGGGAAGGCGTTTCTGGGAGCTGCCTGCCCACCTCTTCCTCGCACTGCACAGAACTACGAAAGGATGAGAGAGCAGAGGTAACAGGGCAGCAGGTCCACAAGGAGGAAGCCCCCCCCCCAACTCTCTTCTCACCGACCTCCTGGCCATGTCCTCCTTTGCCATGCTGCGCTCGGCCCCCAGCCGCTTCCTCTACCCGGACATCAGCATGCTCTCGGAGGACGAGGAGGATGGGAGCGAGAGCTCGGGGTCAGAGGACAAGCCCTACCACCTGGACGCCGGCGGGTACGGACTCAAGAGCAGCAAGCGCCGCAGCAAGAAGGCAAACCGGATCAACAGGGAGCCCCGGCAGCGCCACACGGCCAACGCGCGGGAGCGGGACCGAACCAACAGCGTCAACACGGCCTTCACCGCCCTGAGGACACTCATCCCCACCGAGCCGGCCGACAGGAAGCTCTCCAAGATCGAGACGCTCCGCCTGGCCTCCAGCTACATCTCACACCTGGGCAACGTCCTCCTGGTGGGGGACGCGTGCGGAGATGGGCAGCCGTGCCACACCACGCCAGCCTTCTTCCACCACAGCAGCGGCAGCAGCAGCAGCAGTCCCCCTATGAGGGAGAGCGAAAACTCCCAGCCCAAACAGATCTGCACTTTCTGCCTCAGCAACCAGAGGAAGATGGTAAGTCCTGGGCTCTCCTGGCTTGCAGGGGGTGCGGAGGGGGTGGAAGGAGCACAAAGAAACTGCAGGTTAAGACGATGCTGGGATGCGGGAAGGAACAGTCAGCGCTGCTGCCAAAGTGGATAAACTCCTCCATGTGCCGCAGGGTTCTGGGAGACTTCATTTCCAGGGGGAATTATTAAACTTCTCTCATAAGCAGGCCCAAGAGAGATGGTGCTTGGAAAGGACTGGGAGGAGAGCCGATAAGTGCAAGGAAAGCAGGGGAAACAGGGCAGCTCAAGAGACCAGGGAGAAGCCAGAGGCGTTGGCGAAGGGGCCCAGAGAATACACACCCTCACCAAGACCCCGAGGTCACACCTGGTTTGCACATCACAAATGGCAAACCGGCACTGGGGTGTGTGTGTGTGGCTTTCTGAAGGGCATCTGTCCGAGGCAACACCTACTTCGCCGCAGTGCTTGAGAGGGTTGGGTAAAAATGTCTCCGTCCAGAGAATGAGTGGCTTGAGCTCCTTGGTGAGTCTGGGGTAGAGAGAAGGAACACCTCCCTCCACTCCCCAGCCCTGAGCAATGGCAACTCTGCTGTCCTGCACCAATTCTCAGCTACCACCCAGTTTCGCCGCCAATTCTTCAGTCTGGGAATGAGTCTGGGGGAAATGCCCAAGATGAAGAGCTAGAAGGGACTTCCAAGGAAGGAAGGAAGGAAGGAAGGAAGGAAGCATTTTAAGTCATCGCCTGTCCACCCATCACTTCCCACATTCATCTCCTTAGCTTTTCTCTCCCCAGTGAGCAACTCGAAAGACACCCCCCCACACACACCTAGCCTGCCCCCTTCCCAACCTTAGTCCCAGGCATGGTGGTTTGGGATGGTTGAGATTCCTCCTCTACTTCAACCCAGCCAAGTTATGGGCAGCAAGCACAGCTCACCTGGCCCTCCTGCGAGATCTCTCACCATCTTTGCCCCTCATCCTCCGTACTGCTCCTCTCATAAACCAAAGGGGGGGGGGATTCTCTCTGTAGAGGAGAAACCAGTCCCACTTAGTGTAGCTGTAAGCTTACTTTTGTCTTCTTACGCAGTGGCTGGATTTGCAGCCTGTTCTGCTTAGCAGGAGATATATCCTCACCCCAAAAAAAGTTTAGGTTGGGAGGTTGAGACACCTCCACCTCGTCCCATTCTGATCTTTACTCAGCCCTGAAGTGTAATAGGAATCCTGAGGCAAGCCGCTTTCAGTCTCAACTGCCTCGGAGGGCTGTTGTAAAAATAAAATTAGGATAGTAAGGAAAAAAGCCAGAACAATGGTCCTTTCCAGAATGCAGAGGGTCACCAGCCCACCCCACCCCCAAATCCTACTCCCCCCCCAAAAAAAACATATCCATTGGATATGCAACAGCTGTACGTTGGTCTCTTATTAAGCAGGTTAGTTTAACAAGTGCCCCAGCAATTTCCATTTGAACAACAGGAAAAAATTAATCCAAAAGGGAGTTTTAACATACTCCAGCAGAAAGGACTATTTTGACTGTGTTTTAACAAGGAATATCCTTTCAGCTAGCATGAAAGCAAATAACCTGGAAATTCGCCTAGCAATCTTTTTGTGCTGTTGACCCCCCTAGAAGATGATGGTTCTAGTTTTAAAACCCCGCATTTGAAATCTGTGGTTAATTTATTTTCTCAGATTATTGGTTTGGACTTCCAAGCTACTGGGAACTGCCTGCATTTTAGACTGAAACTTTTTTTTGGGGGGGGGGGGAGAGAGAGAGAGAGAGAGAGAGAGAGAAAGAAAGAAAGAAATTATGCAACACTAATTGCATAATGGAAGTTGTTAGGAAATGCAGTGTGTCCACATTTGGAAACTCTGCAGAGAGAAGGCAGCAAATGGGCCAGCAAAACAACCTAGTTGTTGGCATGGGCCATTAATAATAATAATAATAATAATAATAATAATAATAATAATATTAAGTGCTGATGAAGCCTTCACCTTGTAGCTGTTTTCTGTATTGTGTGGGGTGGAGAGGGGGAAGTAGGTAACATGGGGAGTGGAAACTGATGAAGCCACTGGTAACGCAGAAAGCGAAGTGACTCCTTAGCAGTCAGGATCATCAAATGAAATTGTTTAGAAGCAGGTTCAGGACTAACAAACAGTGACCCGCAGAGTTCCTTGCCAACAGCTACTGGCATGGCCATTGTTTTAAGAGGGAGGCTACCCACAGCTGACAGGCTGGAGGCATCAGGTGCTAGGGACCAAATCCAGAGAGTGGCCACCAGTATGGTTTGCCTGTGAGCATACCAGTTAGAGGGCTGGGGGCTAAGCAAAGCCCCCTGTGGCAGCGAGGTCGCCCTGTGCATTTGCTACTTCCAGCCCCGGCAGGAGAAGGCCACGCAGACCACGCACTGCAATGCATCTGGAAGCATTCCCAAAGGCAACCTCCTTCCCGTCCCCAAATCTCTCTTGGTTCAGACACACCACTCTGGCCTCTTCTTGCGCCCAGTTACAAAACCTCAACTGCAGTTAAGGTGTGATGAAGCTCTTAAATACTCAGTAAATAAAGACGTTTATGGCATATGGAAAAATGGGGGAAGAGCCCTTTGTTTACAGAGAGGAACCAACTGACTGAGGTGCTGTACATCTGCAACCGTCCCCAAGAAAAGGGGAAAGTTCTGGGCTTGTGTGCATGTGTAGACAAAGCGCTCCACACAGCCTATCCGAGTAAAAGAGGCAGGGAGTCCAAGGAGCCCCAAGTGCCAAGACGGCTCCATCCACCTAGATATCAGACTCCAGCAGCTCTGGGTAGAACCACAGGCATCCCCTGGACGGTCCATTCCACCTTCACCCTCCCAGAAAGGCAACGCAAGGGGGGCAGTTCTCCTTTCCGCAAACTCTCAGCCCATGAGGGACAGAAAAGGAAGGGCAGTTGACAAGTGTGACTTTGCTGTGCAAACCATACATAGGATATGCAAGGAAGTTGGTGCATAGAAGGGTGAGGCTCAGATCCCTTATGCTGCTGAGCAAAGAAGCATGAGCAAGAATGACAGGGGCAGAGGGGGAAAGGCAGGCAGGCTGCTATGCTAGCTGGGACCTTTGTTCCTTTGACCCCCTCGTCTCGCATGCCCTCAGCTGTCTAGGGCACAAGGCTTGGCAACTGCCACATTCCAGCCAAGTTCTTCCTAACTGAAATGGTGTGTCATAAACAGATCCCCCAACTGATCTATGTGGTGTGAAGGAAGGAAGGAAGGAAGGAAGGAAGGAAGGAAGGAAGGTAGGTAGGTAGGTAGGTAGGTTTAGGACACTGCAAAACAAACATCTTTGCTATTTGTGGGGCACTGACAGAGAACACACTGCTTAAAAAGCAAGCTGTTTTTAAAAAAGTGGTATAGCCCTGAATTCGCAGTGTAATTTCCAAATTGCTTTCACTCTCAGAGTTGCTGTCTTTGGGCTGAAATTGTTGAGAGAAGATTGTGCCTCTGAGACCCGTTATCACGCAAATTTAAAAGGTGCGTAAATCTACTTATTGGTCTATTTGATGAGCTCTTGACTTCTGCATTTCAGAATGAACAAATTCCTACACCCCACGAACCCAAAGCTGAGAGTTCAAAATGCCCAAGCTAAGGGGATTTGAGCATGTGGCGAGGGCAGGGGCACAGCTTCCTAACAGCCAAATTCTTAAGGCTTCTTGGGGCAGAAAGCGCAGAGCAGCAGCCTCAAAGCTGTTCCAAAAAGCTCAGCCCATTCCAGCCTATGTGCAGATCCCCACATAAAGCAATGTAGAAAAAGGGGAAGAAAAAGAAAGGAGCAACTTGCTTTCATGTGGGTGTTGGTGGAAGAACGCTCTTGACATTCTGGGGGAGCAGCATGTTGGATAGGTGGGCATGCATGTGGCACATGGGAACAGAGAGGCCTCCAGACTCAGTCAAGGAACTCTGGAGGAAGCTGGGGAAAGGCACCTTCTTGAGTTTCAGCAGCGTGAAAAGGGAGATTTGCAACAGAAACTAAATCTGTAAACTTATCTGTGAGGCAGGGGGACTTCAAAAGGTCATGGCAGAGGAAGCTCCACCCCGAACAATAGAGGGGGAGATACAGGTCAGGAAAAGTTACCATCTCTAGCACCCCACTGGCTTTTGCCTTAATACTTTGCCAAACATTTCCTGCGCAGAGCAAACCTCCTTCTACTATTATCAATTGATCTGCTAAACACTGGCTTGCCCCATCGTAACAGCCTAGTTATGGCAGTGCAAGAACTCATTTCTCCACTCTTCAAAAAAGAGACCGAGGTGGCATTTCATAGCTTATCAAGTAATTCAATCTGAAATAGACAAACAATGAGTAACATAGGATTCTGAAAATACTCCCCCTCAATTAAAAAAAAAAAAAAAAAGCTGGGAGAATTGAGGAACGTCCCTAAGGAGTAGTGCAGTGGTTGAGTGCAATTTATTTGCAATTAATGACGTGGAAGAAGGGAAATGCTGAGAAGCAGCCTGGGAGGAAGGCTTTTGATTCTCCCTGCTGTAGGGATGCTCAAATGCTATGCAGAGGAATCCAAAGTGGAGAGAATGCCCAAGATTTGTACTCTTATGGGCATTGTATTGCTGACATTGTTGATACTGCCATATTCCTGTAAGATCTGCCTATGTCCGACCCAGCAAGTGCCCTGTTTTTCACTGGGGATGCCTGAACGGTTAAAGGCAGCAGCACAGACACAACGGGGAAGAGTAGCCTATTCCGTGGCAGTGTCTCCCGTCTCCCTAAGTCAGAGACTGCTGCCCTCTTTCTTCTTCTTTGCATGGAGAGAAAAGTGAAGGAGCGGTTTCTTAACCCCACTGAGTTGTTTTCTGGCTGCCCTTAGCGTGGGTGGAGATGGCGGCTGCTAGCTGAGAAGATGGATGCAAAGACACCAAGTGGCTTTTTGGTGTCTTTGCTTTGTGGAACAGAAGCAGCAGGAGCCTGAGACTCATTGCCTGCCTGGCCCAGTATGGTCCACTCTAGTTGGCAGTGGCTTCTCAGGGTCTGGAGGGGGTGGTAGGTCTCCCTTCTCCATCCCCTCCTATCTAACCTTTTTACCTGGAGGTGCCCGTAAGGTTTCGAACCTGGCGCCTTCTCCATACATGGTGCTGTACCACCGAGCTCCAGTTTCCCACCCACCCGGAAGGAAGGGAAAAGAGCATGTTAGAAGTGTGTCAGGGGCATTCACAGGAGCCAAGACTTACAGAGGCTGGTTCAAAGAAGGGCCAAGTCCTCTCCTTTGTCCCACTGGCTCCTTCAACTTGCGTCCCCTATGCAGTCCAGCCTTGCCAATACCGGTACTTTCCTGGGGCAAACTGCCCTTTGACCTGATCTCCAGGGCTTCTCCTCCCAGCCCACCATTGCTGCTGCCTTTCCCATCATGCCAACTAGGGACGACTGACGGAGGGGAAGCGCAGGCAGATACACTAGGAATGGAACAGCCCTACACTTGCCATGTGCACGTCCCTACGCCGCTGCTCCCCCTTCACATAGAGCTGCTCTCCTGCTGTGAAGAAACACAGCTGGCAGCTACCAGTGATTTTAGAGGACCACCACCTCTTTCACTGGCTGTGGCAGCTGCCACTTGCCCCAACATGCATCAATGCAGGAGCGGACCACAGGTGTACGTGGTCCAGCCTCCTGTTCCCCACAGTGGCCAGAGGGTTTTTAAGAGCATTTTATTTATTTATTTCTAAAGTGCACGCCCTGTGCCTTCAGTGCCAGTCGCCATGCCTAGGGAGGCTTATAAACCAGTCCCCAAGGAGGAGGTGCACCATTGTGAAGGAGTCTTGTCCACCCTGAACCTCCCACCAATTGGCTGAGCTGATCCATGGAAAGCAGAGGGTAGAAGGCTCTGAGAGAGGGGTGGCGGGGGCTGGGGGCTGCATGTATTACTGGGAATGGATTGCTAAATTGAAGGCTGCGGCTAGGTCTATTTAGCTGCACTCAAGTAACGGCACGTTCATCAATAAGGCAATGAAGCAGAGCAAACTGTAATGGCGTGGGTCGCCATTTTGAAGCATCCTTTCAAAATGTTTGATAAATGCGCTGAGGCACTGGCCGGAGCAAAAATGTGGGGTGTTTTTGTACTGGCCACACATGCAAAATGTGGTACCTGCATCAAGCATGAGGGGCACCCGTACCTGTCTCTTGCCATTTCAAATGGTGTTGTGGTTTGGGGGTTTTTTTTTCTTAGTAGAGGGGCTGGATTCTCCCCAGCAAACTGGCACGACTGCTGTTGAAGTTGCTGTCCCAAGTTCACAGAGCTAGTCGGGTGGTGGGGAGATTGGTGCCAACACAAGGCTGTTATGCCACGTTGCCCCTCATTTCAGAGATACAAACAGGCTTTTTATTTGTATTTTTATGCCACCCAATTAACCATGCCCCTTGGGCAGTCCACAGATTTTTACAAATCAACAAAACACAAAGCAGAAAGAACTGGCCCCCAAAGCCATCAGGCAAGCAGTACTCCGTGAGGCACGTTTCAGCAGCAAAAAGTGCAAGCGCAGCCTTCAAAGCAATTAAACTGGGCTGCTTTTTCCTTGCCACCTGATCTGGCCTTTGCCTTTTTTGAGCCACAACATATTCTAGCATCTCTCTGCAACAATAAAGGAGCTTGGGGTGTCGGGGAGAGATAAAGTATTTGGGCTTCTTGGAATGCAAAGAGCAGTTTGTGGGCTGTAGCAGGACAGGATGCCTTGAATGCCTTTTGGCTGTCCCTGGTTCCCTGAGATGAGGCTAAGGGACGGGAAAAGTCTCTTTCTCTTTGGCAATCTCTTGTAGCCGAGTAAGATTGTCTTCCATAAGCACGGTTTTAACAGTGAGTCCTTAAGTGACTGTGGAGGCCAGTTCTAGATCCACATGTCCTTCCACAGTGGAGACACAGGTTTCAGGATGGGAGCTGATCACGGTGTGGATTTGCCAAGCGTGTCTTCCTCTTAGCACCTTTCTCCCTTGCGGCCTGAGTTTGAGTGCCTTCAAAGTCCATGAAACCTTTGGTAAAGGCTGTTCTCCAACTGGAGCGCTCGCAGGCTAGTGTTTCCCAGTTGTCAGTGTTTATACTACATTTTTTCAGATTTGCCTTTAGACACTCTTTAAACCTCTTTTGTTGACCACCAACATTACGCTGGTGTATTACAGTATTTTATTGTTTTTTTGGAAGCCACCCAGAGTGGCTGGGGAAGCCCAGCCAGATGGGCAGGGTATAAATAATAAATTATTATTATTATTATTATTATTATTACGCTTTCCATTTTTAAGTTCAGAATAGAGTAGCTGCTATGGAAGACGATCATCCACACAACATGACCAGTCCAACGGAGTTGATGTTGAAGAATCATTGCTTCAACACTGGTGAAGTCAATGGAAGCAAACACAGTTGGCTTGTGGAGGACTCCCCCAGCAAAGAACTGCGCTGTAACACCCCCCCAAGCAGCTGTTTCTTTAAGAGCAGGAAAAGGCTGCCACTTTGAAGTCCCAGCTCAGCAGGGGGCTAAGTGGACTCAAAAGCTATAGAGGCAGCCGCACCTCCTGAGGTCTATGGGGGTCAGGCATTCAGGACAGGGAAGGGGGGAAGGAGGGGGGAGAGAAACAGCAAGACAGTGCTGCCCCCCTCCCAGCTGAGTGGGAGCTGCAAGAAAAGTCCAGGTCAGAAGTGAAAAGCAGGTTCCTATGTAACGCTAATGTCTCAACAAGTGAATCTGATCTGCAAAAAATGTAACTTGGAAAAAGAGGCGTTGCACATACTTTTGCAAACCAAGAAATCTTTAATAAAAAAATATTTAAAAGAAGAAGAAGAAGAAGAAGTGAAAAGCAGGGACAGAATAAGAAGCAAGCTTCCTGAAGATATAAAAGAGCTTTTTCTCCGCCTCTTCAAATTCAGGTGTGACTGGAGCCACCAGGGAGCCAATTCCTTGAGCTCCACTCCCAGGAGGCCACTCTGAGAAACAGGGAAAGTGCCACGTGGGAATTCTCACTAATGTTAGTGATAGAAAAAGCAAAGCTTGACTAATATGATGTGGAAAGGGAGAAATTGTGCAACAGGCAGCAGTTGCTTGCTTGACGCACTCAGCAAAAACCTTCCCCACCTCGTCCAAAGCAAGAACCTCTCCTGGAGGTTAGACGAAGCTCAGGAGCTCACTGTGGAAAGCCAGAAGTTAAAAGCATGAGCAAAGGCTGCTATGCCACGGTGAAGGTGACCAGGGATGTGATTTTAAGAGCCACCTTCCCCATCTGGAACCCAAGGTGAACATCACACACAAGAGGCCCTCTGCCTTGTGCTAGCTCTCCATGGTGACGTGGCCTGTGGACCCAGTGGCTTCCTAGTCCACATAAACTCAAGGTGGATCAGGACGGAGACAGGGGGCACTGCTGCTTAATGCTGGGTAAAGGAGTCCTATTTGCACCTCCCACCCCCTGGCAAAATATTATGGGGTGATTTTGCTGACCACCTTTTTACTTGTGCTTACAAACTTTTGCAGATGAATGCCAGTTCATTAGAAGACCCCCTGTGACCTAAGAGTGCTACAGCAGTGCCCCCCCAATCCATTCCCTCTTAAGCTCCCGCCAGAGCACAGCGCATATGGGGGGGGGGGGCTGAAGCAAGCAGCACCTAGCCAGTTAAAAGGCAGAAGAAGCTACTCCAGGGTCCTTCTGTCCTCTGCCACCCTTTCTTCCAGTGGCAAGAAGGGGGGACGGGACCTGGAGGCCAGCTGTACTGCTCTCTGCTTGGGGCAAGGCCACAGCTTGGAGGGGCTTTTCCTGCCCTCCTCCTCCCCCAAAGATGGGCCTGCTTTGCAATCCCCTTAATTTACTGTTCCTGCTTAACTTAATGGCAGCGGAAAGGCAAGGTGATAGGGGAAAAAATATGAGGCGGGATTTTCCGAATCCCCATTTCCTCTCCAGACAGCAAGAGAGCTCCTGGGGCCTGAACATCTGGGAAATTTAATTTTACCATTTCTGCGCTCCCCCTCCTCCCCCCATCTCCCCTTTAACAAAGGATGAGGTTGCCTGTTACGGGTGGCTGTGGCAGCCAGGAAGCCATGCCGGGGAGCAGCGTGTGGTGCTGGGGAGAGGCACCAGGCAGCCAGTGAGGGCAGCTCCTTGAAAAGCAGGGGCCTGACTCACTGCACTCCCACATCCCACGCCGAAGCCCCAAGGACCCCCCCCCTGCCCAGTGTTGGGGTGGGGTTTGCCACAATGGGCTGCTCGGCAGGCGACCCCAATCTCGCAAGAGATAACACGTGCTCTGTGTAGAAGGGACCTGCTTCTCCGGGCACTGGGTCTACTCAGAGTCTAAAGCTAGCCCTGCCTTGCACATTTCACAAATGCCGTAGTGTTGTGATCTATTCAGACCAAACGAGCCCTCCTGTGATCTGCACGCAGCAACAGAAACAGATCCCACTGATGGAAAAAGGGCTCCTCTGTTTTAGCTGCAGAAGGATGGAGGGGAATGGAAGATGAAATTTTGCAGCAGGAAGCAGCAGGTTTCAGGATCCACAGATGCTGTGTTGTGAGCTAGCATCACTGGGAAACATGAAGTAACTGTGGTTGTGAGGACCAAGGTCTTGGATGTATTTTTAACATTTTATTTTATAAAGTTGTTGTTTTTACGATCAAACAGTATATAAATTTTGTTAAACGAAGTAATAGTATAATAGCAGGAGAGGCTACATGGGGGAAACGGCCAGTGATTTGGGGTATGTGTGGAGGGAGGTACAGAGAACCCCCATGGGAAGCGGGGGGGGGGGGGTTGCAGGGCTAGAAAATGGCCCTGGCACAAATGAGTTTTGGCCCAGCCTCTCGCTGGGTAGAAACAAGTGAAAAGCAGGATGGACCATACGGAACCATGTGGCACCGGCTCTGAACAAATGACATTGACTGCCTGTTTGGTTCCGAGCCCCATTCAAGCTGCTGAGGCCCAAATACCTGAAGCAGCGCCTCTTCCTATATCAGCCTGGAGGGTTTGCTAAAGAAAAACTTGTGATCCATCATGGGGACTGGTATAGCTGGGAGAATGGTGTCCATCTGTGAAATGGTGCCCTTCGCAGTGAGAAAGGCGCAAACATTGTTACCATCTCGGTGCCAGGTTAAAACTTATTTTCCCAGGTATTAAAAAATTTTTAATTGGCGATTGTTTAACATGCTCTTCTGTTTCAGATGAAGCTATTTGTCTTTGATGATGTGTTTTATAGTTGGTTGTTGCATTGTTCGCTATTTCATGCTCCAGAACTAGTCCTGAAATCTGCGCAGATCGAGGGGCAGGTTATAAATATTTTTAATAAAGAGAGAAATAATGAGCAAAATCCCTTGTGCACCTGGCTGCTCTCTGGAGCTTTGGAACAGCCACACTTGCAGCTTGCGGTCCCAGGTGTGTTTGTCTAACTCTCTTCTTTTCCAACTCTGGCCCTCTGCAGAGTAAAGACCGAGACAGGAAGTCGGCAATTCGGAGTTAAATGATTATGGATTCAGGAAGGAGGAGGAGGAGGAGATTACGAGGGGAAAGATGGAAAAGCCACACGCGCAAAACAAAGACAGAATCTTCCGGCCTGTGCCTGGCTGCTGCTGCTGCCACCGGGAGCCCTGTGGCTCTACCCAAGATGAACTTAACGTCAGCCCATCCCTGGGGAGAGACTGAGCACCCTCTAGGCCTGGCTTTGCAAGCAAGAAAAGCAGGCTTTCATCTGCAAAGAAAAGCAGGACTCTGAATGACTCTGCTCTGCAGTGCTGGGAGGCGAGTGAGCCGGGGACCCTTGGCGTGGCCACTGGGGCAACTGGAGAGGGGGGCTTTGCTGACCAGCAAGCAGAAGGACATGGACTTGCACACGGCAGAACAATCCTCACAGACCTGAATCCCACTATAGGGAGGAGGAGGAAGGCGTGGTTCCCCGTGGGGGAAGCAAGAAGAATGAGCACAGCGCAACCCCTGGACTTGCCTTCAAATCCATAGTTATGGGTCATCCTGTTCTCAGAACCTCGGGTGGGGTTACAATCAATACATGCTGGAGTTTCATGTCATTGATAATAATATAAATCCAACTTGTTTGTATAGTGAGAGAAGACTATGTCGTACTGACCGGAGGCAAACTTCCTTTTAGGCTCATGTCATTTGGCCAACAGGGTCCTGGGTCTTGGCATTTCAAGATGAATTTAAGGGGTTTGGGGGGGGCAATGCTTACTCCACTTCTGCAGCATTTGTGTAGGTGTGTGAGGCGGGCGGGAGGCGACTCTGAGAAGGAGGCAAGAGGCCACTTGCCAGCGCTATGGCCATCGTAAAACAAGACTCACTGGTGGGGGGAGAAAGAGGCGCTGCCTCAGAGCAGAGCATCCTGGGGAAATAAATCAGGCAGGGAGGGAAATAAATCAAAAGTGGAAAGCTAGACCCCATAGCCAATCCTGAGGTTGGCAGCATCCAAGGTATGCCTTGTGTAGAGAAGAGAAGGCAAGAAGAGCCATCCCTGTGGCTATTGGCCATTGACAGCCTTACCCTCCACGAACTACTACATCTTGTGGTAGGGAACTGAATAAGCCCTTTGCTCAGTGCCAAAAGAGAAGGCAGGAGCACATGGGGGCTCTGCCTGCAGATAAGGCAGCAGCTGTGGGAGGCTGGGGGCAGAAGCTGAAGCTCCTCCCAGGAGTCTCACAGAGATGTGAGCTTGTGGGCAAGCAAGACAGGGTCACTGGACCCGAGCAAGGCATGGGATGCTAGAGTCAGAGGCATCCATGGAGGGTCAGGCTATCCATGGGAAAAGGGGGCAGACAAGGAACTGAGCTGCAACTAACTTACGGGGGCATCCAGCTGTCTCCTAAGAGGTTCGCTTGCCTTAGATCCCAGGCAGATTAAATAAAATCATAGCATTATAAAATCATAACATTCAATAGAATCATATAATTGTAGAGTTGGAAGGGACCACAAGGCTCATCAAGACCAACTCCCTGCAATGCAGGAATCTTTCCCCCAATGTGGGGCTCAAACCCACAACCCTGAGATTAAGAGTCTCAGGCTCCACTGATTGAGCTATCCCACGGGATCAGATACAGGCCTACAGAGCTATCTAGACTACCCGCCAAGCAGGCAGCAATGCTTAGGTGCCAAACAGCAGTGCTTTGAGCTGGTGGCGAACCTAGGAAACTGCCTTACATTGAATCAGACAACTGGGTCCATCTAACGCAGAGGCGTCTAGGGTTCCAGGCAAGCCCTACCTGGAGATGCCACTGTGGACTGAACCAGGGACCTTCTGCATGCCAAGCAGGTGATGTGCCACTGAGCTGTGGCCCTCTTCAAATGGGGCTCTTCCATCAGAGGAAGAACAGATGCTCTTATACTTTTAACAACAGCAAGGATTCAAACCTAAACAAAAGCTGTTTTTCCAAACATGGACAGAATTAATTTGCCTGCTGAGCTCAGAGTTATTAAGGGAAGTTATAGAAACCCGCAAAGCATGGTGCAAATTTATACAATATCTGCCTATTAGTGACGACCTCAAATCTAGCTTGCGGGCAGCAGATGACTATGAGAAGGAGCAACTAAGGTAAGGCTGGAGCCTCCAAAGTCCTTTAGTGTCCCTAAAAATCCGCCCCCCTCAAGAGGAATACTATATTCAATAGTATCAAGTGGTGAGAATTCTCACCAGGAAGCCAGAACTTTTACATAACTAGAGTAAGAGAGGAATATTGAACAATAAAAGAGGTTTATTCAGAGAAAAATGGAACAAAACTAAACACTTTAAGGAAATGAACACAAAAAAACAGCCATGTTCATAGCCAAAATTCTTATTTGGTTGTAGAGGAAAATGCTACGCCAGAACAAAAATAATATTATTTTATTGCGGTTGTGACTAGGAATTTCTAGTTAACACAGAGCATAAACAAAGCCTTCTGTCACATACTGCATCATCCGAATTAGATTCTCCATGCATGTTGCACCCTTAAAAAATGGAACACACCTCCTTAATTCAAAGGAGAGAAACTTCTAGTTTCAGGTCCTCTTAAGTCAATGACTTTGAACAACTAAAAAACGTTCAAGGGGAATAATGAGGCAAGTGCAAGACACCCTGGAGAAAGTGGCAACTTACTTCCTCGTAGGGGGTGGTCAACATTTAGCAGGAAGTTTCCACCGGATGGCAATAAGCAGGTAAGAGCCTGGCTGCTGGGTCAGGCCAATGGCCCATCTAGTCTAGCTTCCTGTTCTCCCAGTGGCTAGCCAGATGCCGATAAGGGAAACTCTCAAGCAGGATCTGAGCACAAGAGCTTCCAGCAACAGGTATTCAGAAGCATTACTGCAGAGCACAGCCACCCTCCAGTCCATGGTTATCCTTCTTCATGGTCATGCTAGACAAGCCAGGCAGGCGGATCAACCTTTGGCTCTTAGTGGCTGGTATTCCAAATAGCCGTATCCTGGTCAAGAGTAACACCACATTAACATGCTGTCTGGTGTGTTACACCTCTGTAGGACACCTGGCCCTGCACCACCACAGCCAGCAGGGGCTCTCCTACCACAGGAAGAAGGGGGTGAACACAGGTTCCCCAGTCCCCAGTGCTCTGGGGACCAAAATACAGCTAACCTAGATTTGTGGAATGGTTTCTGGCATGAAAGAGCCAGGATTGCAAAAGAAGAGAGACAAAAGGAGAGAAGGTTTAACTGGATGCCTCGTACTGGAGATGACACAATCTCCAGGCACTCACAACCGCTGCTATTCTACGCAGCAGGGCCTCCTAGCAAGAAGCCCTCTCCTTTCCCAGATGCTGCCATCACATGTTGTAGGGGAAGCATTGCCATTATGAATTATTTCCAGTAGGTTACAATTTGCAAAAACATTCCTCCCATTCCTGGTTGAAAATGCCACTGACACTGGATCCGCCCATCCCAACTGGAGGGAGCTTACGTGGAAGATGTGAATAAAGCGTGTTGGGTTGTTGACCTAGAAGAGTCGTAAGCAAATTTTTTCCAAACAGTCAATGGCTAATAATAATATAGCTTAACCACAAAATACTGTATTTTTGTGTATAAGACTATTTGGGGGGACTCAAAATTAAGAAAATGGGGGGAGATTGCCCAGAGTTGTTGATTTTTATTGGGGGGGGGGTGTTGCTGAGCTTTTTTTAGGGGGGGATTGCCGAAAAATCACTCACCCGATGGACCTACGCTGCCACTCACACACGTCACAAAAGCCACCTCTCATCTGTCCCCTCGCCAAAAGAAGCCGCCATTCGCCCGCCCAACTGCTGCAGCAACAACCGATCAACACCAGCCCTTCCCGCAGACACTAATAACATGCCCAAGAGCCGCTCACCATCTCCAGCTGGCTACAGTAACCAATCCCATGTCCCCCCCATGTACTATCCATGTATAAGACGACCCCCAATTTTTAACATAAATTTTAAATAAAAAAACCTTGTTTGATACATGGAAAAGTACAGTAAAACAAAACTGTAATTCTTTAATTAACAATGTCCAGATAGGTCATGAAAACAATCTTTTTAACTGTCAAAGACCAGAGTAAAGAAACAGGCATGTCTTCAGCATACACTGAAAGCTATATAGCAAAGTCACCAGACACACCCATAACGGGGGAAATCCCACAGCTCAGGTGCCACCACAAAAAGAGCCCTTGAACCGCTGAGAGAGGTGAATGTACCCAGACGGCCTCCTCTACCAATCTAACATCTGGCAGGGTCTGTAGGGAAGGAGGCGGTCTTTCAGGTATGTGGGGCCCAAGGAGAATGGGAAAAACTATTTAGAACAGAAATTGTGTGTTTTCTACATGTCACCCTGGTCAGTAACCTGGCTGCCTCATTCTGGACCAGTCGCAGCTTCTGAACCATCTTTTTTTTGGGGGGGGGGGGCACGTAGAGTGTGATCCAATGTAGTAGTTACCAGAGCACGGATTATAGCGGCCAACGTATCTTTGATCTGGTAAACCAGCTGGCAATGGAAACAGGCACTCCCAGGGGGCCTGGATCTCCAGTGACAATGCTGGTTCCTATTTGCCTGCTCCTTCCAGGGGTCTGCAACCTCGTCCAAAATAGGCTGCCTCCCTGCCTCTTGGACAGAAAAAAACTGTCTTGTCTTCTGAGCCTCAATTTGTTGGCCCATATCCTACCTATCACTGTCTCCAAGCACCTGAACTGCCTCTCATGATTCAGGCGGCTCAGAGATAGATATGCCACCAGCATATTGGTGACACAACACTCCAAATCCTCTGATGACAGCTCCCTACAGATATTAAATAGTACGGGGGAAAGAATGGAACCTTGTGGGGTGCCACAGGATTAACTCCCATGCTGCTGAGCTCCTACGCCCATAACTACTCTGGAAAAACAGGCCCAAAGATAGGACAGAAACCGCTGTAATGAATTGCCCCCAACCACCACCGCACTGATCCATTCCAGGCGATTACTGTGCGCAACACAATCAAAAGCTGCAAAGAAGTGTAAGAGAATAAGCAGGGTCACATACCCCTCTCCTTGTCTCTCAAGGCAGTTTTGCTGCCATACGAAACGTAGTGCTGGGCTAGGATACAAGAACTGGCATACCCCCATGACTTGCATCAGGAAAGGGGCTTTTAAACTTGTTCATAAATGACCTGAAGTTGGGGTTGAACACTGAGATGACCAGGTACGCGGCTAGCACCCAGTGCTTCAGGCTGGCTCCCAGATGTGTCAGCATCCACACTCCCTTGAGGCTTTTGCAGCCAGAAGCATGGAAACAGAAACAAAACGATGGTGTTCTGAGCCTCTGGGGCTGTCAGTTCAGAAGCCACGGGTTACTATTAGCTGAATGGGGGAAAGGGGTGGTTTGCTTGCTGACATTCCTTGTTTTGTGAGGAGCTGCATTGCCCTTGCATAATTCTGAGCCTCCTCCTTGCTGGTGGGTCTGTGTCTACAGTTTCCTCAACATTGCGTTTTTCCTTAGCAGCAAAGGTGGTGGGGAGGTGCTGGCCTCCAGCCCCCTGTCACGGATCTGGAGCAAATTAGAGACTCCAAAGCACCAGCAGCAACCTGAGCCTCGGCTGTCGCTACCAAGACAGCACGGGGCCTCCATCACCCGAGTCTCCCTCCCCCCATACTGACCACAGTGTGGTGGTGGGGCTTCCACCGGCCACTTGTTGAGCCAAGAGCCAAGACAATGGGCCGTCTGCCAGCCGAGGAGCTTTATGGCACTTTCATACACATTAGCCAAACAAGCACCCGGGGAGCCATTGCCTGGCAGCAGCTGAGGCAGGCTGAGCAGCAGATGCCTTGCTGGCTGGCGTCCATCCCATCCCCATCCCCCCACCCCACCCCAGCCACCAAACACGGGAGGCAAGTGACAAGCGAGAACCACCTAAGAGCGAAGGGGTGCTCCCCCTTTGCTCTGTGCCCCTGGCCTGCAGAGGGGACAGCCAGCCTGTGGGAGGTGATGGGGCGGCCCTGAGCACCAGCCCTCAGGAGGACTGGCTTGCAGCCCTGGAGCCTGCCTCCCAATTGCTTCCATGCGCATGCCTTCCCCATGCAGGCCCCCTGCCAGATACCCTCTGGCAATGCACACAGCTGGGAAGGCATTAAAAGAACACAGGTGAAAATTATAGGGTGGCTGTTTAAGTTGCAAAGGTCCCGCAGAAGAAAGGGAAAGCCTTTTTATACACACCTTTCCGGCGGCTCTTGAAAGGAGTTGCCCCAGGGCACCGAATTTACTGGCAAGGCTGTGCCTGGGTGGACTAGTGCTCCATGCATGTGGGCTAGCCACAGCTCTGAAGAAGCCGCCAAGAGGCCTTCCAAGCCCCACCATGCTCGCAGCGGGTCAATTTCACACAATGCTTTGCAGCTGTGAGGTGAGAGGCAAGAGCCTTGTACTAGGGACCTTAAAGTCAAGTGGGGTCCGATGAAGCCAACCTGCTGCCCTCCAGGTGCTACAGACTATAACTCCCAGCCAATGTGGCCCTGTGATGCTGAGGCTGATGGGAGCTGTGGTCCAACAGAAACTGGAGAGCACCAGGTTGCTGAAGGCTGCGGGGTGGGCAGAGAAGGGAGACTCTCAACAGTCACATTTCATTTTTTTTTAAAGGCACAATAACCAAAAGTCAATTTCTTTTTTTCTTTCTAAAAAAAGGTCTTTGAAAAAAACTATTTTGACCAAGCTTGCACGTGCACGCTCAGAAGAATGGTAAAAAGCTTTGCCTCGTGGAAAGTTCAGTATATTCTCACAATATGTTGTGGCTCTTTTTTTACATTTTGCTTTTCAAGGCAAATATGGCTCACAGCATAGATAAGCTAGCATAAACACAATTTTAGAATTAAAAATAAAATCCAAAAACACTGTGGTGATATCTAAGGTTGTGTGAGTGGGCTTGTGCTTGCGTGATGGGATTCCCTTTCCTCTCCTCCCCTGTGTAGTTTCCCCCCAATCTGTCCCAGAGGGTGCCCCTCTAGCCAAGAGGTTAAACTGGGGCCAGGTGAGAGAACTGACCCAATTTGTGATGACAGTAGTCCTCAGTTTGGGGCACAATAAGCTGCAGTTATTAGCACAGGAAGTATGGAAATCTTTCCCAGGTGTGGGACATCACTGATGACAGGGTCTAGGAAACTGCTTCAACAGTCCTAAATATCTGTCTGTATTCCACAACCGGGGGAGGGAAAAGGACATTTCCAGAGACTCACTTCCTTCTTTGAGACTTGGGAGTCTGCTTCCACATGGAGACACACCTTTGCCCGACTCTTTAAACCTCAGGTTAAAATTACCCTCATCTGCAGCAGACCACACCTGCAGATGGCAGTACAGGTGTAGAACTATGGGACCTGATCTCTTTGCATGTTTCAGCTGAGATGCTTTGAGGGTTAAACTATGGAACTCACTCCCACGGGAGGCAGTGATGGCCACCAACTTGGATGGCTTTACAAGAGGATCAGGCAAATTCATGGAAGAGAGAACTATGGTGGCTTCTAGCCCTGATGACTCTGCTCTGCCTCTACACTTGGCGGAGGCAACGCTTCTGAATCCCAGTTGCTGGAAGCCACAGGAGGGGAATAAACGTCCTGTGTTCGAAGCCTGATTGCAGGTTTCCCACAGCCTTTGGCCTGATCCAGCAGGCTCTTCTTTTGGATAGGCTTGTCTTCTTGCCCAGGTTTCCCTGACCCATAAACTGGGACTATTTGTTTAAATTAATGCTTTTAATATTCCTTTCTAATATTACTAATATTCCTTTCTTTCATTCATCTGTTTTACTGGTTTTATGTTGCATTTCTGTTTCAGTGATATTGTTTTTATATTGAATACCACTCAAAAGTTTTATAAAACATCAGGATGTTTATAGATGCTCTGAATAAATATGAAGGTTGCCCAGAGTGCATAATGTATGCTGACAATGGGCTTGTTTGATGCCTCGTTGTTTCTGTATACTTTGGCTGACAGAGCCCTATAAACCTACAATTAACTAAGTACATTCTCTTGAATGCCTCACCTGAATGGCAAGTCCAGGTGGCAAGAGTCTGAGAGGTGAACTATTCACTCAGTGGTTGTCCCGCAGGGCTGAACGTCTCCTGGAAGCATCAGAGTAGCTTTTCATCTGGGCCCACGTTTGGTGGCCAGGGTTATGCTTTTAGGTAAAGGTAAAGGTAAAGGTACCCCTGCCCGTACGGGCCAGTCTTGACAGACTCTAGGGTTGTGCGGTCATCTCACTCTAGAGGCCGGGAGCCGGTGCCGTCCGCAGACACTTCTGGGTCACGTGGCCAGCGTGACGAAGCTGCTCTGGCGAGCCAGCACCAGCGCAGCACACGGAACGCCGTTTACCTTCCCGCTATAAAACGGTACCTATTTATCTACTTGCACTTTAAGGGTGCTTTCGAACTGCTAGGTGGGCAGGAGCTGGGACCGAAAGACGGGAGCTCACCCCGCCGCGGGGATTCGAACCGCCGACCATATGATCGGCAAGTCCTAGGCACTGTGGTTTTACCCACAGCGCCACCCGCGTCCCTTTTAGGAAGCCATATTTATATGCTTTATATTTATTTATATTTATATTTATATATTTATATGCTTCCTTTTATATGCTTTTAGGAAGCCATATTTTGGGGGGTTTAACCAAGCAAGGGATGCAGCAGCAAAGCAAAGGCATTTCCTTTCTGGATCACTTTCAGGGGTGTCCCATTGGGAGAGAGAGAGCTAGAAACTCAGGCTGGGCACTCCCAGGAAGGAAACTCCCAGATGGGAATAGCTGCTCTTTGGAGTAGCTCTAAATCCATGCACCAGGAAAAAAGATTCTTGACGTAGATAGGATGGGATGTGTGTCTGGACTTGGCAGCTGGCAAAGCACTCTCAGGACCTGCCAAAAAGGGAGTGGAGCACGCCATGGCCCCAATCCTGCAGCGCCCATGGGCAACGGGCTTCAATAATAATGATTATGATAATAATAATAAGTATTTCTTGTACTCTACCCATCTGACTGGGTTGCCTCAGCTACTCTGGGTAGCTTCCAACAAAGTATGAGGGCAAGCTGGGAGAGGCATCTCCAAGAGCTGTGCCTCCATCCTAATACAAAGTGGCGCCTCTTCTGAACAGGTGGTTGCTCAACGGCTCTCAAATCTGAACACCAACGTGGCAATGAAGAACACTGCAGAGCTGTGGGGGCAGAAGAAGAGGTCAACTGCCAGAACGAATGCCCTTCGGCAAACAGAGGAGTGAGAGAGGACTTGAATGACAGGGGGCTGAGAGCAGTTCAAGTGGGGGGCCTCTTCACACTCACAGAGCCATTTTGTATAAAAGCTTTAGAGAAGCTTTTTAGAGAAACATCCTCAATGTATTGTCCAGTAAGACAAGTTTGCATGCAGTAGGAAATCATTGAAACACTGTCTGTACCAATACTCATCTCAACCCAGAAGGACCAGCAAACTGGTTTCAAGAAAAATAAAAGCATTCAGCTTCGGTTCAGGAGTGCAGCGTCTACAGAGCTGAGAAAGACTTCAAAAGTAGTCTACAACCGAAGGTGGTAAGTAACTGGGAGGTCTCTCTAAGACAGAAGACTCTGATCCTCTACTGATGAACATGTCAGCAGCTTCAACTGCTTTACTTGTTCATCTGACAAAGAGTGTTTCATGAGCTCAATATACTTATTTGAAGAAATCCCTTCCACTCCTCCTCCTCCTCCTCCTCCTCCTCTTACAGGCACCATTCCTCCTCACCCAACTTTGCTAGTTTGAAATAGGCCAAGTAGTCAAAGAGCGCAGGTGAGGAGCATGTGCAGCATTGCTAAGCATTACCAGAACTGGCAGGAGGAGCCTCTGCTCTCTCGCCCTGGTGGGGATTTTCTCCAGAGCAAATGCACACGCCACAAACTGGATCTCGATTTACAAGCCTCCAGCCTTTGGTCCCATAGGGCAAGTGAAATCTTCCAGGGTGGAAGAACACAAGAGTAAGTGGGAGCCAGCAAACACGATGAAGCGCCAAGCCCTCCGGTGCTCCCACCCCATGGACCAAGCTCCAGTCATCTTCCACAAGGCTACGGACCTCCCCAGGGTGCTCTAGAAACAAGAAGCCAGAGGAGCACGTGGAGAGGAATTGCTCAAAGCCAAGCTATTAAGGGCTTTGGGGCTGGGGAGAAGAGAGACTAGAGAGCCAACACGATCAGAATCAAAGAAAATTAAAACACAATATTGAGAGTAACCTAAGTCCAGATTTCCTCTTCCTAATCCTCCAGGAACCCACAGATGGCTGGGGTGGAAAGGATGCCACTCTGGCTTCAATCCCCGCTTGGAACAAGGTAAAGACAAGAAGAGGCCTCGAGTATTCATGAGTTCAGAACAGGGACAACTGGCTTGGGCATCTTGGGCACATTTGGGCCTCCTATAAAAGCCCCCCTCCCCCACTGTGTGGGGCTGGGATGAGGAAAGAAGCAGATGTCAATGCTTCACACACCATCTCAGGTGCCACTAAAAAGTCAAACGCAAACCTTAGCACTTCTTGTGCCCCCGTAACATGTCACTGCAGCCACCACATGAAGACGCCTCCATGGATCTGTGCAATCCACAGCCTTAACAGAGCAATCGGGCTGCAGTGCCTCAACTCTCCTCCCCACCAGCCCTGCTCTTTCTGCTCCAGCAACGCCACTCAACCTTCCCTCCCCACACCCTGCCTGGCCCCATCTGTGCTCTGAGCAGGACCTGACTGACTCCAGCTACAAAAGGTGAGGCTGCTGAACAGACTCTTGGGCTGGGGTGCTGCTTGGTGGTGGGGGGGTTGTTGGTTTTTTTGTTATTATAGATCATGTTGTGATTGATGTGGAAATTGATCAGCTTTGTTTTTAAATGTTTTATTTATTGCTTATGACTACTTTTTTTCATGTGGCAAGCTGCCTTGAACTGTGCAAAGGCGGCATACAAATAAGATTATATATGTATGCATGCATGTATTTGTATTGGAGAAGCAGCTGAAAAGTAGGCAGGCCGGAGGAGCCTGGAGAAGGGCTCAGGTGTCCTGGGGGCCCAGCTGCCCTCCAACCCTCCCAGCCCTTCTCCCACTTTCCCACCCTGCACTGAAACACTCTCCTCTCCCCACAATAAGAGGCAAAGGCATCACATTTTGGGTCCAGCAGCCACATGCACAGCTGTCCCAAAGAGGGACCTTGGCGCTCCTGGTGGGGCTTCCTCTACACCCAGGGGGAAGAGGACTGAGGACCTGGGCCTCCTGCCCCAAATTGGGTGGGTGGAAGAGTGAATGAACTGCTGCCCTCACCACATGATCCATCACAAGGTGCTTATGCCTGCGTCACTGTTTTGCACCTGCAAGGCTGCCAAGAAACACATGTGCCCCCCTCCCTCTTCCCCCGGTGGGACTGGCGTGGCAGCCCTTTCTTCCTCTGATTTAGCTGCTGCGAGGCTCTCCCTCCCCCAGGGAGGCTGGCCTGCTTGCTCAACGCTTGCCAGCTGGGACGGTGTCTGCAGATCTGTCCCCAGGTCCGTCCCGTCTGGCCTGAGCTCAGGGTTGCAGGCTGCCTGGCTGAGGGTCTCTGGCTGGCTCCTCTGGGGACAGGGTATCCTGGCACCCCTCCATTGCCACTGCTTTGAGACCACGGCTCCTGCACCTCCTCCACCACGTCCAGCGGCAGCAGCGGCAGCAGCAGCCGCCCAACTTCACAAGGCACCATCCCTCCCCTTTCCAGCGGAAGAGCCTGCATGCTGCTGCCCTGCCTGCCTCCCCCCTCCCTCCCCTGCAAAGTAGCTCCAGCTGTCAATGGCCCAGATTGGAAGTGCAGGTACAGGAGCTGGCGCCCTGCCCGTCTCCCTTGTGTCTGTCTGGTGAAAGAGGAAGCCAGTCCACCTCTGGAATCCTTCACTCTCTCCTCGTTGCTACTCTCCCCGCGTCCCTCCAGGGGATTGGGGGTCAGTCTCGCTCACTCGGTCTCTCTCTCCCCCCCCTTGCCCCTCTCCGATTACAATGCAGGCAGTGTTCGCTCCAAATCCCCCACTGCACGTTAATTCTGCTCTTCTGTCTCTAACGACCAAACCGCCTTCCTGTGCCTTCTGTCTTTCCATTACTCCTCTGCTATTTTTTATCTCCGACAAATAGCGTGCGTCAGCTCCAATTGAAGGGAATGGGGCGGGAAGGGGAGCACGCGGCAGCGGGCGGAAGAGGGGGCACAGACAGACCCTTGTTTGCACAAGCACAGGCACCCCTCCGCCATGGAGGGGGGCAGCTCACAACGCTGAGAGCCCAACAGGCCCAAAGGAGCAGAAACAGCAGCCCAGAATCTCAATTATCGAAGTGGTCGCTGTCCTGAGCACGGTCATTTCATAGCTCACATCAGGGCGGCTTATATTATTGGGATTGTCCCATAGGATCTGCCATCGTGAATGGTTGCCTGTAGCACTATTCAGGAGTATGAATTTCAAGGATTAGAAGATATGAGATGTAGGCAGAACCTGCCAGTGAAATCAGTAAGGAGCTCTTAAAACAACTGGTGCATTTTATTGGGAAAAGAAAAGACACAGAACTAAGAGATAGCAAAGTAAACACAAAGCAATAAAACTACTAGCACATTTGCAAAGCTAAGCAGGGTCCAGCATGGTTTCAAATTGGATGGGGCACTGTGGGTTGAGATTCTTGCATTGCAGGGGATGGACTAGATGACCCTTGGGATCCCTTCCAACTCTACAGTTCTGTGATTCTATGAAGCCCACGTTTCTCTCCCTTTGTGTGCATTTGCGTCCCAAAGCAGCAGACGCAATCCTCCCATCAGGCCAAGGTATGCAGCACTCCCTTTAGCGCATTAAGTCCTCAAAGGTCTCCTTCCCTTCCCCAGCAAGATTGCTCCAGTTTCTGCCTCTCTCCCCCTGCACATCCCGGCAGAGACTCAAACTCTCCTTTGGGGGCACAGCAGCACCCCAGCTTCCAGGCAGTCAGCAGCTCTTCCATGCCAGATCCTGAACTCCCCTCTTTTCCAGGCTGATTTATGGCCTGCAGAGAAAGTTTCTCTTTCTGCCTCCAAGATTCCTTGTGTTTTGGCCTCAGCTGCCACTACCCCAATCGGCTGTTGCTACTGGCGCGCCCTGCTCTCAGCTTTGACAACTGGACTTTTCCATTCTAGACACCTCAAGAGCCACTCCCAAAGGGCACAGATATCCCTTGTTGGTGCCCTGGGATTTGCCAAGGGTCTCCGGCAAGAGAAAGAAACGAAACTCTCTGCTCCAGGCCAGCCTTCCCTCAAGCTGGCTGGGAATGGGAGGAAGGAAGGGCTCATTGCAGCGGGACCCCTTCCAGCCCTCTCCGTTAAGCAGACCAGGCCTGCTTATTAACTGCCCGGCTGGTGGGATGGCAGCATGTTGCTGAAGACTCCAGAGAGCTCCATGTAGCTGGAAGTTTTGGAGTTACAGGGTGCGTCTGCATTTGGCAGCAACACACACATCTCTCTGGCAAAGGACTCGCTACCCCCAAGGCTGCATGTTCTCACTGGGGAAGGTACCCAGGGCACCTTCCAACGCTGTGCAGTCCAGGGGCAAAAACTGCTCACTGCCCCCCCAAACCATCCTCCGCAGCTCCCTTATAAAGGAACCACCCAGATCTTGCTTCTGTACAAACCAGGCCCAGCTTGTTAAAGGTTATAAGAGACACAGATGAAGCACAGCCCTCTGTCAGCCTCAAACTGGGTGGGTAAGCAAACTTCCCTGCCCCTCCCCAGAATGAGGAGGAAGGAAGGCAGCATCAGAGTTGGGTCCTGAGGCAGCATAAAGCTGGAGGGTAGCTAAGCCTGAAGAATAATAACAATGATGATGATGATGATGATGATGATGATGATAATGATAATACTACTACTACTACTAATAATAATAATTTTTATTTATACCCCGCCCTCCCTGGCCGAAACCGGGCTCAGAGTGACTAACATCAATTATATAACACATCAAGATAAAATCAAGCAATCAATTAAAATCAAAATCTTAGAATCAAATCAGAATCAGAGTGGTTCACATCTTTCTAACAGTAGCAGACGAATTACTTTCGCCTTTTCAATCACAATCAAGCACTTCACAAACTGCCTTGCTGCCGCCATTATTATTACTTTGTCAGAACACACCAGCCAAGCAAGCCACTGTTCTTCCCATTTTACAGGTGGGAAATGGTGGCAAAGCAATAATGGGGTGTCCCAAGGTCATGGTTGAGAAGGGATATGAGCCTGTGCATGTGTCCATCCCTCTGCTTTGCTGGCTGACTCTCAGAAGAACTTGCACACACAGCCGTGACTGGTGCCATTCTTAAGCAGTAATTTTTGTTCTGAAAGAATGATCATCTTCCTTCTTTTACCCCTCTCAAAGCACCAAGGCTTTCACCTTCAGGAAAGGGCCATAAGTCAGTGCTGGAAGATCTGATTTCCACACAGAAAGTCCCAGCTTTAATCTCTGGCACTTCCAAGTAGCGTAGAAGCCTGGAGAGTTGTTGCCAGTCAGTGTAGACAACACTGAGCTGGATGGGCCAATGCTCTGACTCAGGATGAGGCAGCTTCCTGTCTTCTTGTGTACTTTCTCTGCATGCAGCGTTAGTAATCAGGTGGGATCACAGATTGTGGATGAGACAAAATGGCTAAGAGGCACTGGACATAGGAAAACAGTAAAGGTGACAAAAGCTGGCCTTGGCCTATGCCCCTCCAGAATGCTGCAACCACACAAACTGTCCGAAAGCGTAACAAGGCAGCCCAGAATCCCAGAAAACTGTCAGAGAGAAGCTGCCAAGACTTCCATGTCAATATCCCTCCTGCTTAGGCAAACACAGGCCCTGCTCTGCAGAAAAGCCCATTAAAGAAAGATTTCCTTCAGGAGGCAGAGCAAGCAAACGGAGGGAGCTCAAAGCCTTGCCAAGACTCCATGGCAGAACTGTAGTAATAACGAAGATTACCATCAAAGCCACGCTGCAGGCCTCTTTGCAATTCCAGAGCAGAGGAAGGCAAACCACAGAGCTGAGGACACATTCACGAGGAGCAGAACCCTGCATATAACACTGTGCATCTGCCGCAGAGACCCAGCCCCAAACTTGTGTAGACCGGAGGTCCCTTAGTCTTCGCAGGTGTTTCTCATTTGGGATGTTTGCTTACAGTCAGGGCGGGGAGCCTGTGGGCCTCCAGATGCTGTGCTCCTCCAGACTACGACTCGCCTCATCACCATCCCTGACCATTGACCACAACACTGATGGGGTGGAGGTACAGATGTCTCATCCCTCCGTCAAGTAAGGGCATCAGACGCCTGTACAACCACCAGGGAATCCTCTATCTCACAGAGCAAGCCACATCAGCTTCACAGCCACAGCGACTTGGAAAGAGGCCTGTGTCCTAACAACACTGGGGGCAGCAGCTGTCAAGCCACAGCAGGGGTGGGGAACCTCTTTGGCCCAGGAGACCAAGCCTTTAGCTCCCTCCCCCCCTGCGGGCCAACTCTCTGACAGGTGGGTATCATGATGATGTCAGGTGACTAATAGGCAGCCATGTGCACCTGCCAATGTTGATCCATGAGGGCAACACAAAGCAGCAGCCAGCAGGACTGAACCCTCTGCAGACCAACCGATGAGCAGAGGAAAGTGCTTCTCTCTCTTCGCAGCATGTAGCTCGCCTGGTGTGTCCGAGACATCTGGAGCCGTTTGCTCTCAAAGCACTTTGCTCAGGGCACCTTCTGTCTGCTCTGAGCTCCTGCACTGTGTGGGCTTGGGAGGTGTCTTTTGAGTGGGTGGGTGGAAGAGGACTAGACAGCCTTTTGCCACTTCCAAGTCTACTATTTGGTTTCTCCTTCCCATACATAATATTTTACAGATTTGTGGAGCTCCACCTTACTGTTTTTAAATCAATTCTCCAATTTCCCCCAGGATCATTTTTTATCTGTGTTAAAGACTGTATGATGAGATTCTTGATGCAGTTGTAACTCTGCTCTAAGAATTCCACTCTCAAGTTCTCTTCCAGAGTCAAGATGCTCTGACAGTCCTCAGCTCTGCGATGTTTTTCCCCTCCCTTCATCTTTTAAAGGTTTCCTCTGGCAACCCTCATGCAGGCAAGGACCTGTTCTAGGAGTTTAAGGTTAAGGCGGGCAACTTTCAGAGAGCTTTCCAAATCATGCCCTGCAGCCAACTGCCCCAACAGCCATTTTTCTCACTCTGGGGAGGGGCTTGGCCCCTTCAGCAGCCTATCTGTGGAAAAGAGGGCTTCACATCCGGACGCGGGTCTTTGGTTGCCATCTGCATGCAATGTGCAAATGAGAAAAACTGCTGTTTTTCTGTGATAGGAAAACCTGACTCTAGCAAAGGAAATATACAAAAATTTCCTGGGTGTGGGCAAATTGGGAGAGAGGGGATCTGGATAGAGACCCCTTCTTCAGCCCAATTGACCCCAGAAAGCCATAAGGAAGGGAGAGAGTGAAAGAAGATGAGGCGCTGGAGCTGCGCTTGCAACCTGGCACCTCCGCTTTGAACGACAAACGTCAAGATACAGGCGCCACAATCAAGGAGCTCTTACTCACGTAAGAAGAGCTTGGCTGCAGCCGGATCAGGCCAAAGCTGGCTCCTCTAGTACAGGCCCCCGTTCTCACAGGAGTCAACCAGCTGCCTCTTCTGGGAAGCACACAAGCAGGACTGGAGTGCGACAGCAGCGGTCTCCCCACTTGCGATTCTCCGCAACCAGCATTCACAGGCAGACTGCTTCTCCTACTGTGCAAGCAGGACTAGGACCCATTGGTAGTCATCCTCTATGAATCTGTCGAAATTCTCTTTTAAATTCAGCTAAGCTGGTGGCCACTACTACATCAAGTGGGAGTGGTGAGTCTGTCCTGAATTGTCCAACATTCAACTTTTATAAGATGATCCTGTTGGGCCATTATTATGCTTCTTCCCGAAAGAATGGGGAAATGGAGCAGGTGAGAAGCAAAGAGAGTGCCATAGACAGGATACCCAGGGCTCTTGGCAGCTCCTTCCACAGCTGTCAGCTCCATCACAAGTAGAAACCAGTAGCAGCTGGGAGAGAGCTGTGCCCGAAATCCTGGAGAGCCAATACTGATCTAGCTGCACTGAGGGCACTTCCCACATTCAAGAGTTTGCCACATAAATTTAGACTCTCTTCTCAAGCATGGAGGTTGGAACGAGGGCAGATCCATTACTGCACTTCAAGTACAACTTATGCCTGTTTGGGCTTCACTTGTGTGGGCGCACCATTTGCGGTCCCTTCCCTCCTAAATGTTTATCATTTCTTGAGTTGGGGAACTATATCTCATGGCTTTCACTGTCAAAAGCGATTGCAATTGCCTCCAGATTTGTGGCCTATTTGAAATCAACAAGGACTGTCTACTCCTTTTCACATAAAAATAATAAGTACCCATGAGCTGGCATCTTCCAGTCTAGCCGATCCGATGACGAGTGAATTCCTAGCCTTAAGTATCAACCCTGCAGAGGAACTGCTTTTCTTCCTGAGAAATCTTTCTGGATCTATCTTCATTAAAGCTCAATTAAACTGAGGGGAAAGGAACTCTGAAACCTTACCCTTGCCTTCCAGAAAAATAAAATACTTCATGCTGGGTGTAAATTAAAACCAACGTAGCAGCCACAGCACGCAGCAGCAGCCTGGGGGGAAAGACGGGCAGAGGACAGGATGACGTGGGGCTCAAGCATCGGAGCATCGTCCCTGGTGCCAAGACATTCCTGAGCATGGCGAGGAGAGCTCCCTGCTGCGGGAATGTACACAAATGCACGTGGATGGGAGGCAGCCCAAGGCTCACCTACCGAGGAAAAGGAGATCAGGTCTTTGCCAGCTTTGCCCCTCCTCACCTCCATGCCACCGGGATCCATCATCTCACTGCCCATAAGCTCTCCAAGCAGAAAAGGAAGAACCTGGGTCTTCTGTTCTTATCATTTCCCACTGATGTGTCTCTATGTCTCCCCCAGGTGCCCCCCCCCCCAGACAAGCATGTGGCTGAAAGGTAATGTGGGAAGCAACCAAAGTATTTCTGAAGGGCTCCACAATGCCCCAAGGTTTGGCTGGAGACCAGACACCTGGGCCACCCACTGGTCTGCCCTCTCCAACACATAGGATCCGCTTTGCCAACTTCACAACCCATTTCTGAAGATGTAGATGTTACAACAACTCATTACCCTTCCATTGAGCAACGGTGCCCCTTCATTTTCTAATTACTTAATTACCCAAGCACCAACTTCTCTTAATTGTAGCAAGAAATGAAATCTACTTTACTAACGCCAAAATGGGACGAGTTAATGTGATGCTTAGGACCAAAGTTTACAATGCATTTTACAAGTTTTCAAGTTCCACAGAATTCTTCTTCAAACTGTAGTAGCCAGGATGGGCTCCAGGAATGAGAAGTCCACAAATCTTGAATTTTCATGGTAATTGGCCAGTTTTGTGGTTCCCACCAAACCAGGATGTACAAAGGAATTATTTATTTATTCTCCCTCCAAAAGGAAATAAAAACATTTTGAAACACATTCTAAAAACAGTTTAAAAAATTCTCAACCAGTGAACTCAGTATTTCCAGAAACAGTATCTTTCAGTATCATCAAATGCCTGGGTAAACAGAAATGTTTTAAATTCCTCCTAAAAGTAAATAATGAGGGAGAAAGACGCCCCTCACCAGGGAGTGCATCCACAAGCAGGGAACCACCTTTGAAAAGGCACTGCAATGTGTTAGAGCCAACTGAGCAGCCCCCCATTTGGGAGCTGAGGGGGGCCCTTTGGCCATGGTGGGCTCTGGAGACAACCAAAAAGTGAGAACCACTGCTGCTGCTTCCAAGTGCCTCCATCACTAGGGATGACGGGAGAGAATGCAGACAATGCCAAGGAACTTGGTACAGGACCAGATTTGCTTTTCCTCAGGGTGGATAAAAATCAATGATTTTTTGGGTTTAAATCGGATTTTAAAATAAAATGATTTTGGTGGAAAAAATCTTTCTAAAGATAATTTTCTATTTAGGTTACATTATAGTCCAAAGGCAATTCATCAGGAAATAAGGATTTGTTTTAAGTTTTTCATGTGTGCTAAAACTCAGTCCAAGTTTTTTTTAATAAAAAAACCATTTACCAAATCAGTTAACAAACATGGATACATATGCTATAATGTTATTGTTTTAGTTAAATAAATTGTTATTAAGGAAATGATTATTTTTCTCCTTCCAATAAAGTACAGCATAATAGTTGTCCAAATATAAACAGTTAACTTATTAAACCTCACAATAATTTCATAATTATCTGTCTGTGTATTCCTAATAGTATAACCAAATCAGTGATTTTTGATATAACTGTAAAAACTACTCTGAAAATTTATTATTCCAAAAACGAAACCTTCATCTGGTTGTCAATATTAAGATTATACCAGTAAGAATGAGTCTTTCTGTAAAAAAAATAAAAATGATTTAAATAAAATCTTACTGACTAGTGATTTAAATCAAGTCTTACTGACTAGTGATTTAAATCGATTTGATTTAAATCAAATCCACCCTGCTTTTTCTTTCTCCATAGTTTGCAAGATATACCTGTTCCCTGGCCTGGGGAAGAAGAGAAATCTTTCACAGCATGTTGGACAACCAGAGTCACCACAAAGAGACCTGTGATGGCCAGAGACCACATTTGTGCATAACCTCTCTAGGTGACACCTGATGTCTCGTACCATGAACTGAGAAGGCTAACAACTGCACAGGTGGAAGAAATGGCCCGTGGAGCACAGCTCTCAGAAAGCAGCCCTGCTGAGCTTCTGCAACAGGCGCTGGGCGTTTTGGAGAAAGCAAAGGCAAGTAGCAGCAGCAGCAGCAGCAGCAGCTGCCGGGTGCCGACAGCACCAGACACGGCTGGGTTGACTAAGCCCACTTTCCTTCCTCTTTGGAGCTCTGGTTCCGGCAGCAAGGCAGGAATCCCAGCAGACCCCGGCGGAATGGAGGTAAACTTGCCTCCAAAAGGGCAGCCGTAAGTCGAGACGAACCCAGCGCACAGAGGGGGAAAATAAATGGAAAGAAAGTTTCCACTCCTCACCTCAAAGCTGCTGTGGGTTTCTCTCCCTTTCTGGGTCAGAGAGAGAGAGAGAGAGATGATCGTTTCAACTATTCACTGATGTCATTTTTTCCAGGGTAAAAAAAGCTCTCCCTGCCAACCCCCTCTCTTTTTCCTCCCACATAACACACTTCTATGCAAACACTTCAAAAATCAATTTGGGGGAGGCCAGAAGACAGAGTAATTCCTTCCCTCTTTTTATGAGGGCACCCACACCCGTTCTTCGGCAAGGGGCCCTCACACCACACCCAGCCCCAAGCCGAGAGAGAGGGCAGCTCTCTGCCTGGAGAGCCCAAAATAGAAGTGCCGCTGGGCTTCCTTGCCATGCCGGCGTCTGCACACAGGCGGTGATACGTCAGCCAAGTGGCTAAGCTGGACCAGAGCAGGATGCCAGGCAGCACTGACCTCTCTGAGGGCAACAGCAGGCAAAGCAGTCTGCCCACCACTGCCCCATAACCCAGCCACCCTGGTTTCCTCTGGCTGGCATGCATGCTGGGCCTTGCTGTGTGCTCAGAGGATAGGAAAGAAGCTGAAACTAACAAGCAAGCCCTCAGCAGCCCAAGATGCCCACTTGCAACACCCCTGAGAAGCCCTGGAGGCAGCAGACAAGGCTTGGGTTCCAATGCCAGCCACACACAGAGAGAGAGCCCAAGGCAGAGGGACAAAAGACAAGCGAGCTGGATCAGGCCCCTGGCCCACCGAGTGCAGCACCCTGTTCTCACAGCGGCCAACCAGGCTGGAGCTGTCAATGGTTTTCTCTCTCATCAGGGGCCTTGAGAACTCTCTTCTAGGGCAGCTTATGAACACAGCTAACAAACAAGGCTGGATTTGGTTTCTGAACGGTTTAACCCATGCCTGCAATGTTCTCTCTTCCAGCATTAGAAACTGGGATACAAAAGTTAGGAGCCATATGGCTCCTGGGACCTGGATTGTGGGCATAAAAACAGAATGCCTAGTCAACAGTTTTCTTTCTTCAATGGATTTCTTTTTAAAACACAGATAGCAGTAGTTTTACTTTATTTTCATTTGTCTGCTGCTGGGTGAATCAGGGGATTAGCAGGCTAGGGAAGCAGCAAAAGACACCTCTTTTGCTACCGTGCTACCCCCCGCCAAACACCTGATTCACTTGGTAGCGCAGCAGCAGCAAAAAATAAAAATAAAAAAATAAAAAATTGCTGCCTGGTGATTCAGTGGGTCAGCAGACTAGCAAAACAGCAAAAGACACATCTTTGTTTTTGCTGCTGCTGCGCTACCAGGTGAACCAGCTATTTGGCGGGGTAGCGCAGTAGCAACAGACGCGTCTTTTGCTGCTGCTGCACTACCCTGCTGACCCCCTGAGTCACCCGGCCAGGCAGGTGGAGATGCTAGGAGCCAAAGGTGGCATCTCCATCCAGTTGCAAAAGGCCGGCTGCCAGTCGCAAAATGCAACTGGCGCCTGCTAATTTTGGGCGCTGCTCTTGACTGTTGGGTCTGGGAAGTCAAAGCAAAAAGTGGTTTTCAGTCATCCCTGCAGGTTATGTTTCACACTGCACAGCAAATACAACCTATTATTCAAGCAGCTCCGAGGTGCCACCATCCATGACTCTTCCTACTGCTGCTGGCACAGCATCCTAGTCAGTCTCCTCAGACCCTCCTTGCTACCTGCCCCTAATCTAGCTAACCCTCTTCAGCCCCTCCAGTCTCAACCTCCACCCCCCTCCAACTGCTGGTCCTTCCCATCACTCCTCAATGCCGTTAGCACCAGCCAAGGTCCTGTGGCTGCCTACTTGCCATTTCCGGCTGGTTTTTGTTATAAGTGAGCTGGTCCTGAACACCAGTTCTCTACACCCACACAGAGATCCCTAATGTTTTTTTAAACACTGTGCTTATATATAAAAAGTAAAGAAGGCACTCAAGACTTCCAACAATTACATTTCCAGTACAATTAAAACCAGGAACCATTAAGAAGTCAGAGTAAGACCAACTAAAACAAACCCACAGCCAGCAAGATTCCAGTGCCCTGAATGCCTCCTGTGCTTCTTGAAAAGGTCACAGAATGGACCAGTCTCACCTCCTTTGAGCAGTCACCCTTGAAAAGGCTCTGCCCTGTCTCCTTCAAGGCAGAACGCAGAACAGGCCCTCCAAAGATGAGAACAATTGAGAGGCAGGTCCAGGCAGGAAGAGGCAATCCTTCAGATGCCCTGAGGGCCTCAAGTCCTCGATGGCCTTATTGGCAAGAGCCAGCACCTTGAACTGGGGCCAAAAACAAAGTGGAAGGAATGGCAACTTAAACACGACTGGTAGAATATATTTAGAAAAAGTGAAAATCTGCATTTTATTATGGATCTCTTATGATTATAATTGTATTTCTACACCTGTTTTGGTTTTTATATTGTACAGCTATTATGTTAAGCACTGACATTTGTTTTCTCTATTGCAAACCACCCTATGGTCTTTTGGTGGCATATACGTTTAAATAATGATAGCAATTCTAACCAAGGCACTTTTCAAGGGAAATCCCACATACAGTACTCTGCCATAATCTAACCCAGATGTGACTACTATCTGTATGAAAAGCAAAAGGTTGAGCTTTGCAGGGCTGTGTCTATTCTGCAATTCCATGCAAGCAGTGAAAAAGCACAACATCTCATATTGGGTTAAGAAGACCAACTGCAGAGACTTGTGAGAAGCCGCAGTAATCTTAGTGTTTAAGTATGATTTTAAGTGATTTTTTAAATGAATAAATGCACACCACCCTGGGACCTAGTGGTGAAGGGCAAATATAAATTCAAATAAATAAATACAATTTTAAAAAGCAGGCTTCTTTGGGTAGCCTTGAAAACATGTGGGGACCAGATCCATGAGGTGGCAGAAGTGTCCCAAGGGCAGGAGGCAGAGCCTTAAGCCTTTCCCTATTGCCAGCAGGAAGAAAATCCTCTATCCAGAGGCAAGCAGAAACCAAACAAACTCAGGAGTGGGATCCCAATTGCATGTTCCCTGCTGAAACTCTGGAATCCCAACCAGCTCAGTGGAGTCTGATATGCCTCCCAAAGGCATTTCAAAAGATTCCTTGGCGTGACTCTGTGCCCATTTCTCCTGCATCATATTTGCTGGCATGATTTCTTCATTATGCTTTGCTTTCCCTTGCACACTGAGGAGAGCCTCGTTTAACAGCCTCCAGATTAAGAAACCATATTTTCTCCCCAGGCTTTAAATATGCTCGCTACACCCAGTTCTGAGCTCCCCTCTCTACGACAGCGGGGCGAGGGCCAGAATCCAGCTCTCCGGAAGCATCACATTCATTCCTGTGGCGTCACCACAGCCCTTTCTGCAGGATTCCCTCCTGTTTCCTGCACCTCCTGCCCAAGGCATTCTGCTTTCTCCACAGCTGATGCTCATGGAATGGCTTCCCTCCCAACTCGGACTCCTTCTCATTAAGAACCCTGCAAATTACGCCTGGAAGGGCCTCCTTTCGGAAGTAGCCCAGAGCAGGCAGGGCTGCAGGAGACCCCAGCAAACTCTCATGCCCCAGGGGAAATCAATGTTGTGGGACGGGGGGGGGGGGATGCTCGAATCCTGGGGTCCTCCACGTGGTGAGCAGGGTACGGTCCATGTGACAAAGCATGGCCATCCAGCTTTCCCAGCTAGCTGCTAAAAAACCTTCTGCCCTTACATCTTCCTCTTACTCATGGGTAGGCAAACTAAGGCTCAGGGGCTGGATCCAGCACAATCGCCTTCTAAATCCAGCCTGCGGATGGTCTGGGAATCAGCGTGTTTTTACATGAGCAGAATGTGTCCTTTTATTTAAAATGAATCTCTGGGTTATTTGTGGGGTATAGGAATTCATTCATATAATTTTTTTTTCAAAATCTAGTCCGCCCCCCCCCACAAGGTCTGAGGGACAGTGGAAAAAGTGCTGGAAAAGTGTTGTTGTTGTTTTTGGATGAAAAAATTCTTTATTGAAATTCATTAATCTCAATACAGATTTAACTTCAAACATACACTTACAATACATTCTTAAATTAGTTTAACTTAGAATGTTAATTTAACCTTCTAATTCCACTTAGGGGGGGCGGGGAAAGAAAACGTTTACTGACCCCTGGTCTTACTCCTGGTGGCTGCCCAGTCCCACTCTCAAGCCCAGCCTTCATTTCCTTATTGGTCTCTGCATAAGCACACATGGAAGACACCTGGGGTTGCATCCAATGAGACTTCCACTTCTTCCTCTCCCCAACCCATATATGCCCCCAAAATCTGCTCCCAATGGTCCCTCAACAGTCCAGAGCTTATTTTGAGAGGCAGGGGGAGGCGGGAAGAGAGGGAGAGGAAGTCCCTTGCGCCAGTGAAGCTGCAGCACTGAACTGTGTCCAGGGTTCAAGGGGTTTGCCAGGAGTAACAGACTTTGTGAGGCATGCCACTGAACACCAGGCTACCACAGCAACTCCCAACCTAGTGTACTCCAGGTGCTGGTGGATATGAGCTCCCATCATCCCTGGCCATGATGGGTGGGGTTAATGGGAGCTGTAGTCCAACAACATCAGGAGGGCACCAGGTTGGGGAAGGCATGTCTACCATAGGACACTTAAAGTCACTAACTGGGAAGAGCCACAGAGAAGCTCAGGGCTCCCCTGGCAACTTTCCATGACTCTCAAGGGGAAGGCAGATTAAGCCTTTGGAGAATCTGTGCCCCAGAGCTGCCACCCTTTGCTGTGTTTTCCTTTAAGCCCCTTCAAAGTCTTGTCAAAGCAACTTTGGTATGAGCAAAGACTGATAATTAACTCGTGAGTGCAAAGCAGTGGCTCCCTACACAGAAGGAAGAGGACTGCAGCCCTTGGATGAAGCTCTGTCGATTCCCCTCTAACATGCGGCTAAGACACCCAGTCAGCTTTTCAATGTTGGGAGAAAGTGCTGGCATGGATTTCAGCAGCAGCAGCAGCAGCAGCACCTCAAAGCATGTCCCCTCTGCCGTGGGTCTGGCAGAGAAGCAGACATTCACAGACAGCTTTGCTGAGCTTCACATCGTCTGCAGGAGAGAAGGCCGAAGCAGCTGTGAGCGCTGGTGGGTTGGGAAGCCATGCCCGCTCGTGGCGCAGTGAGTTCAAGAGGCCGCCTGCCAGGAGCACATTCTGAATGATTCCCCCCTCCCTCAGCTAATCAGCTACTGAAAGAAGAGCTCCCTCCGTCCTGCCAGGCGCTGCACACTCTCCCCCCGCCACCCACCTCCTGGTCAGCTGCACCATGAAGGAGGGAAGTGGGCTTGGAACAGCCGCTGGCTCGCGGAGGAGCACTCAACGCGCCGTCATTCATTATCCACCGACATATGGAATAGTCATTGTGGGAGGAAGCAGAACCAAACAAGAGCCCCAAACTGCTTCCTCCCAGCGAGGCCTTGACAGCCTCTCCAGCTCCCGGCCATTCATCTCCGGGCAGCTGAAGGGGCGGGAGGGAGGGACGCTCGGTCTGCCCAGCAAGCAAGCAAGTGCGGCACACACAGGCAGTGTTGGGGGGGGCAGGGAGGGGAAGGAGCGCAAGAGCAAGGGGGCCGGGGATTTCCCCAGCTCCAGCCCTCCGCCTGACGGGGACATAGCTGCACAGGCGGCACCTCTGCTCTCCCCACTGTGCAGCAGCCACCTCTGCAGCCAAGCGGGGGTGCAGTGGGAGACGGTCCAAGGCGCTGCTGCGAGGAGGCAAGGCAAGCAGAGCTGCCTTATCCGGGACGGCCCAGCCAGGCCACGCCAGGAAACCAATTTATTTTGTTGTGTCTCTTCCCAGAACACACGGTAGAGAAGGAGTTGGGCGGCACGCCAGGCCCAACGCCGGCGGCTGCCAACTGAGCAGGAGCTCAGTAGGAGGAAGTTTAGTCTGTGCTCAGCGCAGGGGCAGCCGTGTGGGCCTCCCTCCGCTGCTTGCTAGTCTTCGCTACATAAACCCACGCAGGCCAGGAGGACGGCGAAGATGGGGTGGCGTAGAGGGGAGAAGCACCAGCGCTTGCAGAGGCGGCAGGCAGGTGAACAGGAGCTGAGGCACAACACTGCTAGCACGGCAGTCATGCTCCGGAAAGGAAGCAGAATCATCCCTCCCCACCCCATTCTCTGCTAAGGAAGCCCAGTTCTGCTGCCAACAAGGCAACTCAGCAATTTGCACACTTTCACTGCCTTCTGCTCACCTTGCTACAGTGGTGCCCCGCAAGACGAATGCCTCGCAAGACGAAAAACTCGCTAGACGAAAGAGTTTTCCGTTTTTTGAGTCGTTCCGCAAGACGAATTTCCCTATGGGCTTGCTTCGCAAGACGAAACATCTTGCGAGTTCTTGCGAGTTTGTTTCCTTTTTCTTAAAGCCGCTAAGCCGTTAATAGCCGCTAATAGCTGTGCTTCGCAAGACGAAAAAACCGCAAGACGAAGAGACTCGCGGAACGGATTAATTTAGTCTTGCGAGGCACCACTGTACCTCTATGATGCAGACAGGAACCAGGTTTGCAAATAACCAGGAAGGGAAACAGGGCTATGCCAGGAGGAAAGGGCATGGAAAAGAGGGATACTGGGTCTGTAGGCAGGACTGAAGAACCAAGAGTTGTGAACGCCCCCTGGATCCCTTCCCCTCGGCCCCAAATTTGGAAACTCCAAGAGATCAGAGGACAGTTCTGCACCAGATCCCAAACTGCATACCTATGTGTACAATCACAGATGTGGATAACACACTTCGTCCCAGCCAGGCCCTGGGCCAAGGCTCCTGGGGCCAGCCTCCCGTCCCCACAGGATGCTGCCCGGCCGGGCCAAACCTCACAAGCCAGGCACATCCAGGGGTGAGGGGAAAGGGCAGCACCCAACTGCCGCCTCTGGAAAAGGCACCTCTTCTGGCAGGACACCTTCTGCCTTGCAAGCCTTGGCACTGCCCAGCAAAGAGCAAAGACCCACTGCCAGCTCTCCTCGCTGCTGCTTTGGCTGGTAACACTTAGTGGCACAGCTGCAAGAACAATCATCCAGCTGGACAGAATTGCCTTGGGAAGGAGACAAACTGCAAACCTAGAAGGGCTTCTCTTTTTAAATCCATGACCTCATAGCAAAACATCTCCACTTGCCGTTCCGTTTGGAAATGGGTAGAGGAATGTGCCCAGACAGAAAGCCCAGGGCAGGGCAGATCCGAAAGGGGAAGGCTGGGGAAACCAAGAGGAAAGATGGCGGAGCAGAGGAAAGGAAGCAGAGCTCCTCCGTAGGAGTGCCCGCGCACTCATTCCACTCATTCTCCCCACGCCTCTGTTCTATGCCCATCCCCAAAGGTGGACTTTGCCAAGCCTGCAGCTGCGCAGGACAGGCGCCAAGCCACTCACAATCTGACACTTGCCAGGCTGAGTCACGCTACGGGTTCAGCAAGCCCAGCATCCTGTTTCCAATGGGGGCCAGTCCCATTTCCCCCCGCAGGAGACAGAGGGTAAGTGAGTGGGTTGTGTGGTGAAGCTCATCCTTTGCTTCCATCACTGGGTTTATACGCCCACTTTATTATCCTCAGTGTGATCATCAAGCTTTTCTTCTGAATGTAGGCTGGAAGACTCCAGAGCAGGGATTGTCACACTTCTAAGTTCCAACCTATCAGGAGTACAAAGCTCTTTGCTAAACCTGAGTTTTTCAATTTGTGTCCTTAGGCTTTTTGAAACAACCTTCTGGGCTCCCAGTCCTCATGCCTGAAGATAGAGGGACTTTAATTACCCGAAGCTTTGCGTCTCTAACCAGAAGCACTGGGGACACAGGCCTTGCCTATCTAGAGTTCAAGGGAGCAAGCTTGTGCCTCGGGGTTACAATGCACAGCGAGAAGCGCACGTCCTGGGCACAGGAAGCAGCAGCATCAAGACTCTTCTGGAGGAGAGATAAATGCAATTACAGAAAGAGAGGGAGGCAGGAACAAAGCCACTGGAAGCCTCTCTGATGTCAACAGGTTCTGAATCAGTGCTCCCCTCAATGGGGCCCTGAAATAGGACCAGCTGGGGAGGGAGAGACCTTGGATTCAGACATGAAAGAGCTGTGTCCCTGGGTAATGCTCGAGACATTACACAAGCGTGCGTTTTGTATGGCCATATATTTCATTACGCTCTCAATCTCTATTCCAGACCCGGCACTTCCGCAGCTCCCGCTCCAGACCAGGTGGGCTTCTAGTCTGTGGATGCCCTGAACGCATGACTCTGCTGGGTCAGAAAGGCAAGCAGGGATTTCATTCCTTGGGATGCCAAGTCCAGGTCCAGGCCCCCTGCTCTCTTGTGGCCTCACCCCCTCAAGACTCCCCAAATAATCATCCCACTCAGACAACACCATATGCAAGCAGCACTCCTCTGTGTCACCCTGGGCAGCTGGCTCTGACTGACTAAAAGCTACACGAGAATTTGATAGGGAAGCCTGTCCCAAGTCTTTCCCAACTGGCTGCTGATTCAAATAGCCTCTCTCAAAGTGACAGGAAGACCCTCCAGAATGCACTCCTTACCATCCAGCTCTTGGGTATTAGTAAACACCATCAGGTCCTTCTCTGGATTGACAACATTCACAAACCTGCCCCCCCCCGATGTCTCTCATTTCCTGCTTCACAGAAGACGAACCCAGCCAGCTTTAAGCAAGTCTTTAAGGTGCTTCCGTTGCTTAGATTGGGACTACCACATAGGGAATCTGATAGACCGGGTGGAAGAATGGGAACTGGAGGCAAGCAGTTGCAAATGCAGCCACACGCTTGCTAAAAAGGAATGACAGGCAGTGCTATTGCTGTTGTGGCAGGCATTGTGGGAAAGAGATCAGGCTGCTGGTTGAGAAAGCAGAACTGGAGAGAACCAATGGCAGGCTGGTGGGACAGGGGAATGGGGAGGGAGCTTTCCTGTCCTTCAGCCAGAAACTGAGAGAGTTCAAGGACTCGGGAGGTGACAGGAGGTTAGGAATGCTGACCCACATTCTGCTTGCTGAGAAGGAACTAACAAGTTATTCCACTGCATTACTCAGGGCAGATGTTTCCACAAGAATGACAAAGGCAGCAAGGAAATCCCTGTCTTCTTCAACTAAAATCCCAACAAATAATTCAATTATGTCTTACAGAGCAGACTTTTGTAAAAACAAAAACAAAACAAAAACAAAACAAAAAAGCCACCTCCTTGTGCTGATTCTGTCAAGGAGAAACAGCTGTGTCCATGTGACTCACCAGAGCTACATGACACTCAGGCCACAACAGTCAACATGGAACAATTCTGCCCCAATGTCTCAAACTCAGAGACCTCCCTATTTCCTTGCACACTTCTGAACTTTCCACCCTGCTAGGAGCAGTATTTTTCCCACCCGCTAGCTTTTTGTGCATGCTAAATACACCACACAGAGCTCCTGCCTCTCTTTTGAGGTCTTTCTTTACAGTCTCCCACTATTTTGCGCTGAACTGCCTAGAAACAGAGTGCCCAGAACTTGATTAGGTGTCTGCCCTTGGACATGATTATTTCTGCAGTTTATGGCTCAGGACCGCAACTTCTCAAGAACCACCTCTGCCAATATGAACTGACCTGGTCCCCTGAAATCAGCATCTTTTGTGGCAGGTCTGTGGGTTGGCTCCCCGTTTGAGGAATGCTCTCCCCAAGGAGGCTTGCCTGGTACCTTCGTTACATATCTTTAGGCACCAGGCAAAAACATTCTCCTCCTAGGCCTTTGGATAATTAAGCAATCTACGGCCTTTTAAACTGCGTGTGTGAGGAGGGGAGGTGTTGTTTTTGTTTGTCACAATGGTATGTATTTTTGTGTTTTTATATTGTAAACTGCCCTGTGATCCTTGGATGAAGGGCGGTATAGAAAGTTAATAATAATAAAGAATACAACTTTAAGAGGTCTTGGCAATTTTGCAACAAGACCATCAAGGGCTCATTCGAAGTGCATTACCTATTGTAACCTCCAGACCCTTTTCTGCTGCGACGTCTATCCAATTATCCTCTCTTCAGCGTTGTCAATATTTTCCTCACTTGTGTTTACCACCATTTACCTTCCTCATTCACCTGGAATTTAGTCCAGTTACTTAGCGTTCAACACTAAACCATCAGTTTTTTTTCTTCCTCAGACCACGAGCCCAGAAAATGCAGCCTCTTACATTTTGCCTGAGGAAAGGTAAACAATGGTCCTCCTCCTGCCTCAAATCCCAGACACATCCTCTTGCAACTTTGCAGGCACAAGCCAACCTAATTGTCCCCCCTCCACCAGCCTTTTTCTCACTGCCCTGGAGCCACCCCATAATCCACCTCTCTGGGCCCTGTGTGTGACTAACAGCCTCATCCACTGCTCTTAAGCTTCTTGCAGGATGTTGTCAGTCTCTCTCTCTCTCCTCACCCCAACACCACCAGTTCCTCTGTAAAGAACAAACATCAGTGTAACCCATGCAGCCAAATGTCCATATGACAGAAAAATTGGGTCAGCAGTGGCTGAAAAAGCACACAGGAAACACAGAGACACAAGGAGCCAGCTCACTTTTCATTCAAAGAGCAGGAGACCTTGATTTGTTTAGCACTGCATAGGCTGCCCTGGCAAGCCATCACTGCCCACAGAGTAACACAGGAGACCACCTTACCTCCTCATCGGAGCTGTCTTCCACATATTCATTCTGCAAGAGTGGCTCCTCCTGTGGATTGTGTTCTGTGCCCTTGTTCTTACGGTGCGATCGCACTTTCTTCTTGGAAACCTCTTCAGCCTGAAAGACAAGCAGGATGGTAGAAAGAGTTACCATGTACAGGCAGCGAGAGGCTGTGTGTCTTACACAATTGCATGGGAGACCTCCCAAACTACACAAAATGGCCAGCAATGAACACTCAGTGTAGTGAGGGCCTCCCTCCCTCGGGCTATAGGCTAAGGTCTTCTACTACATAGATCCTGGCGCTCCCTCTCAACACATGAAAAAGAAATTGTTACAGTCCACAAAGTTGAGACCTGCAGCCACCCTCTCCCAGGAGAATCTCAGAATCGTAGATTTGGAAGGGTCATCTAGCCCAACCTCCTGCAACACAGGAATCTCAGCTAAAGCATCCATGGCAGATGGCCATCAAAGCTCTGCTTCAAAACCACCACCTTCCAAGAGAGTCCACCACCTTCCAAGGGAGTTTGTTCCACTGTTGAACAACTCTTACAGTCAGACATTTTTTCCTGATGTTTAGTTGGAATCTCTTTCTTGTAACTTGACGCCATTGGTTTGAGTCCTACCCTCCGGAGCAGCAGAAAACAATCTTGCTCCCTCTTCCGTGTGACAGTCCCATGTGACAGATATTTGAGTATGGAGAAAGTGGACAAAGAAAAGTTTTATCCCTCTCTTATAACACTAGAACTTTGCAGGCATCAAATCAAGTTGAATGTTCAAATATTCAGGACAGATGAAACCAAGTGCTTATTCATGCAGCTCATAGTTAAACTGTGGAACTCACTTGCACAAGTGTTAAGAGACGGCCACCAACTTGGATGCCTTTAAATGAGGATTAGACAGATTCATGCAAAAAGGCTTTCAATGGCCACTAGTCGTGATGGAGGCCATTCTCTGCCTCCACAGATGGAGGGACCATGAAAGCAATGCTCCACCTCCACACCCGGGAGGCTGCTGAATGAATACCAGTTGCTGGAAACCACAGGGGGAAGAGGGCTCTTGTGCTCACGTCCTGCCTGCAGGCGTCTGTTTGTCTCCGGTCAGAACAGGATGCTGGACAAGACGGGCCACTGGTCTGATCCAGGACAGACAACAGAAAGCATTTATTTGCAGAATGCAGAATGAATCTCCCAAGTTAGTTGTCAGAGGATGTCGTGATGGCCGTCTCCTTATGTAAAGTCAGGGAGGTAGATGGGCAATTCTGCATATAGGTCACCCTTCCTCAAGGTGGGAGCCCCCCACTGTTTTGGACTACAAACCCCATCAGTCCCAGCATCATCTGGTCATGCTGCCTAGGGCAGTTGGGAGTTGTAGTCCAAAGCAGCCAAAGGACACTTTTGGGGGGAAGGCTTACCTAGACCACACTGTGCAAACCCCAGATGACACAGCAAGCAGTACTCTCTATGCTTTAAGCATGGACAAAATGGAAACTTTCAGTACTTTAGATGGCTTGGCGTATCGGCAGCCATGAGCTAAGAGGCAGCAGGCGTCTGCATATACAATAACTGCAGGAGAAGGCTCCTACTTTCTATGCCGTGTTTGTGGGCTTCCTGAAGGCATCTGGCTGGCCACTCCTGGCAATAAGAGGCTGGGCTAGATGGAACCACCTTAGTCTGGTCCATCAGGGCTCTTCTTAGGATCTGAGACAGGACAGGATCCAGCCCCAGCCAGATTCCAGCCCACGGGCCTGGCGTTCCAGACTGCACCTACGCCTTGGCCTGGCGTGCGGGTGCAGGCAGAACTGCACATCCTTCCCTGTTAAAGAGATTCACCCTCCTCCCCCGCTCAGAGGGGACCCAGCCTGGAGTGGGCTTTACCGGAGGATTTGACAGAATAATCAGAAAAGCAGCCCTACAAAGCACCCCTCCTGGGAGCAGTAAAATCTGCACAGTGTGTGATCACCTTCTGCTGTACGCAACCCATAACACAGCCCTTTCTGCCCCCCTCTCTGACTTCCACCCTTCTGGCCAAGGGGAGAAAGTGGGGCTGGGGGCCTAGAAAGTACAGGGCCAACTAGAAGATGGGATTACAGCAAAAACAAAGGCTTTATTAAAGTCTTTGAAAAAAGGAGATCGGAGGTAAGTTTTTTCCCAGGCTTTTGGCATTGAGAAGGTTTTGTCTGTCTCTCCCGCTCTCCCCCCCCAATTCTCCTTCCTCCCAACACTCCATGAGCTTGGAGCAGAGCCCCATGCTGCAGAAATGGGCCACTGGTGCAGCAAGCCACCCTGGCGACCTGCCAGGTCATGCCAAGGAGGCCCAGGGTCACTGCCAAGGGCACCCTGGCCTAGCAAGACTGCCCAGTTCCTCATCCCTCACAGGCACCAGAGCTGCTTCTCAGTGCACCTCCAGAACAAGACATGTGGCGCATTGCTGCTGTGGAGACACCCACAATCCAAAGCGCCCCTAGAATGACCAAGCTCCCCTTTCTGTAGCTGCGCTCATGTCCCTCTGGCAATCAACTGGAAGAGAGCTAGGACAAGGCAGGCTGATGTGGGTTCTTCAGACAACACCAGCAAGTGCTTCTCCTCTGGCAGAACGTTCCAAGGCTCACGCTTTGATACTCATTTCTTCGTTTTCAAGATGGAGGGGCAGGCTTGTGCCACCCTCCTGACTCAGGAGATGTAGGGTAGGGCTCTCAGCTTAGGTGAGATGAAGTGTAAGGTTCTCCCAAGCAGCTTTTATCAAGAGGCATATAAAAGAATTCCCTTGGTGACACCTAGCCTTGACACGTGCTGGGAACCATCCTCCTTGCACAGCAGTCTTGTTCTTGGGTTTTTCTACAGCCACACTCTCTGCATTTTTGATTAATGGACACAAAACGGGGCCTTGCTTCCTGCCCTGAGCAGTCAGTTCAGAGGCTCCTGCAGGAAGGTGGGCAAAGAGGCCACCAGAGGGCAGCATGCAACTCCAAAAGGAATGTGCAGGGGGGAGCAGGGGGGCAGGAGAGACAGCCAGGAAAAGCAATCGGAAGGAGTAATTGCAGCAGCTGCGGCAGCCAGGGCTTCCGAGGTGAAGAGGTCAGGCTGTGAGCCGCTGTGCCTGCATCTGCTGATTCAGCAATGCTTGTGGCCAGGTGAGAACCACTGGCTGGTGCTGAAAACTCACCATGGAAGCCACTGAGACAGTTCAGTTCTTGAACGGGTGGCACAAGGGTCTGTTCTGCAACTCTTCCCTGCTTTTCGGTAACCGTCTGTACGACTCCTTTAATCTGAAAACTGTGCTGCAATATTTATTACATTTGTACTGTCCACCATGAAAGCTCTTCTAACATGGCAAATGCCTTTTCGTCAGAAGCCCTACAAGTGCTTCTTCAATTCTCTCTTTGGCACCTCGGGGCATCACCAAGGAAATCCAGGACCAGCAGGACTGAGCTCCTCTGTGCAGAGGATGCTGGTCCCATGCAACTCTCCAAGGCCAACTGGAAGAGAACCAAGCTCCCTCCCTGCCAAGGTTAGAGGGATGCAAGTTCCTCTCTTCCTTACCACCCGGCTTCCTCGGAGGTCTGTGAAGTCGAGTGCCCTCTTCATTATTTGAAACTTGAATCCTACCCTTCCTTCAGGGAGCTAAGGCCAGCACACACATATTGCCTCTACAGTTCTAACTCTGTGTGAGGTAGGCTAAGCCAAGACAAGGATGCGCCCAAGGCCAACCTTTGGGCTTCACAACAGAACAGCAATGGCTCCCAGGCTCCTCAGGCCAGCAGCCTGTCGCCCAATGAACTACCCAGGCAAAAGCTGGCCACTGCGGCTGAAGGCCTGCCGGAGTTTTCCAAAGATGAAACTGCCTTGCCTCCCGCTGTTTTGTGTCTGAACACTCCACAGAATTGTGCATGCTTGCAACTTAAGACAGCCTTCCAGGGACAAAGAATCATCTATTTATCACAAATTTATCCCTCCTGAGCCAGCAAAATCAAGGGAAGTTTCTTAAGCCCTGGGTGAAGCGTCTTCCTTTGCTTCCTCCACCTCCTCCTGCTCCTATGCACCAGAGAGGAGGTTCTGCCTTGAGGAAGGAGACCCACCAGTAACAATATAGAAGAATTCCCAACTTTGGAGCACGCGGCAGAGCTGCAGCACGCACAGGAGCTTTCCATCTCCACCGGCGGCTGATGGTTGCCTATTCCGTTCTACACGTTCATGCTCCCCAGGATCCCTGCCAAGTTGACTGACTGCCAAGCCCTGATGAATAAGGCTGATGACAGAAGCAGAGAGGCCTTGCGCATATATATATCTCTATCTATTTGCTATTATTTTTATTTACAATGCACAGAGCATCAGGCTCTTGACACCGAAGAAACTTACTGTCTAAAGCCGAGCCAGAGGGAAAATTGTATGCTGGGAGAGGGAAGGGAGCCCCACACGCCAAAAGCAGCTGCTCAGCTCAGCTGCAACAGGAAGGCCAGAGCATGAAAGACACTGACATGTTCTCTTAGGCAAAACAGGTCAGATCGTGGACAGCAGCAAAGCCTCACAGATCAACGTATCAGGGAGTCCTAATAGGAATGCAAATATGGGAATGCAAATATGCCAACCGCACTAGGAGGCCTGTCGGAAACCAGTTACTCAAGTAAGCACGTCAATCCACATATTGAAAAGCTTGCCTAGTCAGCTCATCTCAAAAAGGAAAGGGTTCAGAAATGAGCCATCAAAATAATCAAGGGGATGGATTGAGTCCCCTATGAATAAAAGTTGCTGTGTCTGGGACTTTTTAATTTTGAGAAAAGGTGCGTAAGGAGGGACGCAATAAGAAATTTATAAAGTTATGTCTGGGATAGAGGTAGAGGACAGAGAAATGTTTTTCTCTCTAACACACAACACTGGAACTCATGAGCGTGAAATGAAGCAGAACGTTGGAAGATTCAGCACAGATACAATAATTTCCTTCACACCAATGGCACAGCATTCTGTTCTCTCAGTGACCAGATCCCTGTGGCAAACCTGCAAGCAGGACATGAGTGCAACAGCACTCTGCCCACCTGCAGTTCCCAATATTAGGAGTATTAATAGGCCTAATGCGTCGGACAGCGGAGGTGGAACACAGTCATCATGGCTAGTAGCTATTGGGGATGGCAATATTTATTTATATCCCGCCTTTTCCCCAGAACTGGGACTAAAGGTGGCTTTAAAAAATCAAAACACCATGGATAAAACATAAAGTTGAAAACATTTGAATGGCAATTGTTGATTCTCCTTTAGGTATCTGCATGATTATGTCAGGGGGGAAATTCCCCTCAGTATATCCTTACCAAGAATAAAACATCCCTGCTCTTCCCTAGGACAGCACATTTTATATTCAATGGGAGAAAAGCTCATCCAGGTTGCAACAGAGTTCTTTCACTGAGGATGTCTCTCTCTCTCTGCACATGCATATAAATTTGTTTGCTTTGTTATTTATTTAAAGCCTTTTATTTTGCTTTTCAGGAAGATACCTTGCAATGTGACAGTGATATGGGTCTTCCAGAAAATTTTGATCTGGAAAATGCCGCAGGGCATATTAGAACAATTTGCATTGATAATATTTTAGTTCACATTGGGATATTTTCTGATGCCCTCTAGAAAGCAATCTAATTTAGCACATTTATTTTACTTGTATTTAGTAAGCAAAACTAAAAAAGATACCCCACGTTAAACATTTTGTACCAATACAACACACGTATTTGATCTAAAATATGTGAGAAGAGAAATTAAAGCATACTTACTGATATTTAAATGCTATGTAAAAATAAAAAATTGGTATACTTGTATAAATGTAAATATTTCCTTTATATCCATGGTAGAGAAGTTGAGCTCCTCCCTTGCCACCTCTCTGAGAGGCCCTTGAGACTGTCCACAGGCCACACCCCTTACCTGCCCTCCTCTGCACCCTCCTGAGGTGCAGTTTCCTGGCTGGAACGTGTCCTTGAATGTGCTAATGCCTCTTCCTTCCTGGATGGAGGTGCGTGCACTTTCCTTTACTTTTGCATGGCTAGAACATACAAAGCTAAGTCACATTCTTTGCTTCACCCACAATTAACATGTGACCGCTGGAAGGCTGCCTATGAGGGAATGAGGACCTTGAGCTGAAGTTTCCGCACCCCTTCCAGACATAACTTAAATGTTAAAAAAACCAAAGGAACTGAAAACTCTTGGCTTACTAATACATGTTAGGACCCCTGACCGTCCAGTCGTGACCGACTCTGGGGTTGGGGTGCTCATCTCGCTTTATTGGCCGAGGGAGCCGGCGTACAGCTTCTGGGTCATGTGGCCAGCATGACTAAGCTGCTTCTGGCAAACCAGAGCAGCGCACGGAAACGCCGTTTACCTTCCCGCCGGAGCGGTACCTATTTATCTACTTGCACTTTGTGCTTTTGAACTGCTAGGTTGGCAGGAGCAGGGACCGAGCAACAGGCGCTCACCCTGTTGCAGGGTTTCGAACCGCCGAACTTCTGATCGGCAAGCCCTAGCCTCTATGTTAGCAACCAGAGAACTGTGCATGCTTCCCATAGGACTGCATCCAAAGCTGCTGTTCCAACTGCACAATACAGTGGTACCTCGAGTTAAGAACTTAATTCGTTCTGGAGGTCCGTTCTTAACCTGAAACTGTTCTTAACCTAAGGTACCACTTTAGCTAATGGGGCCTCCCACTGCCGCCACTGCACGATTTCTGTTCTGATCCTGAAGCAAAGTTCTTAACCAAAGGTACTATTTCTGGGTTAGCGGAGTCTGTAACCTGAAGCATCTGTAACCCCAAATACCACTGTACTCCCATTTGCACAATGGCTCTTCCTCATCCTCTCTCCCTGCAGCCTCAATGCACCCCCAGAATACACTTTCCAGAGCAATTTGGGGGGCAGGGAGAAAAGGGGAAGTTCTGTTGCATAAGTGGAACTCTGCTTGCACAGCGTGGCACACAATCACCTGAAAAACATGAATTACAGCTTTGAAGCTGCTGAGCTTGCCTAACATTGTATGTGCACCTGAACTTCTTAAACGGGAAGCTTCCCAAGGAAAACCAACTTCACTGCAAAATGACAAGCATGACATATGAACTGAAGGGATAGCTCAGACGGCAGAGCACAAGGCTCCTAATCTCAGGGTTGTGGGTTTGAGTCCCACTTGGGGCAAAGATTCTTACCTTGCAGGAGTTGGACTAAATGACCGTTGCAAGTCCCTTCCAACTCTACAATTCTATGAAATGAAGAAACGCTAAGTATGTGTAGAACAGTGACAGGATGACAATCTCTGAAGCGTTGCCACTGGAGGAATATGTGATTTCTTTGTCCAGAACCTCCCTCCTGAAAAGAATCACCTAAAGACACAGTGCCATAGATGCAGCACTCCAGAGTATTCTGTACTTACAAGCATATTTTCAGGGGGCAAGATGCCTTCTGACTTCTCCTCGACCCCACTGTCTTCCTCTTCATCCTCTGTGATGCTGTCACTCCCAGAATCCTCTAGTCCAGAGAATACACTTTCATCACTGTCCGTCAGATCATCACTTTGCCCTTCTTGCTCCTCGAGGGGAAGGGTGCTGAGGAGAGGCTGCCAGAAGGAAACAGAAAGCATTAGGAGAGTGTACTAGCAGCGGTGGCAAATCCCTATATTGTAAGCCACCCTGTGATCTTCGGATGAAAAGCAGCATAAAAATTTAATAAACCATCATCATCATCGCCATCCCCTTGTAGGCCAAAATGTTCTCCCAAACAATGTTACAAGCATCACTTGTGATGTCAATAGGCTGCAGAGACAATAACTAATTACTGCCCTTCCAATAATTGCCTTGGGCACCAGAAATTTATACCCTGCCATTCAGATATGCCTCTTGTCTTCAACAACCTACTCACCCAACAATGCGAGACCCAGTTCTTCTTGAGACAATTTTACCCAGCTTCCAGCATCGCTACCCATTTTTCAGTCCAAACTTAAAAATGGAAAGCGTAATGGTGGTAGTCAACAACAGGTTTAAAGACACTCTCAAGGCAAATCTAAAAAAAATGTAGTTTAAGCACCAGCAATTGGGAAACACTAGCCTGCGACCGCTCCAATCGGAGAACAGCCTTTACCAAAGGTGTTATGGGCTTTGAAGACACTTGAACTCAGGATGCAAGGGAGAAACGTGCTAAGAGGAAGGCACGCTTGGCAAATCCACAACGGGATCAACTAACACCCAGACACCAATGTCCCCACTGTGGAAGGACGTGTGGATCCAGAACTGGCCTCCACAGTCACTTACGGACTGAATGTTAAAACTGTGTTCATGGAAGACAATCTTACTTGGCTACAAGCGATCGCCAAAGAAAATGGCCCAGTTTTGCTTGATGTACAGTCGTATCTGGGGTTGAATATGCTTCATGTCGAGTTCTGCTCCGCGGTGACCTGGAAGTAATGGAGCACGCTACTTCCGGGTTTCGCCGCTCACGCATGTGCAGACGCTCAAAATGACGTCACATGCATGCACAGAAGCGGCGAAAAGCGACGTGAGTGTGCGCAGACGTGCCATTGCTAGTTACGTTTGCTTCTGAATGCGAACGGGGCTCCGGAACGGATCCCGTTTGCATCCCGAGGTACCACTGTATTGTAAAGAACTTGCCCTGGCTTCATTTCCAAAAAGAATTTATTTTTATTTTTTTAGTAATGGTGATGAGGTTGGTGCCAAGTGCCCAGAGAGCCCTTCTGCCTCCTGATAAGCCAGAGACTGTTGCTCATCAGGAGCACTTGGGGCACCATCCTCTTCCCCATCACTAGATTTCTATAGTGCCTTTCATCCGAGGACCACAAGGTCATTTACAACACAACACGTGAAGGTGCCTCACCCCACACCTCATGCCCCTGGCCCGCCTGACCCAGCACTGCCCACTCTGACTGGCAGCCGCCCCCCAGGGTCTTGCCTGCCCTGGCTCTCCAGGCGCTTCTCGGGGAGAGCAGAACGGGGCAAGGGCTGAGGCAGGCCTGGGTTCGAATCCTCCACGGGGCCACGTGCAGCTGCCTCTCAGCCCGACCCACCTACCTCGCGGGGCTGTTGTTCTGGCATGAGGCAGGGGCGGGCCAGGTCCCCGGCCCCGGAGGGCCTTCCCGGCCCCCCTTTCCTCGCGTGGGGGAGGGGCTGCCCCTCTTCTCTTCCCCCCCCGCCCGGCCCGGCCCTCACCCGGCTGCTCCCTTCTCCCCCGGCGGCCTTCATGCTTCCCCTCAGAGCCGCCTCGCGTCCCCGCCGCGTGCGCTCGCCGCCCCAGCTGCCGGCCAGTGCGCAGGCGCGCCGGGAAGGAGCACGCCCCGCCCCTCGCTCCCTCGCGCGGCCTCCGCCTCCAAGCCGAGCCGGCTTTCTCTTCGGTTCCCTCAGGGAGGCGGCGTCGCCGTCTTCGCCTCAGCGATAAGACTCGAATAGCGGCGGGGAAAGCGGGTCTGAGGGGAAACCTGAGGGGAGAGGTCAGAGGTGAAGCTGTGACGTCAGCACACGCGCGCCGGGCTGAATCTCAGCTCCGCGCATGCGCCCCATAGTCCCGAGCTGCAAAAAATCGCGCCTACTGCGCAGGCGCCACGATCGCGTAAGTCTATGGCTTCGAAGGGACCCTGATGCACATAGACACACGACGGGTAGACGTGCGCATCGAGAGCAGCTTCCGGGCTAACTTTGGAACTCTTTTCCTTCCCTTTTTCCTCCGAAATGAGAGCTGTCCGTAGAGAAAGCTGCTCGCTACAAGGGGTATATTTCTTTTTTTTAAAAGAATATTTTTATTAGTTTTTTAACATATCATTTCCAACAATCACATAACATAACTTCTTATCTTATACGTTGTTTTAGACTTCTGTCAACACCTCTGATGATTTTCCGTCTTTTATCACTTATTCTGAATTTCTTAATATATCTATCACTCTTAATTGTCACCAACTAATCACCTCATTGTCTTTCTTGCAATATTCCATATAATTCTCCTTACAAAACTTCTTACAGTCATACTAGTGTAATCTGTTCAATACTATTACTTTTCAAATAGTTCGTATATTTACTCCAGTCTTCTAAGAATCTCTGGTCCCACAGGTTTCAAATCCTTCCAGTTAATTTATCCAATTCTGCATAGTCCATCAATTTCATCCGCCATTCTTCCATCGTCGGTAATTCTTCTTGCTTCCATTTTTGTGCTGATAATATTCTTGCTGCCGTCACAGCAGCTTTGGCTGGGGAGGGCGGGATATAAATTAAAATTTATTATTATTATTATTATTATTATAATATTTCCACCACGTTCACTGTCAGAGCCGGGGTGGTGGACTAGATGGGCCATTGGACTGATCCAGCAGGCTCTTCCATGTTCTTAAACAATGTTGTCGTTTAGTCGTGTCCGCCTCTTCATGCCCCATGGACCAGAGCACGCCAGGCACTCCTGTCTTCCACTGCCTCCCGCAGTTTGGTCAAACTCATGCTGGTAGCTTTGAGAACACTATCCAACCATCTCGTCCTCTGTCGTCCCCTTCTCCTTGTGCCCTCCATCTTTCCCAACATCAGGGTCTTTTCCAGGGAGTCTTCTCTTCTCCTGAGGTGGCCAAAGTACTGGAGCCTCAGCTTCAGGATCTGTCCTTCCAGTGAGCACTCAGGGCTGATTTCCTTCAGAATGGAGAGGTTTGATCTTCTTGCAGTCCATGGGACTCTCAAGAGTCTCCTCCAGCACCAGAATTCAAAAGCATCCATTCTCCAGCCTTCTTTATGGTCCAGCTCTCACTTACATCACTACTGGTTCTTAAACAATAGAAAACTGCAAGACTTCAGCATAGTTGTGATTGAGCAACAGACAGCTGTCACTCCAAACCAACCCCCCCTTTCTCAATGAAAGCTAGCAGCAAAAAGAAAAGCTCTCCTCCTTTCCCTTTGTGTGACTGCTGTCAATCATTGAAACACACGGCACAGTTATACGCAAAGTAATGAAGCACAAGGTTAGCGCATGGAATTTTGGTCGTAATTGGACAATGAGGGAAACTCTCAATTTAGTACTCAGATCAGTGGCTCCTAGCAGGGCTGGCTCAACATGCTGGAACCTGAGGCAAACCACAAAATGCTTCCCCACGCCTGTCTGTGAAGAAGGGTAGCCGTGTTGGTCTGCTGTAGTCGAGACAAAATTTAAAAATTCCTTCCAGTAGCACCTTAGAGACCAACTAAGTTTGTTATTGGTATGAGCTTTCGTGTGCATGCACACTGATATAACAACACAAAAACTCATACCAATAACAAACTTAGTTGGTCTCTAAAGTGCTACTGGAATAAATTTTTTTATTGTGAAGAAGGGATAAGTGAAGACCTACATCAGGCACAAGCAGGGAATAAACTTCTACATTGGAAACAAGGGTGGGAGGAGACCTATTGGCCAAGAGGCCACTGTAGAGGCAGCATGCCGGGCAGATTTGGCCTCCAAGGAGAGCTCCGCTGGATCTGCTGCCCCCTGCCTCACTTTGCCTCATGGGTGGCTTGGCCAATGGAGGCCATGCTCTGTCTACATGAGAAAGCAGCGCTTCTGAGAATACCAGTTGCAGGGAACAGCAGGAAGGGAGTGTGTCCTTGTGCTCAAATTTTGCTTGCAGCTTCCCATAGGGCAGGTGTTAAGTTGTGGGTGAACATATCAGACGACACAGCGATTCTTCAAACAGCTCTTGTTTATTCACAGGCCAGAACAGAACTGAACTGAAGGGTTCAACCAGCCTGCCTATATAGAGCTCCACTACAATGCAACAGTAACAACTTTCTGTAACTATCCAATCCCTGAACGTCACTTTCAATTCCTTATTTGCATATGTGGACCTGAGTGAAAACTATCTACAGTATCCCCCTGCTGGCCCAGGGTGAGAATTTCAGTACATAACAGCAGGCATGTCCAAAGTCCGTTTCAGGGGCCTAATCCAGCCCACCGGTCGGTTTAATCCAACCCCTGTGGCAGTTTATTCCCTAGGGTAAAATAAAAAAAAAAAAAAAAAATCTCAACAACTTCAGTCCTAAAAAACAACTTCAGTTGGTCATTTGGTCAGCGCCCACGGCCCTTCACTTCATCCAATCTGGCCCTCTGAAAAAAGTTTGGACACCACCGCCATAGGGGTATCTGGTTGGCCAATGTGAGTACAGGATCAGAGGATCATAGAACCGTATTAATTGGATGGAATCCCAATTGTCACCTAGCCCAATCCTCTGCAGTGCAGGATGCTGGACTAGTTGGGCCGTTGGTCTGATCCAGATGGCAGTTTTTATCTTTCCTGCAAAGTACAGGGGAGGGTTTTTGGTTTGTATGGGGTGAGTGCAGCAGCAAACGCGCACCAGCTTCATCCTCACCACACCTATAACCTGCTGCGTTAACAATGGCCGCCATTACACGGTTGTCGTAACCATGCCCACCCCAGCTTCAGTACTCCTTCCTCCCAACATCTGTAATATTAAAGGTGGAACCAGGGGGGGGGGATTTTAAGAGCTAGGAACAAGTTGGACGCATCAGCCAGGCAGAATGGCTTGCAGGTGGCCGAGTAAAAGAAAGATAATCGGGGCCTGGACTGGAAGCGCTGCAGATGTTCTGCAAATTGTCTGAAAGTATTATATACCTGCTATGCATAGGAAACTAAATTAACCTGCGTATATTATGCTAAAGGGACGTGGGTGGCGCTGTGGGTTAAACCACAGAGCCTAGGACTTGCTGATCAGAAGGTTGGCGGTTTGAATCCCTGCGACGGGGTGAGCTCCCGTTGCTCGGTCCCTGCTCCTGCCAACCTAGCAGTTCAAAAGCACGTCAAAGTGCAAGTAGATAAATAGGTACTGCTCCAGCGGGAAGGTGAACGGCGTTTCCGTGCGCTGCTCTGGTTCGCCAGGCTTAGTCCTGCTGGCCACATGACCCAGAAGCTGTACGCCGGCTCCCTCGGCCAATAAAGCGAGAGGAGCACCGCAACCCCAGAGTCTGCCACGACTGGACCGAACGGTCAGGGGTCCGTTTACCTTTACCTTTATATTATGCTAATGGTATTTTGTGAGCCATTGCGAGTATGTATAAAGACAAGCAAACCCTAACCCTAACCCTAACCACTCCAGCCAAGCAAGACTCGCAGGATAGCTTAGAGATTGATAAAAAGATGGCAGGAGCCTCTTCTGGGAAGCTCACAAGCAGAACCTGAGCACAAAAGCAGCTCTTCCCTCCTGTGGTTTCCAGCAACTGGGATTTAGAAGCATTGCTGCCTCCAGCCATAAGGGAAGAGCGTACCCATCCTGGCCAGTTTTTGAGAACCCTCTCCCGCACGAACCTGCTTGGGAGCCATCACAGCCTCCAGTGGGCGGGAGTTCCGCAGTTTCACCCTCTTCTGCGTGCCACGCCCCCTCTAAATTCAATAGGGGCAGAACGGACTGATATATATGCAAACCTGCACAATCTCTATCCATATACACACCCCATTGCTTGTGCATGCAATGCGTGTATTTTAAAGGGGCAGAATTATGTTTGGGGGGAGGGAGCCCCGAGGAAGAGCAGCAGCAGCAGCAGCAGCCAGTGGCGGCGCATGCGCGCGGCGGCCCTTTCCCCTCCCCGGCCGCCCAGGCGCGAGGGGGGCGGGGCCTCTCCTCTTCCCGGCGCCTGCGCGCTGCCTGTGTATCTGGCGTCACAAGATGGCGGCGGCCATGCCGGGCTCCTTCTGAGGGGCTGAGGGCGCAGGGAGGAGGCTGCTCCGGGGCCGCCGCGCCCGCCCACCCCCCGCCACCCCGGCCCGCTCTCTCTCTCGGGGGCCGGCGGAAGAAGCCTCAGGAGGCGTAGCGGCGGCGGCGGCGCCTGGCTCTTCGCGGAGAGGGAGGCCTCGCCTGCGGGCGGCGGAGGCAGGCCCGGCCCGGGTCGCGGAGGCCTCGGCGAGGGGCGGCATGGAGGGCGCCGGCGGCGGCGTGGCGGGCGGGGGCAGCAACGTGCCCGCCTTCCTCACCAAGCTGTGGACCCTGGTGGAGGACCCGGAGACCGACCCGCTCATCTGCTGGAGCCCGGTGAGGGAGGGGGCCGGGCGGGGGGTCCCGGGGGGGCGCCCTCCTCCCCTCCCCGCCCCACGGAGGCTCCTCGGGGCCTTCGCTCACGGGCTGCGGCGGACCTGAAGCCGCCTCCCTCCCAGCCAGACCCTTCGCCCATCGGCCCCGCTATTGCCGGCCCTGGCTGGCAGCGGCGGCGGCGGGGCAGGAGAGGCCGCGGGGGGTTGAACCCGGGATGTCCTCCTCGCGAGGCGGAGGCTGAGCCGCCTTCTTCCGCCCCTGCCCGACTCTTCGGTCTCTGGGCTCCGGGGACCCCGGCCCTCCCAGCTCGTCTCTTGCGGCTGGGACTCTGGGGCGCAGGAGATGCGCCGCTTCCTGCGTCGGGACCTTCGCCGGTGTCCCGTGCGATCCCCTGGCAGGGCTGCCTGGCGTTTCCAGGTGAAGGAAGGGAGCGCGTGGTTTCACCTGGAAACTTATGTTACTGTTTTGGCTTCATGTATAGTTGGGCCTTGTTGTCCCGGAGAAACTCTCGGTGTTTGGGTCACGGACAGCAAGTGTCGTTCAACATGCTGCAGGGAAGGGAAATCTCTGGCCATCCAGACTTCATTAAACTGTAGCTTTGGTCAGCAGCCATGCTGTTTGGGGTGAGGGAATTTGGAGTCCTGCAACATAGGAAAAGCCACAGGTTCCCCATCCCTGTGGGAATGGGTTTGGGCTGTAGAATCAATATAAAGTGCGAGTTTATTGGCTGTTGCCGAGTACCATTACATGGCTAATGCTACTTTCCATTTTTCACTCGAATTTTGCACTAGCATTTCTGAATTTCACCTTACAGGTGAAATGAAGTTTTGCAGATTCAAAAGATGCCATGGTAATATGCAGTACATTTTCAAGTTTTCCAATATGAATAATAGAATCATAGAATTATAGAGTTGGAAAGGACTCTGAGGGTCAACTAGTCCAACTCTCAACTAAAGCATCTATTATATATGGCCATCCAAACGCTGCTTAAAAATCTCCAAGGACAGCCCAACAGCTCCCAAACAAGTTTGTTTCTCTAAACAGCTCTTGTCATCAGAAAGTTTTTCCTGATGATTTGTCAGAATCTCCTTGTAGCTTAAACCCATTGGTTCAGGTTCTGTCCTCCAGATCAGGAGAAAACAAGCTTGGTCCATCTTCCACGTGACAGACCTTCAAGATGTTTGAAGATAGCTATCATATCTCCACTCAATTCTCTTTTCCAACCTAAACATACTCAGCTCCCTTAACCACTTCTCATAAGGCTTGGTTTCCACACCCTTGATCATGTTGGTTGCCAGCGGCACATGTTCCAGCTTGTCAATATCCTTTTTAAATTGCTGTGCCCTGAGCTAGGCACGTTACTTCAGGTGTGGTCTGATGAACACAGAATAGAGCAGTACTATTGCTTCCCTCGACCTGGACATTATACTTCTCTTGATGCAGCCTAGAAGACAGTCTTGGTTAGAAACTCTTTCCGCTGGCCTAGGAGCCCATGCTGACCGGAGGCCACAATCTGCAGGCAGTGTCCACATTCTGGTTGCTCCCTGGTGCTGTGTCATTCTGGCTACAGAGATCAGTATTTCTTTACAGTAATTCTGGCCCCTGCCAACAGGCTGCACTTACTGGTCCTTTCCTGCATCTTCCCTATCATTGTAGCCATTGATTTCCCATATCATTTGCTGGTTTTGTCATCTTCTCTTTGCCCCCCTGCTCTTTCTACCACATTGTTCCTGTTTGCCTTTTTATTCTAGACCATTTGTGACCTTTTCCAATCACATAACCTCCAGTTTATATTTAGCTGTCTTTTTCAGTGTCAAGGTTGTGGTCAGAATTCCAAGCATTGTGGTTCCAGCACAGCTGAGTGAAGCTGGTCACTAGTTTTCGTGGGAATGTTTATGTTTCTTGCAGCAAGATTCAGTATCTGTTCTCCAGATTGTTCAGCTTTAATGCCAGGAGGTGTAGAGGAGAATGCATAACTCTGACCTCTTTGCTTCTTCTCAATTCTCTAAGGTGAAAGTGTGTAGTTAGATTCCCCCTCTCCCCCCACGGACATTCCTTTCCTACCGAAAGACATATTGAGAATTCCTGTCATAAGGAGCACTTGCCTGAGTCTTAGCAAGAGGGCCACTGGGTGGCAAAGGGTGCTTGTTGTGTCCAGCTTATTCTGTTTCAGAGGCAGTGACCCAGTACAGAACGCTTCTATGTAAAGAAATGAAACAGGAATATCCACAGTGTTCCACCCCATTGGAATACAGGCTTCCCTCAAACAAAGTTTTGTTGACTTTGCACATCAATCTGTGCATGTGTTTGTTCTGAGGTATGTGTAGTTAGCAGTGCAACCTTAGTTCTTTAAACTTTTTGTGTCATCTCAGATGTTTGATTTAGGTTGAAGTCCTTGAGAGCAGGAAAGCAAAGCCTCTCATTCTTTTCTTCTGTACTCTTGAGGGGTTTCTGAAGTAAGCATCAACCTAATGAGAATGAACAGCAGCTTAATTCAATACAGCGGGAAGTAATTCATGGAGTCCCAATTATAGGATTGATGACCTAATTATAGGATTGAAAATGTTGGTTTTATACAGCCATGTTCTCGTTAACATGAGGAAATAGTTGCTTGAAGAGAAGGGCAAATCCCACTCTTCTCTGTAAGTAAAAAAAAAATACTATTGTTGGGAGAGAATCGCAGGCAGCAGCCTGTCTCTGAACCTCAGTTGCTGGGGAACAATAGCAGGAGCGTTGCATTGTGTTGAGGTCTTACTTCTTGGGTTCTAAGAAGGGGCGCCTAGTTGGCTGCAGTGGTAACCAAACGGTGGATTACAGGTGAAACTCGGAAAATTAGAATATCATGGAAAAGTTCATTTATTTCAGTAATTCAACTTAAAAGGTGAAACTAATATATGAGATATACTCATGACATGCAAAGCGAGATGCGTCAAGCCTTTATTTGTTATAATTGTGATGATTATTTCGTACAGCTGATGAAAACCTCAAATTAACAATCTCAGAAAACTAGAATATTAAATGAAATCAGCAAAACAAGGACTGCAAATAGAGCAATATTGGACCTCTGAGAAGTAGAAGCATGCATATGTACTCAGTACTTGGTTTGGGCCCCTTTTGCATCAATTACTGCCTCAGTGCGGCGTGGCATGGATGATATCAGCCTGTGGTACTGCTGAGGCGTTATGGAAGACCAGGATGCTTCAATAGCAGCCTTCAGCTCTTCTGCATTGCTCAGTCTCATGTCTCTCATCTTTCTCTTGCCATTGCCCCATAGATTCTCTATGGGGTTCAGGTCAGGCGAGTTTGCTGGCCAATCAAACACAGTAATCCCATGGGCATTGAATCAGGTTTTGGTACTTTTGGCAGTGTGGGCAGGTGCCAAAGTCCTGCTGGAAAATGAAGTCAGCATCCCCATAAAGCTCGTCTGCGGAAGGAAGCATGAAGTGCTCCAAAATCTCCTGGTAGACGGCTGCGTTGACCCTGGACTTAATGAAGCACAGTGGACCAACACCAGCTGATGACATGGCTCCCCAGAGTGTGGAAACTTCACACTGGACTTCAAGCATCTGGCATTGTGTGCCTCCCCATTCTTCCTCCAGACTCTGGGTCCTTGGTTTCCAAATGAGATGCAAAAGCTGCTCTCATCAGAATTTGGGGAGCCATGTCATTAGCTGGTTTTGGTACATTTTCGAGCACAATTCAAAGTGTCAGTGCTGACCTTTAAGGCATTAAACTGCCTTGGCCCAGTACAGTGGTACCTCGGGTTACATACACTTCAGGTTACAGACTCGGCTAACCCAGAAATAGTACCTCGGGTTAAGAACTTTGCTTCAGGATGAGAACAGAAATTGTGCTCCGGCGGCTCGGCAGCAGCAGGAGGCCCTATTAGCTAAAGTGGTGCTTCAGGTTAAGAATGGACCTCCGGAACGACTTAAGTACTTAACCCAAGGTATCACTGTATACCTGAAGGAGTGTCTCCACCCCTCATCGTTCTGCCCGGACACTGAGGTCCAGCTCCGAGGGCCTTCTGGCGGTTCCCTCACTGTGAGAAGGGAAGTTACAGGGAACCAGGCAGAGGTCCTTCTCGGTAGTAGCACCCACCTTGTGGAACACCCTCCCATCAGATGTCAAAGAAATAAACAACTATCTGACGTTTAGAAGACATCTGAAGGCAGCCCTCTTTAGGGAAGCTTTTAACGACTGTTGATTTAATGTATTTTTAATCTTTTGTTGGAAGCCGCCCATAGTGGCTGGCGAAACCCAGCCAGATGAGCAGGGTATAAGTAATAAATTATTATTATTATTATTATACAGTGCTACAGTGCTGCCAGATAGAGATGCTAAACTACTTGTGCTCTTTTGGACTTCATACTAATATTAAAAGTTACTGGAAGGCAATTTTATAATATAGATAAAATAATAAATAAACGAGTTATACAAATAATCCTGTATTCGTTTAAAAAAATAGTAGTGAAAGTCCATAACCCTAGTTAGGGGTAGGGGAAAGGGATTAGCTGCTCCCAGTATTTCTGATTACTTCAGAGGCAAGGCGGCTTAAAAAATTACAGAACTACAAATATAATGAAAGTAGTCATAAACAATAAACAAAACATCAAAAAGTACACAACCAAACAGAACAATTTCCACATAAATCATAGGATCCAAAATAAATATACAAAATATTAATATTGCCACCCCCCTAAGCAATACCCTAGTCCAGGAATGCTGCCTGTTTGTAACTTCTGCTCAAGTAGTGGTTTCTTTCTTTGTTAATCAAGTCATGGCTCTTCTGACTTTGGCAGAAGGTGTGTTAAGGCCGCCCATTTAAGGACGTTATCCAGCTGCAAAACTGGGTGGAGTGTGTGGAAGGTGCAGGGGCTTAGTTTTTGGCGCTATAACTGGTAGCTGGTAATTTCTTGTGTCTGAGGTTGGCCCACCATTACCATCTCCGAAGGCCCTCCCTTCAAAATGTCCTTGCCATAAGATTAACTGTTGTATAGGGGCTTAGTGGAATGAATACTTCTAGGTGCGCCTTAAAGACTTTGAGATATATCCAGCATGGAATTCTGTTCCTTTTCTCTCCCCATGCCCACTCAAATTCAGCTCCACGGGGTCTTCCAGCAGCCACTGGAAGGAGAAGCAGACCCTTTGCGAATGTGTTGACTGTCTTCCTTGGCCTCCGTATGTACAGGGTTAGAAACCAGAGACAAGTATTCTTTCCGTCTTTATCTTCAGACTTCCCGGTCATAATTTTGTGGGCTGACCAAAGTGACAGCCGGTCTGGAGTTGATTTGTGTGATAGCTTCCATCTCAACGGAAGGCTGTCACTTTATAAATGTGCCTCCTAGGCACAACTAGGAAGATTCCTTGCAGTCTTGATAAAATGTGGTGAACATATATGTTAGAAGTATCCCTTGTAAGCAAGGCATGGGTGTATATTGTAAAGTGCCCTGTGATTATGTTACTAATAATTGTGTATTGATTGACAAGCTGACACCTTTAGCAGCTAGCCAGCTCCATCAGGCTCCTCCAGCCTCTGAACTATGCCAGCTGGTCAGTATAGGAGAAGTTGGTGCCTATGTTTTGAATTTTATTTTCCTCTTCCTCCTTGTCCATTTTCCTTTGTGTGTTGTGTATTTATTTATTTATTTATTTATTTATTATATTAGCCTGTAGGTAGGGAGTGTCTTGTTTTGATTTCATGTAAGCTGCTCTGGGAGCATTTTTGGCTGAAGAACAGGGTACAATTACTCTAAATAAAATAATATACTATTGCTTACTAGCATGGCCTCTTCACATGGTCTGTGTCATATGCCAAATTAAGTTTTACTGACTTCATGTAGCTCTCCCAAGTGCCTTTATTGACTCAGTCAATCTGAGGTCGGCTGCAACTTGCCAAGATCAGAATTTAGAAATGTACCCTAAACCTGGATGTTAGATTTCTGACTCATCTACCTTATTGAAGTTTTGATTGATGGTGACAGATAATGTGCAATGGATTTTAATTTCAAAGAGTTCACACCCTCCTGTTTTGGCAAGGCAGCCAAAGCAGCTAAAAATAAAAAAACCAAGTTTAAACTGCAACCAACAAAGCAATAAACAAATGAAAAATGAGAACAGTGAAAGGCGGCAGCAGCAGCAGCAGCAGCACACACGCAACACTAGACCAGCAGGTAAAAATTAATCTGCAGAAAGTGAAAGCAAAAGCAAGAGCACCACAAACCAACAATTTCCACAGGCCAAGCCAAAAGGCAAAATTCTTAACAAATGATGAGGCCAGGTGGATCTTCCTTGATACTTTAGGCATTCATAAAGGCAGATGTCACAGCCAAAAGGCCCTGCTGTGTGTGATCATTTTTTCAGGGTAAAAATGGAAGGTTAGGTGGAAGGGAGACAGGGTGGATAAAAATCAACAAACAAACCCAAAAACCAGATTTTTAAAATTTAAATCACATTTTAAAAAATAAAATGCTTTGGAAGGAAAAATCTTTCAAAAGATAGTTTTCTATTTAAGTTACATTATAGTCCAAATGTTTAAATTTTTTGGTAAATGAATTTTCCAGAGGTTTCTGTAAGATTATTTGGGGCAGTTGTAAATATTAAGATTATACCAGCAAGAATGAGTCTTTCTGTAAAAAAGTCTTACTGACTAGTGATTTAAATTGTGATTTAAATCAATTTGAGTTAAATCAAATCCATCCTGGAGGGAGAATTGACATACATTCAAGACTCTTCAGCTGAAAAAGTCTTCCAAAGTGGCTTACAGTGATTGATAAGAAGGCAGTCTTCTCCCTCAGGCTCACAATCTTAAGACACACAACAAAAGGGAAACAGACTGGAAGGGATAATGAAAAAAGTCAGCTCAGGCACTCGTTCTTAGTTACAGAGGTAAAAATGTAAAGGTAAAGGACCCCTGGACAGTTAAGTCCAGTCAAAGGTGACTATGGGGTTGCGGCACTCATCTCGCTTTCAGGCCGAGGGAGCCAGCGTTTGTCTAGTTCAGGGGTCTGCAACCTAAGGCCCATGGGCCAGCCCATGGACCCCCACCGCCCACTCGGTTGGCTCCCATGCGGCGTGCTAAACCAGAGCACAGCGGGGACTGCCTTCCGCGACGTTTGCCAGCTTCCCATTGGCTGAAGGAAGCTCCTGCAGCCAGTGGGAAGCTGCACATGCCTCCTCCGCACTGGAAATAGTGTTTGCGCATGCACGCACGCACACTCCGGCCCACCGCAGTGTCTGCGGGACCGTGAACCGGCCCAAGCCACAAAAACTTTGCCGACCCCTGGTCTAGTTGCAGAGACCTTGTAGTGAGCAGCAGGAGTGAAACGATTTGGAGAGGACCCAAATGTTTGTGGTCTTGCAGCAGAAGCAATGAGGAGGTCCTGCACTGCTGCTGCCCCATCAGTCTGATGGAATGGAATCTATTGTGCAGTTATGAGATCCTTTTGGAGATCCTTTTGGAACTCTTCACAGTCTGTCTTCATTTTATCACCTCAAACAGTTTGGTATTATCAACGCACTTGGCTGCCTCACTTCTCACCCCTAGCTTTAAGTCCTTTGTGAACAAGTTAAGCACAGCTCTCAGTACTGATCCGTGGGGTCGGGGGGGGGGGGGACTTGGACTCCTTGCCTGCAAAAGTTAGTTAAGGCGCAGCAATCTGCTCTGCATCTTCCGCTGTGAAGACAGATGTAAATAATTCATTCGGCTTTTCTGCAATCTCCTTATCCTTCTTCAGGACTCCGATGTGATCCAAGGGTTAAACTGCTCCCCCACCCAAAAAAGTGGGCCAGTAGGAGAGAATAATAAGAGGTGTTTTTGTTTGTTTTTGTTTTTTAGTGTTTCCCCAAATTTCCAGGTTTTCCTTGGGGAATAATTGAAATAATCCTCAGGAAAATTCAAGAAAACTTTTCCCCATTTTAAAATTTGTGTTTTCCCCCTTCTGGGCCCTTCACATCTCACCTTCTGCAGAGACTGGCTTTGCTGTCTTTAAAATGACAGAAAATGAAAAACTCGGCACCTTGTCTCTTCCAGCATCAGGCTGCCCCGTCCCTCCAGACTCTTGAATCTTGGCTTTTTCAGAAGGCAAATAAGTGGACAGTAAGACCCTGGTTATTGTTGGCTTTTGGTATTGAGTGATCTAAGGCCATGTGCGTACTAAAACTTTGTACAGCACCTCATTATTTTAGGCACTTCGTGTAGCAAATGGTATTTATTTCCACTTGAGTCAGTGGTGTTCTGATCCTTTCAAGCTGGAGCCTCTTGTGTGGATAAGCCCACATCTGGTGTTTGGAGTGACTAGGAAGGGCCTGGCGTAGATGTGGGGGGGGGTGACCTTGCGCTTGGGGGCAATGTGCCAAGTGATCCTTTTGCTAGCGGTGGCTCCAGAGACGGGGCTCTTGTAGCAGACCCTCGCCCAGGACAGGCAACCTTGGAGAGGTGCAGGGTGCATGTGAGCAGGGCTTTGGCGGTCGGTGCATCCTTCTCTGCTGCATTTTTGGGTGGTCCGAGATGCCGTCCTCTTGCTCTGGAGCTAGCACGCTTTTGTGGCAGGGTTGTGATTTGTCTACAGCTGGTCTGGTTTGGTTCCCACCTATCCTAGTATTGGCATTAGCTGGTTTTGTTCTCCCACCATATGGAATTGTCTTAAAAAGAAGATGACTCAGTGGCAGAGCTTTTTCCTGCCATGAAAGAAAATCCAGTTGTAAAAAGCCTTTCACTATTTTATATCACTCTGCCAGATTGAAATTTCTCTCTCTCTTTGTCTCCTGTAGAGACTATTATATTTTGATAATAAAATTCCTGCTATGTGAGACAGAGAAGTCGTGTCATCTTGCTCAGTAAAAATGGTTGCATGCCTTTCGCATAGCCAAAGGTTGAAATATTGCTCCTGCTGGACAGCTTCTAGTCTTGAGGCAATTCTGAGCTGGGATGGCTATTGTCAAGCTGGAGTTCCTGGGCAGCCCTTTGGCTCAAGTGAGCATGCAGGAGGGAAGGGAAATTCCTCAAATGAAGGAAAATGTGGTTAAGACAAAACAAAAAATTGCAATCAAACCTCGGTTGTCGAACGGAATCTGTTCCAGAAGCCTGTTTGGCTTCTGAAAGGTTTGACAACTGAGGTGCGGCTTCCGATTGGCTGCAGGAGCTTCCTGCACTCAATCGGAAGCTTCATCGGATGTTTGGTTTCCAAAAAACATTTGAAAACCAGAACACGTCTGAGTTTTCGGTGTTATTTGACTGTATATGGAGAAAGCAGAGGGCAAGAGGAGGCCTGTGGCCACCTGCAGTGCATCAAGAGATGTGCTGTTTGTGGGCACTTCTCAGTGCCTTGCTCCAACTCCCCTCTGCCCTCTGTCTTTGCATCTCCAAAGAGAAGGCATGCCAGTTCTGGATAAGAGAGCCCCAGTTAGCTACTGCCTTGGCCAGTGCACTCAAGTAAATCTCAAGGTTTTAGCTTATCCGTTCTTCACATGGGGACACACTGAGCATACCACAGGCACTGTTGGGTCCCTCACTTCATAGGTCTTTCCCTAGTCTGCCGTGGAGCTAAGAAACTTGGCTCCTGTGTATGTAGCTGAAACTCTGGGGCTGCCGTGCTATCCAGTGGGGTTGGCACCAGTTAAGGAATGTTGGGTGAGTCAGCCACACATTCTTGCCGACTGCCTTGCCTCTCTGTCCTCCCCTCTTGCTCCACCCTCCAGCTCTTGGGAACTCTGTGGCTGAGTTAGGAAGAAGGCAGCCTGGCTACTGAGGCAGTAAGATCAGCAGATGCCACACAGTCTTCCAGCCATTGACATGGGCTGCCTTTTTGCCTCATCTCTCTGCCCACTTTGCCATAGTTACAGCAGGCGGGTTTTTGCATCTGGCAGGCCTACAATAGCTGCTCAGCTCCCCCTGCAAATCTGTGGTCAACCCTTTGCCTGTGTGGATTTCTCAAAGGGCTTTGGCTCAGGGAGTTCCTCAGGTTTAGGATACTAAACAAGCCACACTGGCATACTGCACAGGCCTCCTGAAGAATCCTATTGCTCAAATCTTCATATGGACCAAGAGTAGTGTAGAAATAGGAAAGTTTTGCCAGGGGGGTAATGGAAAAATTGAACCCCTCCCCCCCCAAAAAAAAACATTCTTCTGGGTTTTTTCCAGGCGTTGACATTTCGAGAGTGATGTGTGAGCAACCACACCCATTGTAAAGGGTGTAAAAATCCACTTGTCAGGTGACTAAGCCCAGTGTACCCACCCTTCTGCTTCCCAGACTTCCCAGTTTCTCATGACTGAATGCCATGATCAATGATTACCTGCAACCACTGTGGGCTTTTATGTTTTGCCCTTGTGTGCATTTAGGTGGCTGCCATGTGGTTCTTGATTGCCTGAATCTGCCCCTATTTCTACTGGCTGAAGCCCTGTTTTCACATCCGTCGGTGCCTGAAGGGCGACCCCTCCGTGTGGGGTTGCCAGCCATGGGGGCCAGCCCAGCTGCTTGGGGTCAGTGGCAGGGCTGTCGCACAGGCTTGCTCATCTCTCTTTCTGTTGTTGCAGAGTGGAAACAGCTTCCATGTCTTCGACCAAGGCCAGTTTGCCAAGGAAGTCCTTCCTAAATACTTCAAACACAACAACATGGCCAGCTTTGTCCGACAGCTGAACATGTGTAAGTATATTCTCTGTTTGGTGCACAGTTTGTGCGCTTGACTTCAGAAGTCTCTTGTGAACACGAGGGGCTTGCCTGAAGGTAGGGTTAGGGCACCTTGGAAGTTTGTCAGAACATGAGCTGCACCGTGCAGGACTTGTGGGCAAAAGTGCTGGGGCTTCTCAGACTGGCCTAGTAGCTTCTTCAGGTGTACTGAAGAAAAGAGCGACGTCCTCTTCTGCCGTACAGCGGATCATCTTGGCACAATTAGGTTAGGATCAAATGTTTGGCACTGTTAACATAGAATTGGCATTGTCTACGAAAAGTGTCTGGGTTAAAGAAAAGGTTGAGTACCAGGCCTGCAAGCTGGACTACAAGGGGCCTGTCACGGAGGAGCTTGTGCCTCCTTACATGGGACTCAAACAGGAGGTAGAAGGTTCATGGAGAATATGTCTGTGAGCAGCTAATGGCTCTAAATGTGAAAAACGAGAACTCCATCTTCAAAGAGGGCGTATTCTGAGTTCTAAACAGGAACGTCCATCACTGCTTGTGGCCAGCCAGGTGCCTCAGGGGGGACAAGTTTGGACTAGGTGAACCGTGCTCTGCTCTAGCAAGGCAATTTGTGTTTCCTCCTCCTGGAACACCTGCCTTGCATTTTGGGAGCTGAGATCATTCGCTGATGTGCTATTTTGTATGATTCACTTTGGAAAGTTGGCTCAGGAAAATGACAGCATTAAGCAACCTGCAGACTCAGCAGATACTACTTTCTGGTTCTGATGCTGGGGGAAAGCAAAGTCTTGGAGTTGGGAGGTCCAGTTGCCCTACAGGCTTACGCTGCATGTGAAATACAGGCTGGCTTCTCCAGCATTCCCCTGACCTTCTTGCCAACCTGCTCTGCTCCTTTGCCTTCCAGATGGCTTCCGGAAAGTAATCCACATCGAGCAGGGCGGTCTGGTGAAGCCTGAGAAGGATGACACTGAATTCCAGCACCACTACTTCCTCCGCGGCCAAGAGCATCTCCTGGAGAACATCAAGAGGAAAGTAACCAATGTGAGTCCTTTGTAACAGTCGCTGGCCCAGATTCAAAGGAGCTTTTGAGGAACTGATGGAACGGGATGGAAACAGCACTGTTTCTTTCAGCCATTACATGCCTTGGTGCTTCAGGATAGTGCAGAGAGCAGATTTCTGCTTCTTCTTTCTCAGTGTTTTTGGCTTTTGCCTTGTCTTGTCTGAACTTTGGTTCAGATCACCCAATTTGAGGTGGCCTGTGATAGGCACCTGGGTGGGTGGGTGAGTGTGTGCGCATGCATAAGTGAGCTCACAGAAGAATATGAACTTGCCAACGCGCCACCTCCTCCTGTGTGCTTCTGTGTATGGCAGGAGGCCCTGGCAATCTCTCCTCTTGTTGAACTTTTCTTTTTGCACTGCTTGCCTTGCTGAGCAGCCTGGAAGTCCCTGGCTCAGCTGAAGCCATCCTGTAGGCTAGGATGTCTTGCATATCATGTCACGTTAATCAGTGCACCTCTCTTGCATTGAGAATGCTCCCTAAATAAGCCTGTCTGTAAATTCTACAGTCTGTTGGCTGTCCTCATGTCTCTTCGGTCTCTGCTTATCTGTAGTGCTGCTTGTTCATGTAAACTGTTCACCAGAAGCAACAAACCGTGTTCCCAAAATTGTTTCATGAAAGCAGCAATAGCTTTCTCTCTGAAATTGAGATTAGCGGTTCTCCTAACTGAGGAGAAGGCAGAAGCTACACAGAACCCTTACCTATGTGCCCCTGTTTCCATACTCTCACTGCCCTGCCCCCCACTGTTCAAACTTGCTTGTTTCTGTTACTTCCCTGAGCCATACCCCCTGAGCCATGCTTGAGGGTGTTTTTTTAACAGTCAAATGTGTGTGTGTGTGTAAAATTGCAGTACACACACACACAGAGAGAGAGAGAGAGAGAGAGAGAGAGAGAGAGAGAGCGCTAGAAAATTCAGAAGCACATCATTCTTTCATGCAGTAGCCAAGGTTGGATAGCGGAGTGGCAGTGCATGCTGGGAAGCACAATCAAATAAAATTACACTTCAGTGAACTGTGTGCTTGCCTTCTTTGCTGGCAAATGGGTGATCCTACCACTTTTTGAGATGGGCTCAGGAACCACCTTTGCCAAGGCGTGCAGTTTATATGGCATTGGTCTTCAGCAGCTTTGTTGACTCTGACTGCAGCTCTCTTTGAGAAGAGGCAGTGCACACTCTGCCTGTGATGCTCAGCCAGCTATTTTGTCGTTTGGAAGCCATGAAGAGCCATAAGTAAGAAATCTTCCTCTGCCTGCAGGTATCTGGCATAAAGAATGAAGATATCAAGGTTCGCCAGGACAGCGTGACAAAGATACTGACTGATGTCCAGGCAATGAAGGGCAAGCAGGAGAGCATGGACTCCAAACTGATAGCCATGAAGCAGTATGTACAATGCAAGGGGCAGGGGGGAAAGGGTATTCTGGGTTTGGGAGGGGGAGTCTACCTTGCTCTGTGTTCTAGCACCCTCTGCTGGCAGGTAGCATACTATGATAACCTCCTGATTGCTGCAGGAATTGAACTCACTCCTTAGCAAACTTTCTTGCCCGGTGATGGACTGCCGTGTTTTTGTCTTCAATTCTCTCACCCAGCATGTTGAATTTTCAATGCTAACGTCTCTTCCATCTAGGGTGGTGTATCACCCATTAGCCGCCAGGGTAGCGTTAATAATAGCAAAGCAACTATTGATGCACCCATAGCACAGTTAAAATGACAAGCGGCAACCACAGTTGTTAAACTAGTTAGCAGCCCTTCTGACATGTCCTTGCTGTGTAACTTGCAGCACTTTACCATGTGGACTTTGCCCCGTTATTGATCAGTTTTCCTCTTGTATGGTAGTGCCCTTGTTAAGAGAAGAATAAATACCAATTTTTAAAAATTACATCGGCAGCTAAGATTATTTTTTTTTACAAATTAAACTCCTGGTGGAACACTGCTGCTTTATTTTGGCACTGACGGATAGAGGCACAGGCTGGTTCCAGCTTGGGAAAGGCCTTCTTTTAGACCGCCATAGTTGGGAAGGGCAGGGGAAAGGCATCTGCACTCAGCATGTCCTGCTTGTGGGCTTCTGCTTTCTGTTTGGCCACTGCGAGAACAGGATGTGGGACAAGATGAGGAGCCCTTATCCAGCCCCAGGCCTCGTACGCTCTCCACTTGGAGTTTACAGAGCAGGGAGTTTCTTGCCTGTGTGCGACAATTGCTTAACATTTGCTTATCCCAGGCTATTGAGGACTTGAAAAATTTGCCTTGCCTTCTCTCCAGGCACAGGTGGAAGGTGAGGCATGCAGTGAGCTGCTGGTGGTTGGCAGTTTGCATTCTGGCTCAGTTGTAGGGGAGACCCAGGAAGGAGTGTCTGACGTGTTCCCTTGGGGAGTGAAGCCTCGAAAGGAGGGCTTAGCTTGCACCAGAATTCCCCAGAGCACCTTTTCCTGCACCCACACGTTTGAGAACTTAAAGGAAAGAGTTCTGGAGCCCAGGGGACATTTCTTTAGGCTGGTTTGATGGCCAGCACTCCGTTCAGCAATGAAGCCCCGCTGTAAATCATCTGCAGCTGCAGAGGATGGCTCATATCGGTGGGTGGGGGCATGAAGGCAAAGGCTTGCAAATCCCACTTTTCCTGGAAGATTAGTCAGTGGCTTGAAGCAGCAACCCCTTCCTGTTTTATGGCTGCTGTGGTGCCCCTCCTGGCAGCTTTGGGCCCAGCTGTTCTCTTGCCAGGACAGGAACCCTGATCCCTCCAGCCATGAACAGCTTGACTCCTCGCCCATGGAATGTGGAGCTTGATGACCACTCGGTCTCTTGAGTCATCCAGTCTTGCGGCTTTCTGGCGGGCCTTTTGCCATTCTGAATAGTTGCTGGCCAAGGTCAGGTTTTGCCAAGCTGCTTGAAACCGCTTACAGAAGGGAGGGTATTCCAGGCCGACTTGTTGCCTGGCTGTGCCCTAGAGGTCCTCTTCAAGCCCAGAGACCAGGCCTGCATGCTTCTTGCCTGCCCACAGCGGTGCTGCTCGGGGTCATAGTGTGGTGAAGCTTGGCCTCCCTGTTTTGGTTAGACTGTGACGTCTGGGAATTAAAGGCTTCAGTACCACCTCCCTATCTGGCAGAAGAAAGAAGCCCAATGGTGCCTTTTCGGAACCTCATTCTCCTTGGTGTAGACCCAGGGGTGATTCAGCTCCACGGTGATTTTGTTACTGCTCCACCAAGACTCTGCCAATTTTGACAATAACTGCAAAAAAGGGAAAACAATATTTCAAAGTAAACGCAGTGCTGGGTTTGGCAACTTGCCTCCTCCCCTCATCATCAGTTTGAGGCTGTGATGAGTGGGCAAGGGAAGAGGGGAGTGAGTTGCCAAACCCCTTCTCATCTGTGCAGGAGGGACAGTGTGTGTGCTGGTGTGTTTCTGCCGCGTGTGTCTTGTTTGTATATGGTCCTCATGTAGACAAGGAAATGGCTGACTTAAGAGATCAAAAAGCTGAGGGGGTGCTTTCTGCTGTCCGTAGAGGGCACAAAGCCTACTTGCTTAAGCATAAGCTCTGACGTTCTTGAGGAGCCAGTAGTGTGAAGGTTTGTTAGCTGTGCTTCATCTTGGTCCTCCCCTCTGGCCAATCCAGGGTTGTAGCAAACTCTCACGGGCCCCAAAGAGACAAGCCTTCCCAGGGCAGCTTCCTGGGCTGATTATTCTTAGCTTCTGCAGGGCATGCAGAACTACTGACCGCTACTGTGGCCTGCTGGGAGCACCTTGTTCTCACTGTGCAAAATCAAAGTGCCCCAGAAGAAGGGAGGGATAAGGACAATACCTACAGTGGCCTTCTTGAGTTTAGTGATCCCGAACTTGAAGGGTCTAAACACAAGATCCACATAGGAAGATTGGCCCTCTTTTTCATTAAAGTATTGTAACACCATCAGTGTACATGGCACCTCAAGGAGTACAAAACAGAAGACTGATCCCTCATTAGCCCCCCCCCCCTTAAAAATACCACTCAGTCTTTGGTTGGGAGGTAAGGGAGAGGCTGGCCTAATGTGGGGTGGATGTGAGCAAGTCCACCTGCACATAGCTGGCCTTCATTTTGGTTGGGGAAATTGGTAGGCCCATGTTTTGGCATGCATCCAAAGAGCTTAGGTGCTGCATCCGACCAGTGGGCCCTCTGGGGAGCCCACAAGCAGGACATGAGCATAAGAGCACTCTGATGTTTCTCAGCATGTGGCATTTAAAGCGCTGGGTGTAAAAAAAAGGGGGGGGGAGATCTGAAGGAATAAAGTGTTTGTAGTGAAAGGTTGGATGGGTAAATGCAAGAGGCCATTTTGGCTCAGGGGGGCTTTTAGAGCCCTGGCTTCGAATCCTGCCCTGACTGCGAAAGGGAATGTTTTTATTGTCTGCCTCCCTTGCACTCTTGTAAAGGCCGATGGGCCTGCACCTTGTGGTGCATAGTGCTGTTTGGAGATGTTAATGTTTAATAACTAGCCAGTCCCTCCAAAGCCAGAACAACACTTAGGGGGCTGCTGTGGGGAAGGCAGGTGGGCTTTGGGGGCCCAAGCTTGGCAGTGCTTTGCTTTGGAAAATCTCCCTCTCGGCCTTTGAGAGCATCAGCTTCCGCTGGCCTCTCTTTCCCCTTCCTATGTTTTCATTTGTTTTCAATCCCTAACCACCTCCTAAAAATGGAATCTGTGAGCCAGAAGCTTCCTTTCAGGGATTTTTTTTTTAAGTTTGGAGCGGTTGTGGTTTTGAACCTGATAGCTGCCTTTTAAAAGCTGCTGTTGGCTCTTTTATCACGAGACGTGTAGCTCCTGAGCTTGATGTCTCCTAGGTGAGCCTAGCAAACGCTTCCTGGGGGTTTGGGAAGCCAGACTCATGTCAAATGCAGGACTAATGGCCTTAGGCCTGGTTCCAGATCCCACATCCAGCTGGGCTGAGGCTGAGGGTGGTGAGGGAAATGGCACCAGGTGAGTCGCGTGCGCTCTGCTTTGGTCCTCTTGGCTGTGGAACCATCCTTGCAGTGGTGGAGCAGCACCTGACACTCAAAGTACGGCATCGGGGTGGGGCATTTCTGGTGACTCTCAAGATGCTGCTGGACTCTGACTCCCAGCATGCTCCCTGGCAGTTGGCCAGGCTGACCGGGACCAGTGGGGTGGCTTGGAGCCAATCAGCGTTTAGAGGGCAGCTATGGACATTAACCCATTTATTCTGGCCTTTAGTGGAAAGTAAATCCACATATCACTACAATTATGCAACATGTTTATGGCCTGCCTGGAAATTGCTAGTTAGTGTATGACTGTTTTGCTTGTTAGCTTGATTTAAATGGTATCATTTATGTTATTGTAACCAGCCCTGGGGTCTCCTGCTGAGGGGTGGGGTGGTGATAACAACAACAACAACAACAACAGACTTTACCAAACTTCCAGTATAGGAGTCAGGGTGGATTTCATTTAAATCAGATCGATTTAAATCACTAGTCAGTAAGACTTGATTTAAATAATTTTTTTACAGAAAGACTCATTCTTGCTGGAATAATCTTAACATTTACAACCAGATGAAGGCTTCATTTTTGGAATACTAAATTTTCAGAGTAGTTTTTGCAGTTATATCAAAAATCACTGCTTTGGTTATACTACTAGAAATACATAGACAGATAATTATGAAATTATTGTGAGGTTTAATAAGTTAACTGTGAACGCTTATTACTTGACTGGCAAGCACTTCAAGGTCTCGCCAAAGACTTAACAGTTTTAGTAAGTTAACTTTATATTTGGACAACTTTTCTACTGTACTTTATTGGAAAGAGAAAAATAATCATTTCCTTAATAACAATTTAAACAATTTATTTAACTAAAACAATAGCATTATAGCATATGTATCCATGTTTGTTAACTGATCTGGTTAAACAATTTTTCTAAAAAAAGAAAGACTGAGTTTTAGCACACATGAAAAACTTAAAACAAATCCTTAATTCCTGATGAATAGCCTTTGGACTATATTGTAACTTCAATAGAAAAATATCTTTAGAAATATTTTTCCTCCAAAAGCATTTTATTTTAAAAATCCAATTTAAATCAAAAAATCCGATTTTTTTGAAACTTTTTTTTAATCATTGATTTTTATCCACCCTGATAGGAGTATTGGGGGGGGGGGATAACAAAAGAAAGGGTGCAGATCGTTTTAAATATGATAGCTTTGATAAGTTCACCACAAAGGTAGCGAGGTTGGGGAAGGTGAAATCCGCCGGTCCTGCCGCTCTCTCTCTCTCTGGTCTCTGAATCCTCGCAGGCCTTTCTTTCCAAGCCGGAAAGCGAGGCAGGAGGGCTCTGGTTGGTCTTGCTGCAGTGTCTCCTCCGTGAGCCTAATTCTAAACAGATTTCTGGGAGCGGGGGCCGAGCGGGGTGAGTGCACCTGTGTTTACCGGGGCCTTCCCCCAGCCGCCTTTGGGGGCTCCGTTTAGCTTGGCTCGGCATGTCGAAGGCCTGCCGCAGGGACGCCGCAAGTACTTCCTCCTGGCCAGACTGCGTTTACAAGGCCCTGCCGTTTTTACAAGGCCCCCGTCGCCCACAGAACGAGGAGGTTTAAAATTTCTCTTGGTAAAAATAAATCCGAGCAGACACCCTTATCTGGCCTTCTGCCGCCACCATCCTCTTCTTCCCTGCAACGGAATTAGTTTCCCTGATGCGGCACCTCTCCTCATCCTCCTCTCCCTCCCGCTAAATCATACCAAATAATAATTCTGACCTGTGTTGCTCTCTTTATGGTTCCAAAAGCAACAATATATATTATCCTTCTGACACTCACCAGAGGGGATATTTTTTGCGCTGGAACATTTGCAGAAAAGATTGTGTCTGTCAGTAACGGGCTGCAGAAAAGCTGAGCTTGGGCCTAATGGAGCCAGAGAAGGGATGGCCAAGCTGGAGCCGCCAGCCGCCTCGGAAATGCCTCATTAGAGGAAGCTGCCGGCCTGCAGGGACCCGGGGCCCGAAAGCAGCCTTGGCTAGCCGTGGACAAGCAGGAAAAGGAAAAAGGTCTAGGCTGGGAGCGGTGGCGTGAGGGTTCGCTGCTTCTCCCGACTCTCCTGCTTGTAGATTGTGTCCTGATTGTTGGTTTAAGCCGGTGCTTCCCAAGCGTTTTGCTTCGGGGGCCCTGCCCTCTCGGTTCAATCAGCTCATTCCCAGTGCCCCCTACTGTATAAAAAGCGTTATTCAGATCAGCGGTTTGCACAGCCCACTAAGGAACATAACGGCGCAATAACATTCAAAACAGTAACAATGAATTGCACATTTATTCCAAACCCAATTAACACTGTGTAATTAAATTAATTCAATTAACTTGATCTAGTGATACCAGCTTTTCAAAGTCCGATAGCTGCTTCCCCACTTCTGCCCCCTCACCTCTTAGCACCTCCCTGGGTACTCACCCCCAGGGGGCGCTACCACCCACTTTGGGAACCACTGGTTTAAGTGGGAGATAGAAGGGGATCCCGGGGGAAATCTCCCCCCTCCCCCCATGTGTGCGCACGCATGCACTACTCAGTGGGTTGGATCAAGTTTCCAGCTGCCAATTTCACCAATTTTCAAGACAAGCCTTTTGAAAAGGAGGCTTGGCCTGGCCTTTGCCAGGATCAGCAGCTAGCATCTTGAGTTGCCCGGTTCCCTCCTTTAAGACTCCCCCCCCCCGCCTGCTGCCCCCCAGGGCAAGGAAGGAGGCTTCCCTGCCGCCACTCTGACGTGTGCTGTGTTGAGAGGAGGCCAATACCCTGCCTATGCAGCTGGCTGAGGTTTGGGAATGAGACATCACTTGCAAGGCCTGGACAAGGGGAAGAAGAATCGCTGTAAATCTCAGGGAAGGGAAATAAATGCCTTGCTTCCATTAAGGAGGTGCAGGAGACTGGAGCGCTGGCGTGGAGGAGGCTCCCTGGCCTCTTCCTTTCCAGCTGTCTCCTATTAAGTAGGCTTCATCCTTAAGAAAACCAGAGTGATGGCAAGGTGGCCTCCTGCCTCTCTGACGGTGACCCCGGACCCCTTGTGCATAGAGGGTCAGAGCTTGTGTGGCTCCAGCCTAGCCTAGCCAAGGAAGGTGGCTGGTCAGTTTTCTTCTTCCCTCTGCCCCCTGGCCCATGTTTCCAGGTTCAGCCTTGCCTTGTCAACAGCTCCAATTAGCTGGAGCATCTGAGGGGTGCATATTGAAGGCAGGTGAAACTTTCTGAATGTTGGAAGATTCTTCATTCAGCGCAAACTGTGGAATGCCTTTGCCGAGGAGTCATTGGTGGCCACCAACCCGGATGGCTTTGAAAGAGGATTAGGCAAATTCATGAAGGAGAGGGTTGTAGAAGGCATGATGGCTCTTCTGTGCCACCAGGGTCAGAGGCAGCAATCCTTTAAATCTCAGTTGCTGGAGGTGGGGAGAGGGCTCTTCTGCTTGGGTCCTTTGGACTTTCCACGGGGGCATCTGGCTGACCACTGAGAGCAGGTTACTAGACTGGTTGGCCACTGGCCTGATCCAGCAGGTTCTTCTCATGTTCTTTCTCGTCCAGCTCCAGCCCTCCACTTCCTCCTTGTGGGGCTGGTGGGGAAGCTGCTTCTGCTCCATCTTCTGGGCTTCAGGTGTCCTAAGCCACGACCAGTGTTCTTGAACCCCAGGTGTTGGGCCGCAACTCCCACCATCCCCAGGCAGCTTAGCCGCTGGTCAGGAGTGATGGGAGCGGTGGGGTGACTCCGCAGCCTGTCTGGAGGGCTGGTCTCCCCCCTGCACCCACACACACAGTGTGCACGGCCCTCTCCGCCTTGCTGACTTTAACGACTCCAGTCTTCTGGCTGATCCTGCCTGAGGCAGAGACGCTGGGCCAGGCTTTTATGACCTCTACATTAGACGGTTGTAATGTGGTGTGTTACTGCCTCTCTGTGCGAGATGCTGCATGGATTCCAGCTGTTCTGGCGAGTTGCACCGCAGCCCCTGCTTGTCACGGGGGACTTTGCTGGCCCGCAGTCAACCGTCAGCTTCGTCTCAGAATTGCTTTGATGGGCTCCGAGCAAGACACTCGTTGTGAACTCTCTCGCTCTGCGTCTGTCTTTTTTCCTTCTCCTTTCTTCCTCCTTGCGCACAGCTGCGCTTTGGGCTTAGTCACTGCTTGAGATCATCTGAAGCTGGTTTTACTGGCCACGGTGTTCCATGAGGTTAAGGACTGCTGGAGTCGTAGTTTATGGCGGGCTCAGATGTGTGAGCCGCTGCCAGCTGCGGCCTGAGGCCGTGCCAGGAAAACCTGTGCTTCTGACTGCAGGCTTGCTGCTTTGCGTGCCGAGGCACCTTGTCCTGCGCCTAAAGTGGCCTCTCAACAGGCACCCACCACTTGCCCCAGGGGAGGGTGCTGGGGGAGGGCTGGGAAAAGTACCGAGAGGAGGGGCTCCATCTCTTCAGAGACATGGTGTTCAGCCTGTTCTGGCTGTGATCAGGTTTTGTAGCGGGGGGGGGCGCTACTCCTGGCAAGGGGACACTTTCATCATCTTGGGCTGGTGGCAGGAAAAACCTGGGCACAGTTATATATGAAGTGTCAGGGCCCACCTTAAAGGTAAAGGGTAAAGGGACCCCTGACCATTAGGTCCAGTCGTGGCCAACTCTGGGGTTGTGGCACTCATCTCGCTTTATTGGCCGAGGGAGCCGGCGTACAGCTTCCGGGTCATGTGGCCAGCATGACTAAGCCACTTCTGGTGAACCAGAGCAGCGCACGGAAACGCTGTTTACCTTCCTGCCAGAGTGGTATCTATTTATCTACTTGCACTTTGATGTGCTTTCAAACTGCTAGGTTGGCAGGAGCAGGGACCGAGCAATGGGAGCTCACCCCGTTGCGGGGATTCGAACCGCCAACCTTCTGATCAGCAAGTCCTAGGCTCTGTGGTTTAACCCACAGCGCCACCCTCGTCCCTATCCCACCTTTAAAGCCCCATGCAATTTAGCAGCACCATGTCACCCACAGTACCCCAATCTGAGGTGGGTGGCGACTATTGAGACAGTTTTGCAGTGGTGGCCCCATTATTGTGGCATTCCCTCCCTGTATGGACTTGCCAACCTTGTTGTCATTTCAGCACCAAAGACATTTTAATTCTCCCAGACCTCTGTGTGTATTGTGTGTGTGTGTGTTTAATTCGTTGTTTTGTATAGCCCATCAGATTTCTGAAAAACAGAAAAAACTGCCGGCCTTGCAGAGCTTGTGGTCTGCGGTCTGGGATTTTTGTTTCCCTACTGTGGACAGGCAAGCTTTGACCCTGTGCAGCCATTGCCCAGTTCTGTTTGATTCTGGAGAAGGGAGCAGCTTTGCATCCCGCAAAGTGAAGAGGCAGCAGGCTCAAGCCAGCAACAAGCCCACCCCTCAAACAAGATGGCTGCGTCTCCCTCCTTCCTTGGCTGCCTCTACTTGGGCACCTGCTGTCATCGCCCTTGCCATTTATTTTTTATTTTTTATTTTTTGGAAGACTCGCCTTTCCCTTCCTCCCAAATTCCTGCCAGCAGCCACGTGATGAAGTTGCTGTCTGGCTTCCTCCAGGCCTTTGAGAAGGCCTGTCTGCAGGTGCGGCAAGCCCCTCTCTGCTCTTTCTGAGTCGTACCATCCATCCTGGCTCCCTTTGATGTTTAAACATGGGAGAGGGAGAGGGCAGAGGGCTCAGCAGTGCCGTGCTGGGACCCTCGGTTGATGGCCTCATCTCCCAGCGCTGTAATGACCAAATGGGAGGGGGCTCCTTTCAGAATCCTGTTAAAATAGTTCCCCTGAGGATTTTAATTCTGAACTGCAGGCGCAACCCACCCACTGCACCCCTGGTTTTCCCGCCACATGGTATGCCTCTCATCGTAATGACTTGCGAGGGTCTGTAACACCCCAGTCCCAAGGCAGGTCCCCAAGTGCCCTGGTGCAAGGGCCTTTTGTTTAAAGACTCTGGCCAAGGGAATGTGTGGATGGAGAAGCTCCTTCTCTCCTTTCTTGGAAGGAGTGGGGTGAACCCACACTATACAAATAATTATTTATTATTTATACCCTGCCCATCTGGATGGGTTTCCCCAGCCACTCTGCAAAGGAGTTGGTGCAGCCGGTGGTTGCCTGTTCAGTTTCTCATAAGCAGGTGCCTTCTGGTTTAACTTTTAAATGTCTACTGAAAACTCCTATTCCCCCAGGCCTATGCAGGCAATTAAGAATACATTTCCCTGCAATGGTTTATTGATGTCTGTTTATAACCTTTTTTAAAAAAGCATGTTTTTACTGCATGGTTTTATACATTTTTGTTGCAAATTGCTTTGATTTTTTCAAATGAAATAGCGTTCTATAAATATTTTTATAAACAAAAAGTGTTTTCCCACCCTGCAGAGAATAAGTCCTGGGATCACAAACACCCACCTTCTAATTGAGAACAACCTTTCATTCCTTCTGCAAAGGACCCCTTTGGAGACCCCACCTTAGGACAATGAGGGTGACCAGCAGACGCCTTTCTTTAGCACATCCCCAGAGCTGCTTGCGAGCAGAGAATGGGTCTTCTGCACTCAGGAAATACCAGGGCAAAGTAGGGGGTGCCTGTGGGAAGGAAATGCTGATCAGAGTGTTGGGTGCAACTGAGGCTGTGGAAGGAGTCAGCAGTCGCTTGCTGCCTTAAGCAGAGCAATTTTGTGTGCATTTGTGAGCACCTTTCCTAGGGCGGCTCCAGGAAAGCCCAGGGGCTGTCCATCCTCTGCAGAAAGATCTGGAACCCATGTGATGCAGAGTTTTGGCCGAGCTTGGACATGATGCTCACCAGGTGACCCTGAGCTGGCTCCCCAATCCCCATGTGAGCCATATATAAGGCATAGGGTGCCGTTTCTGCCACCCACCCACCCGGTGCACCGCCTCCCATCATCAGCAGAGCAAAGGGACAGTCTTCTTCCTCCTCTAGCGGCCTCATAGTTTTTAGGAGAGCATGCAGAGGGGCGGTGATCTCCAGAAGGCCTGCAAAGAGTTAACAGCCCTTTTTTTGAGTGGGAGGAGGGAAACTCAAAGACTTTCCTTCGCACACTGTTTTATAGAGCAATTAAATGGCGGTGAAGAGTTTATATGGGCCAACTTCAAAGGTTTCATTTCAGGGGTTATGAAAAGATCTTAGGAGTGTTTTATTTATCCAATTTTGTACCAGAATGACATAAACTCTTACCCTCTGCCCACCTGCCTCTCTTAAAACTCCCCCTCCCCGCCCCCAGGGGAGGGCCAGAGTCCCGGCTCCCAGGCCTGCCTTTCCACATCCTCCCCCAAGCAGTTTGTAAAGTGAGGAGGCAGGTGGGACTCAACATCTGACCCAGGATCCGACCGCCCTGATCCTGAGAGGCCGCGAGGGCCTACCTTTGTATTTGCAAGCACAGTTTGTGGGGAGGGGGCTTTTAGTGACAAATGAACCTCGGTAGTCTCTGTCTTTGATGAGAGACTGCAGCTACATCACCGCCAGCACCTAGCTGAGATTCCTTCATTGCAGGGGATTGGATTGGACTGGACCAGACAACCTTGAAGGTCCCTTCCAACTCTACAATTCTATCCAAAGTCACAATAAATTTTACGCTAGGTTTGAGAGTTTCTAGGCCCTCTTGTTCCTGAAGATCCTCAGGAGACGTCCTGCTTCCAGTTCTGCCTTGCTAATGCGTGAAATAGGGAAGGGTGTGAAATGGGGTCTTCCCAGTTTGGGGTACTTCCCTAAGAAAACCTGCCGGAAATTATGGTCAGGGTTTTCCAAAGACACTGCTAGGACACCCCTCCTGGGCCAGACCCGGGTCCTCTAGCTCAGCATCCCGGTTCCACCAGCCGCCACCCAGATGTGCCTGGGGAGCCCGCAAGCAGAGGCATGAAACAGCCGCCTTCCCCTGATGTTCCCCCACCCCAGTCACTGCCTTGCTACCCCTGAAGGGAGAGGCTCCTTTAGCTGTGGTGGTGAATAGCTGCCCACCGACCTGCCTCCCTCAAATTTGTTTCACTTGGTGGACCACCCACCCGCGTGCCTGTATGAAAAGCGCTGGGTCTCTGCGCGTTTCTGCTGCTTTTTATTGCTTGCCTGCATTCTGGGTCGTTAATTGCTTTTGCAAATTTTGTGATGCTTGCTTTTACACGGCTAGCTGCTGCAAGCTGCTTTGATGTTAAAAGTGTGATGCAAATGAAGGGCAGTATAGGAATTTAATAAATAGTAGTAATAATAACAATTTTAAAAGTAAATGAAGCTTCCAGTATGTCTAGCCCAGGATAAAAATGGGCACGTATATTTTTCAAATATAAATAGTGGAAGTATATAAAAAAACACTGTTTCCCATCTTTCTCAGTCACTGTGCTGCAGCCTTCTCTGTCTTCACCAGGCCATTTTCAGCTGCAGTCCTGAGCCATCCCCCTTTCAGTCCCCAGTCCTCTGATCCGTGAAATAATATTTCCACAGTCCCTTTGGAGTACAACCTGGAGACTTGCGTGGAGGGGGAAGAGTGGGCAGGAGGGCAGCACTAGCTCAGGTGGGGCAAGGGTCCTTTGTCGGGCCACTGGCTGGAGGAGCGAGGCCCTGTGCCATCCTGCCCACCCCACACCTGAAGTGCCCAGCCGCTTCCACATCCCACCTGGGCATTGGGCACCAGCATGAAGCAGCCCCCTCCCTAACTCTTTGCTTGAATTTTGTGGCAGGAAGACATTCTCTTTAGTGCAGAATTCAAACAAAAAGCCTGGGTCGTTTAAATGCCCAAATTCAGAATGAGAAGGCGAAAGTAGAGACAGGGAGGCTGCTGCAGTCGTGACTCTCACAGACATGACCAGAGAGCTGTTGGCTGCCTGTCCTCCCACGAGTTCCTGGCAGGGTTTCTGTACCTACTCTGCTCCTTTGAGGGAGTTTTGTGAGGGTTTCCACTGTTGCCATGCTGGGGCTGTGCTGCAGACAACCAGGCTGGACAACCACGTGTTTTAGTTTAAACTTCTGCAAGGCGCTTCTTCATCTTCCTGCAGTGGCTGCTCTCTCTGCCCAGGCTAATTTGGCTGCCTTCTTCCTTTTCAGTGAGAACGAGGCGCTGTGGCGGGAGGTGGCCAGTTTGCGGCAGAAGCACGCCCAGCAGCAGAAGGTGGTGAACAAGGTAAGCCCAGCCTTCACTTCTCAGCAAAGGGCAGCTTCCTCCCTGCCCTGTGGGCCACACAGTCAGCTGGAGGCCTGGGGCTGCTGACCTGCAGGGGGCTTGGCCAATGGACCCCCCAGAGCCTTGAGGGTGAAGGGCCACTGTCTCTTAAGGACAGGAAACAAGACCTCTTTCAGCCAGCTTCCCACTGCCTTGGCATGATTCTAGATTGGAAGTTTTATATCACGGTCTTTCCGATCCAATTTTTCTCTCTGCGTAGTTGGCCCATCAGATCCCTGCATTCTGTTTTTTCAGTCATGGATTTGTGTTGCTGTTCCACCACTTGCCATACACACCAGTCAGGAGAAACTTTCAGAATATAGGGGGATTACCCCCTTCCACCTGTTTTGGGCACATGCACAGAAATTTTTTCCCCTGTGTGTGCACCGCTCTAAAACCAACAACAACCATTTCCCCTGTGTGCATGAGCAGTGCCAATTCCACATCTGGAAGCACTCGTGGATGATGAGACTACAGAGCATGTACAGAGAGTCTTCTGTTTGCTCCTGAGAGAACCCCACATACCTGTCCCTGGGAGTGAGGTCCTGAGTCCAGCCTGCTGGGTTTTCCATGCTGGTGGTCAGCTGCGCGTGTGCTGGGGGAGGGGTCTCAGAGATCTGAGCAGGGTGGTCCTTTCCAGAGTGCCTTTGGATCTCAGTCCAGCAGGATTCCCCCTCCTCCAGCTAGAAGTGTGCATCGCGCTTGGTGACATTTCGTTTTCTCTCCCACAGCTCATCCAGTTCTTGATCTCGCTGGTGCAGTCCAACCGTATCCTTGGAGTGAAGAGGAAGATGTAAGTGGGCCTCATCCAGAGGCCATGCTTTGATTCTCCTCTTGGCTGAGAGCATCTCCCAGGGTGACTCAAGGACCATCCATGGCGTTTAAGCACAAGCCCAGCCTCTCATTGAGACATTTCCACCTAGAAAACTCCAGACTTGCCTCTGAGAAGCACCTCTGGGAGGAATTCCCCTCTGCGCCTGCCTCTTCCTGCCTATACTCTTCCTGTGCCCTTTCTGCAGGAATACTTTGGTTATCTGCTCATTCCCCCCTAAACTCTCCTCCTCCCCACTCCTGATCCATTGATTATGTTTCTGCTGTTCTTTGAGTTTCCTTTTTGTAGCTTTATGATCTGTGATTCCTATATGAAGGGGTTGGACTAGATGACCCTTGGTGTCTCTTACAATTCTATAATTCTGTGATTCTTAATTTTCTTCCTCTGCATAAGGCTGAGAAGCACCTACATGCTGCTTGTGAAGTGGGGGGTGTCTTTGAAAACAAACACACAGGAAGGGATATGGCGATGTGATTTTGCAAGAGGGCAGCTCTCTTTGCTCCAGCAGGAAAGCAGGAGATGCCTTAAGGCTACAGATGGGCTCAGGTGCTCCTTTGCAAGAAGGCAGTCCTGGAGTGGAGCACACGCAAGTGGCTTCAGTGGGCTAGTCCTGGGTCCAACGAAATGGGAGGAGCCCCCAAGGCCAGCTCAGTCCCCTGTGGGCAGCACACCTGCTCTGGTCCCTGTCAGCCAGAGTAGCAACACAGCCTGCAAACCCAAACCTGTTTCAGGGCTCCTGCTTCCAGAAAGCATCCTGAGCTGACCCTAGAGCAGGCATAGGCAAACTTGCCCCTCCAGATGTTTTGGGACTGCAACTCCCATCATCCCCAGCTAACAGGACCAGTGGTCAGGGATGATGGGAATTGTAGTCTCAAAACATCTGGAGGGCCGAGTTTGCCTATGCCTGGCCTAGAGGGTGGGCTGAAACTGCCTGTCAGGAGTGATCTCTTCAGAAGTTGTGTAAGCAGGATGGTGCCCTCTGCAGTCTGGTAGCCCCTTTGGTGCATGCCTGCCGCCTCTGCTCTCTGTGTCTCACGGCTGTCTCTGGCTTTCCCTTCCAGCCCCTTGATGTTGAACGACAGCAGTTCGGCCCACGCCATGCCCAAGTACAGTCGCCAGTACTCTTTGGAGCACGTCCACAGCCAGCCTCCCTACTCCGTAAGTATTTGGCTTGGGCAGAGGGAAGCTGGGCTCAGGGGCAGCCCCAAGGAGGCAACCACCTTTTGGACCCTCAAGGCTCCTAGGGCCTCATGCCAATATCTGTCCTCCTCACAGGCCTCTCCCCCGGCATACAGTGGTGCGAACCTGTACTCCCCGGACCCCTCCGCCAACTCCGGCCCCATCATCTCTGACGTCACAGAACTGGCCCAGTCCAGCCCCTCTGCCTCTCCCAGCAACAGCCTTGATGGAAGGTACGCAGCAGCCCAGCTTTGCTTGGTTCCCTGTGTGGGCGCCCAGATGGGCATGGAGGGCACAGTCACTTCTGGTTGCAGGGGGAGGGGACGTCCAAGGCACCAAAATGGGGAGGCTGCCTGGGGGGTGGGGGTGGAACAGAACTGCCAACTGCATAGGCCCCAAGGCTCTCTTGCGACTCCTGGCCTTTGGCAGATGTGGCCGGCAACTTTTCCCTCTGTGTCCAGGATGGCTGAAAAGTGGGGTGGCTAAAAATTCATTTGAGTCAGTCAAGATTTTCAGCAAATTTCTAAACCAAAGTGATGGGGTGTGGCATGGAAGTCACTAAGGGTCAATCAAGTTTCAGAGGCGGTAATCTCAGGATGGTTCTTCCCATAGAAGAACTGCTCAGTCCAGGGCTTGCTGGGTGTTCATTTACACACCGTTTGCGGAGGTTAGTTATTCTGGGTCACTGTGTGCTTCTGTGGAAGCCTGAATTCTGCCGTCCAAAGAGGGAGGGAGAGAGAAGCACCTCCTGCTTTTCGTTCACAAGAGATTTTGCCCAGGAGTCCCTCTTCTTCCCAGGTGTGGTTGGTTTTCCTTCTGCTCCCTTTGACCTGTGACTCACTCAAGGCTGGTGGACTGAGCTGAGCCCCAGGATGCCTGGCTGTGTAAACGAACCCAAAGAGTGAGAGCAGCAATTTCTGTTGGTGCTTGGAATGCCAGCCTGTGTAGCTTTGCATATGGGCAGAGCTGCCTTGGCCTCATTGAGGACACTCCCTTTGGAGGAGCTGCACTGAGCCCACTGCAGCCACATGTTCCCCATCCCTGCGCGCAGAGCCTGAGCTCCTGGAGGGCCACCAAGGGCGTTTTTCTCAGAGCCCTGTGCCCAGAAGCCCTTTGTCTTGTGCTGCTGAGCCATGAAGGGTCCGCTTGGCAAAGCCTTCTCTGCGTACAGGAACCCGTATCTCCCAGCCCTTGAAGTGGAGGGGACCTTCCTGGTTCTCTGCCCCAGACAGTTCCCAAGGCCAGCTGAGTTGTGAGCCGGACGCTGCTGGCACTGGGGCAGAATCACTCGCCACAGCGGCAGCCCCCGTCTCTTGCCCTGAGTGTGCTTCTCCGCCAGGAACCTTCGCTCCGAAATGGGAACCAGATGCTTGCCTAAGTGGGTCATCACAGCTTTGTTCTTTTATACCTGGCGACAATTCCAGTGGGGCTAATTGAACCTCCCACATAAAGCCGTTTCGGGGAGTTTGGGTACTGGAGGGAATTTCCATCTGCCAGAGAAACTATGTTCACCCCCCCCCCCTTTCCCATCTTCGTCTCTCTTTTAAAAATCCCCGCTGCTGAGAAGCCACGGGTGGAGGAGGGGGTGGCAGAGCTTAGACTGATTCATTTCCCAAACCTCGGAAGAGAGGAAACGTGCGGCAGGACGAGCAGATCCAAAGGGAGAGAGACAAAAGAGAGCTTCCTGGGGTTGTCTGAGAGTCCTGCATTTCCCAGAGTGGGCCATGGTGTCCCCTGGCAAGGGGGCTCTGGGGGTGTACATGACTTTGGAAAGCTGGTAGCACTGGATCACGCTCCTCAGTTTGGTTGAATTAATGAATTAAGTTTATTGTATTATTAATCTTCCTTGATGGAGTGTGCAAACTGCTATTCTGAATAATTTTTACAGGGTAGGGCAGGGGGCACTGGGGATGAGTTAATGGAACCAAGGGGGTGGGGGCCAGAAAAAGTTTGGCACCCACCATTGTAGAGAACAAATGGTGGCAGCTGCTGACCATGTAGGAATACTGCTGTCCCCCCAGGGCTCACGTCTTACTTTCTTTCCATCCTTCTGTCTTAGGAGTAGTCCCGTGATCCACATCAAAGAGGAGCCCCCCAGCCCCTCTCGCAGCCCTCTGATTGAAGAAACCAGCCCCATCGGCACTCCTGCCATCGAGAGCCCCCTCTCTCCCTCCGCCTTCATCGACTCCATCTTGCAGGATGAGAAGCCCAGGGGCGTCATGGCCGCAGCCCCTCTTGCCGACAGTGGCGGCAGCAGCACAGCCGCTGAACAGGCCCAGTCCCCCGAAAAGTGCCTCAGTGTCGCCTGCCTGGACAAGTAAGTGTGGGGTGCGCAGGAAGCACCTGGCTGCTGCCCGACGGTTACTGGCTGGATCCAGTGGGTCCCTAACCTTGTCCTGCCGTCATCATCGCCATCCTTATCCCTTCCCCCATTCTCTTTGCCAACCTGCTTCTTTGTCTGGGGGGAGGGGGGTGCTTTTATTGACAGCATTTATATCCCACCTTCCCCCCCAAGGAGTTCAAGGTGGTGCACTAGGTGCTCCTCCTCATTTTATCCCCACAACCCTGCAAGGGAGGTTGGGCTGAGAGGAGGCAGTGACTGGCCCAAGTGGCGATGTGAACCTGGTCTCTCAAGTCCTGGTCCAGCGCTGCCTCTCGCCAATGTGGCTGCAGCCCATTCTTCAGGCACGGTGCAGCCTGGATTGCCAATTGCTGCAGCCCTGAGCTGAGCCACTTTGTCCCAGGCTCGAATCCTGCTTGCCCGTCTCCCTCAGGGGCACCTGGTTGGCCACTGTGGGGCAAGATGGGCCACTGGGCTGATTTAGCAGCCAGGCTCTTCTCTTGCTCTCGCATCAGTCCTGACAGAGGCAGTGAGTCTGCAGCTGGACTGAAGCCGTTCGATCTGAAGCTGGAGGCTATGGGGCTGGAAGAAAGCTAACTTGCCAGGGAGAAGATCACTAGGCTAGTCTGCCCCCCGGCCTGCAAGTCTTCTAGGCGTGAGGGCGGATGAGGTTCTTCCATAGAGTCACAGAACTGTATAGAGTTAGAAGGGACACGCAAGGGTCATTTGGTTCAACCACTGGCAATGCAAGAGTCCTTCCCCCCACTTGTCCCTGGGTGGGCTCGAACCACCAACCTTCAGGCGCACTGTTTCATTTTGGCCTCTTAAGCCCTCCACTGCAGCAGAGGCTCAGGGGGAGCCGGGCTTCTGCATGTCTCCTTTTGTCCCGAGAAGAGGAAAGGCCAGGATTCCCCTCCAGCCCAGGGATCCTGAGATCTGTTTGCAGTGCCCGGAGAGCCAGCTGTGGATGTCTTGACCCTCCAGGTCTTGGAGCAGACTACCTTCAGGCTGGTTTTAAACTTCTAGCCAGCCCATCCCAATAGCCTAGCCACGAGCCAGCGGGTGGTCAGTGAGGGAAGCCCAGGAGAGCAAGAGGCAGCAGCCCCTTCCCTTCCTCTCTCTCTCTGTCCAGCCTGGCTGTGGATTCCTGGCCTCCCTCATCGCCTGCTAGAGGGGTGGTGCTGTCAGTGGTGTGGAAGGAAGGCTCCAAAACCCAGGAGGAGGTTCCCTGGGCCAGATAAGAGGGTGGTCCTGCAGCACTGACAGAGGCACAGGGGTCCTAGCAGAGGATGCCCAATTCTCAGTGGCATATTTGGAGACAGGTGTGGGCTGTTTCTCCTCCTCTGCAAGGGTTGGGTGTGGGCCTTGCCAGCCCACTGGACATGGGGGCTTCATAGTGCTGGCTGCTCATGCCTCTGTGCCCCTCCCACAGTTGCAACTGGATTTCAGCTCCGGACAGAGCATCCTGGCTTCCTAGGCCCATGGCCCTCCTTGCTCTGTGCTCTGGGCATTCTTCAGTGCCCTGTGTGTGAGGAAGCAGGAACTCCCAGGGGCTGCTTGGCAGAGATCAGGGGGTGCGGGTCAGTAGCCCATGCCACAGGACAAGCATGTCCACACTCAGATTGCGCACTTTCAGTGGAGGCCTGCCAAGGAACCTGGAGATCTGGAACTGAAGGGAGAGGTGGTCTGTCGGGGGGTGGGGAGGCACCTATTTTTGCTCCCCAGGAACAAGGAGAAGATGGTGGATCACAGAAGTGCTGAGAGGGCTGCCGCTTGCCTGTTGCTGGAAAACGCAGGAGGGTAGAGGGCTGCTCTTGCACTTGGATCCTGCTTGCGGGCTTCCCATGGGGACACCTGGTTGGCCACTGTGGGAATAGGATGCTGGACTAGATGGGCTATTGGCCTGATCCAGCACAGTTCCTCTTAGGTTCTTACCACCAGGGGGCAGAGGACATGCACTTCCTGTCCTGGGAAAGTCGGTCGTTGGATGCAAAACAAGCTGGTTGAGGCCAGTGAGTTGCAAGTACCTGATTCTGCTGGTGGAATGCGGAGGTTTCGGCCCTCAGTCCCCCAGAGAAGCGCAGTTTGGATCAGGCACCTGCCCCAAGGAACAGGAATACGCTTGCTGGTTCCCTTGTGCAGGCAGCATCCCACCTTCCCTTCTCTCCCTGCCTGCCCCGATGTGGGATCCCTCCGGTCAGCTGCTCTTTGCTCTCTTCCCAGAGTTGATTCCCACCCAGGGCCTCCCTCTTGCTCTTCCTGGAGGGGGTCGGCTGCCTGCCCTTCCTTGCCTTTTGAAAGTAACCTCCGTTTCCTCCCTGAAGGTGCCGAACTCTCTGGGGCTCCTGAATCCGAATGTTCCTCTTCTCTTTGTATCTTTCAGTTTGGCTCGCCCTCCGCAGATGTCCGAAGTCACCTGCCTTTTCCCCAGCCCTTCCTCTGCCTCACTGCACTACAGACCACAGCAAGGGTTAGCATTTACATTGCTTGCTGCCCCCCAGGCACTGCGCCACCAGGGAGTGCTGGGGGGAGGTGTCCCTTCTGCCAGGCCCTCGGCGCATCTTCCACATTGTGCTGGGAGGGTCATTTACTTTGGGGATTGGGTGCCACACTCGGTTCAAACCGGAGTTGAACCCACAACGTTGAAAACACCTTTTTGAAACACCCGTCCCTTGTGGCTCGGGGGGTGGGGTGGAGAAAGGTAAATCCTGAAGCACCTTCGTACGCTGAAGTAATCCCTCCCAATATGGGGCACCCCATTGAGGGAAACCGTATCTCCGTGGTGGAGCGTCAGAAGATCCCAGGTCCAATCCCTGCTGCAGGGCCGGCCCACCCATGAGGCAAGGCAAGGCGATTGTCTCAGGCGGCAGGGTCTACAGATCCTGCCCCTAAGAACTGCACCCCCCGCTTGTTCTGTTGAATGTCCGTCTCGCTGCGAACAGCGGCAGTGCTGGGGCGTCCAGCCCGCTTCCTCTGCGTCTCCCTGCTTCTCCCGGCTGCAGCAGAGTGTCTTGCGCAGCGGTGTGCCTGTGCGAAAGGAATCTCAGGCCTGCAGAGAAACTCTCGTACAACTGCTGCTTGTATTCTACGAAGCGTTTATTGTACAGCAGCAAAACAACAACAGCCAGGAGAAAGCGAAGACATGCTTCTTCTGTCGCAGCCAAAACAGAAAGTAAAGACGTTCACATCACTTCCCTAGAGCTGTTAACCCTGTAAGCTCTGGGTATCCTCACACCGCTAGTGCTGCAATGGCAGCAACAGCCGCAGCGCACTCCTCGAAGGCCAGATCTGTGCCCCTGCCCAAATGCTGCCCCTACAGCGGCCTCTTGGCGCACAGGAGGTGCTCCGGGTCTCCCCCCACCCTGCTCTTGATGTAGCTCTTCACTTGCCCCTTCTTCCTTGGTGGGGTTCTTTGTGGTTCGCCCCAGGTGAACTCCAAATGGCAGGCAGCAGGTTTCCTGGCATTTTAAACGTGTACAGAACTGGCCTCCTGCCTGAGCTGTCAAGTCTGCTTCAGGCGATTTGCCTTCGGACTGAGCGGCCACAACTCCTGGTGGAGAGTTTGCCCCAAATGCACTTCCCTGGTTCCCCGTCTGTCTTTGAATGGCTCCGCCCTTCCCAGTCCCCATCTTCAGTCCATGTCTATAATCTGATTGGCTACTCCGGGGCGGCCCCCGCCTTCCGCTCCACAGAAGGGGCTTGGGCCCAGCCCTTGCGCCCCCATTGGCTCTTCACCAGCACCAGTTTTAGGCTGCTTCTTCTGCTTGGGGAGGGCGCTGGCCCTTGAGAGCCCCGAGTCTAAGCAGTGAGGCTTTTCCTGCTGATCTGTAAACTGAACCAAGGCAGGCTTGCAGAAACCGGAAGGGTTACACATGTCAGTGTTTGTTAAAAAAAAAAAAGGAAAGGGTTCTGACCTCCCTTTGTCTCCTCAGCCTGGTCCTCAGACCCTTGTCGGCATAAAAGAGTCCACAAGAATATCCTTGCAGAGTGCTTTCTGCTTTTATTCTTAAAAGTCTTTGTGCAAAAGCGACTGACCAACTCCACTACCAGCTTTCACTAACCAACCAACCAACCCAACAACAAACTAACATTTCTCACTCTCTATATACAACCCAGTGCAGGCCGCTGACTCATGCTGACCCAGCTTTTTTAAGCATTAAAGAAACAGCGGCCATTTTAGCCGTGACAACACACTGGTAGCCGTAGCCACTGGGTCTATTCGGGGGGGGGGGGTGATGGCAGGCCTGTGCAACAGCTATTCCAGAGCAGGCAGGAAGGGATGTGTTGCTCCTCTTAAGGTTTTGGGCAAGGAGGCTTCTGAGAGGCAGCCGGGCTCAAAGCCATTTCCTCCTCCTCGACCAAAGAGCAAGCTGGAGCCCTTGGTGGGTGAGGGGAGCACAAGGGGGCCAGGAAGATGGGGTGGAGATGCACTTGGCCCAGGAGGACCCCTAGGAACCATGAGGAGAGCCCTGCTGGATGAAACCCAAAGAAGCCCTCCTCACCTTGTGGCCAACCAGGTGCCTCTTGTGGAGTTGAACTCTGTGGCAGCCCTCTCCTCCTTCCTGCTGTTCCCCAGCTGCTGGCAGTTCAGGGACACGGGCCTCTGGTCCTGGAGGAAGCAGGCAGCCATCCTGGCCCTCGCTGCCATCTCTTCTCTCGTGTCCCCAGGAACGAGCTGAACGAGCACTTGGACACCATTGACTCCAGCTTGGATAACCTTCAGACCATGCTGAGCACCCACGGCTTCAGCGTGGACACCAGCGCCTTGCTGGACGTGAGTCTTCCGCTCAGGAGTCCTTACGCCTAGCGGGAGGGGCAGTTGGGGGGGGGTTGTTCCTCACTCTGCTAACATTAATCTCTGCTTTCCCTCCCTCCCTCTCTCTCTCTCTCTCTCTCGCCAACAGCTCTTCAGTCCTTCAGCGACAGATTTGAACTTGCCAGATCTGGACAGCAGCTTGGCCAGTGTGAGTTTGCTGAGGGAGTTATCCGTCAAGGACCTCCCCTTTCCTCATTTGTAGGCCAGCCCCACATGGCTCTCCACCCGCCCTGCCTCCTCGGAGAACCCCGGCCGGCTGGGTGATGTCATCCCATCAGCGCCTCTTCTCAGGCACTGCTAATGAGGTGCTGAGTGGGCCTTTCTCAGCGCAGCCTTCTGATCAGCCCCTCCCGCCATCAGCTGAGCAGACTCCCCAGAGCTGCTCTCTGGATGTGATGATGGGAAGATGATGCTGAGCCTGAGGCTGCCTGACTCCCAACACATCCCTCTAAAGCCCTTCCTGCGTTTCTTCACCGCCACCCACCAAGGCACAGCCGGGAGGCTGCAGAAGACCGGCCCAGATCTGATCCTGGAGGAAGCGCTCCTGCACCAGCCCCATTGAAGTGAAGGGGAGCTCTTAGGCAAGAGCTCTTCTGCAGCTCTTGTTTATTTCAGTGGGGCCTGTGCAGGAGAACTTCCGCTGGATTGTGCCCTGGAGTCAGGGAGGTGGTGGACCCACGTAGTGCCAGCCAGCTAGGGGCTCTCCTGTGCGTGGGGGTGGCTGGGGGCGGGGAGTACGGCTGGGGCTTGACTCCCGTGAGATACGCACACCAAAGCCGCCTCCTTGCTCTCTGGGCCTCGCAGGCTTTGGCTCAGCAGCGCCTCCTCTCCCTTTGCAGATCCAAGACCTCCTCTCCTGCCAGGAGCAGCAGAAGCCGGCAGAAGTGGAAGACTCTGCAGCAGACACAGGTGGGCATCCTGGCTGCTCCTCTCCTCTCCCTGCCCCCACCCGCCTGCCAATTCCGCACGCTGCTTCTCTGCATCCACCTTTCCTCCAAGGCCAGGCAGGAGCATGGACATCCTCACAGCTGAACGAGCCATCCTGGCCCACGCAGGGGGAAACTGAGGCATGCGGGGGGGGGGGGCGTGTTTCTGTCGCCTGTTTGACCCGCCTCCTCTCCCTCCAAGTCACGCTGCCGCAGTGGGGGTCTGCCTTGCTCTGGGGGCAGTCATGACTTTCCAACCGAGAGAGGGTCCTCCTTCCCACAGCCTCAGAATCCTAGAATTTTAGGCTTGGGGGGACCCCAAGGGTCATCTGGCCCACCCCCTTGGAATACAGTCCTTCCACCTGCCCCCCTGGCCCCCCAGCCTTGCCCCCCACCCCCTTTCTGATGGTGTCTCTGCCCTTCCCGTAGGCAAGCAGCTGGTCCACTACACAGCGCAGCCCCTCTTCCTGGTTGACTCGAGCTCCATGGACATGGCCAACACGGAAATGCCCATCTTCTTTGAGCTGGACGAAGGACCCTGCTTCACGGAGGACGAGTACTTGGAGGACCCCACCATCGCCCTCCTCTCGGGGGCGGAGACGCCCAAGCCCAAGGACCCCTCCGTCTCCTAAGGCCAGGCCTGGGCCAGTGTGGAAGGAAGGCCGGACTTCAGGAAGGGCCAGCCGCCCCCTTGCTTTGCTCCAGTGACGTTGCGGACGAGCCCCCTGCTCTCCCCTTTGGCCAGGCTGCGAGGGTGTGTTTGTGTCTGTGCTTCGGGTGCCCACCCCTCCGGGCGGCGGCTCTGGGGGGGCACTGTGGCTTGGGGGGTGGGCCAGGGGGGAAGCCCATTGGCAGAAGACGTGTGTGTGTTCCTTGGCTGCTGCCACCGCCTGTTTCGGGTGCCAGGCGCCCTAGGCCTGGACCCTAAGCGCCGACCCCTTGCCCTGCCCTCTAGGCGGAGAGGAAGGAGAGCAAGCGAGCGAGGAGGGGGTCGCGCTCACTGGGGAGGGGAAGGAGAAAAGGAGGCGGAGAATTCCCCCTCCCGTCGGGATGGACTTGCTGGCATTTCAAGAGAAGTGAGAGTGCCTCTCGCACCCGGGGCTCAGGGGCTGTCACGTCTGCCGTTGCGTGTGTCCCCGAATGTTACAGGGCGCCTGGGCAGGAGGGAGGAGGCTGCCCCACCCCCTCCCCCCTCCCCCATGGGGCTTGTTTCCCTTGGCTTAGCAGTAAAGAATTTGTACATTTGCATTTTGATTGTTACTAGAAGAAAATTGTATTTTGGATTTTTACATGAGAGAAGAAGCCCCCTCCTCCCCCTCAGCCTTCCTCTCTCCTGCTATATAAATACCTATATATACATATTCAAATATATCTATATCTATACGTGAAGTGGCCCATCACTCTCTAGGCGCTGCACACTTTTATTTCCAAAACGGACGAGGGGTCCATCCTGCCAGCCAATACTGGGAAGCGGATCCCAGTTGCTGCTCAAGGAATATTCCTCCCACTCACACTGGAAGCGGAAGAGTGGGGAGAAGGGTCCTACCACCTTCTGACAGACTACTGGTCCTTTTCTGCCCCCGCCCTCACAATATCCTGTCTCTGCAAAGGTCTAGATAGAGCAGGGTGCCCGTGGTGTCTGTCTTCACTGCCCCCCCCCCCCCGTGGCCTTTTGTCTGTCAGGTTCACTCCTTCATCAGCTGGACACTTCCTCCTCTGCTCTCAGGTCTCTAAAGTGGTACTGAGCCTTCCAGTTGGCCAGCCAGCAAATCCTGCTAAGCTCCATTTAGCAGCTGGAACCAGCTGACGGGGGGAGACCAGAGCGCTGAGTTTGCGGATCAGGATCAGTGAACTGTGGCCTGCCTTGCCCAAGCAGCCAGGGGGCGGGATCCTACAGAGAAGTCAGTGGGTTGCCTCCCACCCACCCACCCCAGGCAAGACTCTTGGTTGCAGCAGGAAAATGAGCCGGTTGCAGCCTTTGAAAGAAAAGCAAGGCAGGGCCCTCTTCCTGCTGATCTTCTCAGACTCTCCTGTCCAGAGGAGGTGGAGAATTTGGGCCCTCCAAGCAGGGAGCAGAAGGGCCTTGCAAACTGGCCACCTCCTTACAAAAACCAAGGTGGGGGGCTGTGAGGCTCCAGCCAAGCCTGGGGCGTCCGTCAGCCCAGTACGATTGCCCCACAGCTCACTGGGCTTGCAGAGGGGCCATTGTGGGGTGCCAGGGACCTCGGCCTTCAGCTCTGGATTTCCCAGCTATGAAGCTTTTCATGCTCCAAATGCTTTTTATGCTTTTCCGACTCTGGACCTCCTCCCTTATAATGGTCTCCATGTAACAATCCCCGTTTTCTCATTTGGCAAGGGAGGATCAGGCCACTGGTCCAAGACCTTTAGGGGAATGTGTCAGCGGAGGGGGTGGCATGTGGAATGTGACAGCGAGGGCAAGTCAGGGGAACACACACGGAGTCATAGGGCTTCTGGTCAAGAGGGGCTGTGTGGGTTAGGGAGAAGAGTTGGCAACAGACAGCTAGCCTTAAAATTGGCTGCAAGTCTCCTGGTCAGTCACAAATTCAGCTTGGTGAACTGCTGAACTCTGACAGCTCCAGCCCTGCTACACTGAACAGGGCTAAAATATGCCGAGCTTGCCCTGACATGACCTTTCGGGGTGGGATGTGGTTTTGGTTAGCCTTTTCAGGCCTTTAGAATTATGGAATTGTAGAGTTGAAAAGGGCAACCCCCCCCCCCGTTCGCATCCTGAATGCAACGTAAGACGTGACGGCACATGTGCATGGGTCACGTTTTGCCGCTTCCGTGCATGCACGTGACGTCATTTTAAGTGTCTGCGCATGTGTGAGCGGCGAAACCCGGAAGTAACTTCCGGGTTGCTGCGGAGCGCAACTCAAATGCGCTCAACCCAAAGCACATTCAACCGGAGGTATGACTGTAATCCCTGACACCCCACGTTCCCAAGGACTCTGTTCCATTGTCATATGGCTCTTTCTGAAATTTCACCTCTGTCTTCCTTCCTCCCTGCCTCCCTCCCGGCGTTCTGAGGCCCCAGTTGGAACATGGCTCAAGGGCCAGCGCCACCCCTGCTGTGCTGGGACACCAACTCTGAACGTGGTTTGCTTGTCTTTATTGAACAAGGAGGCAGGCCCACCCCTGCGTGCATGAGCAGGACACAGGACGGCAAGAGCAGGTCAGGACAGCAACAGAAAAGGCACCCCAACCCCCAGGGTCACAGGGAAAAGGCTGGCGAGGCACTGGCTAGCCACACGACCCCTTGGGAACAGCAGCCCCCTCCCCAAACCAAACACACACAGCAGCCTGACTCCCGGCCAGCACCCAGGCGCTGCCTCAAGGTGGGCACTGCCCTCAGAAATCCAAGCCTCGGAATTGGGACGGGGCTCCTCCGCCCTGCAGCAGGCCTGGTCACAATCCAGCTGGGGGAGGGGGGTGGAGCTGATGGCAGAAACTGGTGCCCTCCAGAGGTTTTGGACTACCTCTCCTGCCTGGCAGGGGCTGATGGGAGTTGTAGCCCCAAACACCTGGTCTAGTCCTAAGTGCGCTGCCCCCCCCCCCAAATTCTGGGGCACGAATCAGGCTGGCTCTGCTGTCATCCAGCCAGCCTCCCACCCTGCAATCTAGGAAGCTGTTTTCTGCCAGACTGTTGCTCCACCTAGCTCAGTATTTCCTGCACAGGCTGGCAGCAGCTCTCCTGGATATCAGAGAGGGAATCTCAGCCCTTCCTAGAGAGGCTATCGGCAGTTGAATCTGGGAGCTTCTGCTTCTGCTTGCACAGCAAATGACGTACCAGTGACCCCAGGACTGCCTAGCTCATGGCTGGCCAGTTATGGGTCCTTGTGCAGACACAGCAGGAAACCCCTCTGTTCTGCGAGCTACTCCAAGCTCCCAGACAACCGGACTCTGCTTTGTTCTTCCTCTGCTTCTTGGGGCCTCACCTTCCATGCTGGGACACGTTCTCACACCCCACCAGTGGCCCAAAGGCCACAGAAAGCTCTGGCTAGAAACTTGCTTGGGCTGGCCAAGAAGGGAACCAAGACTCCTGAAGGCTGGGGTGAGAGGGACCTGGGGTACCCTGAGACCCAACACGCGGCTGGGACTAGCTGCCTAGGATCCGGAAGCGAAGCCTGGGGAGGAGGCTCCTGCAGCTGGAAGCAGGACACCAGAGAGCAGCGGGTCAAAGCTGCTGTCCCAGGTTTTGCTCAGCTAATGACCAGGCTTGGTTGCTTGGCAGCGGGCAGGGAGAGGCCTTTTCCTCTAGGACACCTTCATTTGGGTTCCTGTGTGCAGGCAGGCAGCGTGTGGCTTGGCTCTCTGACTGGAGCTTTGGCTTGTGCCCCGCCCCTTGCAGCCTGGCACACCTGGGGCAGTGGGCAGGTTCCTGCGTTTGAGCACAAGAGTCAGGCTGCATGGCCCTGGGGTCCCTTTCAACTCCAAGGCTCTAGAAAAAGCCCCAGTCCTTGAGCCTCCGTGTCCGAGGAGCAGCCCAGGCCGGTGGGCATGGCTGGAGAAGAGGAGGAGGAGGCTGGGGGGCTCAGTGCGGACCGGGGGCGGCACCCCCAAGCGTATCCTGTGGCCAGCCGCGGCAGGAAAGGTGGCGTGAAAAGCACAAGGGGGTGGAGAGAGGGGAGTCTGCAGGAGGAAGCAAAGGCTCAGTCGGCAGCGCAGGAGCAGGCGGGCGACGGCTGTCCACTGGGGCATCTCAGGGCCTTCAGCAAGGGGGGGAGGAGGAGGAGGCAGCAGCGCTCCTCACATGCCTGTGGAGAAGAAAAGAGAAGAAGCCGCTCACCTCATCTCCCTGGCCGGCACCTCAGGCCGACCGGCCAGCCCCACAGACCCCCACAAGCCTCTCTGGGTGCATCTCAAGTGAGCCATGGGTCTCCTGCATGCATTCCCTTCCAACTCTGATTCTGTGATTCCTGAGCAGAGTTTGCCAAACAGTCAGTGCTGGACCTGTTGGACCAAGGATGGTCCTTGGTGATGTTTGGAGGGGGCTGGCAGTTGAAGGACCCTCCTGGGACAAGCCTCCTTTGAAAGGGCCTTGCAAGGAGGCCTGGAGCTGCTGCTTTTGAAGGCTGAGTGCGGCCCCCACCAGGCTGCCACTGTTTTGCAGGAACCCATGGAATCGAGGCTCATGCCTAAAGTGTTCTGGCACAACAAATCTACTTTAAAAAATAAAACATTTTGATGGGACAAAATGCACCAAGAAACACAATAAAATTCATGGTGGTGGAGGAAGGGAGATTGGGATGGCACATAGGGCGCTCCCTTGCACCACGTCAGAGCCCTGGTCCATCTAGAGCAGGGGTAGGCAAACTAAGGCCCGGGGGCCGGATCCAGCCCAATTGCCTTCCCACAGACGGTCCAGGAATTGGCGTGTTTTTACAGGAGTAGAATGTCTCCTTTTATTTAAAATGCATCTCTGGGTTATTTGTGGGGCATAGGAATTCATTCACCACCACCCCCAAATATAGCCAGCCCCCCACAAGGTCTGAGGGACAGTGGACCGGCCCCCTGCTGTAAAAGTTTGCTGACCCCTGATCTAGAGCCCAGTATTGTCTACACTGACAGGCAATGGCTCTCCAGGGTGTCAAGCAGGGAGTCTTTCCGTTGCACGTTGAACCTGGGACCTTATGCTGCAAGGCAGATGCTCCTCTGTCTCTGAGCTGTGGTCTCTGACGCTCCTTGCTGTACAACCTCCCAACAATCCGACGGGAACGAATGCTCAATAAGGAAAGGGGGGGGGGTCTTATCACTTCCTTTGCAAGGTTCCTGCAAGCAAATCTGCTTGGGTGCCCAATGGGCCCAACCTGCCCCACATGCTCCCTCCGTGTAGGGCACAGGGTGGGCCTAGAGCCCATCAGGGTTTCCCTCCAGACATGATGGCATGCCCACTTCTCAGGGCTCCATGGTGCCAGGGAGGAGGTCTTTGTTCCTGGGATCGGCACGTTCTGAACCAGCCCTGCTCCCTGACACTCAAGGGACACAAGGACATGTGGCAAATAGGTGACCCTGCAAATGTTGTGGGACGGCAGCGTCCTCACTCCCAGACTGGGGCTGGTGCAAGCTGGAGCCTGGCAACATCTGGAACACCCCACCCCTGATTTTAGGGGTCAGAAGTGCATTTCACAGTAGAGGCCACAGCGGCCTTGAGCAGGAACCGGACCCAACTGCAATGCCTTCAGGGGTTAAAAGTGGGGACATTTCAGGGGTCAGCATGAAAAATCAGGAATGGGGCCCCAGCAGTCAAGAGCATTGGAGAGGCATCCAGCTAACTCAAGGTAAAATGAACCTCAGAATCAGGCCAGCAGCCTGTTCTCCCCGGGGCCAACCAGTGCTGTGGCCCTTCGTGGGACACTTATCTTGGGAGGCGAGGGTCTCCTCTGAATCCACTTCATGGTCCAAGCCTGGGGAGGAAAACATCCCAGATTACAGCTAGAATAAAGGGAAGAGGAGCCTGCAGGATCGGGCCCAAGGGACCCCACCCAGTCCAGCATCCAACTAGATGCCCATTAAGGGAAACCGAAAAGCAGGATTTGTGCGCAAGAGCCATTTTCCCCCTTGTGATTCCCAGCAGTTGCCGTTCAGAGGCAGAAGCACCATGAGTAGCAACCATTGAGCCAAGCCTTGCCCCAGACGGGTCTCCCCTAAGTCTCCCATGCTGCTTGACTCCCCCAGGACAGCCTTGCACAGCCCTCTGGAGGGGTTCTCCCCACATAGAGGCTTCACATCAAGTGCAAGAGACCCTCTGTGGAGTCGCCCATTTTCCAAGACCCCTGATGTGACCCTCAACCCGGGAAGAACTTACTTTCTTGGGACTCGTGGGAATGAGCAGGAACATCCATGGCGGGACCTAGAGAAACCAGAGAGAGACAGAGGTCCCTTCCATATCCCACAGATGGGCACGTGGGGCTCAGAGGTGGCCTGGGCAGCGATGGGTCTCAAGGACCTTCCACTGCCCTCCCAAGGGGGTTTTCAAAGGTCTCCAAGGAGCCAGCAGCTCTTCTCCGTCCCCAAGAAGGTGCCCTCCAGATGGACTACATCTCCCATCAGCTCCTGCCAGTATGACCAGGTGACACTGGGGTTTTGCGAACTGACCCGAACATAGGAGCCATCTCCTAAGAGCCCCCCCCCCATTTGATGGGCATTGCCATTCAATTGTTGTGCGTGCGACCGCATCATGTGATCGAGGGGCGGGGCTTAGCAGGACGCCCCATATTTTATTCAAGTTGGCCCCTCTGGACCCGAAGCTTGAGAGGATCAGAAGAGACACTGGCAGGGCTTTCTGTGGAGTCACAGCCAGGCCTGGGGGAGGGCTGGCTTGTAAGTCAGGGCAGCTGAGGTCGGAGCCCCCATAAGAAGGCAATAGGGGAGTTGACAGGAGGGGTTGCTAGACAGTGGAACGGACTCCCTCAGGAGGTGATGGACTCTCCTTCCTTGGAGGTTCATAGGCAGGGGCCACCTGGATGCTTTACATGAGGTTCCTGCATTGCAGGGGGTTGGACTAGATGACCCACAGGATCCCTAAGATTCTATGGACCCATGAGAAGGCAAGGGCAGCCAGACTGGCAGACGTACCACTCTGGGCGTCTCCGGGCAGCGGGTCCAAGCTGAAGGATCCGAGGTTGGAGGCATCACTGTTGAGCATCATGTCCCCGTTGACCTCATCTGTGTGGGCTCGATCGGCCCCTGCAAAGCTCACGGGGGCCACCTCTGTCCATGGATGGGATGGAGTAAGAGAGGAATCAGCAAACAGGGGCATTGCCTCTGGGTATGAGGGGGTCATACTGTGGGGCAGGGGGCCCTCAAAGTGAGCAGGGATGGTGCCAGCCCAGCCCAAGGCATTTTGCCACCTGAGGTCCAAAGGACAAGGTGCTCCCCACCCCTTGGCTGCTGGGAAGCTGCCTTAACTGGCAGCTGGGTCAGGCCTTCGAGTCGTGGGCTGGCAATGGGGACAGCACACCCTCCACCTCGCCTGGGGGCAGCCGGTCCATTCAGGGGTCCCAGAATACACAGCTGTGTCCTCCAACAGAGAGGGGGCCAGTTGGAGGGCTCAGGAGGCAAAGGGGCACAAAGGGGGCTGGGGGAGGGGAGGGGAGTTTGCTGGGTCATGCCTACCTGTGGTCATGGGATCCGCAGGAGTTCCGATCTCACCTGTGGACATGGAGACAGGTGTTCAAATGATGCACGGCAGAGAGGCTGAACCCCACTCCATCTTCTGCCTCCCCACAACCCTTTAGCCTCTAGACATTGGATGACATTCCAGCCAAGGCCTCCATCTCTCTGTGGGCTGTTGGTCAGGAGCCAAAGCAAGTCCCAAGCTTGAACAGCTCATTGCAGAACGTGGACCCAGCTCAGGGGCTGAGCCTCTGCATGGCCAAGGAAGGTGTAAGGGGGGCATGCAACTCATGCAGGCAGCAGTTTGTGGCCACCCTTGGACTGCTAGAGCTCTTCTCCAGCTGGATGTTGTGAAGCAGCAGCAAGGGCGAGAGTGTCCCTGGGCATGAGCAGAGGGCGTCACTCTCACACCTGAGCCACCACAGCCATCTCTCCCTGGCTTGAGCCATCTCTCAGAGATTATTTAGCTGTGATTTCTGCTGGATGGGCAGGATATAAATAAATTATTATTATTATTATTATTAGGGGCTGGACTTCTCTGATTCTCTGATCCTCTGGCCTCCAGGATTCCACTTACTTTCTCCCGAGGCCTCCGATTTACCAGAGATGATGGGCTCTGAGTTTGCCATGGGCTCTGAAAGAGACGGGGAGAGAGAGAGAAGCTGAAGGGGGCCGGGGGTCCCGTGCAATGAAGCCCCTTTGGGCATTTCCCCCTCAGCCACCCAGAGCCCCAAACAGGTTCAGGCCAGCTGCCCCCACCCTGGTGCCCTCCAGATGTTTGGAACTGCAGCTTCCAGCAGACAGCATGGTGCCTGACTCAGGCTGATGGGAGTTGTAGTCCCAAACATCTGGAGCTGGAGGACTGTGGGAAGTCTGCTTTCCTTCCTGCTTTCTGGAGCCTTTCTGCTGCTCTCTTCATCGCAGGGGATTCTGGAGCAAGAAAGTGAATCCCTGGGACCCAGTCCTTCGCTCCAGGAGCTGAGCTGATCACAGCAGCACTTGGTTCCTGCCCTGGCAAGTGGAGCAGCTGCTCTGCCTGCAAAGGGGAAGGACTTTGCCCCTCAAAAGTCAAGTCCCCTTAGACGTACCTGTTGTCTGGCTGCCTGGGGGGGACGTGGGACTTGGGGAGCTCAGGGGCTCTGCAAAGAGGGAGAGAGAAGCGGATGTTTATTATCATTGTCATGGGTTGTGAGGGTCAGTCTGCATGATGCCCCAAGTCCCCTCCATTTCTCGGGGTCCTGTACCCAGCAAGGGTTTGAATTGTACAGAGGAGGTTCCTGAACTAGTTGGAGCAGGGGTCAGCAAACTTTTTCAGCAGGGGGCTGGTCCACTGTCCCTCAGACCTTGTGGGGGGCCGGACTATACTTTGAAGAAGAAAAAACAAACGAATTCCTTATGCCCCACAACTAACCCAGAGATGCATTTTAAATAAAAGGACACATTCTACTTGTGTAAAAAGACGCTGATTGCCAGACCGTCTGTGGGCCAGACTGAGAAGGCGATTGCGCCGGATCCGGCCCCTGGGCCTTAGTTTGCCTACCCATGGCCGTAGCTGGCTGCTTAATTGTCCTCATCAGCATCGCAAAAGCGTGAGCTGGGATGCAAGAGCTTTCACTAAGGGAGGGGGCCCTCCAGGCTAATGGGGGGGGGGGGCTTTTTTGCCACCCTCCCCTCTCCTGGCTGCTATTTAGGAGAACAATAGCCAGAGCATGTGAGCTTCAAGCAGGCCGGGAGCCGGAGACACAGACACCTGCTTGATCTGTGCTGGATCCAAAGCTACGACTAATATAGCAGCAGGATCTGTTGTGGGGTTAATGCTATGAGCTCCTCCAGCCTATGCTCATTGCAGATATGTCTTTTTGAAACCCCTGTATTCTAAACCGCCCACCTTCTTCCCAAGGAACTGAGCAGTGGAAAAGTGCTGGGAATCCCTGGAGTCTCTCACCGCTCAGAGGTTGTGTATATGGGGTGCAAGCTGCTTCTCTGCTTTGCAGGATGCTGGCCAGCTACAAGTGCCTCTTTCTCTTTCCTTTCTGGGGGGTCCCACACCCCCAACTTCAGGGCCCCCCCTCCACCCACCCAAGTGCCAACTGCAACTCACCATCTGCCACCACAATGGCCAGGAGCAGAACCGCAGCTGCCGTGAGCAAGAGGAACCTGCGGGGTGGAAAGGAAGAGGGGGCTGAGAGTGGAGAAAGGGCTGGAGCATTAACATAACAGTGGTTAAGAGTCTGAGCTTTGAGCCACACCAGAAATCTCAGCTCAACCGTGAAGTCCTTGGCCCTGCCTCATGGCTTTGTTGTAAGGATGGCTGGTTGTGCAAAGGTATGGGAAGAGCTTTAAGCGCTTAAATCAGAAATAATATCATTTTAAAAGTTCATCAGGTTCTTCAGCAGCAGAGAGGGGCCTGCTGGGAAGTCACGCCCCTGATCCCAGAAGTGGGGGGCATTCTGTACGTGCTCAGTGGCACTCCCATTCAACTTTGTCTTCTAGGCTGGCTCTTGGAACTCAAAACGGATATTGGGAGTGAGACCTGAATCTCACTCTGACTTAGGGTCCTCCAGGTCTGTGTTGCCAGCAAGTCTTGCATTGTTCGTTAGAAGCCCAGGAATTGCCAGAACCACTCTGGGGCTGCCTGAGGTGGGAGACCGCCCCCCTCCAAAAGGCAGCAGTCTCCTCCTCTCCTGCCCAGCTATGATGGGGCACGATCCCCTCAGAAAATCTCCTGCAGAACAACCACATGGCAGTGGAGAGGAGTTGCTGGAGAGACCCTGCTCACTGCAGAGGAGAAGCTGTAGAAGTGAGACCCTGCTGATTCCTTGATGATTTTATTATTCATACCCCACCCATCTGGCCGGGTTTCCCCAGCCATTGTGGGCGGCTTACAGCACATAACAAATTGTAAAATGTACATAGCTGTCATACACAGGAGAGTCCTGGCAGTTTCCTGCTTGAGTTTTCCCTTTGCCCCTCTGCCTTCCAAGGGAAAACCCGCTCTTTAGTGATGCATCAGAACAAATGGCAATCTGGGGAAAACCCAAATTCCTGTTAGCTCCGATTGAGCACTAAAGAGCAGAGTTTTTTCCAGGAGGGTGAGGGAAGCAGCAGAACAGGGGGAGGTGTGGATAAGCCAGTCTGTATATACATATGTTTTCATTGTGAAATCACTTTGGGAAGCTTTACGAGAAGCAATTCATAAAGGAAATTAAATGAATAAATAAATAAATATTCAGCTGAACAGTGCTTTGGGGTTTACATCTTTGCGGATAAAACATATTTTTGAATTTGTCAATTCAAAGTAGATTATAAAGCATAGTGACTGTTAAATATTGCATTTTGGTCAACATTTGCAGGAGGAAATAATTAAAAAGTGCAGTGGATACTGAGCGACAGAAGCAGCTCCCCATGGTTCTAGGAAGAAAAGGAGTCTTTTATCAGGCCCACCAGGAGATGCCATGGGGAACTGAGTCTGGGACCTCTGAGTCCAAACAAAAGCTCCACGGCTGAACCACAGGCCAGGGCAGGAGCACAGCACTGGAGGGGGGACTCTGGGGACCCTGGCTTCCCCCTCCTCTGGGTGCCACCTCCCACGCCTCCTCCGGTTCTGGGGGCAACTCAGCAGGTGCCCAGCCCCCGATGCACATGGACCGACTCTGCTACAAGGCCATCCTTCAGCAGGTGACTGACTCCAGACCACCCAGTGCCCAGTGGGGTCCACAGTTGGTCAGCTTTCTGGCCGACAGGCCTCCACCCCAGGCACTGAGCCAGGCTTCCTAGCAGCAGATATAACGGGAGGGAAACTGAGGAGAAGAGACGAGGGAAGGCCTGTTCTGCAGGGATGCCCCACACCTGGGCAGGGATCTAAACCTGGATTCACCTGGGGCAAACAGGTGCATGGACCCAGCCCACCCACAGGGCCCCCTTTCTGCACCCAAGCAAAGTTGGCACCCACCTGTGCTGTGCCCGCATGATCCTGGGCGTCTGGTGCTTGGGACGGTGCTGGGATCCAGTCTCAGGAACTCTGGGGGAGGCAGAAACACTCTGTGTGCTGAGCCACGGGAGGCCCAATATATGGGTCTGTCCCCTCCAGGGGGGAGCCGGCTGCGAGGGGCCAGCCAATCCAGAGGCGGGCAGGAGGGTGATGGGTGGCTGCTGTGGGAGGGGCAGAGCCACAGAGGCCCCTGAGTAGCCCCTGGGCTCCCTTCCTGAGGGGCAGGGGGCTTCCTCCCCACCACCACCTGCCGCTGTGTAGCAAAGGTGGGGGGTGCCCAGCCATGAGGGGCAGCCCTGCCTGACACCAGCCCAAGTCCAACCCCAAACCCGGGCACAGGTACCCCGGCATCACCTGCTTCTCTCAGGCTGCCAGCAGCTCCTCAAGCAGAGAGAGAGGGAGGGAGGGAGGGAGGGAGGGAGAGAGAGAGAGAGAGAGAGAGAGAGGTCCTTCCCAGGGAGACTTTGCTAGCTGAGATGCTTTTAACTGGAGGGATTATTTACGCCATGATGAAAGTCTCAGGTGCCCTTCCTGGACCTTGGCACCTGCTCCCCATCAATTAACCCAGGCAGCAAAGAGGGGAGTTTGTTCAGTGGAACGCAAGGACTCCTTTATTAGCACAAAGGACAATTGGGAGTTCAGTGTGGGGTGGGTGGGAGGTGACCTACTGCAAAGACTTTGCGTTGGTCAGTGTGCACTGATCTACACACACAAAACAAATTCACGCACAGGCGTCTTCCAAAAACCCATCCCAAACTCCAAAAGTCCCATGGCGATCGGCAAATGGTAACGGGGGCAGGACTGTGAAATCTGGAAGCCCCTAGTCATGAACCGGCACATGGGCGGTGGGTACAGATTCAGTTGTTCTGACTCAAGGAACGAGGCAGTTGAGCAGGCCGGCAGCTGTATCCATGACTGAGCAGCCCTTTTTAGGATCCACTCTGCTCACCCCCAAAAGGGGGAGGGGCTAGAAAAGGTGCCCTAAGCATAGTCTGCCTCCCTTTTCCCTTGACTGGATCACCGCGCCCAGTGGGGTCACCACCCAGTCCCTACTGTGGAAGGACGTGTGGATCCAGAACTGGCCTCCACAGTCACTTACGGACTCATTGTTAAAACCGTGCTTATGGAAGACAATCTTACTCGGCTACGAGGGATCGCCAAAGAAGAAGTGTGGGTGCAAAGACTACAAAGAACAACTTTGCTCTGATGATGGATTATCTATACAGTATCTGTCTGTCTGTCTGTCTGTCTGTCTGTCTGTCTATCTATCTATCTATCTATCTATCCACCCACTCACAAGCCATGACTGTAGGAAGAGCTTGCCAGGACGGTCCAGGCCTGGGGTCCTCCCTCCTCATCGCCTGAGCAGATGAAGCCCCCCATGCCCCCCCAGCCAGATACACCTCTCCACGCCCCCCCCCCCAGCAATGCGGAAGGTGCCAGCGCCAGAACAAAGCTCCCTTTGTGGCTGTGGAGCATCTCAATGCGCTTTTGTTCGGGGCCTCTCTCGGCTCTCCTGGATTAAAGGCTTTCTCAGGGGTGACACCGGGCCTGTGGGGCTGGATCCGGTTGCAAGGGCCATCTGACTGCCTGCCCCTGGGGAGGACTGAGGCAGCTGCAGTGGCCCCTGGCACCCACGCTGCTCCTGTGCCAGCTCCCCCACCCACTGCCAGCGTCTTCTGCCAGGTCCCTGTCCTCCAAAGAGGGTCTGAAGCGAGGGGTGGGGGCTAGACGTGCTCCATCTCCCTGCCTCTTCCTCCTCAGAAGGGGGAGCCCCCAATCTCCCCACAGGGGGAAAGGGCTGGCTGCCCAAGGGGTCCCCTGAAAGGGGCCAGGAACTCGATGCAACTGGCCCCTGGAGCTTTGTTGCCCATCTCACTGCTGGCCCACTCCTCTCCTTGTGGAAGCCAGACCAAACCTGAACTGAGCCCCAAACAGAGGGAGCAGGTGTGGGATGGCATGCTTTTAAAATAAATTGTTATTGTATTTATTTAAAAGATTTATAATTTGCCTTCTGAGCACACATTCCATAAAGCAGCTCACATCTTAAGTAAAGACAGAGCCATATATGACATCACAAGTATCTGCTTGTAACAGCAGTGACATCAGAGGGACTGAGAAGGAATCTGGAGCCTTAAATTGCACCACCAATTGTTCCTTGGCTTCCTCATAGCCGAGTAAGATTGTCTTCCATGAACATGGTTCTAACAGTGAGTCCGTAAGTGACTGTGGAGGCCAATTCTGGATCCACACGTCCTTCCACAGTGGGGACATTGATTTCTGGGTGGGAGTTGATCGCACTTATCCTTGGCAAGTGGGAGGGTTGTTGTTGTTTAGTCGTTTAGTCGTGTCCGACTCTTCATGCCCCATGGACCAGAGCACGCCAGGCCCTCCTGTCTTCCACTGCCTCCCGCAGTTTGGTCAAACTCATGCTGGTAGCTTTGAGAACACTATCCAGCCATCTCGTCCTCTGTCGTCCCCTTCTCCTTGCGCCCTCCATCTTTCCCAACATCAGGGTCTTTTCCAGGGAGTCTTCTCTTCTCCTGAGGTGGCCAAAGTCTTGGAGCCTCAGCTTCAGGATCTGTCCTTCCAGTGAGCACTCAGGGCTGATTTCCTTCAGAATGGAGAGGTTCCTGGTGCCTTTTTAAAGTGGTGCCAAATGCAGATCCCCACTGGATGGAAGACTGATGGGAGTGTGGAACCAAAGCAGGATGTGTGTGTGTGTGTGTGAGAGAGAGAGAGAGAGTGTGTGTGTGTGTGTGTGAGAGAGAGAGAGAGAGAGAGAGAGAATGTTAGAATTAGCAAAATTGTAGAGTTAGAAGAACAACCCCCCCCCCCTCATCTAGTCAACACCCTGCAAGACAGGAAACTTAGCTACAGCTTGGCAGAGCATGAGACTTGTAATCTCAGGCTCATGGGTTCAAGCCCCCCTTGGGCAAAGGATTCCTACACTGCAGGAGGGGTGGACTAGATGACTTGCGAACCCTTCCCGTTGGCTGTGACCGCTGCCTCCTTCCTGCTTGCAAGTCCAGGCCTTACTAAGGCGACTGCCCTGATTCTTGAACAGGGAGCAGCAGCCTTTGATGTGCATCTCTGGAGACAAAGGGCTTGGAGGAAGGAGAAGTCATGCTTAGTAACCTGGAAATTTGGCCCCCGGACAATGCAGCCGAAGGAGTGGGGAGCTGCTGGGGGTGGGGGGTTTCCTGCTCCCCCCTCCTCCCACCTGCCTGGAGAACACTGTGCAGACCCCGGCTCGGCAGCTGGCCGGCAACCAAGCTGGGGCGCATGAAAGGCAGCCGCCAGGCTCCCCGTCGGCTCGTAAAGCCTTCCCCGGGATCAGGTCTCGCCTGCAGCCATGTGCGCGGGCTCCAGGGAGCCCCGGGGCCTGGCCCTCCGGGACGGGGCTTCTGGCACCTGGCTCCAGGCGGGGAAAGGGGCTGCGCGGGCCGGCGCGCCAGATGAAGGCGGCCAGCTGCGCGAGAAGGCCCGCCGCACCTGACCTGGGCTGCTGGCGGGCGGCGGGGCAGCGCGCAAAGAGGCAGCGCGCATTCCGGGCGCCTCCAGGGTCCCAGCCGAGCAGAGCCAAGCCCGGAGCGAGCGATGGGGAGGAAGAGGAGGGGAGGCTGCCAGCAGGACCCCTGCATGCGCCACGCCAGTCTGGGGCGGGAGGGCGACCTCTGAGCAGAGGAGAGCTGCGGGGGCACCCGCCCCTGCCCCTCACCAAATGCCTGGGGTAACTTAGTCGGTCGAGCAAGAGACTCTTCTTTTTTTAAAAAAAAAATTTTATTAAGAATTTCAACATAACAATTTATCAAAAACATATCATCCTCATTCCCCCCTTATTTTCCTCTCCCCAAACCAGAACCCCCCCCCAACTTCCCTCAACTCCTCTCTCTGTTTTTTCAGCACATGTTAATCTCAGCATATTATAAAATTGTAAAGATCCTTAATTTATCTATCTTCATGTTACCAATAATAAATTTGTGAATGTTTATTCAAAACCTGCCAAGGAGTCCAGCTCAATTTGTTGTTTCTTTAAGTACTTTGTAAATGGTTCCCATTCTTCTTTAAAGTCACAGTTGTTCTTGTCACGCAGTTTGTGTGTCAGTTTTGCCAATTCCGCACAGTCCATCAGTTTCTCTTGCCACAGTTCTTTAGTCGGTGTTTCCTCATTCTTCCATCCTTGTGCTATTAAGACTCTTGCCGCCGTTGTCGCATACATGAAGATGTTTTTCAGTTTCCTTGGCAGGTCTTTTCCTACAATCCCTAACAAAAATGCTTCAGGCTTTTTTTACAAATGTTAATTGGAACATTTTCTTCAACTCATTGTATATTGAGCATGAGACTCAGGGACGCAGGTTTGAGCCCCGTGTTGGGCAAAATATTCCTGCCTTGTGGGGGGTTGGACTAGATGACCCTTGAGGTCCCTTCCAGATCTACAGCCCTGTGATTGTCAACGCAGGCATCTTGCAGGCCTGAAGCATGTGTCTCACAAGGTTAGTTGTCCCTGGGGGTACAGCTGGGCTTCTTGACATTAAAAGATGGCAACAGAACAGCCTTCCTTGACCGGGCGCCCTGCAGAGGTTTCAGACTACAGCTCCCACATCCTGACTGGGGCTCGTGGGAGTTGTAGTCCAAAACACCAGGAGGGCGCCAGGTTGGAGATGCTCCAGTAAATCCACAACAAACTCCCTCCTGAAACCTTTCTGCTCTAAGCAGTTGTGTAGTTGGCTCCCCCTCTTTGCGCCCAGGTAGGCCACGGATGCCCCCCAGGGGTCGGGAAGGGGGGGCTTTTAATCTCCTGAGCAGGCAGGTGTAGCCTGGATGTCTGCGAAGGGCGGCAGCCCCTCCCTCCTGGCATTCTCCCCCCCCCTCCCTGGGCCTGGCAGAACAAGGGGCTCTTTGCTCCGGGCTCAATGCGCTTTTGTTCCCAGATGAAAGGGTCTCCAGGAGGGGTGGCTCAGGAGATTGCAGAGGGCGATTGGGCTCTGGGGCCTCCCAAGAGCGTGGGGCTCAGGGGGGCTCTGGAGGCAGCGCCGCAGCCGACGTCCTCATAATGACAGGCCAGCTTGCCAGCCAGCCTTGGAGTCTCTTCCAGTGCTCTGGCCCAGAAGGGAGTGGACCGGCAGCAGCGGCTGCTTGCGTGACCCTCCCGCCTGGACCCAAAGGCAGAGGAAGGAATGCCCCACCTGGATTGGGGTGAGGGGTGCCTCAGATTAGAGCAGGCGGAAGGCAAAGAGTAAGGTTACAATAACTTCCGTCACAACAACATAGTGTGTGCACACTCAGAGGATGACCTCCAAACCATCCTAAATATCTTCCCAGAAGCTTACGAAAAGCTTGGCCTATCAATCAACATCCAAAAAACCAAAGTGCTGCACCAACAAGTACAAATTAACCCTTCTGCAGCGCCACAAATCCAACTCAATGGTGTAACGTTGGAAAATGTCGGTCACTTCTCCTACCTGGGCAGTTATCTTTCCACAAGGGCCAACATTGATGCCGAAATCCAGCATCGCCTGAGCTCTGTGAGTGCAGCTTTCTCCTAACTGAAGTGCAGAATGTTTGAGGACTGGGACATTGGCAGGGAAACCAAAATGCTTGTTTACAAAGCTCTTGTACTACCAACCTTACTATATGCTTGTGAAACATGGACCACTTATAAACGCCATCTCCAGCTCCTCGAAAGATTCCATCAACGGTGTCTCCGAAAAATTTTACACATCACTTGGGAAGACAGGTGAACTAATATCAGTGTACCAGAAGAAGCAAAGATCACCAGTGTCGAAGCAATGATTCTTCAACATCAACTTCGTTGGACTGGTCATGTTGTGCGGACGACTGATGATCGTCTTCCAAAGCAACTACTCTATTACGAACTTAAAAATGGAAAGCGTAATGCTGGTGGTCAACAAAAGAGGTTTAAGGTCTGTCTGAAGGCAAATCTAAAAAAATGTAGTATAAACATCGACAAATGGGAAACACTGGCCGGTGAGCGCTCCAGTTGGAGAACAGCCTTGACCAAAGGTGTTGTGGGTTTTGAAGACACTCAAACTCAGGATGCAAGGGAGAAACGTGCTAAGAGGAAGGCACGCTTGGCAAATCCACACCATGATCAACTCCCACCCGGAAACCTATGTCTCCACTGTGGAAGGACGTGTGGATCCAGAATTGGCCTCCACAGTCACTTATGGACTCCCTGTTAAGACCATGTTCATGTTAAGACCATGTTCATGGAAGACAATCTTACTTGGCTACGAGGGATAGCCAAAGAAGAAGAAAGAGGGGGGCCTGCCAGGCTCAGCACAGGCAGGTGTGAACCCAGTTTCTTGAGGGGGAGCAAAACCATGTTAGCCTTTGCTAGAGCAATGATGAAGAGTCTTCGTGAGACCTTGAAGGCTAACACATATGGTGGCGGCAGCATTTGTGGAATACGGCCCACTCCCTGCTTCCGTCATTATGCCAGAGAGGACTTGGAAGTTTTCAAAGTGCCCAAGACTTTGCGCTGTCCTTGTGGGAATTCAGGCTCTCAGGAAACAAGCGCAGTCCCTTTGCACAGCTTCCTGTGAACTGAGCGCTGTTGCTGCGCTTGGATCTGCTGGCGTCGCCAGGTGAGAGCGCTGGTCCTCAGGTGGAGTTTTCACAGCGTGAAATTAAACCCAACCACCTGTGAGCCGCTGCCACTGAGAGGCAGGAGAAGGCTGTGCCTCCCAGTCCCCCCCCTTTTAATTCCAGTGATTATGGAAGACACGAGGGGGGTCATTTCTAGAGGGCGGGTGGCACAGCCCACACAGGACAATGGGCACACTCAGCGCTCTTGCCAGCGACGCTGCTTCCCTTCTCTCTTGAGTCCTGCTGCCTGGAATGTGCCCCCCCCTGCACATCTTTCTGGGTGCCTGGCTGTGTCTTTTGGGGGGTTCTGCTGCCCCCTGGGAGCTCCGTGCGGCACTGCAGATCATGGCTGGGCTCTACATTTCTGCTAAATACAGCACAGGCAGTGCCAGATTTATGTATAAGCTAAACAAGCTATAGCTTAGGGTCCCACTCTCTTGGGCCCCCCAAAAAATTAAAGGGAAAAAACCTGGATGTACATTTCCAAAATATAAAACAAATAAAATAAAAGCTACATACAGCAACAGTGTTTTGTGTTGTGTAGGCTCTTATGATGTAAGTAATGGGCCCTACCTGCTAGCCTGCAGAACACAAAAAACAGCAACAATTTGTTGTTGACAAAGGACAGCTGGCCATATAAAGGGGCCCATCATCTTCAGTAGCTGAGGGCTTCATCAAACCTCAATCCGGCCCTGAGCACAGAGAATCTCTTTTGCTACCCCATGAATTGTATTTTCCAGGAAAAGGGTATGTTTTTCTTCATGTGCATGATGTAAGTCCCTGGGAGTTGGTTGGATTGACACTGTGTTGGTGGTGGTTGTTGTTTAGTCGTTTAGTCGTGTCTGATTCTTCGTGACCCCATGGACCAGAGCACCCCAGGCACTCCTGCCATGTTGGTAGCACAGGACATTATTATTATTATTATTATTATTATTATTATTATTAGTTTTTAATTGAAGATTTTGTTGATTTACAAAAGTGTGTGTAATGTCTCTCTCTCGTATCCCCCCCCCATGTAACATTTTTACAAATCATTTTTACAAATTTATTGCTAATTGGAAACTTTACAAATCAGTTTCATTTGTTGAGCATAGGACTATTTTGAGTGGCACCAAGTCATGGGTCTGAGGTTATGAGATTCAGCCGGATCCTATTTTGCTCCCTCCTAACATATAGGAGGATTATTATTACTACTATTAGAAATAATAGAGAAATGGTTACGGGTGTGACCATAATGCCACGGGGTGTGTATGCTGAACAGTGGGGAGAAGAAATAGAACCATCAGTTAAGATGGATAAGAAAAACAACTTGCCTTTGGTATGAAAACGAAGGCAGGCAGCACTGGGACACCTTGTCTAAACTGTCAGCCTTCTGCTCTTTATTTCAAAAGAAAACGTGATGTCGTTTTGTTTCAAAGCAGCATCTGCAATGCCTTGGAAATTAAAAGGGGAGGGGGGAATAATAGCTTTGGGATTCTGAGCAGTTGGAGAAGTTGCTGCTTTGCCAACAGAGGCACTGAGAAGCCCATGTCCACACATCGCATTGTAGCCTCCAGATGTTGCTGGACCAGCACTCCCACCCCCCACCATTGGCCATGCCTGCTGAGGCTGATGGGAGTCCAACAATATAAGGGCGGCAACACAGGTTACCCACCCCTGCCAGAAACCTTTGCTTAGTGTGCATAAATTAATCTCACTCCTTTTGCTCTCCCTGGTTCATGCAACCAACCACCACCTCTGGCTTAGCGTGACCAGCATGTTTCTTTCCAAACAAACCAGAATCCGTAGCGTTGCAGACTGTGGTTTGCTGGAGCAAAACAAAGGACAGTTCCCAATCCAAGCGTAAGGCCATCCCAGGGACTGTGGTTTGTTTCCTCCTAGTGTGAGTGAGGAGGAAAGATACAGCCCAGAAAGGTGCATTGATGCGAAACCATCAAGTGGGGCTGCCCATGACATGCAAACAAGGCAATGAGTTATCTGAACCCACGTTGGACCCTAAGGGTTTGGGGGTCAGCTTTTGCAGATGGGTGCTTAGTCGTTTTCAGTCCGAGTGGTATGTTAGAACAGCAGAGCCTCCAACAAGTTGGAAAAAGAAAACACAGTGAAAATGTAATTCACAGCTTTGCGCAAGCGATAGAGACGACCTGTAGTTCAGGAATGCGTGGTCCCCATGTCCTGTCTGGTATCAGGGCAAGGAAAGTGGCCTCCCTGGGCTAGAACGAGGCAGCAGCAGCAGCTGGTCCAGCTGCCCAGGGGAGACCTTCATTTCCCTGCTCTTGCGCATGAGTTGGCTCAGCAGGGGCAGCTCTTGATGCCATTTGCCATGAACTGCAAACGTTGCACCATCTGTGCCCGTGACACTTGCGCAAGCACATTTCCACACAGCCATTGCAACCATCATGGGGGTGGGTGCAGTTGTAGCATCTCCCCAGGTCCCAAGCACTGTGTCTCAGGTCCACCCGATCTGATGCAGCTGTGCAGGGTTCGAGGCGCTGGATTCCAAGTTCCCTCTGGGTTGTTGAGATTGCGCGACCATCCTTGGCTCGCAAAGCCGTGGGCCTCTGAGACCCCTCTAGTCAGGGCAGCTGGTGTTGCAAGGGTCTCCGGAGTGGAAGAGGTTGTAGACGTTGACCAAGGGGAACATGAGGAGGGCGCCCACCATGGAGCCCAGCTGCACCATCGCCCCGCACCAGACCAGGGCGCTGTGCCCCTCATCCCGCAAGACCACCCCGATCATCAGCTTGACGTAGGAGAGAAGGCCGACGAAGAGCACCCAGCACAGGATCTGCAAAGGAAGCCAAGCGTCAGCAGGGGGTGGCCAAGGGCCTCTGGGTGCCCTATCGATGAGCAGTGGGTGAAGGCACAGGGTCTCAAGGCCACAAAATGCAGGTTCATTGAAGCACCCTGACATTCGGCCACCTTCAGATGTTAGATCTTGTGCATGATTGATCCGTAGGGGCTCTGCAGTCCACACTGGGGAGAAGAGGATACTAGACTCTGTTCGGAGGCCATGATATCAAGCGCTGCCTTTTCTCACATGAAGCTGCCCGCCTCCAAAGCAGCTGCCAGGGGTCTTTCCCTGAGTGCCCCTCACCCAATGAGGTCATGTGCCTGGTAGTGCCTGGAGGGAGGGCCTTTTTGGTTGTGACACCCTGGACTCTCAGGCAAGGACCTCTTCGCCCTCCTGGCCTCTTAAAGCCTCACCTGGATCACCACTGATCCTGCTGCTTCCTTTCTAAACAAGGGCTCCCTCACGGAGACCCCAGAGATCCACTGCTGTCAGTTCAGGCAGGCAATACTGAGTTAAATGGGAGCCCATTAGATATGTCTGCCAACCTAAGCCTTCTGCCGGTTCAGCTGGCTAAAATATTTTCCTTAATACAGTGGTACCTTGGTACTCAAACAACTTGGAACCCAAACACTGCAAACCCGGAAATAAGTGCTCTGGTTCATGAACTGTTTTTCAGAAGCCGAACATGCTCCATTTTGAGTGTTACGCTTCTGATTTGAGTGTTACTCTTCCATTTTGAGTATTACGCTGAGGTCTGTCTGTTTTAGCTCGTTATTTTGTGTTTTTGTGGCTCTGTTTTTTTTGTTCTTGTGACTGTGTGGAACCCAGTTCAGCTACTGATTGATTGATTGTGTGACTGCAGTACATTGCTTATTGCTTTCATTTTATGGATCAATGGTCTCGTTAGATAATAAAATTCATGTTCAATTGCTGTTTTAGGGGTTGTTTTTAACAGCCTGGAACGAATTAATCCATTTTGCATTACTTTCTATGGGAAAGTGCGCTTTGGGTTTGGAATGCTTTGGTTTTGGAATGGACTTCTGGAACGGATTAATTTTGAGAACCAAGGTACCACTGTATGTTGGTTTTATATTTCTTATTGCTGTCCTGAAAGTAATAAAAAAGAAGGATAAAAAGGTAAAGGGACCCCTGACCATTAGGTCCAGTCGTGGCCGACTCTGGGGTTGCGGCGTTCATCTCGCTTTACTGGCCGAGGGAGGCGGCGCACAGCTTCCGGGTCATGTGGCCAGCATGACTAAGCCACTTCTGGTGAACCAGAGCAGCGCACGGAAACGCCGTTTACCTTCCCGCCAGAGCGGTACCTATTTATCTACTTGCACTTTGACGTGCTTTCGAACTGCTAGGTTGGCAGGAGCTGGGACCGAGCAGCGGGAGCTCATCCCGTCGTGGGGATTCGAACTGCCAACCTTCTGATTGGCAGGTCCTAGGCTCTGTGGTTTAGACCACAGCGCCACCCGCGCCCCCTTACATCTGTTTAGATGTCCCATAATAAATGAGAGGTGGGGGTTTCTCTCCCCCTGCCCACTTTCCTGGCCCCTCCTATACTTGCTTGCTTGCTGATGCTGGACTGGTGGAGCAGGCCTGACTTCCGGTGTGTGTGTGTGTGTGTGTATTCCACAGTGAGGCAGCTTGGCATCCGATTTGGGAGACGGTAGTGGAAGGCATTGCCTCCGGGTGCCTGAGGAAGCTGAAGTGGGAGGAAGGGTGCAAGGGTGCAAGGGCCTTATCCTGCCCCCCCCCACTCATACTTACAATGAGGACGACTCCATGGGATCCATGCAGCAGGAGAGGGCAAGGGCTGAGCACCGCCATGGCCATGATGTAGCAAGCAAACAGGGATCCCGCAAGGGACAAGACTCCCATGAGCATCAAGGATCTAGGGTGGGGGGGAGAAGTCGGGGAGGGGGAGAGAAATGGCTCAGGATCCCAGCTCAGGACCCTCCCAACACCCCTGGTCTGGTGGAGGCCGCCAGGCTTAACACCAGGGCATCCTGCCCTCTCCAGGTTCAGCGGCACCTCTGCTGGGCAGCTGCATTTCCTCCAACCCCCCTCTGATCAAAACAGAGGTGATCGGTTTTTGGTCTCATGCTCTTGCAGCCGGCTCCCACGAGAACATGGGACCAAAAAATAGGACAAAAAATAGGACACAAAAAATAGGACACCCTGAGGTCCATTCGGGACCTGGGATGGCTTCTGTATTTCCAGGCTGTCCTGCTCAAAGCGGGATGGTTGAGGGATTTGGTGCTGGAGCCAACCTGGGCACGCTGCCTTAATGCCAGCCACCCTTGATGGGCCAGCTTCGTTATTGGTTACATTTCTTGTTGAATAACGTCTTCCGTCCCCACAGACCCCAAGGGGGCATGCAAAGGGCATGAAGAGAAGACGGAAGGGCGAGAGAGGTGACCTGAGAGCCACCTTCAAACTTCTATAGGGCTGCCACTCAGCAGATGGGGCCAGCTTGTTTTCTGCTGCTCCAGAGGAGAGGACCCGAACCAACATAGTCAAATTGCAAGGGAGGAGATTCTGACTAAATGTCAGGAAGAACTTTCTGACCATAAGAAACCCAATACGTTTCCGAGCACAATTCAAAATGTTGGTGCTGACCTTGAAAGCCCTAAACGGCCTCAGCTCTGTAGACCTGAAGGAGCGTCTCCACCCCCATCATTCTGCCCGGACACTGAGGTCCAGCGCCGAGGGCCTTCTGGCGGTTCCCTCATTGCGAGAAGGGAAGTTACAGGGAACCAGGCAGAGGGCCTTCTCGGTGGTGGCACCCTCCCTGTGGAATGCCCTCCCATCAGAAGTCAAGGAAAGAAACAGAAGTCAAGGAAAAAAACTAGACTTTTAGAAGACATCTGAAGGCAGCCCTGTTCAGGGAAGCTTCTAATGTTTGAGGCATTACTGTATTTTAATATTGTGTTGGAAGCTGCCCAGAATGGCTAGGGAAACCCAGCCAGATGGGCGGGGTATAAATAAATAATAATAATAATAATAATAATAATAATTATTATTATTATTATTATTATTATACAGTGGAATGGACTCCCTCAGAAGGTCGCGGAGTTCTCCTTTGTTGGAGAAATTGGATGGCTTCTGGATTAGGGATTCTATGGCTGCAATTTCTGCACTGAAGGGGGTTGGACTACAGGTAGAGGACTCCTAGGGTCCCTTCCAATTCTAGGAAATCCCAGAGGTCTGCCCTACGCCCCTCCATTGACAGCGCAAGCCCTGACTCAGCCAGACCATCTGCACATATTGTGAACTGACCCCATATTGTGAACTGACCTGTGTGTGCCTTCTGCCCCCTTCCCAGCAGCCCACTCACCTGCTGGGTAGGTACATCCCCAGGAGGCAGGCGAGGGGGTTGGCCAAGGCAGCCAGCGTGGCAGAGAGGTGGTACGTGGTGTTTCCATAGGGCAGGCAGGAGTAGGACTGCACCGCAGGGAGGACGCCGTTGGTCAGGGCGTTCACCCAGCCCAGCAGCCCAAAGATGTAGGCTACCTGGGGCCAGGAGTAGGTTCCGGATCCGAAGAGGCTGCCCGCGGGGTCGCTGAGCCTGGGCCGCTCCTCCACCGTGGCCCGCCCGCCGCCCGCCACCTCCATCTGGACTCGCACCCGGTACTTTTCCTTGGCCTGCTCCCGCCTGGCGGCTGGCAGGTGGTTGAGGAGGAGGAAGGAAGCCAGGCAAGAGGCCGTCATGGCACAGAGGAAGAGGAAGAAGGCGGTGGCGGAGAAGCGGGCCGGCTGGTACTCTGCCCGAAGGCCCGTGCCGTTGCCCTGCTGGCTCCCGTTGACGCAGCGGAGCGTGCCCACCCCCTGGCCCAGTGCCACCAGCCCTGGCAGGAGGCCGCTCAGCCCCTCGCCCACGAAGTAGGTGCTGAGGTAGGGCGCCCGCAGCCTCTGCATGTAGGGCAGGAAGGTGACGGAGGAGGTGCAGTCCACCAGGGCCAGGAGGAAGAAGAGGCTGAGCAGGGCCACGCTCCGGGGGGAGCCGCCCACCACGCTGGTCTCCCCCCAGAAGAAGGCCAGCAGCAGGCAGGCCAGGGAGCCGAGGGAGAGGATGGCGTAGATGACGCCCACTTCGCTGAGCCGCCCCGGGAGGAATCGGTGCGCCAGGGTGACGGCCAGGGGCCCCACGTTGGCCAGCTGGGTGATGACGGTCAGGCAGGATGGCAGGAACCAGCCCTCTGGGGCGCTGGGCACGATGAGGGGCAGCTCCACCCACATGCCGTTGATGGCCACCCAAGAGCCGGTGCCCAGCAGGCAGACCAGGGCGTGCACCACCAAGCTCATCGCTGTGGCGGGAGGGTCAAGGGGGGCGGGTTGGCGGCTGCCGGCCGCTTCTGGAAGAGCAAAAGGAGGCAGCGGATTAAGAAGAGCATAAGGACAGATGGTACTTAACACCAGTGAAATTAGCAAAAATGTATCATACTCATGATAATAAATGCTGGAAATGTAAGGAAAAAGAAGGAACCTTTTACCACATGTGGTGGACATGCCTCAAGGTAAAAGACTTCTGGGAAAGGATTTATAATGAACTGAAAAAAGTGTTGAAAAACACATTTATTAAGAAACCAGAAGCCTTTTTCTTGGTATAGTGGGGGGTGAAATCCCCAAAAAGGGTGTTACTTTTTTTCTGTATGCCACAACAGCTGCGAGAATATTATTAGCGAAGAATTGGAAGAAACAAGATTTACCAACTATCGAAGAATGGCAGATGAAGATGATGGACTATATGGAACTTGCCGAACTGACCGGGAGACTCCAAGACCAGAGAGGAGAGACGGTGGAAGAAGATTGGAAGAAGTTTAAAGAATATCTGAAAAAATATGTTAATATTTAAATCTTAGAATAGCTTTGGAAGTGGATATACGCTGTAGGGTTAGAAGCAGAAGATAGTGTATTTTAAAATAGTATTATTTGTAAGTGATAAAATGTGAAGATTTTTATGGTAAAATTAAGTGTGATAAAAAAAATGGTTAAAAATTATGATAAATGTAAACTGCTAAAGATGAGGTAAAATGACAATCAGATGGGGGGACTTGGGGAAGCTCACCTAACAATGTTTAGAAAAAATAAGGATAAGACAATAATTTGATTGTATTGTGTGTGTTTTTCTCTTTGTGTTGTTTAGTTATGTTATAAAATGAATAAAAAAAAAATTGGGGGGGGAGCATAAGGAGAGGCTGATGGATCAGGCCAGGGGCCCGCCTGGTTCTCACGGGGGCCAACAGATGCCCCAAAGGGAAACCTGCAAACAGGAGCCCAGCACCAGTGCCCTTTTCCCCCCTGTAGTTTCCAGGAAGCATTGCTCCCTCGCAGAGCCATCCTGACTAGGAGCCATCAACAACCCTCTCCTCCTCCTCCATGAATTTGTCTCATCCTCTTTTAAAGCCATTCAAACTGGTGGCCATCACTCCCTCCTGTGGCAGGGAGTTCCACAGGTTAACTGCATGGTTAACGTGGTTAATGCCCTGAGATTCCCTGGGGTCTGAGTGAATGCCTGGCCTTTTCTGGTAGGCAAGCCATCAGGTGGCTCCCTCTGCCCATCCGCCTCCGTTTTTGAGAGGTGGGTTTGGGCTGCAGGCTTAACAGTTGCAGATGTTGGGGGTGGGTGCTGCTTCCGGGAGCCTTTCGGGCAAAGGGTTTCAAATATTTGTGGTCCTTGCAGACTGCTGCTAGTCTGGGTTGGGATTCAAGTCCATCTCAGCCGAATCCGGTTGCATGGTTAAAGTTCCTTTGGCACTTTTACGCAACCAGGGAACAGGAGAATCTCCCCTCGCTTGTGCCAAAGCCAGCTCAACTCCCTGCTAATAAATCAGACCACCAACCACATTGAACAAATCCAGATAAATGGGTCTGGAAATGGCCTTGGGGAGCGTCAGAGAAGCCCAGCTGCAGCAGCTGGGTCAGGCCAAAGGGGGCCCATCTGGCCCAGGACCCTCTCCCCTCCCAGCAGAGAATGAGACGCCCCCCATGTCACTGTGGGTCGGGACCCACCAGCATGTGGAGGGCAAACTCAAGCTGGGTCACAACAGGAGCACGACCACCATGCAGATTGGGATTAAGCAGCAGCTCCCCAATGAATGTTTGGGTTAAAAGTGGGTCTGAACAGGGTGCCGATCCCTGCTCCAAGGGAAGCCCCCAGGCAGGAGCTGAGGGCAACAGCAGGCCTCTCCTGGGTCCACCCCGCAAGACGGTTCTCCCCTGAGTTTTCCCTCCCTCCAGCATCACACAGCTGACTCGTGGTGGGCTTGTGATCACTGACGGTCCTGATATCCTTTTTGCTGCTGTTTGCACCTCTTCTGTTGGTCTGACTCGTCCGCCTGCTTTTTTCTCAGGCTCTCCTTTTGGGTGACACAAAGCCGGAGTGTCAAGACGTGCCGGAGGAGCCTTGCCTTGAGGCAGCCTGAGCTGCAGGTGAATCTCCCTGTGATGTTATGCCCAGAAGATATTACGCAGAGAGTGTCTGTGGGTCAGGCTTGCTCCGGCTGCTACCCTGGCAGAATCCATCAGTCTGTCTCCTCCGGCAGAAAGAAGTCTTTCAGGATCTGGGGAGCAAATCCCCCAAGGTGTTGCTGGGGGGCAGGGAGAGGCGAATCTGCCAACTTCAGTTTCTCTCGGTTTCTCGCTTTTCCACCCTCAAGTTCCTTTCTTCACATTTCCACATCAGTTTTCAATTTCTTTAAAAGGTCCTCATCATAGCTGTCAATTTTCAGATTTGAAAATAAGGGATCAGCAGCCTCGAAAATAAGGGATCAGCAGCCTCACCTGTCCCGGGGACAGTCTACGGGATATCTAACAATCCGGGATAGCAGCGGGAAGCAGCGGAGAATGGCGCTTGAATAAGGGAATGTCCCACAAAAAAAGGGAAGGTTGACAGCTATGGTCCTCATGAAAATTCACCAGCTTTCTAGTAGAAATTTCTCCTAATGGGCATATTAGTATGCAACATTGCCCGAATTACACAATTTCCCCTAAAATTATGCTGCTTTCACTAGCATGTATGTACTTAGCGACACTTCTCCCCAATATATTCATTTTTGCTCATATTATGTGCCTGGTGAACTGCCCTGCAAAATTCACAGAAATGCAGATTTTGGATGCTAGATGTGTTTTGATTCCCTTAATGTTTGAAAAGCGTGAATTAGGGAGATGCATGTTTAAATGTGCACTGAAGCGAGTTTCGGAGACTGGTTATGTCCAGGGACAATCTCCATACCTCCCATCTCTCCTGCTCTTGGCCAGGACTCTCCCTGTTCTGGGTCAGCCACAGGCTAAAGGGCAAAGGGGCACCATGTTTGTGGAGCCTGGCAGAATTAGGCTTTAACCTCCTCTCCATCGAGCTCTCAGGCAGCCGTCTCTTCCTCCTCCTCTTGCAGACACAGTCTTTGGACTTGGCCAAGAAGGGGCAAAGTCCTGCCACTTTTTCCACACCGGGGCCTCATTTTAAACTGCCCCTGCCCCTCCCAAAGAGCAGAATTGTTGCACTCTGCAAAAGGGGGGCTGCTGCAATCTGGAGCTCTGGGGGAACTTTGGGGGAGGAGGAAACATAGGTAGGATTTGCGGGTGGGATGACAATCAGATAGGGGGACTTGGGGAAGCTCACCTAACAATGTTTAGAAAAAATAAGGATAAGACAAGAATTTGTTTGTATTGTTTGTTTTTCTGTTTGTGTTGTTTAGTTGTATTAGAAAATGAAGTAGTTCTGACCCCCCCCCCCGGCAAAACACCACCTGTTGATGCTCCAGGAGCTGCCTCCTAGTTTCTTGGATATTAAGAACTGCCACTGCTGCTCTCACCTTTTCTATTTCTTCTTTCTTACCTTGTTGTTTAGTCGTGTCCAACTCTTCGTGACCCCATGGACCACACCAGGCACTCCTGTCTTCCACTGCCTACTTACCTCTCTTTAAAAGGTAGAAGATGCCATTTGCCCCCCCACCCCCTGGCCCAGTCCAGGGCATTACTGTCTGCATAGATTAGACCCCTTAGTAGCCTTGGTCTGTTTCCCTAATGGAAGGCAAGCCCCATTGCCTTCAGGGATGGATGGGGAGTTAAATTGCACCACTGAAGCGTTTTGTTTTGAATTTTCAATTTCAGTTTTTCTCAATAGCTTCCTCACAACTGCGACAGAAAAATGAACAGAGAAATGAGACTCCTGCATCGCAGGGGGTGGGACTAGATGGCCTTTGGTGTCCCTTACAACTCTAAGATTCTATGAAAACAGATGTAGACACAAAAACACACACACCGCAAAGTGCTGGTGGGGAATGGCAGAGATTATTTCCCCCTGGCAGTGAGTGACAGCTGAGGGCCCCAACCCCATTTGGTGGTCGGGGGAGCCCATGATTCCTCCAGGCAGGGAAATTGCCGTCAGGTTAAGACCCAGCACCCCTCCGCCTGGGAATTAAGGTGTGGCTAAAGAGCAACAGGGACGCGGGTGGCGCTGTGGGTTAAACCACAGAGCCTAGGACTTGCTGATCAGAAGGTCGGTGTTTCGAATACCCGCGACAGGGTGAGCTCCCGCTGCTCGGTCCCTGCTCCTGCCCACCTAGCAGTTCGAAAGCACGTCAGAGTGCAAGTAGATAAATAGGTACCACTCCGGCGGGAAGGTAAACGGCATTTCCGTGTGCTGCTCTGGTTCACCAGAAGTGGCTTAGTCCTGCTGGCCACATGACCCGGAAGCTGTACGCCGGCTCCCTCGGCCAGTAAAGCGAGATGAGCGCCCACAACTGGACCTAATGGTCAGGGGTCCCTTTACCTTAAAAAGCAACTCTGACTTATGCTGCTAATAAACCCCCCCACCTTGTGTCTCTGTCCCCCCACCAGGTAGATGAAAATGGGGACACCTTTGTGGACTTGGAACTCCTTTGCTCTGAAACCAGAGGATCACCCTGAATTCCATGGAACCATTGGGGGGGTTGGGCTAGATGACCCTGCGGGGGGGGGGGCCTTCCAACTCTGCAATTCTGTGGTTCAGGGAAGGCGCCATCCTGGCTCCATCTGTTTGTTGCGCTTGCCTTCTGAAGCCGGGAGTCTAAGTAAACTATCCACAACCTTTTCCCCAGCTCCTGACTCAAGAATGCTGAATCAATCATTACAGGGAATGGCTAAAGAAGGGAACATTACGAAACTGCAGTTTGTAGAAATTTAACTTCTGGGGGCTGGAGGAGGAAAAGGTGGAAAGGCTCTCTGGCAGGTGAGGAGGGTTAAAACAACCCTCCCAAAAAGAAGGGGCAGAGAGGCTGCCAGATTGCCCCGCATTTACCCAGTCTCTCCCTCCCCTCACTGCTATCACCTGCAGTGCCCGTCCAGACCCCCCCAGCACCCCCCAGGCTGACCTCCTACCTGCTCAAGGGAGGCTCATCCTCCTCCTTCTCCTCCTGGCCCCTGGGGCTCCCTGCTCCACTGAGCCGCGCGGAGCTGAGCAGAAGGAGCACATGATGGGCTTCCTCCTTCCCACCACAGATCTGCCACATCTGTCAGCTTGCAGATGTCACACCCTGCCTTCCCAGGGGGCGTGGCGGGCAGGGAAAGGTTGCAGCCTTTGGGGCTCCTTGGCTTGGAGTAGAGGCAGGAGGTTAGAAAGCGTGCATGGCCCGGAGGCAGCGGATGGGGAGAAGTTCCCTTCCCTCTCTCCTAACATCCCAGGAAGCTGAATGCGGGAATATTCAGGGCAGCGAATGATTCGACTATGGAACTCCCTGCCACAGGCTTCAAAAGGGGGTTAGACAAATTCGCGGAGGATGAGACGGTATGTGGCTACTGGCCACACTGGGTAGTAGTCCGTTGGAGGCAGAGATGGTTCAGAATACCGCTTGTTGGAAACCACAGGAGGGGAGAGTTGCTCCTCGCAGGTTTCCGACAGGCAACTGCTCATTCAGCCATTGTGAGAACAGGGTGCTGGACTAGATGGGCCATTGGTCTGATCCGGCAGGGCTCTGATGATGGTCTTAGGCATGCCTTCTTCTTTCCTTTGTAGCCAAGTAAGATGGTCTTCCATAAACACAGTTTTAACGATGAGTCCGTGACTGTGGAGGCCAGTTCTGGATCCACACGTCCTTCCACAGTGGGGACATTGGTTTCTGGATGGGAGTTGATCATGGTGTGGATTTGCAGCAGAAGACACAACAGCACCAGGGCAGTGGCCACGCTCCAGCCCTGCCTTAGCAGTAAACACCTCCCTGGTGGGTCACCCTTGCAGGGAGGGCATTTATGGCCCAGAGGCACTCCACAGAGTTCGCAAGAGGACGCCTGCTTTCACGGGCCCTGGGTTGCCCTCTGGTCCCGAGTTGGTCCGTGACGCAGCTCCCCACCCCTCTTCCTGCGGCCTCAGACAGAGGGGGGTCTGTTTGGCACAAAGGCTTTCCAGAGCTCCACAGCCTCCGGAAAATCAGGGTGGAGTGAAAGGGATGGAGTCTCTGGCAGAGCAGAGAGCATCACTGGGTCCTGCTAACCAGTTCGGTGCTGGATGTTCCTTTTTTTTAAAAAAAATAAGATGGTATTAAAACTTTTCCTAGTACATTAGAATCATCAGTAAGAGCTGTTCGACAGTGGAATTTGCTGCCAAGGAGTGTGGTGGAGTCTCCTTCTTTGGAGGTCTTTAAGCAGAGGCTTGACAACCATATGTCAGGAGTGCTCTGATGGTGTTTCCTGCTTGGCAGGGGGTTGGACTCGATGGCCCTGGTGGTCTCTTCCAACTCTAGGATTCTAGGATTCTATGATCATCACCACCACCATTATCTAAACACAGTAGAAAGAATGCAAAGTCCTCTTTCACAGGTAGATCCTGTCCCACACAGTGAAAGGTGACCCCTTCTGGCTCTCACCTGGGAGCTTCCCTTTCTTTTCCCACCCTGGGAGATCTTCCTTTTCCTCTGTTGCAGGAATTTATGTATAGGGTCGGGGGTGGGGGGGCGTTGCCCCTCCAGCAGATATCATGCACATGCAGCCCACTACCAAAATCAGCACAATCACTTTTGTGACTTTTGTGACTTGTCCCCACAAAACACTTCATCAGTTTCTTCGTATCTATTCAAAGGGCCTTTGCTGCACAATACCAAATGTAAGAATTCACTGATAAATGTTATCTATGTACTGGCTCACTGGGAAAACTTCAGAAATCCCTATAGACCTGTGAGCTCAGCTCCTCAGCAGCCCCTCTGCCTGAGGGATAATCCCTGGCCTCCTGATACCGGAGTGCCAGACAGGTAGCCATTCCAGAAATAACAAACCCAGATGAAGACAAAAGGGTGTGAGGAACTTGGCTGGGAAACAGGGAAATGTAAACATCTCTTTTGTTACACTTGATGGGTGTTTGGTGGAGGGCAAGGAGAACCATGGGGCAGGGTCCAGGATGCTCAGATTACTGCCACCAGACCTCCCCTTTCCTGATGTAACCGTGATGTATGAGTGATGTAGTTTGGGGGGGTGTAACATGGGGATTAGCAGCTAATAAAAGTTTGGGGGGTCTTTTGTTCGGGGCTTCCATCTCGTTCCACCTGGTGGCAGGTGGGAGTCCTGTTGCGACAGTCTTCAATCAAGACCAAGCCTACTGGCTGCTGTTTTGCTCTGGTATTCCTGGCTGGGGTCCTTGTTTTTTGTCCAAGGGAGCCCTCAGATTTCTCTGTTAACATCTTCATCAGGTGCTGAACATTCCCCTGGCAGGAAGAAGTTGGGAAAATGCTGTCCCGGAGTGTTTGCCCTGTGCTCTTAAAGTTTAGGGACTGCAAATCTGTGGCAGATGATCAAGGCCATTGGGTTCAAGGGATGGTACCACTAACTGTGGTGGTTTGCAGCCAGAGTCCGCAACGGAGGAAGGACAAAAGGGCTGTCCTGGCAGACTGGGGAAGTTCAGCTGGTCTCAATTGCAGCAGCCAGATCACTGGCTGGGATGCTTTCAGAACTCCCCCCCCTCTCCAAAACAGCTCCACTGGCTACCAGTTTCTTTCTGGGCCCAGTTAAGGGGCTCATGCTTAAAGCCCTAAATGACTCGGGCCCCAAATACCTAAAGAGCTGCCTCCTTCAGACACTTTTGGGTATTAAAAATCAGCAGAAGGGGCTGTCTTGACAGTTCCAGCTCCCACAGAAGTCCAGGGTGGTGGCAGCCTAAGAGGGCCTTCTCTGTGGCAGCCCCCAAGTTGTGTAAGTCCCTCCCCAGAGAGATGCATCAATATATGTTGTTGTTTAGTCGTTTAGTTGTGTCTGACTCTTTGTGACCCCCTGGACCAGAGCACGCCAGGCACTCCTGTCTTCCACTGCCTCAGGCAGTTTGGTCAAACTTCGAGAACACCATCCAACCACCTTGTCCTCTGTCATCCCCTTCTCCTTGTGCCCTCCATCTTTCCCAACATCAGGGTCTTTTCCAGGGAGTCTTCTCTTCTCCTGAGGTGGCCAAAGTCTTGGAGCCTCAGCTTCAGGATCTGTCCTTCCAGTGAGCACTCAGGGCTGATATATATATATATATCAATATATAGCTTTTGGCAAATGCTGAAGATCCACCTATCTACCCTGAGATGTGTATTCTCCATTTTATGTGGGACATGATGAATTGAAGACAAACCAGCAGGTAAAGTCTGTCTCTGATTCATTTTATTCATTTAAAATGTACTATTCATTTAGGCAATTTATACTTTCTTTGCAAAAGTTTTTACCCCATCAGCATTAAGGAAAAAATATATTCCAGTAGTGTGCAGCGTAAGAAAAACAGTAAAATTACATCCGTAAAAGAAATGCATCACATACAAAATAGACATATAAGCTTCAGGTTTCCAAGATCTCTAAGTGCTTTAATAACATCCTAAAAATATCGCAAATAAAATACAAAAAAATAAGAGTAAAACATATATCTTGTCTTTGGTCCCAGCCCCGCTCAAGCCAGCTTACAATGAACAAAACAATCAATTACAACAAGTTATCCATCTGTATGATCCTTGAAAGAACAATCGAGGTTCCATGCTGCCCAGGGCTTGGCAAGTGAAGGTTTAACGGACGCCTAAGAGAGACTGGCGGCTGCGTGTGCCTGGGGCCCGTCTGCAGTGGCTTCCATCCAGCCAGAGGGGGAACCCCAAGAAGGAGCACCCTGAAAAGGATCTGGCAGGGAGTGAGGGGGGGCGGGCTTCCTGCATTTAAGGGCTTCCGGTTGAAATAAATAAATAAATAAACCAGCACATTCAGTTGTGGCCAGAAGCTGGGGCAGATCTTCCAAGGACTGGCAAACCGTCACCAGGTTGAGAAGCCCCGTTTAACGAACTGGCTGCTGGCGTTTTCTGAGCCAGGTGAACTTCCCAAACCGCCACGCTGGGCAGCCCCACGGAGGACCCGCCACAGCCGCTGTCAGGCTGGCTAGGGCTTACTCAGCGTTAATTAGCTGACCAATACAGTTCAAGGCAGTGATCCTAAACCCTCTTTCCTGGGAGTAAGCCCCACCAAATGCAATGGGACTTACTTCCAAGAAGACATGTACAAGATTGCACTGCAAGTGCCATTTTACTTAAAAGCCAGTTGTATCCTGCTTTTCTTCAGAGGCTGCAGTCGGTGCAAAACAGAGAGACTTCACTGGCACAGCTGTGAGAGATCACAAAACGTTGGTCTTGAAAGGTTTGCACCGGCTGCTCATTCGCTACAGAGCCCAATTCAAGGTGCCGACCCTGGTTTATACTGCTCAAAACGGCTTTGCACCCAGCTATCGGAAGGAGTCCAGCCATATTCTTGTCCCTCTCATGAGATGATTAACTACCAAGGAGGCCCTTTTGCCCTTCCCATCACTTCCAGCTCTTCGCGAAGCTGGGAAAGCGCTAATTAGGCTTTGGGAAGGAGCTGGCAGGACGCTCAGACCCTGTTGGAGCCCTCGCGCCGCCTTCCCAGAGCCCAGCGCCTCACTTACCCGGCTTTGGGGAGGCGGCACAAAGGCTGCAGGGAGGGGGGAGCGGGACAAAATTGCCTCAAGGGTCTGCCCTGTTCTAGCCTCTCCAGTGTCACAGGGAAGTATGAAAAAAGACCAGTTGCTCTAGCCGAGACTTACATAGAACAGGCCTGAGGGGAGGCTCCATAATTCTGAGGGTGGGCCACTTTCGGCAAAGTCTAGTTCCCCACCCTGGGACCTTACTGACTTATTCTGCTCTCTCCCCTGCTTTCCCCAAGAGCCCAGCCCTTTCTTAGCTGTCCCTCTTGCTTCATCACAGTTATGCCCCTTTTCTTCCAAGGAGCTCCAGGTAGTGCGGATTCTTCTCCCCATTTTATCCTCACAACACCCCTGGAAGGTAGGCTAGGCTGAGAGGCAGGGACTGACTCCAAGGCCGCTCAGTAAGAGCTCCATGGCTGAGTGGGGACAAACTCCCAGGTCCAACACTCTTGCCACTACAAACACCCCCCCCCCCCCCGGTTTAGTGTAAAACCTCAACAGCAATTGTGCAGATTTTGCACAGAATGCAAGGTACATAAAACGTGTCCAGGTTACCTAATTTATTTCTATTAGGGGGTGGGTGTTTCGTTTTTAAAAGCCAATGGAACTGTAGTCAACCCATGTTAAAAAATAAAAGTATTCCTGACTCTCCCCCCCCCAGTCGCCAGCCACAGGGGGGCGCCCCTCCCTCTCCCCACTTCCACAATGCAGCCCCCCATGGCAGCCAGTTGTCTCCTCTGAAGACACCATTCCTGAGAGGTTAAAGGGGCCTGGTCACCAACAGGGAGGAGGCAAGTGGGGTCTGCAGAGTCAGTATGTGTGGGGAGGGGGGGTGAAGTGCTTTGGTCCCAAGGGGGGCGGGAGAGCTTGGTTCTTAAGGCATGGTGGTTAAGGCCTCTGTGTCGGCAGCAGCAGCACCCCTCCCTCCTAAGCGTGTGGCCACGCAGCCCCTCCAAACAGGAAGCTGCTCCCTGTTGCCCCAAGATGGCTCTAGCAGAGGAGAGAGAGGCTGTGACCAAGCAAGGTGGGCTGGGGTCTGTGTGCTTCGCCCCTCAGTTTCTCTCCTCTGCCTGGGGGGCAAGAGCATGAGATGGTTCAACAGGCAGTGCTGGAGGGGAGCCGGGAAGAGCAGCCAGGACTGCCCCCCTCCAAGTGCTGACAGCCCTGGAGAGGGGCGGCAGAGGGTGGCTCCTCAGAAGCACGGCCTCCTGCCGCTCCTCCTTGCCGGCACCGGCCGTCACGGCCTGCAGTTGTCCACACAGTCCTCCCCACTCGAGAAGAGCCTGTAGATGCTGGCGAGGGGGAACATGACGAGCGCCCCCAGCAGAGAGCCCGCCTGGATGATGGCGCCACACCAGACCAGGGCGGCGTGGCCGGCCTCGTGCAGCAAGCTGCCAATCACCACCTTCAGGTAGGAGAAGAGGCCCATGAAGAGGATCCAGGAGATCACCTGCCAAGAGAAGAAACCCTCGGCTGAAACAGCCACACCTGGACTGCTGGGGAGGCGAAGACGGAGGACGCAGGGGGACTAAAAGGCGGTTGTGACTTGGGGATTGGAGCTCACCCTCGTTTGGGTGAACGGGGAGAGACTCGCCCTGGGGGCAACGCTGCCGCCACTGCAGCCTGACCTGGAAAAGGGCCTGCGGAAGAACGTGCAGGATCTGCTCCTGGCCAGAGGAAGGGCTCAGCAACCACAGCAGCAGCAGCAGCAGCTCCTCCTCCTTGGGGGAAGGCCCAGCATCGTCACCGCCTCCCCCTGTGCCCAGAGATCAACAGCTCAGTCATACTCACCACCAGAGCTACTCCTGCAGGGCTGCCCACCAGGGGAGGGCAGGGGCTGAGGGCCGCCAGCACCATCAGATAGGCTCCAAACACACACCCCACAGCAGAGATGATGCCCAGGCCCAGGGACGACCTGGCAAGAGGCAGAGAAGCAGGGAAGCACTTGAGATCTGGAGCTGCTGCAGAGAAGATGGCTTGAACTCAAGCAACAAGTTACGCTCCAGGCTGTTGGTGAAAGGAACACATGCTCCCACCCCAAATTTTCCCCTGCAGTCAGGAGAAATCTCGCCAGAGCCTTTCCCCACTGAAACATTGGCCACATGCTGCCTCCTTGTGGTCCAGTGGGGCAGCATCGCCCTACAGAAACCTTCAGTGTTCGCAAGTTGCTCCAAGAATTTCAACCTAGAGCAATTTCCCCATTTTAGGGCCAAACTGCAGCCTTGGGCAGGTGGGCATTTGAAGCAGGACTGCAAGGCAGCCCCCCCCCACCACAGCCCCAAGCCATTCCTCACCCCAGAGGTGGTGCAGGTCAAAGTGGGGAAATCTTGTGGGCCTTTTTCTCAACGCAGAACTCTAGTCATGGTATAGCATGACCAGATAATACAGATAAGCAACTTCTAGCAGCTCTCATACCAGGAAGTGGTGTGGGTGGGTGTGGGGAGAGGGGGAGAGAGAGAGAGAGAGAGAGAGAGAAGGGGGGGGAGGATCATTTGAACCAGAAAACTGTGTTGGGACTGTTGATGCAATTGGTCCACGTCTTGATCAGCGCCCCTGCAACATCTAGGTTCTGTTCAGGGTTATCACACCAGCTGCCCCAAAGGGCCTAAGCAGGTCTCCTCCTCTAAGGAATGTCCGTATGTGCAGAAGCTGGGATAAAGCCAAGGCTGCCTTCAGCAGCACTGGCAAGAGGGAGAGGGATTTGCTCAGAAGAGGAGATGAAGGTAACAGGCTGTGTGGTTCAGAAGAGCACGGGGAGCTAAAGGGCTAGTGGATCTCTCTTGTATCTTCTAAGACCAGAAAAACTGTGTTACAGTAAATTAGTTCACGATGCACCAGCACCTCTTAAACTGCAGCTAGGGTGTTTGTGCTTGTGCCATGAGACAAGGGATGAGAAACAACCCTGCCTGATAGATGCCTGTTTTGTGGGAAATTAAAGAGGCTGCTGTTCCTGCTGGGTTCACAGCCAACGGCCCAGCGGCCCCCGTCCCAAGGGGAGCCCCCAGCCCAGCCCAGCCTTTGCCCACCCACCTGCACAGCAGGAACATAGCGGTGAAGCAGGCCACGGGGTTGGCAATGTTGCTGAGCACCACGGAGAGGTGATAGGCCATGTTCCCGTAAGGCAAGCAGGAGTAGCTTTGCACGGAAGGCAGGACTCCGTTGGTCAGGGCGTTGGAGACCCCCAGCAGCACCAGCAGGTAAATGTTTCTTGCTGTCCAGAAGGCGGAAGCTGGTTGCTTGGCGGGCTCTCCGGCCGCGGCATCCTCTGTGGCATGCTTGGAGGCAGGCACGCTCTCAGACTGCAGCGGGAAAGACTCCTCCGTCTTCACGCTGTCCTGGGAAGAGCTTTTCTCCTCCGCAGGGCCGCTGCGGCTGTGCCAGAGCACCAGAGCCGCAAAGGCCAGCGCGGAGACCACCAGCAGGGCCAGGAGCATCCAGAAGTAGGTGGTGGCCGAGAAGTTCTCCTCCAGAAAGTGTGGCTGGGTGCCGTTGGTGCCGTTGCGGCACTCCAGCTGCCCCACGCCCTGGCCCAGGGCCAGCACGCAAGGGAGGAGGGCGCTGAGGCCCTGCCCAATGAAGAAGGTGCGGATGTACGGCTGGGGAAACTGGTACATGAAGGGCAGGAAGGAGACGTTGGAGGTGCAGCACACCAGGGCCAGCAGGAAGGCCAGCACCAGGAAGGCCAGGCTGTGGGGCTCACCGGCTACCACCACGATGCGGTCCCAGAAGAAGGCCAGGAAGAAGGCCGCCACCACCGCCAGGAGCTGGATCCCGTGGATCAGCCAGCGCTCCTTCAGCCGCCCGGGGGCGAAGTGGTGAGCCAGGGTCACGCTCACGGGGCCCACGTTGCCCAGGGCAATCAGGACGGTCAGGTAGGCAGGCAGGTTCCAGCCTGGGAAGAAGAAGAAGCAGCAGCAGCAGCAGCTCCATTAGGGACTTTCTGGGCGGCTCAGAAACAAGGTGACTTTGGCTATTGCATCCTCTCTCTGCAGCTGAACTCTTGCTCTCCAGTCATTCATCAACTGACACACTTCTTGCCTCCCCCCCCCCCCCGCCCCTGCCCTGCTAGAACTCTGCAGAAGCCCAACTACGGCCATTCAAGGAGGCAGCACAAGGCCAGGACATTTGTAGCGACACGTGGATAAACGTTCTCCTTTTCTGCTGGAATTACAGAACGTCCCCCGACCCGGCCACGAAGGGTCGAGCAAAGTAAGGGAGCAAGAAAGGCCTCCTTTGTCTCCCAGGCCCTGTGTCCCCCATGAGGGAGCAAGCGTGATGCCTCCACACAGACGCCAGGCAGGGCAGCTTCTGCCCAGAACAAGGAGTTCTCACAAAGAAGGGCTTATCACAGGGAGCCTCCCTGCCTTATTTTGTTTTCTAAAGGAAAGCAGCATAATCCCCTCCCTTCCCCAGGCAAGGCGGCAAAGAACAGTCTCGTTTCATTGCAATCCCTGGGTTCAGCTTGCGAAGGAAGGAGGGGCTGCCGTGGAGACGTCTGAAGTCCCTCGGCCTCAGCACTCGCTCCCCAAGGACCGGGAAGCCAAGCGTCTCCCTGAAGCTCTTCAAGAGCCTGCTGGATGCGGTCAATGACCCACCTAGACCAGCATCCTGCTCTCACAGTGGCCAGTCAGGTGCCCCAAAGGGAAACCAGGACCCGGGTGCAAGAGCAACTCTCCCTCCTGTGATTTCCAGCCCTTGGGATTCAGAAGCATCACTGCCTCCGACTGTGGGGGCAGAGCAGAGCCATCCTGGCTAGGAGCCCCCCTTCACCCTCTCCTCTGCAAGTTTGTCTCATTGTCTTCTAAAGCCAAATTGGTTGGTGGCCCCACTGCCTCCTGTGGGAAGGAGTTCCACAAGTTTATGCACTGAATAAAAAAGTACTTGGATCTGTCCTCAATCACCCAACTATCAGCTTCTGTCAGATGCTGGTGGTGGTTGCTCGTGAGTAACCAGGCAGGCAGGACTCTGACCTGGCTTTTACGGGTTTTATTGTGCAAGCTATTTACAGTGCAGATCTACCAAGTTCATGTCCGTCTCAGTCACTTGCAGAATCCGGGAGTGGCCCCTTCCGCCTTCTCCCCCAACGTAAGAACTTCGGCACCCCAAGCCTCCTCCTCCCCTCCTTGCGTTTCGCCCCTCTGCGCAAGGTGGGCAACGGAAGGGGCGTGTGTCCCTCCTGGCCAGCCTGGCGAGGTGAGGCGCTGGGGCTCTCAGCAGCATCCGCAAGCCCTTTCCTCGCTCGGCTGCCCCTTCCCCCTCTTCTCCACTGGAGGTGTGGCTTTTCCCTTCGCTGGAAGAGGAACTGCTCCTCAGGAGTTTCGGAGGCTCTCTGTATCCCAACGGCCCCCCTGCCTCCCTCCCCGGTTCTGATGGCAGTCCCCTGACAGCTTCCTTGGATGCCCACGAGTTACAGTGTTATGTGAGAGAGGGAGAAAACCCTTTCTCTATCCTCTTTCTCCATGTGTGCATAGTTTTCTAAGCTTCTATTGTGTTGTCTCTTACGCACACTCTGTTTGCATGTCTTTAAGAGGAGAAACCCGTCCCAAGTCTTATGGCTTGCATGGAGGCAGCCTCGGAGAGGGGCCAGCCCCTCACTCTGGACTTTTCAGAAGCATGGCAACAGCAGTTTCTGGTGCCTCTGAGCATCTGCAAGCGAGAAGCTGGCTACTTTTCCACAGGGGGAGGAGAGGCACCTTGAACGTCAGCTTCCAGGTCCAGCCAAAGTGGGTGGGGCCTTGCCATATGCTTCCAGAGCCCAGCAGGGGCTGCAGCCTGTGGAGTCTCCCCAGCCAGAACACCAAAGCCCCTCCCAAGGCCAGGAAAGAGGTGGCATTGTCCAGGCACACCCCTCCAGGCCCTCCTCCTTTGTCCTGCCCCTCAAGAGCTTGGCTGATCCCTCTCGCCCCTTCCTGCCTCCCCACAGGAGCAGCTTCCTTCCTGCTGCAGCCAAGGCTCCTTCCCTCCCGCCAGAGGGGCCAGCCAGCCCCCAGCCCCTGCTCCTCACCTTCTGGCAGCAGTTTCACCACGACGGGGAGCTCCACCCACAGGGAGTTCACGGAGACCCAGGAGCCCATCCCAAAGAGGGCCACGAGGACGTGGGAGACGATGGCCCGGCTGCTCAGCGAGGCCGACATCCTCTTTGCCTGGGGAGGGAGAGGGAGGGAGGACAGACGACTCAGTGGGATCTTCACCTTCGGCTGCAAAGGAATCCAAACTGCCCACATGCCACCCCGGCCTCGCTGGTCCCTCCCCTCCTTCTGTTCTCTCCTCACTGGCAAACACTAGAGCAGCCACCCCAAGAGGGATATATTGGAGCAGAACCACCACAGGAGGGCAGGTTCTGGTAACCTCTTGGCCAGACGACTGCAATACGCCCTGGAAGATGACCCGGAAGCTGCAGGCGGTGCAAGATGTGGCAGCCAAGATGCTGACAGGTGTCCCTGATCTTTAAAGATCTACAGCGACTGGCTGTTTGCTACCAGGGCCAATTTAAGGTGTTGATGCTGGAGTTTAAAGGCCTGTATGGCGGGCTGGGACGGAGTGCCTCTGTTCTAATCTGCTGGCCTTCATGCCTTCAAGTCTGCAGCAGTGACCAACCAATATACCGTAGTTTCACAGTTAAGAGCCCGGAGAGGGGCCTCCATGGTCATGGAACCCAGGGGTGGCGTTTCCGCCTTGTTGTTTTTGGAGTCAGCAAATGCATACCTGCCCTTCCTGGCATTTGGGGAAGGCTGAGCTGAAGAACTGCTCTCTTCTAATGCAAGACTGATGTAGTATTATTATTATTACTATTAGCAGCAGCAGCAGCAACCACAGGGCGGTTCACAAGATCCATTAAATGTGTCATACTTTAAGCTTTAGTTTTTTGTTTTTAAAAAGAAAGTAATTTAGCTGTGTACTGCCCTGCAAGACCAGAGGTTGAAGGGCAGGTTAGAAGAAGAAGAGTTTGGATTTGATATCCCGCTTTATCACTACCCGAAGGAGTCTCAAAGCGGCTCACATTCTCCTTTCCCTTCCTGCCCCACAAGGTGAGTGGGGCTGAGAGACTTCAGAGAAGTGTGACTAGCCCAAGGTCACCCAGCAGCTGCAGGTGGAGGAGCAGGGAAGTGAACCCGGTTCAGCAAATTATGAGTCCACCGCTCTTAACCACTAGACCACACTGACCAGGGTTCGAAACCCTGCTCCACCCTGAAGCTCACTGGCTGACCAGTCATTATCTCTTAGCCTAACCTGCCTCACAGGGTGATTGTGAGGATGAAATGGGCAGCAGGAGAACCATGCAGACCACCTTGAGCTCCCTGGGAGATAAAGGTGGTATGGAAATGAAATAAATAAACAAACAAACAAACAAGAAACACATCAGAACATGTAATGGGAGAATCTAGAGAGGGTGTGGATGTGAAGAGTAGGGTATGAAGAAGAGAAGAGTTTGGACATGATATCCCACTTTATCACTACCCGAAGGAGTCTCAAAGTGGCTAACATTCTCCTTTCCCTTCCTCCCCCACAACAAACACTCTGTGAGGTAAGTGGGGCTGAGAGACCAGAGAAGTGTGACTGGCCCAAGGTCACCCAGCAGCTGCATGTGGAGGAGCGGAGACGCGAACCTGGTTCCCCAGATTAGGAGTCTACCGCTCTTAACCACTACACCACGCTGACTCTGGTTATAAATGGAATGACTAAATCTGATGGCCTCAGCCAGGCTGGCTGGGGCTGGAGGGAGCTGCAGTCCAAAACATTTGGAGGGCATCAGGCTGGGGAAGGAAGATTTAGGCAGCGTTTCTCAAACCTGGGTCTCTAGCAGGACCATTGGTTGGCCATGATTGGAGTTGTAGTCCAACAACAGCTGGAGACCCAAGTTTGAGAAGCACTGGTTTAGAGTGCAAGCTCCTTGGGGCAGAGCCTCCCTCCCTCCAAGCACACAGCTTTACGCTGCAGTAAAGCACCATGGGGCAGGGAGGGCACTGTGTGAATCCCTCCTGCCTGCTTGCACATAGGATACTCAGAGGCCTGCAGAATGCCTGGCAGGGCACACTATGCTCTGCTTCAGGAAGCACGTGCGAGCCTGCTCCGTGGGGACAACTGACTTTTGGAACCAAGAGGAATGGAAAGTCCAGAGCAACGCAGCTTTTACCTTGAGTGAAGACAGCCAGTCCGGAAATCTGAAGCAGGGCTGTATCTTGCAGCATAAGCAATGCCAGGAGACTTTATGGGACAACACTAGCCATCCCTAGAGGGAGGGGAGGAAATGAACCTCTATTTAATCAGAGGCCCAATGCGCAGATGATGAGCGGAAGCCTTTTTAAGCAGAGCCAGAGCCTTGGCCTATCTAGTCTGAGAACATCCAGTTTGGCAGTGGCCCTACCAGGGCTGAGAATGGGCAGAGAGACTTTGGCACCACCTCCTCTCCTCTACAACCCATTTTTAAACTGGGGGCTGAATGTGGTGCTTGCTGCGTGCAGGAAGGATTCCCAAGTTTCTGCACCCAAAATAAATCAAGCAAACAAATGCAATTTAGACAAGAATTCTCGCTTGCCTGCAGCTGCACTCTGAATCCAACATTAAGAGGTGGCGGCGTATTCTACTTTTCAAGAGCAGTTGTTTGAAAGAGCAGAAGGCCACAACCAGAGTGATACTATAAAAACTCAGGTAGCCAAGATCTCCCTCCTTATCTGAGATTTTCCAGCAAGCAAAACATAAAATCAATACAAAACGAAGTAATCAGTATAAGACAATATAACACATTCTCTACAGAAACCAAGCAAAACCACTGGAAACAAATCCAGCTTCCAGTTAGTACTTCTGTCTTTCCAAATATGTTGCTGAATGTACACCACTTACCTTATTATTATTATTAAACAAAAGATGATGTGCTGGGAATCAGCTTCTGTGTAGAAAGAATCACAGACCGGCAGTTAGCGGCTCTCTCTTTCGTGTCCTTCCGTGGTCGGCGTGGGGGAAGATGAGGATGGCCACCTGGGCATGAGGCTGCGTGGACAGAGTAAGGAGGGGTCCGAGTCAGAGGACTGCTCTGAACTGCTGAGTCAGCTCTTGAAGGGGAAAAGCGGCTCAGTGGCTGCCTGGGAAAAGAGAAGCCGAGCCCTTTGCGCCTACGAGAAAGGGCTCCTGTCCTTTGCTGCCTGGCTGGTCTGACCAGTTGGGTCACCCACGGCAAGGAGGTGCTCCAAGGCCTCCAGTGAGTCGAAGGAGGCAGGCGGAAGATAGGAAGCTGCAGTCTGCCTGGCTCAGTTATCTCGCCTACACTGACTGGAAGCAATGGCTCTCCAGGATTTCAGGCTCTGCTCTCTTGGTCCTCCCTACAAATACCACTGGGATTTGAACATGGGACCTTCTGCATGCAAGGCAGAGATGCCCTGGCGCCGAGCTATGGCCCTTTCCCTTCCGGAAGGTGCCCTCGTTTGCTGTTTGGTGCACCACCATGGTTTCTGGTTTTGATGTGTCCTCTTCCTCCTCCAGTGAATTGCAATCCTGTGCGCCTCTACCTCTCTCTGCCTTTCAGACACACACTCACACAAGTTTCCTCCTTGGATAATATTTTAAAAATAAGAACTGATAAGATGGCTTCACTTTTACCATAAGGTTGTAGTGATCAAACACCCTGCATTTAATAACAGGAGTGAAAAATTCATAGCTGAGAAGTTCAAAAAGCCTCAGCTCATTTTAAGCGAAGGCTCTGCACGAAAACGCAGCACAAAACAGGGTTCTTTCCTGCCCACTGACACCCTGATTTGCCACCCCAATAAAACCTTACCTTTGAGGAGGGTGTGTAATCAGCAATGAAGAGACAAGAGGGGCGTTTCTTGACTTTCCTTATCTAGAAGTGATGCTCCTAAGCATCATTTTCTGACAAGGAGCATGAAATTGTAAATTCTTTGCCAAGGAGCATGACACTGCAGATTTCTCTGCAAGTCTATTCCATGCAACTGACTTGCAGCTAATGATCTGTTATGTATTTTGTAGTTACTTACATAAGTGGAAATCATTAAAGGTGCCTTACTTGGAAATATAACAGGCAGAGCAGTGGTTGCAGTGAACTTTACTTCTGAAATATGGCACTTAATGGCGTAACAAACTAAAGGGTAGCTGCAATTCCCCTTAATTACATGCATAGGCATCACTACAGGATATGCTAACATGCAATGACATGATGCACAATTAAGTTCCAACCCTCTAGGTTAGCCTTGTAAATAAGCTCACAAACCTTACTAGCCGGATTTTTTTATTTACTAGACTGCTTGTGGCTGCCAGAGGGGGAACACAGATAATAATTATTATTATTTCTACCCTGCTAGATTTCCCCAGGCATTCTGGGCGGCTTTCAACAGAACATTAAAAACAGAACAAAACTTCATACATTGAAAACTTCCCTAAAGAGAGCTGCATTTTGATGCTGGTTTTTCCTCCAACAACAACCTGCTTGGTTTGTAGGCAGAGGAAGGGCAGGGAGTTCCTTTCCTCCTCCATTTACTTGTCTGCATCCAATTCCTGGCTTCCGGGCTTCTGCTTAAAGACAAGGCGGCTGTAGGGTTTGCCTAACCTCTGAGCGCAGGGGTTGGGAACCTGATCTGGCTGATAGGCGAGGGTCAGATTCAATGACCTGTGATTAAGAATTCAAGCACGGTGATTATCACGGGGCTTGCAAAGAGCCCAAAGAGCCCTGCTTGATGCTTTGAAAAGCCTCTGACCCTGTGGGCTGGAAGGCACTTCCAGCCTGCTTTGTGTAGTGACTGTCTGTGCAATCTCGGGGAACTTGATGAAAGTTGTGGGAAGGGTGGAAACAGTCTCGGGGGACAAACTGGGACCCACATGAGACCATACTTGGCCTGGTGGCTGGAGGTTCCCCACCCCTGTTGGATGACATACTTCTGAATGAGTAAAAGACAGACAGACTAAACGACTGGAAAGAAAGCAAGTGTGGATCTGAGTTTATATCACTTTGCCATGCACTCAGTATTCAATTTGATCTTAAAGGCCTGTGGCATCCTGAGTTCTGTCCTTATTGTCAGGAGGTTCCAGTTCTGTCTGCCAGAAAAGGCTATAGGATCCTGCAACTGGAGTTTCTCCTGCGCTAACAGCCCCTTCCCCCAGCATCCTGTGCGTACATGGAGAGGGAGGAACAGGACTAGGCATCCCCACTGTCTATAGCTTCAGACTTCTGCATGCAAAGTGGGAAGGTCTGAAGAGGGAAGTTATTGCATCAGAAATCCACTAGGGTTTCTGATGACATGGGAGGATGGCAAGCTGAACCTGCAGAGATCCTCGCTTCAGATCTCCCTTCTGTACGTGCAAAGGTTGGAGGTGGAGTTGGTTGAGGTGGGGTTAGGACTTGTGCATGCGGCCTCGCTCTTCCCACCACACATTCTGAGAACATGTCAAGGCAAATGCTCCTACTCTCTGAATAAACTATGTTCCCTTCAGCCAAGGAGACGGATTGCTAAAGAGAGACCGTTCCAGCTGTTCTTGCAAAAGCAACGGTCTCAAAGGAACCAAAATGTTCCCCTCAGTTTCCCCCCAACTTGAATAAGAAAAACCCCCTCCGAACTTTACAAAAATGCATGCTGGGACGTTAATGCCACCACTCCCATGTTGGCACAGCCCAATGTAATTCCCCTCCATTTTCCATGATTGTTTACTGTTCCAGAACCACCACCTGTTCCCTGCCTAATCAGCGCAGTGCTCTCCAAGTGATGTGTACCAGGCAGTGTTAGAAACGGAGACACAAAAGCCAGGAGCTAAAGGGCACCTTAAACCAAGGTTAAGGACACCACAACGGAATGTCTAGGCATGCATTTTTATATCAAGAATACACAGCTGAAAATCAATGAACTGCAGCTAAAATATTGTGTTCATTTTTCACATGGTCTGGTCATTCCTCTGCCCACCCCCCTAATATTCCTAAGAGGGTCTCTTCTCCAGTCTTCAGAGAGGAGCTGGAAGTGAGGAGGCAGAAAAAGGTCCTCCTTTCCTTCCACTCTGCAGTTTTACTCTGAAATCTCAGTCGCAGTACTGCACCCAGAGCTCAGAAACTGCTTGCACTAAATTCCCTGTGGCAAAACGCACCTAGAATAATGGGAGTTTCAGACCCTGGTATGAGGCACCTGGATTTGCAGATGAAAGCAGAGGAGGACCTTGGCCTGCTCAAAGAAGCCCCTTGTTCAGGAATAGCTGATGCTCCAGCACAGCTTCCCTTCACCAAAACAAGTTTGCCTTAGAAGGGAAAATGGCAGGTAGGCTGCCTCGCCTACCATGGAGCACGTTTCATCCTGCCTGAAAGGAACAGAAATTGGGAGTATGTCCAATTCCATAATGGCACCACAAACATCTGCTCTCCCTGCCAAAATCCAGCTCCAACAGACAAGAAGCTGCCCCCACCCCACGGCACTTTTAAAATTTATTTCTGCACATTCTAGGGATGGGCCTCATCTGCATAAATAAGTTGAACAACGCTCTCTTGCATTCCTGCCTGAAACATTCCCAACTGCCAACGTCGAGAGAGGCAGAAAGAGAAAGGGAAGGGAAAAAAAAAATCCTTCCAGTAGCACCTTAGAGACCAACTAAGTTTGTTATTGGTATGAGCTTTCGTGTGCATACACATTTCTTCAGACACACTGAAACAGAAGTCACCAGACCCTTATATATAGTGAGAGGGGTATTACTCAGAAGGGTGGTGGGAATGGGTGACTGGCTGATAGGTGTGGTAAACTTGTTGACGACTTCTGTTTCAGTGTATCTGAAGAAGTGTGCATGCACACAAAAGCTCATACCAACAACAAACTTAGTTGGTCTCTAAGGTGCTGCTGGAAGGATTTTTTTTATTTTGTTTAGACTACGGCAGACCAACACGGCTACCTACCTGTAACTAGAAAGAGAAGAGGTACAGAAACCTTACCTTCCACCAGTCTCAGGCGCAAACCCTTCTGGGAGACTGCAGAGGGAGAAGCATCACTTCTGAGGTCGGCAACCAAGGAAGAGGACGGAAAGTTCAAGCGATGTCACAGCAACACCGGCTGACTTCTCCCGGGTCAAGGAACCTGGAAGCACAGAGCCTATCAGCCGCAGAATTGAAAGCACGCATGTGCTGCTGGAATGGAAGTGGTGACCAGAGTCGAATTCCTGCTCAGCTTGATGGCCTTGGACAGGTCCCTGTCTCCTTCTGCACAAACGGTGGTCTTCCTGGTGCTGTTGGACTCCAGCTCCCATCTGCTTCAGCTAGAACTGTCCATGGTCAGAGCAGGTAGGAGTTGGAGTGTATCAATACCAGGAGGGCCACGTATGTTCCTTATACTTGCCTTAAGAATAAGGCTAAGATGCACATGCAAGACGCAAGACCAAAAGGGTAACTCACTCTTCCAATGCATGTCCTCCTTCCCCTGCACTCTCCTCCAGCCAAATCTTCATTGTGGGGTACTACAAAACAGAGGAGTTCTCATCAATCTCTCCAGATTCTCTTAATGCCCTCTGCAATTCTCGTACTTGCCACCTCCAACAAGCCATTAAGCTAATTTCTCTAATATCCTCAGCACCTAAGTCAGGACATCCCTGCTCCCATCAGTCTTTCTCTAAACCAGGCAGCTGCAAGCTCCCCAGTAGCACAACAGCAGCAGCAGACTTTGCTCCTCATCCCTTAAGTTACTCATTGCCCTTTACAACTCCAAGTGAGAACTTTATCAAGAGCTTCCAAACAGGAAAGGGAGTAAGTCTGCTGCAGCAAAAACAAAGAATATTTCTACACTTTGAAGTCTAAGAGGCACAACACAAGGGATGAAAGAAAAGGGCCTTCCATGATTTAGCACCTGGGCAAAGAATAGGAAGCAGATGGTAGGAGTAAGCAGACAGGTCCCACAATGGAGGGAAGTAAGAAGCTGAGCCTCTAGCCTAGAGGTTCTGTGCTTTTGAACTTGTATGTAACTTATCTGGAGCCAGGAGTGAGCAGCAGAGTGACCTAGTCTGTAGATAACAACAAATTATTCAGGATGGCAAAAGGCCAAGTGGCCTTCAGAGAGCTCCAAAAGCCCCTCTCTAAAGTGGGTGAATGGGCATTAAAAGGGCAAACACCCCCCCAACCCCTTCGTGTACACAGTCCTGGGGTCTGAACAGGCAGTGACTGACCAGGAAAGAGATGGGTAACTCAATGAAAATGTCAAATTAATATGCAATAGCTCAGGGTGAGGGAGAAGGAAAGTTCTGTGCTCGGTGTTATCAGGAAAGGTACCGAAAACATGACGGTCAGAATCTTGGCTTTACACAAATCTACGGTGTGACCACACAGGGAATAATGTGTACAGTTCTGGTTACATGTCAAAAAATGAATTGTAGATGCAGAAAGGGCAGCCAGTGTGACCAGGGGCAAAGAACACCTTCCCTACTAGGAAAGATTAAAGCGCTTGGCATGTGTGCCTCGTGTTAGTTTAGAAAGGGAAAAAAAGATTAAGGAAAGCCATGATTGCTTGCAAAATTATGCATAGCGTAAAGAAGGCGGACAGAGATAGGTTTTTCTCCCTCTCTCATAATTTCAGAATTCAGGCCAGCAAAATTGATTTCAGTGCAGACAAAATCCAGAATTAAGTTATGGAACTCGGTGCCCTCAGAAGAGGCAGTGGCTACAGGCTTAGGCAGCTTTGAAAGGGGATTAGACAAATTCACGGAGGGTGGCAGAAATATTACTGGCCATGAGCCGTTCTGTCTAAACAGAACCTCCATGTTCAGAAGAACTATACCACTGAATATCGATGACTGTGCTGTCAGGTGGGGAAAGCAAACAGTCATTATTATTATGATTATTATTATTCTTCATGACATTTCTATCCTGCCTGGTCCCTGAGGGACAAAGGGCGCTGCGCCAGGCAGACTTTGCCTCTGCTCCGGCCCTTCCCCGGCCTCCCTCCTGAAGGACCTTCCCCGGGAGCCTGTCCCGGCCTGACCCCGCGGAGCCGGCCGGCTTCCTCCCGCTCCGGAGGGCAGGACCCGAACCCAGGGCTTCAGGGGACACCGCGAAGCCCTTTCGCAGGGCCGGGGGCTCTCCCGACTCGGAGGCTGTCACGGGGGCCCAGCTGGATGACCTCGAGGGGTCCCGGCCTGCCGGAAAGCCAAGACTCTCCTCGCCTCCAAGGGGTCTCCTCACAAGCCGGAGTCTCCCGCCCCGAGGGAAGGTGGGTCTCGGGGGGGGAGGGAGACCTCGAGGAGCGGCGCCGTTGACCCGGGAAGCCCCCCCCCCCCAGCTCCCCGCGCTCCCGGGCGACTCACGTGCTGCCGGCGGCGTTGGCGGCGACCGGGACGCAGCCTGAGGCCCCGCCCCCGCCGGAAGCCCCGCCCCTTCCTCCCGGAGCCCCGCCCCGGCTGAGGGGACGCGCCGGAAGCCCCGCCGGACAGGTAAGCGCGTGGCGGGCCTCCGCTCGGCCCCTGTCCCGGCAGCCCCCGCGCCGACGCGCTCCTTCCCACAGTGCCCCGCGGCGCCTGGGTCGCTCCCCTCCATCTCCCCCCTCAGGAGCAGCCCAGCCCCTCCGCGGCTCTTTCCCAGCATCCCCTGCGCCCGGGCTGCCTTCCCACAATGCCCCGCGGCGCCTTGGCCTGGGTCGCTCCCCTCAGGAACAGCCCAGCCCAGCTCTTTCCCAGCATCCCCTGCGCGCCTCTCAGCCCGGGCTGCCTTCCCACAATGCCCCGCGGCACCTGGGTCGCTCCCCTCCATCGCCCCCCCTCAGGAGCAGCCCAGCCCCTCCGCGGCTCTTTCCCAGCATCCCCTGCGCCCGGGCTGCCTTCCCACAATGCCCCGCGGCGCCTGGGTCGCTCCCCTCAGAAACAGCCCAGCCCAGCTCTTTCCCAGCATCCCCTGCGCGCCTCTCAGCCCGGGCTGCCTTCCCACAATGCCCCGCAGCGCCCTTGACCGAGGGAGCAGCTCCTCCTTCCCAGAGTCCTCTGGGCTCCCTTGGTCCATCTCTGAGGGGCTGCGGGAAACAAGAGCTGCCCTTTCCCCCTTATGGGGGGTCCAAGAGGCCCTATAGAGCCCTTTGGAGGTTCTCCCATCGGTCAGAGAAAATAACAGAGGCCAAGCAGAGAATATTGCTAGGAAGCCTGATTTTTATTGATCTGTTGCAACAGGGTCCTCACTCACCACACGCAGGAGGGAGGAGGACCCAGAACCAAGGCGTGCCCGCCCCTAAATAGACATTTTAAATTCCTTGCCCTGGAGCTCAAGACCACCCTCCACAAACATCATACCTACGTCACAGAAAAGGTGGTCTACAGCAGAAATTTGAATGCCCTATAGGCATTTATTATTATTATTATATTTATTTATACCCCTCCCATCTGGCTGGGTTTCCCCAGCCACTCCATTGGCATTCGGCAGGAAAGGGGGCTCTGGAAGGCGGCTTCAGCCCGCTTGTGCCATGGCAGCAGGAAGCCTGTATTTCTCGGTGGTTCAGGTGTGACCATAATAAAGAAGGGGGTGGCTTCTTGCTCTAGGCAAGGCCGGTCAGAGTCAGACCTTAGACTTCCTTGAATGTGGAGAAGATTCTAGTTGCAAATAGGAGCTGTGAGGTGGAAGCCCCAGCTCAGCTGAGCCATAAGCTCATGATGTGGCCTTAAGCAAGTGCCATGGACACATGTGTGTTTGTGCGCACACACACAGCGTGGGAATAATGAGACAGGCCTGCTTTATGACTTACTGAAATAGTACATTTCAAGGACTTGGATAACTTGGGGGAAAGAACTGTACAGTGGTACCTCTGGATACGAACGGGATCCGTTCCGGAGCCCTGTTCGCATCCTGAAGTAAACATAAGACGCATCTGCACGGGTCGTGTTTCGCCGCTTGTGCGCATGAGCGTGATGTCATTTTGAGCATCTGCGCATGCGTGAACGGCGAAAGCTGGAAGTAACACGCTCCGTTACTTCCAGGTCGCCGCGGAGCGCAACCCGAAAATACTTAACTTGAAGTTACTTCAACTCGAGGTATGACTGTATAACCACCAGGGGTATATAAATTCTGTTATCCCTTCTTGCCACAATGGTTGTTCTTTCACGTTTCCCCAGGAAGAATTCACTGGACACCCCCTTATGATCATAAATGAGACGGCCAGCATGGATGAGAAGCCTGGAGGGAGTGAGCTGTCTCCAGGGATGCCCCCCTCCTCTCTGCGACGGGTTCCCCGCAAGAGGGGGGCAGAAGTGAGTGGGAAGGCGGGGCTTGCCAGCCAGGTCCCAGCAAAGAAGAAGAAGAAGGCGGCTCGCAAAGCCCCTCGGAGAGTTGCGCCTCATTACCTTGTGCACGAGACGGACAATGACATGCTGCTGATAGTTTCCAACGTGGAGGAGGCACGGCAGCGGCCGCTCCGGAAAGTGCCCAAGAAGAAAGGGAAGCAGAAGCAGCAGAAGAAGAGATTGAAGAAGCAGGCGCTTCCACACGGGAGGAAACGCGTAAAAGGAGAGACTTTGGCAAACCGGCATGTGGCTGCTGAGGATCTAGGGGGAGAAGAAAGCAAGGCACTCCCCCTCAGCACCCAGCCAGCAACTGGAAGTTCCTGGGGCGAGTGCCTCCCAGTGGAGATCCTGGTCCAGATATTCCACCATGTTGTGGCATCGGAAGGCTCAGTGCCGTTCCTCTGTAGGTAAATGGAGCGCTGGCGCCACAGCCAAGGGGCAGGAAAGCATCTTGCCTGAGGAGAAGCAAGAGGTCCCACAGAGCAGCCTTTGTCAACCTGGTGCTGGCTTCGTGGTTTGGACTGTGCTGTGCGGGCTGGGACTGATGGGAGTTGTTGTCCCAAACATCTGGAGGGCACCAGCTTGGCAAAGGCAGCCATAGAGCATGCATTATTTTGCCAGATTACTCACAGTGAGTACCTGTAATGCCCAGTGGCCCTGTGAGACGTGACAGTCATTACTGGTTTTATCTCTAGGGTGGCTCGCGTGTGCCGTCTCTGGTATGGAGCGGCTTCCAACCCTGTGCTTTGGCAGAAGGTGACTGTTGGCCACTGCTGGGTTGCCCCAGGCCAGAAACATTCTGTTCTAGAGAAGAAAGTCCTAGACACAATGGGGTGGCTGGTTGCCAACCGGTGAGTATTTGCTTTTCTTTGTGGGGGATACAGTCTTTGTATGTGAGGAGCATAAGTCACCTGCCAGATTTCACCGCCTTTTCTTTGGCAGTGACTCTGTGGCTTCCCTATCCATCTCCCTGCTCCTCTGGAGCCTATATGCAACAGGTCTGGAACGCAGAATCATTTTATGCTCTTGCTCCTTGCAGGTTTTCTCACCTCCGAGACTTTGCTCTTTGCCACTGGAAAAGCCATGTGCCTTTTGTCCTGAAGGTGGGTGAGGCTACTGCAATCTTAAGCCTTTTTAAAGGTAAAGGTAAAGGGACCCCTGACCATTAGGTCCAGTCATGGACGACTCTGGGGTTGCGGTGCTCATCTTGCTTTACTGGCCGAGGGAGCCGGCGTACAGCTTCTGGGTCATGTGGCCAGCAGGACTAAGCTGCTTCTGGCGAACCAGAGCAGCGCACGGAAACGCCGTTTACCTTCCCGCCAGAACTCTACCTATTTATCTACTTGCACTTTGACATGCTTTTGAACTGCTAGGTTGACAGGAGCTGGCACCGAGCAACGGGAGCTCACCCCGTCGCGGGGATTTGAACCGCCAACCTTCTGATCGGCAAGTCCTAGGCTCTGTAGTTTAACCCACAGCACCACCCGCGTCCTTTTTACTGGCATGCAAAAACCCGAATTTTGGAAGCGGGCAAAAGATGCAAAACAAGACGACTGCTACCGTTTTGTTTAATTTTTGTGATACAGTGCTGTGTTTTTCCTTAATGTATAGAGCACATTGATGCCGGAGGCAAGGTATATTCTGCCAGCTAATCTCCCTTTCCTGTCCCGGACTATTTAGGCAATTGGCAAATCCTGCCCACTCCTTGCATCTCTCAAGCTGTCCCATTGCCGTGGGGTGACCACGGAGTCTCTGTGCACACTGGCTGGATGCTGCCTGCAACTGGAAAGCCTGAACTTGCAGAATTCTCAGGTGAGTGATGGCTGTGCTCAGCAACTGCAAGGTAGTGTCTCAAGGAGAGGGCAGAGTTCCTGGATCCCACTGCCTTCTCTTGTAGATGTTCAGCTGCAGATTGGTTGCACTATTGAGCTCCATAACCGATGTCTCTCTTCTGCGTTTCCAGGTTGACCCTTCGGCCGTGGTCAGCTTTCTGGAAGCTGCTGGCTCTCGGATCCGCCATTTATGGTTAACGTACAGCAGCCGGCTGAATGCCATTTTTTCTGTGCTTTTGGTAAACATAGCTGAAACCCCATGGAGGGGTTGGCTTGTCACAGAATAGCTATTGTACACAATCTTGAATCTCTGGCTGGGGAGCAGTCCTCCCTGAGGGGGCAGCTCACAAATGATGGAGTTGGAGAGGGTGCATAGTGCATTTAGTTCAGCCCCCTGGGATTCAGTGCAGGACATGCAGAACTGAAACACCCCCAGCAGATGCAATCCTTAGGCTGTGCTTGAAAACCTTTCCATTTTTTGGAAAGAAAGTGCTTTGCAGTCTCTCGTTCAGTTGGCCTCATAGTAGCACTTTTGTTCCTAAGGTTAGGGTTGGAGAGAGAGTGTGGTCCAAGGGGTAGAGCCTTGGCTGTAGATCTGGAAGAACCAAGGTAACAGAATTGCTTATCCAATGGACTCTCAGGGTCCTGTTGCATTTGTCATGTACCTCTCTTCCTGGGTGGCCAACTCCATAGAGTTGTAAAGACTGATGAGGGGGTGCAATGTGCACAAAAACTTTGCCCATTAGGAGCATTGTATAAAAATGTAATGAGTTTAATGATGTGTAGTTGGAGTACTGCAGCTCACATCCAAAAAGGAAGTCCCTTCTGGAGGTTTTGTGGTGCATATTTTTTCAGTTTGTTCAGCTTGAGGATGTGAAAAAGATCCTAGGAAAGTTTGAGGCAAACCACCCGAATGCTTGACTCTTGTCCACCCTAGCAGCTTAAAGCATTTAGTTTATCCAAGCCCCCCTCCCATGAACTTGTCAATGGAAACACTGGGTGTAAATGTATTTATTCTTAAACCGGGAATTGGGGGGGGGGGCGCAGAGGCTGCATCTCCCATCAACCCTAACCATTGGCCATGTGGCTGAAGCCAATGGGAGTTGGATGTCCAACATCTGGTGTGCCACGAGTTAAATAAAAAGGTGCCAGAATGGGATTGACTAAATGGGTTCACAAGGTAGGAAATGTCTCTTTATCATAAGGGGAGATACCGGAGAAGAAAGTTGTGAACCCTTATTCTTTTTGAGCTGCATTGGCTCACAGTCAGTTTCCGGCCCCAGTTCAAAATGCTGTTTTTTACTTCTAATCATGTACAACCTCCAGAATGAATTAAGTTCGTAACTAGAGGTACCACTGTATTAAGAACAGCTTTGGCTCAGGGTGTCTGAAGGAACACTTCCTGGCATATGGTAATAATAATAATAATAATAATAATAATAATAATAATAATTTATTATTTATACCCCGCCCATCTTGCTGGGTTTCCCCAGCCACTCTGGGCGGCTTCCAACAGAACACTAAAATACAATAACCTATTAAACATTAAAAGCTTCCCTAAACAGGGCTGCCTTCAGATGTTATTTTTCTCTTTGACATCTGGTGGGAGGGCATTCCACACAGCAGGTGCCACTACCGAGAAGGCCCTCTGCCTGGTTCCCTGTAACTTGGCTTCTCTCAGGGAGGGAACCGCCAGAAGGCCCTCGGCGCTGGACCTCAGTGTCCAGGCAGAACGATGGGGGTGGAGACGCTCCTTCAGGTCTACTGGGCCAAGGCTGTTTAGGGCTTTAAAGGTCAACACCAACACTTTGAATTGTGCTCAGAAACATTCTGGGAGCCAATGTAGGTCTTTCAGGACTGGTGTTATGTGGTCTTGGCGGCCGCTCCCAGTCACTAGTCTTGCTGCCGCATTCTGGATTAGTTGTAGTTTCCGGGTCACCTTCAAAGGTAGCCCCACATAGAGCGCATTGCAGTAGTCCAAGCGAGACTGATCACCAGCTGAGATCTTTAGAGAAAGCTTGACTTCATACCCCACTGTTGTCTGAGGCTAGGCTGGTGGGCATGCAGGATCAGACCTTCTCATGGAATCTAGGTTTTAACTAGTCCTGCTGGACCCCAGGGCCATTTTCGGTTGTCATTGATATCTGACTTTGCTTTCCAGAATGGCAGCTGCCCAGAACTGCAGCTTCTAGAGGTGAACACAGAGATAGAGCAAAGTACACAGCACTTCCAGCTTCCGATTGAACAGCTTCAAGTAGCTTGTCCACAGCTGCAGGTGTGTCTGGATTAACTGGGGTTGCGGGGCTGCCTTCTCTTCTTCTGAGATGTGTAACAGGGAGGCCTTGGAGCACCCCACAGTCGCCTAACCTTGACTCCCTTGGGTTCAGGTCGGGGGTCACAAGCAAGAGACTTCAGCCAGGCCAGGGAAATACCGTATTTTTGGCACCATAGGGCGCACCTAGTTTTTAGAGGAGGAAAACACACAAAAAAATATTCTGAATCAAATGTTGCACTAAACTATTTAAAGCAGCAAAGCGGGCGGCTCCTGTCCGCTTTGCTGCTTTAAGCTGAGCCTCAGAGGAGGGTAGGAAGGGGAACCATGGCTTATCTAAGTCCAGTTCATAATGCTGAGCCTGACTTAGGGCCATCGAGATTAGACTGGCCGAAATCTGGGGAGGCTGAGGTGGACTTTCCAGTGGTCAAAGTGTGGTTGTGTCTTCCTGCCCGGCATCTATTTCCTGCCCTCTTTCCCCCCTGCACCCCTGCACCCTGCTTCAAGGGAAGGAAGCGGAGCCATGGATCCTCTGCTCGCAACTGCAGTGGATTCCCTCCACTTTGAAGCAGGAAAGTGGGAGAGGAGCTGCTTACACGAGCGTAAGCTGCTCCCCTCCCACTTTGCTGCTTCAAAGGGAGCCCAGGAGGAGGGAATCCGCTGCAGCCACGAGCAGCGGAGGATCCATGGTCCCCTTCTTTACCTCCTCTGTGGTTGCTTGAAGCAGGAAGGTGGGAGAGGAGCTGCTTACACGAGTGTAAGCTGCTCCCCTCCCACTTTGCTGCTTCAAAGGGAGCCGGGGAGGAGGGAACCCGCTGCAGCTTCCCCCACCTCCCGGAGAGCCCGCAGAAGCCGTGAGCTCTTTAAAGGGGCTGCGCGGCTTCTCCTGGCTTTTCTGGGAGGTGGGGGAAGCTGCAGCGGATTCCCTCCTCACTTTTTCCCTCCTGGGGAAAAGCCCGCAAGAGCGCACGAAGCTTGTGTGCGGCTCTTGGGGGCTTTTCTCACCTGCCTCCCCCCTGCATTCGCTCCATAGGATGCACACACATTTTCCCTTGCTTTTTAGGAGGGAAAAAGTGCATCCTATGGTGCGAAAAATACGGTAGCTCTGTATCGTATGCGAGTGAGTGAATGGTTTGGTAATGTGCAGCGGAGACTCTTTGTCTTTGCTTTGTGGTATGGAGAGGCAAGCCTGGGGGGGTGGGGGAGGTCTCCCCCCTTCCAATTATCCGGTAACAGATGGCGTGGCTTGGCTTTCTTGCTTGAGTCACCTGGAGTTTTTAACCGCTCCACAGATGCACGGTGGGTGTGGCTTTATTTGTTGGTATGTCTGAGAGAGGAACTCATGTGGGAAGATTCTCCCTCGGGGCAGGGATTTGGGTTTGGTGTCTCCTTGCCCTGTGGCTGATGAGTAACTCAGAGCTCAGGGCTGCCCTCCTCACCCTCCTGTTCTGCTTGTTCCTTCCAGGTCTTGCGCTTGCTCAACCTCATCTGCTACCCAAAGCCCATTCCCCGCGCGGCTCCCACTTCCCCTGGCTTCCCACAGCTGCAGGAGCTGTGCCTGGCCACAACCTCTTTCTCCTTTGTCGACGACAGCATGCTGAAACGGATCCTGTGCACTTCGAGCCGACTCCGTGTGCTCGACCTGCGCGGCTGCTTCCGTGTCACCCCCAAGGGGTTGGAGCTGCTGCCCTGTCCAGGTGGGTGTGGAAGGATCTGTCACCTCTGTGTTTTCTAGGCCACTTTCTGGGCAGCCTAGTCGTCATCCCATCACTCATGCTCATACTTACCTTTGTTGGCAAATCTGCTTGTTTAAAGCAGGGCCTGGCTCAGTCATTTGTAGCATGTGGTTTGGGACTCCTCCTTTTAGGAGCTCCCTTAGGCTGAGTTGTATCATTACCTAATACTGCTGGGCTGCTGCCTGGGGGAATAAGGTCTCCTCTTCAATATGGGTGCCTTGTTTGTGGAGGAAGCTGAGCCTACCCCCTATGCATCCATTATCTCTGTGCAGCCATCCTTTCAGGCATTTATTCCCCCCAAAGATAAAAGAACTCAGCGAGGGGAAAGGGGAGTTTGTATGCAAAACCACAGTGAAGTAAATTGTGTGTGTGGAGCACACAGCTTTGCTGTTGTCGTGTGTCGTTTCAGAGTTCTTAGGCACATGAAGTTGAGACTACACAGATCTTGGGTGTAGGGAGGTCCTCTTGGCCACCTCGTAAGGGGCCCTTAGCAGAGTTGTCCGGCCTGCAGTTTATGGCAAGAGGATGGTACATGGGATTTTTAGAAGTTGTCTAAAACAGGACTGCCCCAGTCAAAAGCAGTGGCGGTAGCGATGATATTTGTTTCAGTGAAACATGGCTGTATCACTGGATAATGAGTTTGGCCTTCCAACCCTGTTTGGTGTAAGATACATCCCCGTGGCGGTTGTATCACGTGATTTTATTCTTTAATCATTGCACGTTTCCTTGTTGTCACTACGCTTATCCCTCCTGACGCCAGATGTCTTCCGCAGACCTAGAGCAACTCTACCTGGGCCTCTACTGCAGTGCCAGCCACCTGCACCTGCCCCTCCAAGGCAGCCCCCTCATCACCTGGAAGTGGAACCATAGCTTGAGAGAGCTGGATCTGACCGGCCAGAGCTTCAGCGAAAGTGATCTGGAGCAAGCAATGGCCGCCTTCACTCAGGGAGACAGCGCCAGAGGGGAGCCAGTCCTGCGCTCCCTCAATCTCACGGGAACCAAGGCTTCCCTCCATACAGTCAGGTGAGCTGCGGGGGTTTCCCCTGAGATCATCTTTTCCCCTCCTCCAACCCAGCTCTCTTCAACTCTTGAGGAAAACAGTGTGGGGGCCACTTATATACTACTTGGGTGCTACCTTCCTTAGAGGAAAGGTGAGAATCTTTGGACAGAACCACTTCTGGGCTGTGTCTTGCTACTGTTCAATATATCTATATAATCATTTAATATCCATAACCCTTCAAAGTAAAAACAAGCAAACAATTTCACTATGGCTTAAAACATACATCTTAATAATTTTTTTAAGAAAATAAAACAGCAATAGTCAAAAACAGTTTCATCACTATTTGGATCTTTGGTGAAATGAAAACACCCTCTGTCTGGTGCTGAAAGACAGCAGTGTAGATGACTGCCAGCAGTACAAAAGCAGAGGCGGTGGATTTGTGTAGGATTATGGTTAGACCAAAAAGTAGCAAGTGCCACTCACAACATGACCTCTGCTGAATGTTGCTCCCTGTGCTGGCTCCGGTTTGCCTGGCAGGCAAGTCTGCCCTGGGAATGCCCAGACCCACCACAGTCCTTTGGCTTGAGCTCCAGGCCCGGCAGAATTCACTTGTTGGCAGGCCTGGCCTGAATAATGGCTGCTTTTCAGGCCAGCTTTCCCACCCACAAGCCCCCTGTCCCCGATGGGACGGAAGCCACATTCCTGAGTAGTTGGGAGGAACTTTGCACTATTTTCACATTTATGGAATCTCTTGTTTTCAATCCATTTGGGACATTTTGGTGTTTCCTCCTGTTACTGACCTTTATATTATGAGTGGCCTTGTGATAATCTAATGTTTTGCCCATTCCCCACACCAGCAAGGTTGAGAGGGAGCAAGCAAGGTGCACTGCTTAACATTGATCTCCTTTCCTTCTCCCCATAAGCACCCTGATTGCCAGCTGCCCTGCTCTCAGCTACCTCAACCTGTCATCCTGCCGCCATTTGCCACGGGGCATGAAGAAGGTGTACCGGGGTTACGCTGAAATCCGGCAGTGTCTGCAGCAGCTCCTGACCAGCTCGGAAGAGCCAGCCACACCAGGAGATGCCTCATAGCAGCTGCCTCTCCAGGAATACCGTAACAGGAGGATCAGTTCTGTCTCTCCTTGCCTCAGCAAGCCAAGTTCCTGTCCTTTTCAGCACCTACACCTTTCCCAGAGGGGTCTTACACCTTTCTCAAGGCAGCAGAGGTGCAGGATCTGTCCCTTGCAAGGAGAAAAGAGACTGTGATGTTCTGGCTGCACTTCTGGGAGGGGAAACATTCTAGTTGCTCTGTCCCCACCTTTTTTGTAACTTATTTCTGTTGTCTTTTCTATTGTTTGTAGCTCCAAACTCTACCAGAATAAAAGAGTTTTTTAAAATTTGCACAGTGGGTGTGACTCTGTGTTCTCTCTGGGCCTGGGTTGCAGAAAGCTGGTTGCTCAAACAGGAGTTATCCAGCAACTTCTGGATGTTTTCTTATCCTTGCACCTGGACCCCCTAAAAAAACACTTTGTCCAATCTAGACTAGGAAGATAAGGGGGAGCTGCTATTCGTAACATCTGGGGGAAGTTGCTGCCATTGAACATTGACTTGTTTTGCCTACCCATGTCAGGGATGTGATTTAGAAGATCCTTTAGCGAGCTCTTAGTGTCATTGGCCCAGTCCTGTGGAACTCTCTCCTACTAGAGATTCAGTGAGTGCCTTCTGTGCCAACTTTCATATGTCTGCTGAAAGCTTTCCTGTTCTGCCAGGGCTGTGCAGGCAATTAAGAATACATCTTTCCACAATAGTCAATGGATGTCTGTTTTTATCTTCTTAATATGGTTTTTATTCTACTGGTTTATGTTTTACTGCTTTAAAGCGCTTTGATACGTATTTTTATGGCACAGTGGTATACAACGGTTTTTAATAAATAAATGAATGACATTCCACTTTAACTCGTATCAAGCTTCCCATTCAGGTTGGTGAGAGGTGGTCTTATGTTCAGCTCTTGGGGAGGAGAAAGTGAAGAGGGAGGCACGGGGTGCGTGTGTGGCACTCCTTGAATTAAGCACTTTCCTCCGTGATTCAGCAGAGGGCAGCAGCTGTGGTCTTGTCTGCGGTGTAAGCCCGGTTTCCATGGGGATGAGGGATTCTGTTGGCCACCGTTGCTACGGAAGCTGTCCCGTGACTGTCCCACACCTGCTGCAGGACCAGGTGGGAAAAGGTGCACAGAAATAATTTGGGCACTGGTTGGTCCTGGTTCTTGGTCCTGGCTTTTCCTTAGCAACGCCTTCTCTGAAAGACAGAGGCAGTCTTCATAAGGAAAGGAAGTCAGATTCTTAAGGGGTAAGTAAGAATCTGCAAAGGGGACGCGGGTGGCGCTGTGGGTTAAACCACAGAGCCTAGAACTTGCTGATCAGAAGGTCGGCGGTTCGAATCCCCGCAATGGGGTGAGCTCCCGTTGTTCGGTCCCAGCTCCTGCCAACCTGGCAGTTCGAAAGCACGTCAGTGCAAGTAGATAAATAGGTACCGCTCTGGCGGGAAGGTAAACGGCGTTTCCATGTGCTGCTCTGGTTCGCCAGAAGCGGCTTAGTCCTGCTGGCCACATGACCTGGAAGCTGTACGCCGGCTCCCTCGGCCAATAAAGCAAGATGAGCGCCGCAACCCCAGAGTCGGCCACGACTGGACCTAATGGTCAGGGGTCCCTTTACCTTTACCTTAAGAATCTGCAAATGATTACCATTCAAAAAGGGCTGATAGGAGTTGCAGCCACAGTCTGTCCGGCACGTGACGAGGGTCCTCCCTCTTCTCCCCAGCAGTTCTTTTCCAGGAAGGAGAAAGTGCTGAGACACTCCCTTAAAGACCCAGCAGGATGGCCAAGGCTATACTCAAGGGCCCCCTGGTCCTCTGGCACTGCAGCTTTGCCAGCAGAGAGAAAAACCTCCCTGAGCTGCTCAAGGAGAACAAGTATTTCCCGTTCCAAGTGCAGCAGCCCAAAGGTGAGGAGCGAAGCCTTAGGAAGGCTTCTTGGGTCTTCTTGATTGTGCTGAGGACGGTTGGAGGACTGCCTGAGACGGGTCACCGTTATACTTGAAGTCTGCTCTAGCAACCATTGTACATATCGTAGGGAACCATCAAACGGTACCTCCCCCCACCCCAGCCCCCCCAGTGTTGGAAACTGCAGTCAAACATAACTGTGCATGAGGGCTACTTCATGCATGAAGGAGTTAAGACAACAGAGCCATGTTCCTAGACTGAGCTAGGTCATGCCTCCCCTGTGAGGGAGGAAGTGAAAGTGCTTCTCTTCCTTTCTCACACTCTCTTCCAGCCATCAAAACAAAATAGAAAAATTTCTTCCAGTAGCACCTTAGAGACCAACTAAGTTTGGTATTGGTATGAGCTTTTGTGTGCATGCATACTTCTTCAGATTCGTGCATGCACACGAAAGCTCATACCAATACCAAACTTAGTTGGTCTCTAAGGTGCTACTGGAAGGAATTTTTTTATTTTGTTTCGACTACGGCAGACCAACACGGCTACCTACCTCTTCCAGCCATGTAACCAACCAGTATGGACATGTCTGAACTTGCAGCAAGTTCAGATTGCATGTTTGAAACTATATTGTGCATTTTGCACCCAAGAGTAATCTGCCTGTGCTATCCTTGCTGCTGCATGGATCAGTGCATGAATCAGACCTTTGGATTTAGTAAGGAAAGCCTTTAAATGTACTTAACAGTGTGTATCATTGCTACAGGGGTAGAGAGAGGGGACGTGTTTTAAGGCAGACTAAACAGGATACGTAGAAGGGTCTAATAACCCATATTCCACACTATGCTGCTGGTTAACTTAAGAGTGTTTTTAACCCTACTGGGGGCTGTCTCCTCCTTGGGAGTGTGCTAAGCCCCACATTTTGAATCCTGGCACCCAGCCGATTCTTTTGTTAATTTACCCACGCATGGGTCAGATCTATTTTCATCCCACAAACCCAGCCCTATTCCTGTCTCTGACACGGGAGAAGACAGGAGAGGGAGCTATTCTCATACAAGATGCATGTCTGGGGTTGGGCAGGGAAGCTGAGCGGCTTAAACTCCCGTGTTTCAGAATATCTTCATGATAGCAAGGGGGAGTCTGTGTCTTAGCTTGCTCACCCAAAGAAAAAGGTGTCTAAACAGTTCTCCACTGTTGCATGTTTTGTGTCATTGAAATATGAAACACAATTTCAGTTACATGCACATCAGGAGCTCTAATTTTTGTGTTTTCAGTGCTGGGTTCTGTGGCCTGGGCTGAGGGAGGGAGGTTGGGGACTTGGGAAGAAGGGTCAGCCCTAACCATTTCAGCCTGGGCTGGGGTGGCCTGTAGCTCAGCTCCGCGGGGCTTAGTCCTGAATCTTGCCCTTTCTGCCTCCCCCCCTACAGTATTTGTGATTGAATATTACAAGGACATGATCTGGAAAGGACTGGTGATTTTCCTGCTTTCTTTGGGGCTCAGCATACTTCACTTCAAAGCACCACGGGTAGGCACATGATTCTTGCCACTATTGAGAACCAGGTACCAACGAGATGTAGTTGTCTTGCCACAATTCCCCCGCTGTGGGAACACAGATTTCCCCTGAAAGTATTGAGCTAGTCACTTGGCCCACACCCCAAAGGGTCTGTGCGACTGCACTAACTCACATTCCTCCCTCGCTGCTCTCTTGACTTTGCCTTCTTTCTGTTGTCTCTCCTGACACCGCCCTGCAGTTGGGCACCAGCTAATTCCTCCACAAACTACCAGGTACAGTGGTACCTTGGGTTACAGACGCTTCAGGTTACGCATTTTCAGGTTAAGGATGCGCTGAAACCCGGAAGTACTGGAATGGGTTACTTCCAGGTTTCGGTGCTCGCGCATGCGCAGAAGAGCTAAATCGTGCTTTGCGCACGCACAGGGTTGCGAACGCTGCGGGTTGTGAACGTGCCTCCCGCGTGGATCGTTCACAACCTGAGGTTCCACTGTGCATTCATGGAATTGAATAGCAATATAAAAGGGAGTTGTCCTGTAAGGCAGATCATCATTGCTCCCATTTTGCGTCTAGGGAACTGATGCAATCAAGTACACAGCCTCAACTGTGCTTCTTCTGTGAAGTTGAGGGTCTGCACGTGTGTTTGTGCAAATTGGTATTAGGAAGAGTTTGCTGGATGAGGCCAATGGCCCATCTAGTCAGGCATCCTGTTCTCCCTTCAATGAGGCCAAACTTAGATTCACAAAATGTTTAGGGGTATGCATATCCCTGTGTACCCCCAGAAAAAAGCACTGGCTAGGTAGGAGCCATCAAGAACCCCTCTTCTCCATTGAAAGCCACCCCAGTTTGTGGCCATCCCTTCCTCCACAGTTTAACTCTGCCACTGCATGAAGGACTTCTTTTTATTCGCCCTGAATCTTCAGACATTCAGCTTCATCGTATGTCCACAAATTCTAGTGTTTCTGTATCAACTATATCCATGTCCTGCTTAATTTTAAACACCTCAGTCATCATGACCCCCCTCTGGCTCACCTGACCTGTAAGCTCACGATAACAGACGGTGCAAAACAGCGGGACACTGGGTTGAAATTTTCAACTTTCAAATTCCAAAAATTAGATATTTTGGTAAAATTAATATAATTTGATTTTGCTTGGTAAGTAAACGGTGTGTAAAATTGCATAGAAATAATAAAAAATGGTTGCCAAGTGCTTGCATTTTATTTATTTATTTATTTATTTATTTATTTATTTATTTATAGCATTACATGACATTTTCAGGAGGTAAAATTAACATTCATTGGTTTTCGGAAAGCAGTTGATGTGCTTTTTCATCAGACGTAGACTTACCGAGCTAAATGTTGTCCAGTCACAAAAAGGAATAACAGATTTCAATTCCTAACACCCTAGAACATATTTTAAAGACCTGCCACTGAATAAATTTTGGAAAAATTAGATTTTACCCCCTAAAATGACCCTCCCTACCCCCCTCTATGCTTGCTGGCTTTTCACCTGCATTTTTTGTGACTTTCTTGAGAGCTTGGGGTTTTTGTTGGACAGAGTGGGGTGCCCTGGCCTCCTCACCCTGCTGCTGAACTCACGCCTGCCGAACTTGCCATGAAGCTTTTTCCGCTGGGACTTCCCCTGCCCCCCCCCCCCTGGAGCAGGCTCCTTTGCTAGCTGGCCCCACATTTACCATATTTTTTGCTCTATAAGATTCACTTTTCCCCTCCTAAAAAGTAAGGGGAAATGTGTGTGCGTCTTATGGAGCGAATGCAGGCTGCGCAGCTATCCCAGAAGCCAGAACAGCAAGAGGGATTGCAGCAATCCCTCTTGCTGTTCTGGCTTCTGAGATTCAGAATATTTTTTTCTTGTTTTCCTCTTCCAAAAACTAGGTGCATCTTGTGGTCTGGTGCATCTTATAGGGCGAAAAATACGTATATGCCTAGCAGTGAATGGAGCCGGTTGTCTCGGGGGTTCAGTTATGGTCATCAAAGCTGCAGAGAAGTTGGCCTGAGCGTCAGCGGTAGAAAAACAGGCCACACCCAACCGAATGCCACTTGGAGCCCATTTTGAGGCCAGTGTGAGGTCCATGATGGCAGCCAATAGGTTCCACGTTATGTCTGAAAAATGCCTTCCAACAGAGCGGTTCCTTGTAGCAGTAAAGGCCCTCTGCAACCCTACAGAGAAAGGGAGGGTTGCAAAGAGCGTGCAAAGCTTTTTCACAGATAAGGTTGCTCCCGTCCACTACTTGTGTTGTGTTCCATCAGGAGACGTCCCTGCTCAGTCCTTCTGAACTGACTTATCTCAGATCTCCCACATCTGGACAAGGGAATCGGCCAAGCTGGGGAGGAGATTCTCCAGGTTGTTGTTTTTTTGGTGGGGATGAAGAAAACATATTGGTTGGACCAATATACCCCAAGCTGGTGTCCTCCAGATGTTTCGTACTGCAATCCTCATCAGTCCCATTTGGCTCAGGCCTGACTGGAGTTGCGGTTGAAAACATCTGGACGGCACCAGGCTGGGGAACGCTGGTCCAGGTGAACACCTGGCTCCGAGGAGCAGCTGTAGGGCAGAGATTTTGCCTTCGATTCCCCTGTTTTTGAGATTCCTGGAGGCAACGGGTTGACCCTGATGAGGAGCAGGGTTCTCCAGCTGATGGACCTCTTTCTAAGCTTCATTTCCCCCCTGGCACCCCTAACCTTCTCTGCCTGGACCCTTTGCTCTCCTTTCAGGGCACTCAAGACTTCACAGTTTTCTTCGTCTTTGGCATGTTGACCGGACTCTGGCTGTCCATCAGCAACATCCACAAGCGCCGGCTGATCATCAACCACATCAAGGAGGTCTACCAGTTCTACATCAAAGGCATCCTCTGGCAGGAGGGACCTCTGCATCAGATCTACGTGCGGTTGATAGCGCAGCAAGATGGTACCACCAGCATGGCGGGGGGGGGCATGTAGAAGGCACCCTTGTCGCCTCCTCTGCTAAACTCCTCCTCCTCTCCCATTACGTCCAGGCCTTCCTTCCCTCTTGAAATATACTCGGAGTTGAGAGTGGATTTCATGCTCTTTATTCAGCTCATAGTAGTGAGGAGGAATGGAAGTTCCCCCAGAATGTCTGCCTTATATACATTATTTACACAATGGGGCCCACATGATTGGCTAATTCCGGGATTCTCCTGTAGGCCAATCAGGTTGCGGATTCACTTCCACCTGGAGCTGGATTGGGTGGCTCCTGTGGACCAATCAGACTGCTGCATTCTGGGGCCTATTGTTCTAGGACCAATCAGACTGCTGCCAAACTTTTTTCAAAGAGGGATCATAGAATTGGAAGGGGCCCTGAGGGTCCTCTAGCCCAACCCGCTCCAATGCAGGGATCTCAGCTAAAGCATCCATGACAGATGGCCATTCAGCCTCTGCTTTAAAACTTTCAAGGCAGGAGAATTCACAACCTGTCGAACAGCTCTTATTGCCAGAAAGTTATTCCTGATGTTTGAAGAAGAGCCTCTGTTCTTTTTGCTGCTGCATGGAATAACACATGAACCTGACCTTTAGAGTTTGTAAGTAAAGCATTTAAACCAGGGGTCAGATTTTTCATCAGGGGACTGGTCCACTGTCCCTCAGACCTTGTGGGAGGCCGGATTATTATTATTTTTTTGGGGGGGAATGAACGAATTCCTATGCCCCACAAATAACCCAGAAATGCATTTTAAATAAAAGGATACATTCTACTCATGTAAAAACACGCTGATTCCCGGACCGTCCGCGGGCCGGATTGAGAAGGTGATTGGGCTGCATCCGGTCCTCAGGCCTTAGTTTGCCTACCCATAATTTAAACCTACTAACGGTGTGGTCTGATTATTGAGAGAGGGGTAGAGAGGGGGAGCCCTGTAAGCAGGATATTTAAAATGTCAAACAGCCTCTATTCCTCATGCTTCACTGCGCTGCATGATTCTGTGATTTTAATACTCTGCTGGGGTCTCTTTCTAAAGTGTGTATAGCCCCACACTTTGGATCTAGGGATCCAGCCAATCAGTGGCGTAGCATGGGTTGTCAGCACCCGGGGCAAGGCAAGTAATTTGCGCCCCCTGACTTCCGGGTTAGCGCCATCGGCAATGGCGGAGTTCCTCTGACCGAGAGGAACCCGCTCCGTGAAAATCGGGTCTTGCCGCCGTGGCGAAGGCGGAGACCCTTTAAAAATCCCAGGCAGAGGAAGCCTGGGAACGTGGGATTCGGCTGACACCAGGAGCGCCTCCCCTACTCGCAGGGAAACCCTATTTCGGGGATCCGAAGTGACGTGGGGTGAGTGGCGCGGTGTTTTGAATCAACTGCTACTTTTACGGAGTGAAGCTGCATAGCCGTTGCCGGAGAGCGCTGACTTTTTCCTGTGGACAATTGGACTCTAAACAAGTACCCGTGAGTAGAACGGAAAATTGGATTAAGAAACATTTTAATTTGGCACTGAAGCGGGAAGGTTCTAAACAGGAAGTCCGCCTCCCGTTTTTGTAAATAGATTGAAGCAAAAACTTTGCAAGCTAAAGTCTGGAAAGTCGTATATGAAGGTCTAAATTTCCTCCAGTTATTACCACCAAAACCCCTCTTGGAAGCAGGAGAAAAGGAGGGGGGATTTTTGATTGTTCAAGCCTGCAGGAGAGAGAGTAAAGAAAGATAAATTTCCAACCGTCTCAAACCTGGGAACGGGGTGTCAGAGACAGAAATTCACAGGGAAGTTCATTGACTGTGAATGGAACATCTTTTGACAGATGGTTAAAAAAGAGAAACAAATTGATTCCAATGTTGCCATTTGCATTCAAAAGAAACAAAATATTTGAAAAATGAAAGTAATTTTCTTTGGTTGGTCCTGCTTTCAAAAGATGGATACAAATAGAAATTGTCTCCTCTAGAGGGAGTCTGTTAAACTGTTGCTGGAGTTGATCTGGGGATTTCACAGCTGTGGAGATTAGGATCGTGGGACCAGACTCTGACCTTGAATAAAAATGTGTTTAGAAGAAGTTTTGGTGCTTGCTTTTTGCAAGACAAGCGCTTTGCTGGAGCAGATGCATGAGAAGATGGATTTGATGACTGTTGCAGTCAAAAACTTTGGACAAACGGCGAATACCCACATAGAAACCATTCAGGAACCAACCTAGGAACCTGTTTTGACAGGGCAAGTGCAAGCGCAGAAGATAATGGAGGAGGTTGCTGTTGAACCTCAAGTAACACAAATGGAGAGACCCGAGACCTTGCAGGAGCATAAGCCGCTGTTCTTGAAGTTTGAATCTGGAGTGGACCAGGGGGGGTCTGGAGTTGTGAGGGCTCTTAATTTTGAAGGGACTTTGAAACATGCTCTTAAATACTTTCTGGGTTACAGTGTTGACTGTGGGGAATGGGACTGTGGGGAATGGGCTGACCTGCTGAGGGGAGATGGAGATATTTTTGGATTGGAGTCCCCCCCGAGACTTACTCCCCAATGAGAAAGGAAAGAAATTAAGAAAAAGATCAACAAAAGACAAAGTAAAGTGCAGGTATAATCAAGAAGAAGATCTGCAGAAGGGACATGGAAAAGACTTTAGAGCCTTGGACATAAGATCACCAGGTTGATGGACTAGATGGAATGGACAAGAAGGACTGACAAAACCCGAGACCAGGAAGAAGAGACGTTGGATGAAGATTGGAAGAAAGTTTTTTTGTTTTTTTTTGTTTTTTAAATATTTTGAGAATTAGTGTAAAATTAATGAGTATTAGGAAAAATGTTGGAATGAAACTATTTGGCTTTAGTAGAAATGATATAAGGAGTCATGTATAAATAAGTATTAAGTTTTAAGTTTTAAGGTTTTTTATGGTAAGACAAGGTTAAAATAAATTAAGGTAAATTAAATGACAGAATATAGTGAAAGATGGAAAGGATTTGCTGAGTTAATTAATAGGTTAGACCGTTAAGATAAATTATACAACAAAAATTGAGAAAGATGGAAAGAATTTGCTGAAACAATTAATTAAATTAGAATACAAAAAGGGAGGTGTGAGGAGGTCGATGAAACAAGTAAATGAAAGATAAAGATATGGAACATTGGATGTGTGTTTTAATGTTATTGTTCTTTTTTGCTGTATTGTCGTATTGTTTTTTTAGGCTTTTCTTTTTATGTATTGTAATGTATGTTTTGTCAAATTTTTTGTTGTTGTTTTTTTCCTTCTTTTTTCTGTAATTCTTAAACTTCTAATAAATATCATTTTTTTAAAAAAGTAATTTGCGCCCCCTAACCCGTGGATTTGCGCCCCCTAACCCTAACCCCCAGATGTTGCGCCCGGTGCGGCCGGCCCCCCCCTGCACCCCCCACGCTACGCCACTGCCTGGTCCAGGGTGTGGGGTGGAAAATAGATAGATGTAGATCACCTGTGTGGGGTAATTAATAAAAGAATTGGCTCAGGAGAGCTGGGACACAGCAATGGCAGCCTCCATAGTAACACTCTGTTTCCTCCTTCTTCCAGCCTACGGAAAACGCTACTACAGCCTCATTATCAATGGATACCGCCTGGAGGTGCTCACTCTGGCTGCACTGACGGACCAGTTTGAGGTATGGGGTGGACCCTTGCTGGGCCAGTTAGGGGGCTCTGTGTCTTGACCAGATGCATGGAAGATGGAGGACCAAAGGATATCTGGTGCATTTATTGGCTTGATATACAGGCAGATACTCTGCTTCCTCTCCTAATGGTTGGAGCACCTTCCAAAACAATCCGAATGGTAACTGCAGTAAAGACGTTGGCCCTGCAGATTCCTAAACCTTAATGGTTCTCCTTTTCTTGGTCTCTGCCTCTAGGAAAGTGTAAAATATAACTAGCTAAAACCATACTCACACAGTAACAACAGTTCAAAACACAGCGAGTCCTTTCACTGGGCAAACGCCCCCAGGCGAAGTACCAGGGCAAGAGCGTTTGACATACCAAGATTTCCCAACTTCACTACAGCAGCAAACCCTCAAGACACTCCGAGTTGCTTGCCCACGATCCCAGGGATGGATCCAGCCTCTCCCATGTTCTGATCCCTCTGCAATGGGAGGAAAATCTCTACACTGGGGAAAATCCCTACACTGGGAGAAAAATCCAACGCTTTCTCACAAAGCTATGGGGCCACAAAGTTTCTCTAGGTTGTCGTCAACACTCCACTAGTACCTGCTTCCCGACTTCCTTTTCAGTATGATCTAAACCATCACAGGTGCTTCCATTGTGATTCCTGCATTGCAGCCGGTTGGACTAGATGACCCTCGGGGTCTCTTCCAACTCTACTATTCTATGATCATTGCACATGGTTGACCTGGTGGTTGGTTCTCGTGTTCATGTGTGCTTCGGTGTGTACATGTTGATTTTTCATTCCTTGTTCTTAAAGGGGGCGCTGCTCCTGTCGGTCTCCTGGGTAGCTCTTTAGGTAGTTGAAGTATAGGTGGGTTCCCACAAGGCAAAGCACAGAGATAACAGCAAGAAACTTTTTTGAACTACATAACTGGGAAACAGGGGCAAAGCAACAGCTTATATACATTCCTGAAAGCCTGGGCCACTCCCACCCTGATTGGCTGTCTAAACTTCCAAGCTGCAAATCACAACTCAGAGTTCGAGGGCCAATGGCAGAGGCCCAAATCCTGAAATGCTCTGTGATTGGATATCATGTATCATTTCAGAACACAGGAGTTCAGAACCCTTAGTCCAGACTCAAGCTCAGGCAAGCACAGACCGCTGACTACATAACAGTCCAGTGGTACCTCCGGTTGCAGACGGGATCCATTCTGGAGGTCCGGCTGGATCCTGAGGTTTTCGCAACCTGGGATACCACTTCTGCGCATGTATGTGCGGCGTTAGAGTGCTTCTGCGCATGCACAAAAGCGGTCTACTGCTTCTGCGCATGCGCGTGCGGCAAAAACCTGGAAATATACTTCCAGGTTTGCCGCTTATGTATCCCGAAGTTTACGTAACCGGAGGTACAACTGTATTTATGATTGCATTCCAAATATAATTAACCCTCTCAGATAAGACCTACTATTTTACTGACCCCACCCTAATCCTGTGATCAAGATGTGGAATTCTAAGCACTAATGCCCACCTGCAGCCTCTGGTCAGCCATCATAAACATCTGTGTGTGTGTGTGTGTGTAGAAGGGGCAAACCACATTACTGAAGGGCTTTGGGCTTTGTCCCATATGTTAGATTTCTGAATGAGAAAGGGTGGTGTGTTTCACATTACCCTTCCCACTGAATGACGGAATCGTAGAATTGTAGAGTCATCTACTCCAACCCCCTGCAATGGTAATATTTTAGTTTTCTGTTACGTTGCTTTGACTGTATGCTCTATATTGGACTTTCTCCAGGTTGTTTTATTTATGTTTTATTGACTTAATATGCTGCAAACCGCTTTGAGATTTTTCTTAAACGTATAAAGCGGTATAGAAATTCAAAAAATAAAATCAAATAAATAAATGGACTGCTATTGGACCGCTATTTTATCTGAAGTCTACTCCTACTGCTTTTGACGGAGTTCACTTCCTAGCACCCACCTTGTCTTCATTTCCACTTTTGGATCTGACTCCCATCTGTATGTAAAAAGGGCCTTTCTGTCAAGTAACCGCAGAGGTCCAGCAAAAGGGGTGGTGAGGGTTAGGGGGCTCCCTCTGCTTCCCCCGCAGGCCTCAGGTGGCCCCTGGGGCTCACTGCCCGGCTCTCCCCACCTTTGAGAGTTGGAGGGGTGAAAACAGGCTTCATCCTCCCAGGCCTGCTCAACCTGCCCCACCTTGCCTGTGTCTCCCCCCAGCTTCTCGATTCCGTGGGGCGCCGCATCGCCCGCAACCTCAACCTCAACTTCTTTGACTATGAGGATGTCTCCACGCGTCACGTCATCAGACACCTTCCGCCGGAGAGAGACGACGACAACGACGACATGGACTACGGGGAGAACACGAGTGTGTGAGGGGAGCGGCCAGGGGTGTGTGTGTGCTTGGCTATTAAAGGCGGGCACTCTGTTCTGGGTGATGATTGTGTCCAAAGTGTGTCCTTTGCCAGTCCCTGCTGGTTCCTTTCTTCTCTGTCCATCAGCAGATGTCTTCTGAGCTGCTTTGTGTCTACGACGGCCCAGGTTCAATCCTGGGGAGATCTCCATGGAATGGGAGAAGGAGGGTGGGTGGCCCAAAGGAACTGGGAGGAATGGTTCCAGCATGACCAGACCCAAAAACCTCTTGGCGCTGGAGTGGTCCAAGAGGAACTCCACCCAAATTCATCCTGAAAGCCTATCTGTTGCCCAGCTCCTAGTGGTTAAGAGCGGCGGACTTGTAATCTGGTGAACCGGGTTCGATTCCCCGCTCCTCCACATGCAGCTGCTGGGTGACCTTGGGCCAGTCACACTTCTCTGAAGTCTCTCAGCCTCACTCACCTCACAGAGTGTTTGTTGTGTGGGAGGAAGGGAAAGGAGATTGTGAGCCGCTTTGAGACTCCTGAAGGGGAGTGAAAGGCGGGATATCAAGTCCAAACTTCTTCTTTAAGAGTAGCTTTACCCTGCCCTGTGGAGCAGCCAGTCAAGTCTGACTCTCTGGTAGTTGCTGCTATCCCCGACTTTTGAAATTGAAATAGAAGAGTTTGGATTTGATATCCCGCTTTATCACTACCCGAAGGAGTCTCAAAGCGGCTAACATTCTCCTTTCCCTTCCTCTGTGAGGTGAGTGGGGCTGAGAGACTTCAGAGAAGTGTGACTGGCCCAAGGTCACCCAGCAGCTGCAGGTGGAGGAGCAGGGAATCGAATCTGGTTCCCCAGATTACAAGACTACCGCTCTTAACCACTACACCACACTGGCTCTTTATTGTCATTTGTACAACTTGTACACAGTGAGATTACAGGAGCACCCCCCACTCAGCTCTCTTAGTCTTAATTCCTCTCGTTTACTGACGCACACCCACCAAAGTCAGTTGCCCTGTTGTTATCTTTTCATTCAGCAGCCTAACAGCCCCCAGATAGAAGCTGTTCTTTACCCTGTTGGGGCCACTAATCCTGCTTCTATATCTTCTGCCTGAGGGCAGGAGATCAAGAAAGTGCCGGCCAGGGTGTGAATCATCCCTGAGAATTTTCCTCACTCTCACGTTCTTCCGCTATTTCATCCAGCAGATTCACGGGACAGCCCATAATATCTTGTGCTGTATTCACCACCCTCTGTGGGCACTTCCTATCAGATGATGTCAAACCAGCGTCCCACACCCTGATGCAGTAGGAAAGGACACTTTCTATTGTGGACCGGTAGAAGGAGATCATCAAATGTTGATTGACATTGTGTTTGGGTTTTTTTGCAATACTCTGAGGAGATGGAGTCTCTGTTGGACTTTCTTAACCACCTGGGTTGTATTGATTTTCCAGGTAAGGTCTTCACTGAGATAAACTCCTAGGAATTTAAAGGAAGAGACTCTCTCCACACAGCCCTCCCCGATGTACAGCGGGGCTAGTTCTCTCTTCCTCCAAAAGTCCAACACCATCTCCTTTGTCCTTTTTGGTCACCTAAAAAGGTAAAGGTATGTGGCCAGCATGACTAAGCTGCTTCTGGTGAACCAGAGCAGCGCACGGAAACGCCATTTACCTTCCCGCTGGAGCGCTACCTATTTATCTACTTGCACTGGCATGCTTTCGAACTGCTAGGTTGGCAGGAGCAGGGACCGAGCAACGGGAGCTCACCCATCACGGGGATTCGAACTGCTGACCTTCTGATCGGCAAGTCCTAGGCTCTGTGGTTTAACCCACAGCGCCACCTGCGTCCCTTTTTGGTCACCTACAGCCCCCCAAACAAGGAGAGAAGCTGGGGGTGCAGCAAATGAATTGACTTTTAAACCAGGCTCCGAGCCAGAGCGGTCTGCAATGCTCAGTTCAGCCTTCCCACAACTCGCTGGGGGAAAGCAGGGCTCGATTCCAGCCGCCTTTTCCCACTCCAAAGCATCCTGCTCATTTCACTAACACGAATGCCAAACTTTCGGCAGCTCGAATTCCAAGCCCTCAGTCTGAACCCAGTTGTGCTTGCTTGCGTGCGGATTTCAGAACCCAATTGCACCCATTTCAGAGGTCCAGATTGTGCGACTTTTCTCTTCTTGGGCTCCAACTCCCATCGTCCTCCCTGAGCGCTGGCCAGGCTGCCATGGGCTGATGGGCGTCGTCGTCCTGCGCCAACCGGCGTCCCACAGCCGGACCCCAACCCTGCAGCCTCGGGGCGGGGGGGGGGTGTTCTCCCTCCTTGCTCTCCTGTTGCCCCCCTTCGCCCACTAGATGGCGCTCCTTGACTTCGACTCGGGGCCTCTGCTGAGCCGCTGGCTGCAGCACTGAGAATTGGGGAAAGTTCCTTGCTGGCTCCCCAGCCCGGCTCCTTCCTCCCTTCCCGCAGAAGGCAGGGACCAGCCAAGGGCGGGCGGGCGGACAGGGACGGGGGCTGTGCAGAGGCTCCGGGCACTTGGCTTTGGGCGAGGGTGGTGGGGAAGGGGGCTTTAGGAGAGAGGGGCTGGAGGGGCGCAACTTTCTCTTTCTGCGCGTCGTGGGGTGTCCCTGTGGCCGCCTGCGCACCTTCCAGAGGCGCCTGCTCAGCTCTCCCACTGCGGCCCATTGCAGCAGCACTGAACTGGATCTCATCCCCGCGCGCGCTGCCGCAGCGCGTCCTCCAAGCGCCTCTGCCTTGCCAGCTGCAGTCCCGGCGCCTCCACTTGGCTCCCAAGACTGCGCCGCTTTGCCCAGGGAACTGTAGAGTCGGGAGGAGGAGGGACCGAAAGGGACACCTATCCCAGCCCCCGACACATGTGCGCCGCGCTTAAAAATTGTGGGAAACGAGAGCGGGTGGGAGGCAGGATTAAAGGAGTTTACTGAAGGTTAGGACCGGGAGAGGTGCACAGGGGGTTTGTTGAAAAGGCTAAAATACAGCCTGCGGAAGCTCTGAATGGGCTCAGAGGGGTCTGCATAAAAGGCGGATCTACACGGATCCTCATGGATCCTCCACTTTTTAAAAAATAATTCCAACAAATGCAGTGTCAAATCACACCTAGAAGGCACGCCTACAAACTGGACTATAAAAAACGTGGATCCAACACTTTACCGCGCTGCAGCACCATAAAAACATGGATCCGAGGCACGGATCCTCATGAATTCATATGATTTTTATATTGAAACAAAATAAAAACACCATGATACTGTAGACCACATCTTAGTCGGTAGGAGGAACCAAAAAAATCACGCATCCACTGTTTCGTGGTGCCGCAATGGCGCAAAAACATGGTTAAAAAACACGGATCCTCATGAATCCTCATGATTTTTGCACTAGATCAGCCCAAACTCACTTTCAAATTACACATCATGTCCAGGGGCACAGCATCCACCACAGAAATCACGGATC